CCAATCGACAGGCAGAGAGAACAAACCAGGCTGTAAAGTTCATTTTTTAAAATGTAGTCTGCCCTAAAGGTTTATTATTATTATTGTTATTTTAATGGGATTGTGATTAACTATAATGTAATTATGCTATTTTCAGAGGTATGTGTTGGCTTTTTTGACTGGGTTGACTCAACTGGAGTACGGAGAGATAGTCTGAATTCTTTGTGAACCTCTGTCTATCCCGACTGATGATTACTTTAACCACTACAAGTGCCATACAGATATTATATTGTTGTTTACAATTTCTATTACCTTTTCAAAGTAACAGAAACATTTAAGTGCAAATGAAGTTTGTAGCGTCCTGTTTAACACCCTCGAGAAGGGCCCTATTCTTGATTTTAAGGATGGCAAATAGAGTGACCAATCCAGGTGCTCCCATAGAACCTGCTGGACACCCTTATACACATACCTCTGGCTATGTTGAAGAAGACCCAAAACTAGCTTTCAAAATGTTATTTGAGTAAAGTAATCTTAAATTGGAAATATGGTCTTTTTGTCTTTGGAGACTTTGATACAAACAAAATTTTATTTATGTAACTGCGCACCAATTTGTTCATATCACACTTTGTCAATTAACTGATCAGGCTGAGGTAATTTTTGATTGATTTATGTGCCTTTAAAATATTTTCAAAACTCTTCAGTGTGCATTATTGAACTTATTTAAGGTGGTTCCATAGAGCAGTGAACTTGCTTGTAAAGGTAGAATTAAATATTTAAAAGATTCGTCATTTTACAGCCTTCTCAAAGAAACACCAGAGCCCTGATAATGTTATTAATGCTATTAATAGAATTAGATTGATTTCAATCTGTCTTTATGTGAATGAAAAAGTGATCAGAGGCTTTGCTCCTATCAGTCTGGTGTTGTCAGGTGTCATTACCAGCTGAATTCAACATTAGATGGTGACAGCTAAACATATAACAGCACCCTGATATTTCTGTAATTACTCTGTCCCTGATTATCGGTCCTCTGTCATTTATCCAGTGTATGAAGATGTTTGTTTTCAGCTGAGTGGTAATAAAAACCCAGTGTGTTAATGTGCCCTCCTACCATTCTAGACTATGACTCATATCTTCACTGCAGAGAGTTATATGTGATGTGAATACTTATCGAGGCAACAATCCGAAACTGTTTTCCACGCTGTGTAGACTGTGTATACATATATATCTACGTCATTTACGGGCTATATTTATGTGGAACAAAGGCAGACCGATGTTTACTTTATATTTATATTTATATTAAAAACTGTGCATTACTCTCAAGGACACACAGATTCTTTAATGCATCTACACAAAGCACATTTCATGATTTCTTCAACTGCTCACTGATCATCCATAAGGATCATATTTTAATTAGTCTGTAATGAGTTTAGTATCAAAATTGCGCATGAAAGGAATCAGTTGCGTTTAATAATTATTCACACGAGATGAAAAGCTCCATATTAATCCTGTGTGTTTCTTCTTTCCTAAGACATATTGTGATACTTTTATCTTCTGAAGCCTGAAACTTGCTCTGTTATTGAGTTCTTTTTGAGACGGGAGGAGGGGGATGATATCTGACCAACTGAAATAACTGTTGTTTGACGTCACGACTTTATTTTTAGAAGGTAATATATGGGTGTGGAAGTGCCTTTTCATGTTAGTATCAAAATACAAACACATAACATACACACACTGATGCAACCATGTGCACACTGGCAGACAATCACGTGCATGTGTGTGGGTACGTGTGCATGTTTGCATGAGTGTGTGTGTTGGTGTATCAAGTTAGATAGACGCTCCTCCTCTAATTCCAGGAAAATGCATATTCTCACCTGCTGACAAACTTTGCACATATGCTGGATCAGTGACGCACAAGGGTTTCTAAGTTTGGCATACAGAAATGGTATATAATCGAAAAATCTTTACAAATTCTGAGATGCACCAGCCATGAAAGGACTTAAATATGTCTGTGTCTGTCAGCTGCTTTAGCCCCTTTGTGAGTGGAAGAATAAACTGGGATTATCATTTTGACTGCTGGTTGTTCACTGACGTCAAGATTCCTTTCGCTTTAAAAACCGGTGGATTTTCTGATTTCAAGAACCTACAGGCAGAACTGTGACCAAGAATTATTTCAGCACTTCTTTGAGCTTTTCTTTTTCCATTACAGTAAATCTAATGTTCCACCAAAACTGTCTTTTAATGTTAGTTTATGAATAAATCTCTTTTTCCAAATAAAAGGAGCCCTGACCTGACAAATTATACCACAGACCTCCATCTGAGAACATATTTTTATGACAGAAAGATAATGAAAACATGATACTGCCATTTATTTTATTTTACTTTACTTTTTTGGTAAGGAGGCCTTCTTGTTAATCTCTAACAGCATGCTGTGTTAGGTCATGCTCACCTCCACCACCCATTAAAACAGCTGATGGGATACAGTGCAGTAGGCTTTCATTGAGCTGCTGCTGATAAGGAGGCTTAACTATGGTGGCCCTGACAGTCCATTGTACAAGTATTAAATGAAGGCAAAAGAAAAAAAAAAACTTAATGCAACAAAAAAAATTAAATAGAATTATTGAATAGAATCAGAATAGAATAGAATAGAAATTATACTTGATCTGATCCAGGATTGGTAAAGCATTGTTTAGTGACTTTATGTCAATACATGAGATAACCCAAATGACACTGGATAGTTTGCAATCCTACTCAAAATCTGTGCCGACAGATTCAATCTTCAGAACTGTGGCAGACATGGAAAAATACAGAAAAACAAAAATATATTTACTTCTGTGAAAAGACATCAAACACTGATTAGTGGCTGATAGCTCTTAATAGAGAACCATAACATATGTACCAAAGGATGGATCAGAGAACTTTTCTCCTGACTGTGACCAGGCAGACAAGGATTTTAAGTACATTAATTCAGCCGATCACAGACTAAACTTTATTCAGTCTCTTGTCTATAAAATATACTTTTCATATGCTAAATTTGGCCTCTTTTGTTGAATGTCTGTTGAATGTCTTTTATATTCCTCAAAGTGTACCCGGTCAACGAGTGAAATAGCAGGCACTGCCACAGATAGATGGTACCAAAGATTCTACCTGAAAAAAGTCACTAATTAAAACCTAATTTATTTATAAATGAGGGACTTAATGATAAAGAGTTGAAAGTTTCTTTTCATCTTTGGTCCCTTTGGCAGAGATGTGATGTGCTAACGCTGATAAATCACAAGCTTTAAGCTAAATTTAATAATATAAAGCCTCAGGGCCCCTGGGGAACGTCTCTGTAGTTTCTCTTTGTTTTTATTGCTCAATTAAGCTGAAAATGATATCTTGATACATTAAAGTCAGCCCTCCTAAAGGGACTAACTCAGCCTCTAAATTGTTTTTGAAGGATTTAAATTTTGTGAACTCAGGCTTGCTAACACTTATTAATAATGTATAGATTTTTTTTAATAGGAACTGATAGACTTATGTCCTCGTAAGGGTGCCATCACTGATTTTTCCTTTATCTAAATTAGTTGATATATTTTTAGTTATCAAGATTTACTTTCCTCTTTTGTCAACAGGATTTCTGTTCATAAGCACAGATGCTGACAGGCAGCTGATCACAGCCCCGAAATTAAAGACTATTTCTCTTTTGGTTGTTTGATGTATGTTGTTTAAACTGTGAATCATTTTTCACATTTCTCCTGTAAAAAAAAGGCTAAAACAAAAATTACATCATGTACTTAAAGAGAATGAAGGAGAATTTTTAAGTACTTGATGAAAGAATAATAACTTCACTCTTTTTTCACCATAGTGTCCTGGTGTGATCTCGCTAAACGCCATTCAGATTTTTAACTGAATGTAAGACTCATTTTTAGTCTTCACGCATCTGCTGTAACAATTCAAATCTCCTCATTATAAAGGGTTCCCATAGTTCAAAATCTTGATTGGACCTTTGTGTGTTAGGTTTAGATGTTCTTCTTGTCTATTTAGTTGTCTCCTCTGGGTAGTACCAGCAGTTTTTGTCAACTACCAGCACCTTCTCCTGTTCTCTCCATGTTAAAATTCTTCTTGCCACTTCATAATGGCACCTAAATTACATTACTGTGGTGCACTAAAGCTCATGTCCTATTGTGGATGTTACATGATGCTCACTTTTGTTTTTTAAAGAGTATCAACAAACTGATGCATACTCCTGAGTCTCTAATGAAGAAAATCTGAATAAAAAAGAGACACAGTTAATACTGGCCAAGCTCCAAGGAGAAAAAGAACCATAGCCAGCTCTGAGCTAATTTACCTTATTTGATTTCCTCTCTGATTTTATTACCACTTTCAAAGCCAGCTTCTTCTCTGCCTTTATTTTCCTCCCCTTACAGCCACTGTCCTCCCCTGTCTGCGTCTGTCTCTTGTTTAGTGTTTGAGGTGAAGTGGACTTGTTTTCATCGCTCTCCAGTCGAGTCCTCCACCGAAGGCCTGGTGACATCTTTGCACCACACACCGAAGCTGCTGTATACTTTATATATAGACTGATGGGAAATTGGAAAGGAGCGTGGTGATGCAGAGATGCAGAGGCTCTTTCTTTGTGTGAAAGACTGAGGAAGTTTTTTTCAACAAATGCACAACATGAAAATCAGAATTATCTTCTGCTGACTTTTATTCATGTAATAGTCATAACTAAGAGGGTTAAGCACTATTTTTTTCTACTTGAAGCACTGATTCAAATTTAATGTAACATTCACCATCAGTTCAAGTCTTTTAGTTGGGTTGGCTCTTGTAGGGATTCACACGTTTTCATATTGAACTCCCCATAAATCTCAAACTTAAAACTTTAGTTAATTAAAGATAGTTTATTTGTCCTATTTTGGGTTACGAAAAACTCATAAAAATTCTTAAATCTCTTTCAGATAACTCAATCCTTCTGAAATAATGTCTTTCAAAGATTATATCGATTTTTTTCCAAGTTTTTCCACATCTAGAATATTATCACGATATCAGCATACATACATGCATATTTATTACTTTGAACAATTTCTTTCAGTGATGCACATCTATCGTACATTTTTCTTTCAATATGTTTTCTTGATAAGAAAATATCTAACAGCACCGACAGCATTTCTCCCTGTAAAAAGAAGAAATTGTCAAGGTTGTACTAACTGTCAAAAGCACTTCTTGTTTTAAGAGAGACAAAACTAGCAAATTCCTCCACTTAAGTATGTGAGTTGAAGGAATCAAAAATTGAAAATGTAGTATCAGTTAAGAAGTAAGTGTACATTTAAATAAAAAGGAATCAGCGAGGCTCTGTGGATGTTTGTTAAATATCCAACCAAAATAGCAGACAGCGTTTCAGTCAGTAGGGGGAGAAAACACCTAATCCCACGCTCACAACCAGAGCTCTTCTCTCCCTGCCTCCTGAGTTTCCCTCCCCCACCGTAGGCAACACCATGAGTCAGAGAGCGGCACATTGACATGAGTGGCATGGCCGGCCTCACACAGAGTCAAACATTCAGCCTGGACTTCATCTCACCGACCAGATTTGGTGAATAGATGTTCTTCTTGAGGGGCTGCAGTCTTAGATTGAACAAACTTTCAGAACACGCCATAACCCACGGACAGATTTATTGTTTCTTAGCACAACAGTGAAGCTGCAGAGTCTACAATCAGAGCCTTGGGAGTTTGTCAAGGGCACAAAACTGAAAGAATTGAAGGACAGGTGAGTGATGTTAGTTATGATTCTTTCTGTCAGTTCTGGGAATCAAACCAGCATCCTCTCTGGCTCGCAGAGCTTACACATTATTCATTCAGTCTCCCACCTCTCTGTCTGAATCTTTACTTCCCTGTACATCTGTCATGAACTTTACTATTGATTTAAAGTGAAGTTGGGCTTAATACCCTCTTTCAAGTGGAACATGTCAGTGGATTTCTGGGCTTTAAAAACATGTATTATAAAGACGAGGCTATGAGGAAAGTGAATTCAATTTAGCCAAAGTGAATGTGTCAAATAAATGTCTATAAAAATAAGATTAACATTGAACAACAGATTTAAAAAGAATAATTATGTGACAGTAAAATAATCTGGCTACTAAAGGCCAATCAGTAATTTTCAAATAGCGCTAACTAGGAGAGGATGTGATTATTATAATTTTTTAATAGGTACATTTGTCATGGAAGTGGCGTGGTTATCATTGTGAAACAGTCATGTAGGCTAACCTTCAGTCTAAAAAACTACCTGACTGGCTCAAAGTTTGTGTCTGAAATAAGGTCGGCCAAAGAAACTATAAAGAAGAAGCTGAAATTTGAAGTCTGCGACAAAACTTATCAGCTAGAAAAAGTTCACTTTGGCTTTTCTATAGAAAGCTGATCTCAGCCTCCTGTTTGCTTGTTCTATGTATGTCTAACCTCTACCACCTCTGATTTAGGCCTTATTTTTGCCACTTATGCCGTCTGATATCTGCTAACACTTTACTCTTATTATAACAAATACCAAGATTTCAGGCTCTAACTGTCATCTCTGAGTCTAGACCAAAAATAAATGAGTTTTTTGAAGCACTGAAAAAAATCCATCTGGAAAAATCCAAACAGAAATTACACTCAAACCGACGTTGGTATTTTGGCTGGAGTTTCTTAAAAATTGCTGAATCCCATGGTAGAATTAACCCCATCTGCAACAATTGATAGCCTGACTTCTGTTGCGATTTTGCTGCCAGTTTCTTAACAAAGGGGCTTAGCCGACCAGCATTCCCTTTAGACAACATAATTACTATTGATGTGCAAAATAAAAAAGGAAACTATCCCTTTAATGTCACCATGTGTGACCCAAAATGGTAGTGGCCCCCTCAGCTGATGGGGGAGTAGAGCAGGGTTTTGTTGGCAATATAACTGAGTGTACCAGCTTAACCCTCGGACAGTCACATCTAGGTCATATTATATGGGAAATATGGCGATTTTGTGTTTTTTACCATTAAAAATAACAGTGACATGGTGCACAATAACTGGCATAAAAAGGGCGTAACATCGAATTTTTTATCTATTATTTTTTTAATGGTCATTTTTAAAAAATGTTAGAAAATGATTATTTTATGAACACTTATCTGCATGTCTGTTTTGGGGACAAAGTAGGCTGGATGGAGCTTCAAATTATCAGGAACCAAGGGTTAAAGTTATTATATTTGTCTTATCTCTTTCCCTACTACACTGGCTTTTAGCAATAAAGACTCATAGCAATATAGACTTTGAATTTCTACTGCTGTCACCTGTAGGTACAGGCATAAAGGACCTCCAGCTTTCTGACTGTGCATTGGCAGTGTTTATAGTCTGACTACCAACTTAAGTTGTACCCTGAGGGGATTTTTTTGCTGCACTTGTTTTAAGGGTTAAAGAAAACTACCTTTTAGTTAGTTCAACACTAAAAGGAAACAAGGTTATGTTTTTGCTGGGTTACTTCCCACACATACCTTCCTACAGAAAGCTGCAGCCTGCAGATGTAAGTTTAATGCTCGACCATCAGATTCCAGACAGAGATCAGAACACTGCTGGTACCAAAACCTGTGGCCCTGTGCCTACGGTCTTTGTACTTTCTGTTTAAATAAAAACACTCGAGCAAGGCTAACACAGTTTCGAATTTTCCATTAGTTTTCATTTTCTTTTCCCTATTATTTTAAAGCCCCACTTACAAATTATAGTAGTATCCACATGGGTGCTTTGTTACGGTATATAGACAGGACCATCAGCAACAAGAACAAACATTTTTTATGGTAGTTTTTAATGCCTAAAATTTGCGTGTAGAGTTGGTGTCAGCCCTGTTTTTAAGTTCCCTCATAAATTTTTCACACTTAGTGATATAATTAATTGTCAAAAGTGAACAGAATGAGTTTTTTCTTCTTCAAGATGACTCTATTTAAGCTTAAAGAGAGTAAGAAGGGCAAAGATTGCTTTGTCCACAAAATTGACACAAATGAAAATTTCCTTACAGGAGCTTTAAATTTGGGTAAAAGTGTTTTTAATGTTGTTGTTTTTTTTGTTTGTTTGTTTCGTTTGAAATCCTTAAAAAAGACATAGTTTTGGGGGAATTTAGCAAGGTAGCATTTCAATCTTGAATCTGACTGCAAGACAGTCAACTTTAATTTTGTAAACAAAAAACACAGTTTCAGGTGTTGCTTTAATTTCTTACCTCATTGAATGGAGATGTTTTTGACATTGTATTTTTGGCTGTTTTATGAATTGTCATCAATCGTTTTAAAGCCTGGGCCTCATCCAGGTCAGGATTTGTCTTTGGAAATCCACATCCCACTGTGACTGTCGCTCAGTAGTTTCAGAGCAGTTCAAAGTATAACTCTTCTGTCCTGGAAAGTTCATCTTTGGCACTGATCATACTCCTGGCAGCTTTTTCCTTTCCCTGGCAAAACAAACTAGTACTATTTAACCATAAATGATAGTAAACAGGCCTGCAAATCAAAATAAACACATGTACATCCACAAACTGACCTTTAAAGAGTTAGCAGTAAATGAGTGACGCAAAGGACTGACATGTAGATTTGGTTAATTATATTACCTTTCACTCAGCCCTTTGTGTCTCAAATACTGATGATTTTGTCCATGAAGTATCTCACTGATACAATTCTGTGCTTTATAAGGGTCTTTTTTACTCTGCAAGTGTCTGCTTGATACTTGTTTGCCATGTTTGACTCTGCTTTGAGGTGACAGTGAGATTGTTTACTTTGTAAACAAAGCTTACAACCTGATACTGACCACAATGATAACATACCCTTATCCCCAAGAAACAGCATCCAAAAGTGTCTTGGGAAGTACAGAGGGCACCGAGTTGGATTCAGCAACTGGCAAAAACAGAGTGTAGGTCAGGATAGGTCAGGAGGAGGCCAGCAGTCGGTCGCAGACGGTCAGCGAGGGGAAACAGAGGACATGCCCTGAAAGATAATGAAGTCACAATTCATATTGGTTTGAACGAGGTTTTGCATTTGTGAGAAAAGTCAAAAAACACCCAGAAAATCAATAGATGGGGAGTACATCATCATACGATTTGCATTGATATATTTACAGAAATTAGCAGTTACTTAAGTATATTCCTAAATGATATAAATATATATATTTAATTTCTGTGATGGTTGGCTAGTTATATTTATGAGCAGCAAGATTAGAGACAAAGCATTTGAGATGAATCGATGATCGAGTCAGGTCACAGTTGATCTTTTTTATTCATCACTGGTTAGTGAGTAAAAAACTATAACAAAGAGAAAAAAGGCACAGATCAACAAGGTGCTGTAAACAGATTCTAATATAAAATACTATTTACGTGTACTACAAATGAAACATTGGTGCTAAGGTAAATGCTAATTGCTAATGCTAAGGCTAAAAGCTAAGCTACAAAGCTGAATTGAGCTGAGTGAGAGTTTTAGCTACATGCTAAGCTAAACTTAGATACTGGCTAACCAAAACTTACACTGCAATAAGCAAATCAGATCAAGTGCGGGCTACATGCTAGGCTAAGCACCAGGATAAACTTAAACGAAACACTAAACAGGTAAGTAATAAAAAAACATGTTCTAACACCATATTCGGTTAAACAAACGAGGACCGGCCACCTTGAAATCACACAAGACAAAACTCACATCGGTTGCTTTCAAAAGCGACACCAGTCAGTTTGCTGTCAGGCTTCCTCAGGAGCTGGTACATGTGCGAACTGCTGAAGACAGAGCAAGAACCTCCAACTTCCTGGTCATTTTATAGAGTTCCCACTTCCTGGTTTTCCTTCAATGGTTGTACTTCCTCTGTTTGATTTTTGCTGGCCAACAGGTGGAGCCATAGCTACTTAGGCCAGAACAATCGGGTAAAAATCCCAGGAGTTATGATTAATTTAGTCGGGCATACCTACTTTCCTTAACAGAATTAAATGTAGTGGGGGTGCATGGGCGACCCATCCAGGATGGCGGCTGCGCTGATACGTCAGCTCCAACAGGCAGCGTCAGTCTATGAGGCGTCTACGTATATTATGTTCTGCTATCGTAGGATGATTTGAAACTCAAGTAAACTTGCATAAATAAATAAATGTGTATAAATCGAAAATGAAAGACTTTGAAGCTGATTCTATGTTGTTGCTTTTGGCTTATCTGGTAGCAAATCTCGGGGCGGCACAGCGGTGTAGTGGTTAGCACTGTCGCCGCACAGCAAGAAGGTCCTGGGTTCGAATCCGGCTCAGGATGTTTCTGTGTGGAGTTCGCATGTTCTCCCTGTGTCTGCGTGGGTTTACTCCAGGTACTCCGGTTTCCTCCCTCACCCCAAAAACATGGAGAAGTGGAGTTAGGTTAATTGGACACTTTCAAATTGTTCATAGGTGTGAATGCGAGTGTGGATGGTTGTTCGTAGTTCGTAGTTGTTCGTGGTAGGCGGCAAAAAATGAATGAATGAATGGTAGCAAAAATCACTCTTAGTTAGTTTTTGTTTTTATTACAAATTTTCATGCCTGCAAAATGTACTGTTGTCATCCACGGGCTTGTGCATGCAGCTTTGTGTTTTTGTTTTGCTGTTGCCTTTGCTGGTTCTCGCTTGAAAACAAGATTAGATTAATCTTAGTAGGGTCAATCTGATTAAATAACTGAAAAAATAACATTTTTATGACATTTTACACAAATGTTTTGTATTATATTGCATCGTTTTATATCATATCATATTGTATTGTATTATATTATTAGCGTGAAGTAGAACAGTTAGGCTGTCAAACCAAAACAAAGAACTGAAAGAGGCTAAAAAGATCTGTAGATAAGTCGTTTTAAAAGTTGTTTATAGTCTTAATTTACCGAACAATCAACTTTACATACCTGCAGTCAACATTAGTCCATGTAAGTAAATCACATATGCTGAGATGTTAAAATAGAACTGTGTATTATAACTCTGGAATAGCAAGTCCGTCTATACATAAAATTGAAATGAGATGCCATGTCAAACCATAATGAATAGTTTGAATTCAAAAGCTGGATGCACCTTAAAACTAATCAGAGAGCAAGGGCAGACTGGTAGGGGGGTAAAAAAAATCAGTCACACTTTCTATGCATGCCTTTGCTATATATTAAGAAGTGTAGTCTTAATAACATAGAGGCTATAAATAGGAAAATGTGTAAATTGCATCCCAAGCTATCACAAACACACACACACACACACACGCACACACACACACACAACACAGACATGTGCGTTTTAATTGTTCCTCCGTTTGAAGTAACTCAAAGTGAATATGTGATTTGTCAATTGATTCCTTTTCTCCCAGGCTATGAATAAAATGCTTTAATTATTGATGTGCTGACGTCAGATGTCCGCTTGAATGTTGTATGCAGAGCAACCTCTACTGCATGCTACTTCCCTCCACCCGGCTCTCAACCCCAGCAGCACTGCAACACCACCACCACCACCACTGCCAGCAGACACCCTCATGCTCCCCCTAGCTGAGCACACCCTACCCACCACCAATACTACTTCAGAGTGTTTGAAGCAGCCTGCAGACAGGCATCAACCAATTTCGAAAAAGGTGAATACACAAATAAAGGCTGTTACCTCTGTATCTGCCAACTCTCTCCTCCGTCTCCAACAGTCCTCCTTGTCAAAGCGGGTGTGAAACTTGGTATGTTGGGTGTTACAGACAGTTCTGAAAAGTTAGAGTGAAAGTTATTGGTTGACACTAAGTTTTCTAGTGTCATTTTGACAAGTCAGAGTTTGACAGTGGTTGATTTTTGTTCCTATATTTGAATGTCTTGCCCGACTCAGTTTGGGCCTTTCTTGCAGCAAAAGTGCTTTAACTTGTCTTTTTCAATTAAAAGTGCTGTGGTTCAGGTGTTTTTAAAGTTTTGCTCTGTCGTCTAACTGGATGTGATTGAAGAGTGGTATAAGTATAGCCGTAGTATTGTTCTTCTGATCCTGATCAAGTGAAAGCTAAACTTATTAAATCTAAAAAGTTTGTTCCATATTAACACTTAAGTTATTTTATACAATTGATGGATAAAATTCAGTTATTTTACACTATCAATGAACTGGTTGGATTTTTCTTGATAAATCCTCAAATTTTCTATTAAACACCAGAAAAAGTTGACAAAAGTAACTTGACCTGATCAAGCACCATTGTAATGAAGATTATTCGATGGAAACGTCAAAGTTAAAGCTTCTGGGACATGTATGAAATAGACTAATATACTTTTTACGATGTACAAAAACAAACAAGACCATCAGTGACAAGATGGTCAATTTATAGATAGTATTTTCTAATGCCTGAAATTGGTGCAGGGAGGTAGGTAGCTCCTTTTTTACATTTTTCACATACACAAAAATGATAAATTTAACTGTCAAAAGTCATCAGGATGATATTTTTTGTCATTAGACTCTACTTAAGCATGTAGCAGACAAGATTGGCAAAGACTATTTTGTCCACAGGGGGCGCCAAATTGAGACAAATCAGGATTTAGTCAAATAACCTCAAAATTATTGTCGTAATGCTTCAGATTTGTATAGAAGTGGACTTGTGTTTCACAAGGTTGATGCTGTTATCTCCTTTAGATGCAACCACATGTTTCTTTTGAAGTTGCACAAAGAAGACCCCAATAGCAGGCATGAATGTATTAGCCTTTAAGATGTTATTGATAGGGGTAATATAAGTCAGTAATTGTTATGCTTAAGATCTATTAACACATTTAATGATAAAGGTTTACGGGGGACTTTCTGTGTGAGTTGTTCCTCAAAAATATTTGACGTGCAGTTCTGCTTGTGATGGATGAATCATCACAGCTCAGATCCTCCAGCCCCGATCCATCACTAACAGTAAATCCTGCATTAATGAGCTCCTTATCAGCATAAACCTACACAGCGATACAGGGCATTTGCTCTCTTAACCTGTACACAGTTTGGACTGAAAGATATAAGAGGATGTTTGTCTGTTGCACAGTTCTTTGTCTAACTCGAGCAAAGGTGTGACTCATATTGCTCCCACCAACAAACTGTGCTATTGTTTGTACATTATCTATTCGTAAACTCTTATTGTCAAGATGTCGACCATCTGAAACAATCTTTTCTCACCTACCACCTAATAGAACCTTCGGACTCTTTTTGAATGCGACAGCTGCTTTTTAAAGCTTCCATGTCAGACTGCAGGAAGCTTTTATCATTATGATATAAATCATTTCATGCATGATAAGTACCCACCCAAAGTGTGGAGAGAGACAAAGACAGACAGGCATAGCTAGTGCTGGCGTATGCCATGGATGTGAAGAGATCCTCTTGAGGAGGCGGAGGGATGGAGGGAGGCAGAGGCACATTGAAGCAGATGCAGAGAAATGTGAGAGGGTGTCAGTGAGACTGGTGATGACGCGCTCATGGCTGCGGAGAGCTGGCGAGGCCGCGGCCCTGGCTCTGACTCACCTCATCCCCACGGGGCCTCCTGGTTGACGTCACTCAGCGTTCGCTGTGGCATTTCTCTGCTTCAACTTCTTTGTGAGCAGCAGCCACACTTGAGCCTTTCTCTCATCTGAGAGACTCTGTGCATTTGTCTGTGTGTACAGTATCTATCTATCTATCTATCTATCTATCTATCTATCTATCTATCTATCTATCTATCTATCTATCTATCTATCTATCTATCTATTTATCCATCCATCCATCCATCCATCCATCCATCCGACTACACTGCCACACTTTTGTACATTACGCAGTTTTTTATCCACCTTGTCCTGCAAAGGTGTGACTCACCACACGGACAATAGACAGAGTAACCCTGTGTACATTATCAATACAATGTCATAATGTAAGGACTAATTTATTCCCTCAAGTGCCTCCAAACAAATCTCGTCACACTTCTTGTGTTCTCATTCTTTTTCTGGCATTTACTTCCACACAAGCAAACACTGATAAGAGCACTAATGAATTCAAAAGGCGGCCCACTGGTAAAACATATAAATAAAAAATTGTATTTTATTAGTGCAGATAACTGTATGTGCTGTGCAGCACACATTTGTATCTATAATGGTGTGAAAAATAGAGTAGTTATCGCTCAGTACCTTCACCTTGTGTACTCACCACTGCAGAGCAGAACATACTTTAAAAATACAAATATGCATGCGCAAAGAGAAACATATAACTCAAGGATTTCTGCCATGACCTAAAAATTGATATTCAGATGCAAGGCTCCCTGTGCTTTAATCCATGCAAACTGACAGAGGAAGTAACAAAAAAAAAACACGTACAGGTTCATGCAAAAACTTTGGTTGCAGATAGGGCACATCTTTCTCCGTTCTACTCAAACCTCTTGGATGCATAAGAAATTCTGTTGGTAGGTGAAAGTTCACAATGATCCAGAAAGTTATCACTGTGTGTGTTTTTAATTTTTATTTACAGTAACTAAAAGGTCATATAGTTGATTTGGACATGCAAAAAGGCTGGAGAGAGTGTTTTAGTCAAACACTAAACTTTGAGTTAGAGTCAAGCCATGAGTCGTCAGTCCTGGTCACTGAAGACAAGGCAAGTCAAGTCCCCGTGACTGAGTCAAGTCCTTCTTACAGTTTTCCTCAGTCGCTCTGGTGCATTTCTCAGATCAGAATGAAAGTTCTCATAATTATCAGTTCAACCTCCACAACATCATCGTAGCAGTTTCTCATTCCTCTGAACAAATTGTAAATGCTCTCGGACATGTGTCAGTCACTTTTATAAAGTTCATTAACAATTTATTTTGATACAATTTTAACAATTTTACAATTACAATTTTTTTAATTTTTTTATACAATTCATAACATTATCATTTGCTTATGTCATGTCAGTCAAAATGAACTATTCTTATGAATGCTGAATAGTCATTCCCTATAAAACTAACAGTCCTCACTTCATTGCTTGAGTCATTACATACAAAATTGTTGAACTAGCCGTCAAAATCTGCAGTTTGTATTAATTGTTGTAAGAAATGCACCAAGTGTTGTGCAAATGTTAATAGTGATGTGACAAATGCACCAAAGCGACTGACAAAAACTGTATTGGCATCATTTCGAGAGGAGAGATGTTTCACTCCGAGTCACTTTACCAACTTTAACTGTGTGAATGCTGAATCTGAACCAAACAAACATTTTGGTTTGAGCCCTTTTAGCCGTCAACAATACAGTTAGCTTGTTAACGGTATTTTTATCAGCATCTTAGGCCTACTTGTCTGGATGCATCACAGGCAGATGTCTGTTTTAGTTTGAGCCTGTCCCTGTCTCCTCCTCTGTGGTGCTGATATACGGTATATTAGATATGATATAGGTGAATATTTTAGAAGGTTTCACTCATGTCTGGTGTTGCTGGTTTCCTTGTGTGCATTTAGTTTCTCTGTTGTCTTCCTTCTCTGTCCATTCATAGCTTCTCACCCTGCACCTATCTTCAATGCTCTTTGACAGCAGGCTATGATCTTCAGAGTTTTTTTTTTCCCTAGACATTTAAAGTAAGCTCTTCTGTTTGCTTTATGATCTTATCTTTCAATAAATCTTCCATCACAACCTTACTTAAATTGTGACGGACTCCTCTCCATCATTCAGGTCTTAATGCAGTCAGCACTTGAGTGCGAGTCCAGGTATGAGTCATCAGGGCCTCGGGAGAATTTGGATTACAGGTCCTGAAAATCTGTACTCAAATTGGACCCCACTCTGAGTCCTACACATAAGTACTACCACACCGGCGTGAAGAAGTTAACATTTAAATCAGAAAAGATTCAAGTTGAAATATGGTTTTGAACAATATTTTGTACACGTGAAGGTGCACCTGAAAGCCAACAGGGCTTTTGCCTGTGTTTATAACTTGACAAGAAACAAATAAACAAAAGCTTTTTTTCCAAGATGATTGATCTCATTTTCTACTTTTCTTTGTAAACCCCAGAGAAAAAAGTTTTTTTTTTTATTTGACAACAAAAAAAGAAATCAGACTCATTTCTGTAATTTACATTTTGTTATATCTGTTTCTACTTTATAAAAAAAAAATACAGGTTGAAAATGTTTTGCTAAAGCTGTATTTATGGCTTGGAGGGTTTCTTTCTGTTGTTTATTCAGTTATTTTTTGTTTGAACCTGTAAAATACAGATTTTAAAAAAAGATTTATTTATTTTTTATAGTAAATCATCAATGTCATGATTTGTGTCCATGCAGCTCAAACTGTCTTGTGAAAAATATAGTTTTCCAGTTTGAGAAAAATTCCAAAATAAATTTGCATAAGAAACCAAAATGAGTGTTTTTGTCTAGACACGATCACGACACCAAATCTGAAATAAATCCCAGAGAAAACAGTTTCACATGGATCACAGTGAAAAACTGTTTGTTTCTGTTGTTTCATTTAAGTGCTTAAGTTAGTTTGGTTTTTCATACAACCAGGTAAATATCCGTTAACATGCCTGGCCTGCCATACAGACAGTGCCGTGAGCTCTCATCCTCTGCTGCCCAGAAGCCACCGCCCTGAGCATAACTGACCCAGAGGAGGACGCACCACTTCCTGCCAAGCCAGTGATAGAGAGGGGGTTAGAGAGGAATCCAGCACTACTCTGGCCCATGAGACAAGCAGAGGAAGACACACAACACAGTGTTACTCCTAAAATGAGCATCTACCTTTAAACCTGAAAGTATATGTTACTTCCGCGCCTTAAAGAATAGCCGCCACACCCCAACATAAGGCACTGAAAGTTACTTATTTCTTGGTTTTTATGACTTTTAAGCTTTATTTCTCATGTTTTCAGTGTTTTTTAGTTTATCTTTTAAGTGAATATTTGCCTTTCTATCTTGATCTATAGACAAAGTGGGTATTGTTGGTGGGAAAGGGGGGTTAAAGCAGAGATACAATTGGCCAAAAAAGAAAAAAAACAGCTGTTATACATCAAGATCCTTGAATGAAATTTGGTTATGAAAAAGCTATTGCCCACTCGTTGTGTAAATGAGAACTATTGACTGTATAGAGAATAGATAACCTCATTTTGGTCCTCTGTGAGAAATCAAGCCACAAGCCTGCACAGCCAAGGGGGGCAGATATATTGCTCTGGTGCAATATGTCTGTTACACACCTGCAACACTCATCATTCCCCATTAACTCACAGTTAAAACATCCAAGATCTCTTCGGTTCGCACAGTAAGATTTTTGTGTTGGTTCCACAGAGAAGATTATGGTTCTTGTGTTCGTGATTCTTATATTTCCTTCCACTTTTCTTTCTACTGTAAAAATCTGGTAGAAAACGCTGCAGGATCCTGAATTTATCAATATAACTTTTAATCATGATGTCAAATTAAAACTAAAATTAGAAATATGAGCAATTGAACCTTCATCAACATAAGGAAACTAACAAGTTAGATATGACATTCCTTTACTTCTTTCTGCTGAGGATAACATAAAATGATTTACAATAAGATATGATAAGATAAAATAAGATACGCAAAGACAAGATAAGATACGATACGAACCTGTAAGATAAGATAAGAGAAGACAGAAAAGATAAGATACGATTCGATAGATTCGATACGACACGATAAGATAACATAAGATGCGATACGACACGATAAGATACGATACAATTCAATATTAACTGATAAGATATAAATGATTCAATACGATACGATAAGATAGGTTAAGAGAAGATAGATAAGATAAGATACTATAGGTTACGATTCGATATGATAAGTTACAATACAAACTCATACGATATGATAGATTACGATAGATTCGATACGATACAATTGAATACGATAAGATAAGGTAAGATACGATTAGACACGTTACAATACGATAAGATAGATAAGATAAGATAGGATACGATAAGAAGAACTTTATTGATCCCCAAGGAGAAATTTCGATTCAGAGTTTAACATAGAGGGGGCAAAATAAATTTGACTCTGTAAACTGTGAGTCCGTCAATAGAGACATTTCATCCATCACAGTTAATCTGTTGATTGTGCTTAAATTTAAAAGAAGATGACACTAACATCAACATGTAGAGCCGAGCTACAGTACCTGTTGAAAGTCTGTTCCCTAATCTGCTGTAACGGAGAAGGTCCCTAAAACCAAGTCCAGTAAAAGACTGAATCCAAAATATGTGACTGAGCAAGAATGAGCATCTTTACATCCACAAGGGGCGTGGAAATGAAAAATTACCATAAGTGTGCATGTAAACGCAGGTAGAGCTGGCTGGATCCAAGTGCCTAACATAAAAATGTTTACATTCAATCAGAAAACCTTTTGTGGATAATTAGTGAGCTGTTTGTCAGCAGGTGGATGTGAGTAAGTCAGTTATGACAGACAGATACACAAGGTCACACCTGCGAAAATCTAAACAAAAGCAGCAGACGTCGTGAAGAGTCCTGGAGAAGCTTTGATTTTATTCAAAGATGAGTGGCGGCTTTTTCAACCTCAGCTTAAGTCAAGCCCCGGGCTAAATCAAATAAATAATGCACAGCTGTAGTCCAGACATGACAACACAAAAGCAGAAATCATTATCCGTCTTTCAAAAACTAAAGCAAGATTCATCATTTCTTCTCTCATATGGAAAAATGTTGAACCTTTAGCCATGAATGCTGCACATAAATTGAATTCACTCAGCCCTTAAGGTAAGACATTAAAATTATATCACAGCATATCAACTAGTTTTCTTTAGAGGAATAACAACCAGTCACCAATAAATGGAATACATTTGTACTTGGAGCACGAGCCCAGTCGAATAACTGATGTCTGCATTTCTTTCTATTGTTTTTATTCAACTGCTGTTTTAAATTTGTTGTTATCATCCCTTTAGTATAACAATTAAATATCAGTTCAAAGCTATTTTTGGAATTAAGTCATTGGTCATACCTGACAAAGTTACCAAATCTCGATTCTTGCAGGGAAATGGTTTCTTCCCTGCTGCTATTTGACATGTTTTGTTATCTGACTTGCAAGTTCTGATAGTTTTTGGAAGCCACTGTTGTTTACCTTAGCAGTCAGCCATGACACAGCTTCAATGGCTGCAGTCCAATCCCTGCAGGACAAACTGTTTTGAACAAAACAGGATTCGTACCCTTGCAGAGCATGGGAGGTTCTGTCTGCTGCTATCTTAAATGTTTGGTTTAACAGCGCTTAAGTGTCTTTTACATAAATGATTTAATTTTTTTTTCAATCCAAACCCATCAGCTATCATTTCATGGTGATATATCTCTCCGGGAACATTGGCCAGCCATCATTCGGCTTTCCATTGAAGTCAGTGGTTAGTGTTAAATGACCTCCAGCCAAGGTTTCTTTTTCAGTGGGTTGTGTTGTTCATAGTCCAATTAGCATTTGAGAATCAAGCTTTTGTTCGGATCAAATGAAGAGCAAATTTAACCTTCCACAAAATTCTGCAAAATAAAAAAGTCTGCAAAATAAAAGCTGTCATTTATGGCCTAATGCAACACCCCGTCATCTGTTTTTGGTGAGTTTCAGTTTTACTGTGAACAGTTAGTTAAAGGTGGGGTAGGCAGGATCTGAGGAAGTGCCGGTTTTTGGGAGGAATCTTGAATGTAAACTCTAACCCTCCCAACCAGTTTTCCCCTCAGCTCCTCCTCCCCCCTCAGTCTCTGCTCCAGCAAGCCCCGCCCACAAACAGACGCTCCTGCTCGCTCATATCGTTTCAATTAAATTCAGATATAATGCAGATAAATACTTAAGCTAATTGTAAATGGGGCCCAGTCAACGTGAAACACTTCTGTTACAGACGGTTGGCTTACTTTGTTAAAGCGGTTTACTTGTCAAGCAGAAAGGTTACAGGGTCTGCAAGATCCCGAAGCGTCCCCCATCGACCCGGCTTTTTAGCTCTTGTCCGGTCTACCTCCTTTTTAAGCGTCCGTTATTCCGCCAGAGTCTCTGGTATTCACTTCGTTTTCTTGCTTGTGTCGGCAGTCGTGGCCAGAAAATTTTCTGTACTTTCTGGTTGGTTTCTACTATCTGATATTGTAGTACGCTAACTTTGTTTGGGCTCGTGAACGTTATTCATGGAGCGTGCCTCACAACACGAGGGAGCAGTGTCTGCCTCACAACCAATCAGGATGGGGGAGGCGGGGAACGGCTTTGTTTACAGTCAGAAAGAGCGGGCCGCTCAAAAAATTTAAAATGTTGACTACACAGACATAACAAAACACAGCGATATCATTATATAACCAGATGTCATCAATAGCTAATAGCTATTGAAGCTTTTTTGTATATACACCACAAAAAAAAATTCGTTTTTAATGGATTCCTGCCTACCCCACCTTTAAATAGAGGCTTCACTCTGGCTTCCTTTTAAAGTATAACTCTGACAAATAAACAGATTCTCTCTTAATTTGCAAAGAGTTCACGGAGATACCCATTTAAAGAGAAAATAAATCACTGCTAGATTACAGCTGCTCAGAGCCTAGATGTCATTAATGTCATATTTTGCTTGATTTTTCCTGATACAAAACTGATCAATAACATTCATTCAAAGATGTAAACCATCTTATGCTGCAGTCCAGACCCCACATTTTTATGCAGAATCTTATAATGATTAATATTTGTGCAACACAAGACAGAGAAAATTAACCCATCTAAGGAAATATAGCTCCGGTACTGGATAGTAATTCATGAAGAGGAACTTGAGTTGAATTGTTTTGTCATCCTCTATTTTCAAGGTTGAGAAGGATGACGTTAAATAAACTTTGAAGCCTAAGCTGATGAATAACTCATAACATCTGACATTTCTTCAGAGCAGCTGCTAAGGCGAGAGCCTGAACAAGGAAATGAATCCAAAATTATAGCTTTTACAGAACATCTTACAAAACTGTAAGTAGCAAAGCCAAGCTATAACCAAAAGTGACAGAATACATCAAAGTCTCTGCTTTACCTTGAGTTAACAAGGTCCTGTGTTTACACCCCTACGGTGAAATCTAAAAGCCAGCCAGCCTCACACTGACAATGAAGCAAAACCGGGAAGGTATTCATTAAAGACTGTGGGAGGGTGTCTTGTGTTATAGAGTAATTTACACTTGCACAAATTCATTTTAACCCCTGGGTGACTTTTCAAAGAGTGACCTCTGTTTCCCTGTCATTGTGGAGAAGAGTGCTTCTGTAAGAGCCAAATGGACGACTGCTGGGAATATTGCAGGCTTGTACCCAGACAGGCAATTTTCCCTACTGTGGGATAATGGCAATGAGCGTGTGTATGTGTGTATGTTTGTGCATGCGTGTGTGTGTACAGGGGTAAGATTTAGTCATACTGTACACCGAGTTGGAGGCTGGTGATTTTATTCTGCTGCCACCATCCAATATATCGCCTCATTGGTGTTGATTACAGGCAGCTCCTGGTTTCTAGGTTTTGCCATCTCACCTCCTACAACCTGATTCAAAGAAGTGTTTTTTTTTTTCCTCCCTCCAGTGTAATTTTATCTCTCCCTCTCTTATTTTGTTATTTTACCACCACATACGACAAATGGTAGTGATTTTCCTGGTACAGCATTCTTCATTTCCTGCTTTGAAATGAAACACGTTTTGATGACACAGCTTGACCCACAGATCATAAACCTTCATTTTCAAAGGAGACGCTTCAGGAAGAACATCATGGTGACATTTTGCACTCAAGTTTTTACCCTTGTTTCCAGCTTTTTTTTGTGTGAAAGGTTTACGATATGTAAGGGAACAAAAGGGGTGTGAAAAAAATCGAGATTGATCAAATGTAGGGGATGATATTGAATCATTTTAGGGACGCTTTTACTGAGTTTCACTGTAACATGTAAGAAAAATCCCATTTATATACAAGAAGCCCTTTTATCTTTTAACTTATTCATATTTTAGGGCATCAAATTATGAGCTGCATCTTGATACAGATTCAAATCTCTTCCTTTTGCATTCAAACCTGGTATCACTAAGCAACTGGAAGTCTTAACCTCCGAATGAGGAGCTGATTCCGCCAAATAAGGTCATGTGACATGGTGTGGGATACCTTTGAGAGGCTCCTACCACTTTGCCCTCGCAGTCATGTGATCAACTATGACAGACTTTTGGTCGGCAATAAAGGAAGAGTGTAATTAAGTCCCGCCCACACAGGGAGAGGAATTAATTAATCACTCTCTCCACTGACTTTGTTTCAGCTCAAGTTACCGTCTCATCAGTTCTGTGCTACCAAGATTTTTAAGAGTCAAGAATTAAGGTTTGTATCGGTGATTTATTGATATGTCTTTACTGTCTGACAAAGTCTAATGCAGTCTTGTACATGAGTATCTAAAAGGAATAATTTTACCTGTTCGTGGAGGTTAAAATAAGAGTTCAGTTACTATTTCATATGTTCACCTGTACAAAACAATTGAGGCATAATTGCAATAACTGAACTGACACTCAGATTGCAAACAAAACCTCACATCTAAGGCCTGGTACACACATAGCCGGGTGTTTTAGATGAAGATATTTTTGTAATTAAGTCATTCGTCATTGAATATAGACGAATATCCAAACCCCTCCATTTAAAAATAAAGTCACGTACACACATCAATGTTTTTAAATAAAATCCCATCCAGACAAAACCACACAAATGTGCTGTTGACCGGGGTTATTAGCATGCCAGACCTGGAGTTGATGGTATTTGCTAAAAAGTCTATCCAATCAGAGCGCCATGTAGATTGTTCGTGTGGACAGACAAAGAAATGAAATAGCTTTTAAGCATCATTTTTGAGTATAAAGTCAACAAGACACAAGAAAGGTGGAGGAAGGGTTGTTTGGTGTTGAATAACCGACTGCAAAGCACTCACAAAAATATATATCTGTGCTGTCCACTGCCTGACATAAACAAAGGCGCATAGTCTATGACATTTATCTATTAGTCGTCACGGACAATAACGTTTGGGAATTCAAAACTCTGGTTATTTCTGTCTACATGCAAATGCAAAACTGGAGTTTTCCAAAATCTTCACTTTGGCCGGACTTGTCCAAAAACACTTTTTAATGACGTAATCCTGCGGTTTCATGTGGACAGCAGGCCAAAACATATAAAAATATATATTTGTTTTAGCAAATACCGAGTGGACAAAGCTTATGTCTATAAAACACAACCAACTATCTACTCAAAATCCTCTGTATACTGATAATTTACAATTTGTATTACTCAAATTTTTATTACCTAGATACAATGCACATACTGATTGTGTGCTATCATCACTATATGCATTACATTATAAACCATACCTTTATAAGGCATTATTATCACTGCTTATTACACCTAAAGAACACTGCTATAATGTGTTATAAATGCTCATACTTAAGGGTTGTTATAAAGCCTTACAGATGCATTTATAAGGCTTTATAAACATGTTTATGATACATAATAAGAGGTGGGTTCATATAAAGTGTCATTCTTAAATAAACTAATTTGTAATATTTTAGGGCCAAGATACTAGAAGCAAGTAGTGCAGCGTCATTGACCTGAGATTAGTGACATTAAAGCTCCAGTGAGGAATTTTTTTTCTTTATCCAATCTGGAAAAAAAAGACATCTCTTCGATCTCAAGTTATCCTGCTTTCTTTCAACAGTCAAATATGTCTCTTCTCATGCATATCTACTGACTAAAATCATCACATCTGTCACCTACCCCCTTAGCTGCAGTTACAGACATTTCAAAATACTCTATAGAAATGTTCTGTGTCCTCACAGGAGCTTTAATTTGTAGAACATAGTAAACTTTTATAAAAAGATGAGGTAGAAAGCAAAGGGCAAAGGGTGGGAATCGAACCCTGATTTTTTTTCCTCATAGCATTCAGGCCTACTACTCCAGTGTCCTCAAGGATTGCTGCTGTGAAGCTTGTTATGGAGCCAGAGAGGAATAAACAGGTGTCAGAATGCAATAGGCTGTTACAGGGGGCGAGAGAGTGGGTGCTGTGTCTCCTTCGACTCGAGGTTGTGGAGTAAGTGAGCTGACATCAGGTCACCCTGCAAGAGGAGCTCAGAAAATAACGAAGAGGCCGTGATCGGCTTTAACTCCAGGATACACCAAACACTTCCGATTTACTTTTGGCAGCTTAAAGGTTATGAATGTGTTGAAACTCTAAAGAGGCTTGGACATGCAATTAATGATTTCAGTGTTGCATTTTAATCCCTATGAATTTAGTTTTAAATTCAAAGTCAGCAAAAAGCAGTCGCTGCCCCTAACTGTGCGCCTACACTATAATCCAACATGGCTGCCTTCTCGCACAGTTGGATCTTCTTCCCACGAGACCCTCAGGCCTTACGTCAATCACAGAAATTATTTAAATAGCTTTGACCTCAGAGTTTTCGGTGAGTGATCTTTTTGCAGCAGGTGGAGCGTAGGGAAAAGGGCAGGGAGTGCGAGTAGTAAGGAGGGAGTGAAGATGTGGGTGAAGTGAGGTCTGCATGCGTGTGTGAAATCATGAAACTCTCTTCAGTCTGTCAGAGGGGGAGCTGCTGCCATATCCACGACGCAATACCCAAAGACCTAAAAGTCAAAGTCCCTACCTCTCTCTGCCAGACTTTATTAAATCTCAGTTATTCAGTTGTTTTATTCATCAGTTTGAGGTTTTTCACCATTGAGGGTTATTTCACTTACAGTATAAGGCAAAATATTTGTAATACATTTGACAATACAGTGATCACAGTCTCTAACGTGGACATTTTTCCTCTTTTGGGTGTTTTCCTGCATCATGTAAGTCAATCATGTGAGGTTTGGTGCCGTTTTTTTCCAGAGCCCTATTGCACCCCATTGCTCTGCACATATTAGGATTTTACCTTTTTTTTTTTTACTCATTATCAGAGACATTTTCAGTTATTGGAAAGGGTTAGTCTTGGTTGCAATTGATTCACAACTTTCATGACAAATGATCGTTAAATTATCAGATTATTTACATTTTATTTTTCAGTGGTTTCTCCTGCTAAATATTAGAGAACGTCTCCATCATCTTGAAATACTTGTTATATATATCTACTATTTCTTCGGAGTCCATGAAGGTCATTGTCTCTCTATGTAATAGCATATACTGCACACAAAAAGCTGAAAATGGTAGTTTGTATCCGGGCTGGGCGCTAAACCAAAAATTTACCGATACTGAAATTTACGACAATAACTAACGTCATTATGCCCATTTCGGTATATTCGGTGTCAAAAACAAATAAATAAAAGTTGGTTTTGGATGTTTGTAGGTAGGCTACGATCTCATGTCCCTGCCCTACGTCAGAGACGTGACTCCACCCAATCCAGTCTGTAACAAAGAGGGAAAGACAGGTGAGGAGATGGAGGACGGTTCAAAAGTTGTAGTGGCTGAAGTGGACGAAGTTAATGTGGGAGGGGGTGAGCAGCTTGTGAGGTAGTTATCCTCTATTTATTGTTATCGAGGTGAACTGCTTAATATATCGTGATATTGATTTGAGGCCATATCGCCCAGCCCTTGTTTGTATATCATAAATAAAAGTCTTTAGATATAAAATATTGGTAAGATCTACTTCAGATCTACTTTATTTCTGCTGACATGTTTTAGTTTCGCCTCCAGATCATTACAATTCCTGCAGTAGTGCAGATTTAAGCTATCCACCTTTCTATAAAATGGAAGAACTCATCATTTCTTTGTAGTTCCCCAGCAGAATTTTCATGAAGAACGACACATTTCCCCCAAAACTACAGTGGATCAAAATAAAAATCCATTTCATTTGATATGAAATCCACAATAGTGACAAACCCTTTTAATCTCCAACATTGTTTATGGTTTAAACAGTTAAAAATAGTAACAAATCTGTACCTGAAATCAGCTTAATGTGTCTTATTTTCTGTGATGGATTCTTCGGCTTTTTAAAACTCCTTTTTGATATGTATTTCATTTTATTAAAAGTTACTATGAAATCTGTTTTATCCCATGACTCATCCTCCTCCTCCTCCTCACCTGGTGTTGCCTACTCTTACTTCAAGTTTACTGCACAAACTTTTAATTGTGAGATGAAACTGTTGATGAGTGCCTGAAACTTACACCAACAAACTAATCTAATGTAGCACGCAGGCTTCTTCTCAAGTTGTGTGGTGGTGTTTTATTTTCATATCTATTTGTTCATACCCAGACTGGTTCTTTGTGTCTCACAAAACTTTTACAAAAAACAAAACAAACCCTGAATAACAGAGTTATGATAATATTTGCTTCTGCAGGTGTTGTGTTTTCACGTTTGACGGATTATTAGGTCTCTTGATAATAATCTGTTGGTGCATTTAGAGTTACCTGATGTGTTTGAACCTGAAGATACTATAAGACCGTTGAATTCCCTGCTATAGTTTCTTTTAGCTCATGCAGGATGAGTTTGTGACTATCCTGTTAAGTCAAAAACAGGAAAAAAGCAAGATTTATTGTCACATTAAAAAAACAAACAAATATTCAAACAATTAAATTCATGACAAGTTTGGTTTAGGTCTTCAAACAACTGAAATCATCTTATGTCTTACCTGGTTTTAGATGGCACAGCTGATGTAAAGCCAACTCTGGGACACTGCGTCTCTCTGTGAGTAAGAACCTCACATTTGTATGTCAAGTACAGCACTTAAAAACTGCACTTAGTCACATATACCTCACTGCATGCATTTTAAGACTGACTGGGTCTGCATTTTTGACTGACATTTCAAAGAATCAGGCTGGACATTAAAAGCCCAAAGATGCGACAGTTGTCTGACAAACCAGGATGAAAGGTTCACATCAGGTCACAAAAAAAAAAAAAAAATCCCTCACTGGTAAAATAGTCTTCCTAACGATTACATTTGCTGTTTGCTGTACACTAATCCCTTCAGTGATGATGGAAAACTCAAAGAAGTTATTGTGGATGGGGATTACCAGTGCTTTTCTGTCTGAGCCGTTAAAATATACTTTAGAATATGGGAAACACTTTATAATAACCATAACTTATAAATGGTCTATATGCCATTTATAAATTGTAAGCAGATAGATTACTAATGTTTGATCATGATTTATAAATAGCATATAGACCATTTTACAATTTTAAAAACCTAACCCTAACTTTACAACAACCATCTAAGTAATGTTTATAGGTGGTTTAAAAAACAAATGTTAAACATTTACAAAGTGCTACTGAGACACATTTTAATCTTAACGTTTTACAACCAATATTGAAACCCTGTATAATCCTTTGATAAATAGTCCATTAATAATTAATGAAAATTTAATTAATCATATTTCATTGCTTGTTAATGGTAAATAAACTATTAAATTACATTAATAAACTTTCTATTTGCCATTTATAATTGGTCTTTATGCTGTTTTTAAATGATGATTAAACATCATTAAACTATCTTTTTATCATTTTTAAACTATGGTTATTGTAAAGTGTTACCAGAGGATGTAATCCAAATAAATGTTAGTTCAAACCTAAACAAAAAGCCAACATATGTGAGAAACAGCCGCAAAAGCAGCATGCATCTAATGATCCACAGGTGTTCATGATTTCACCGTCATGTCTTCAGATGAAATTCAACAGCTGGAGTTCGTAGTGAAGCACCAGGTAGACAATTTATGGACTGATCAGACAATAACAGGGCTATCTACAGCGTATTTACTGTCACCTAATGTTACTGTTTCCATGGCGATTGAAAATTTGCAGTGATTGGCGACAGTTTTTTAACCGCTGATACTCTCCTGCGTCATTTTTTTGTTTTAATAAAACTCAGCTGCATTGACTAAACAACAGGAAGACAACTTAACACACAGTACCCATCTCAAGGGGCTCTTGATAGTGCCGTCATGACGTGCACAAGTGCTGTGTGTCGACTGTGTGAGATGTCGCTGTCAGCTTTATTGTTTCTGCACAATTTCCCCTCAAAATAAGGCCATAAACTATCTCTTATCACAATATCCTGGCTTTGTGAGAGTCATAATGATCAATTGTTTACAGAGAAGTACAGAGGCGAGTGATCCACTGTTCCCTAAAATAAAAGACGCACTTAAAGAAGACAGACGTATTCATCACTCTTTTCTTCTGAGCTTTCTGCCACACAGGAGTGGTTTCAAGGTAAAGCTTTCAGAGACTCTATATCTCATTTCCATTAAAATCAGGTCCTTGATTTACATTAAAATACCTGTAGCTGTGTGTACAAACAGAGAGGAGAAGAGATTGTATCGTAATTTGCTTTCTGTTGTTATCTGATTAATCAAATATGTATTACAGCATAACTCAATTCAATGTCCTTGTTTTTCATATCAGGAGATACTTTCAGCAATTAAACAAGTGCCAGAGGTTGGTTTTAACAAGGAACAATATTGCTAACATTAGAAACTTCAAATATACACCAGCTGAGCAGTGAGAAGAGCAAAAAGAAAGATGTACAGGAGACAAAGATCACAAAGAAATGACGTCCTGTGAACTAATGTTTTTAAAGTCCTACTCCGATCGTTTTTTTTACTACTTAAAGTGTTTTCAGTGGTCTTTAAATTGTGATTATGAAGTTTTTACCAAAAATCACATTACCTGTGTCATTTTAAGGGCTTTCATTTGCCTCTAAATTGTGGGCAGAGACAGCTCTGATCTGCACACTCGTCTTCACGTTAGCTTGCAGCCTAACATTGCCGGTGTAAAAGTGGCAGGTAACAAAGGAGCTGTTCAGCTCTCGGACACTAATGTCTTTAGGGACACGATGAAAGCTAATATCATACTTAGGCTTTCTTACGAGCATTTCAGAGCAGAGTGTGGCCTGCATAGCGGGGCTCCGGGGGCGGAGCTCGGATTGGTTACGTTTGAAATCTCACGGTTTCTGAACCTGCCGTTTGGGTTCACAGCGATTTGAATGAAGAAATACTCAGAAACGCAATTTCACATTTAGTTTTCTGTCCTTTTTATGTCCTGTAGCATCAGAAAAATACCATATGAACATATAAAAAACAAGAAAACATGATTTTCACCGGAGTGGGTCTTTAAAGAAACCAGCTTCCTCTTCTATTGTCTTTTAGTCCATGATGGTGTTTATATCCGTAGTATTATCAAAAGTTGTTGAACAATTGCAAGCACACTGTCAGTAGTTTTATAGATATTAAAGTCTGGAATTTGGTTTCAATAAAGATCACAGCACATGCAGCACATGCAGGATGACGGCTACTTCTCACACTCTGCCTTCTTGTCTCTATCACTTGCACGTGTAGCAATCAAGACAACCCTGGATGTGAAACCCACACATTCCTTACAGGAAAGTTTCCTTATCTGGTCCCAGGAAACAGGATATAAATCTTTCCAGACGTGTTTGCCCTTTCAGGTTAAATAAGTGACCCAACCGGAGGTTGACTAAACCTCTGACTCTTCAGGATTGGTCAGTTCGGCGAACAGAGACAGAGTTTTTATTACCCTTCAAACTGACTCCATTTGCTGACCATCTAAATAAACATTAACATCTCAACCCAGATCACCCATTTGAGATTTACCGTCTTAAAGTGTGTGAACATACGGACCCCAGGATAAGGGGGGGACACTGACCTCCAGACCTTGGTCGTAAAACCCTGCTCGACCATACACTGATAAAGACTGCATTCCTTTGGTGAAAGAATACAAATGACTGATCATGACATCTTATGCATTCAGCAATGTACTAATCTGTCTAATCATGAAATTTGTGTTAAAATGAGATGTTTCCCGTTTTTCTATGTGCTTCAGAAGCCAAGTTATCTTATCTGACAGAATAAATCCTTATTCTTTAGTTCTTTAGACCAACAGCTTTTCAGACTGTTTCATGAACTTTTAAGAGTTAAATTTATCGACTATGAATCATAACTTAACTCTAGGTAACAGAAACAGTTTAGAAATGTTTGGTTTATATTGTAGATGTTTATTTAGTATTTTTAACCATTAGGTGGTTATAATGTCATTGAATAATCTGAATGTGAGTATTTAGAATCCATTATTAATCATGATGAAGTTCATTCACATTTGTTTACTCTTTTGTTGTTCACAGTTTCCATGTGTTACTATCTGTTTCATTTCAGAGTAATTTAGCATGTTCAATGTGATACTTAAAACATAATGAGAATGTTTGATGTGATCCTACACTTCATTCATATGTGTTTAGTGTCAAATTATTTATCATGAAACCTAGCATTCAATGATATTAATCATAGTGAGTGAGTATCAGATCTGACTCTTTTACCAGCCAAAAGTATAAGTTAGATCAAATAATCAGAGATCCGAGTTCATCTCTGCTTGGAGACCACACAACCCCTCCTCCTCTTTCTCTTCACACCCACACGCCGGAGACACACCCAGTGTGAGAAGATAAAACCAGTGAAGTGGGGTTGCTCATTCTTCTCTCTCTTGTTTCTTTTCTCTCTTATGTCTCTTATGCCTTTTTCTCTCTTATGCTTCTGCTCTTCTGCGGACTCTCTTGTCCCCGGCTCTTATGCCCCTTCTCTTCTGCCCACACCCTTCTGTGGTGCGTTTCTTTGTTTTCTCTTAGAACTTTTTCTTAGTCTTCTAAGTTTTACGCCACGTGTTGATTCACGTTGATTTTTCTTTAACATCGTCTTAGTTCAAGTTTTGAAACTTCAACTTTTTGTGCACATAGAAATTCAAGATTAAGCCTTTGATTGATTTTCTTTAATTTCGCGAAGCCATTTTTGAAAGTTTTCTCTGCTCTTCGAGCCTCGTTTTTCTGAGTTTTCTGCGTGATTTCAAAGTCACCTCCGAACGCAATCCAACAGGCCCAGGTCATCCTCTGTGCCAGAGTTTTTGAGTGAGACTAAAGAAGTACCCAAACGAGCATCCACAGGATCCACAGGCGCTGGTTTTTGCTTCGGGCCTGAGTGCTGCAACTCCTGGCTCATCCTTCGGCTGACTTCAGTCGTCTTCTGAGCTGAACCGCTCGAACCGCCAGTAGCCCGGACCTTCGGAACCTGCTCCATCTTCTCCAAGGACCAGTCTCACTTAAGTATGCAAACCTCCAGAGCTCTAAAGAGGGCTGGTGCTGTCTCCTGCGTTCAACTCAGATATCCTCTTATTCTGGTAATCTTAGATTCCTCCAAATCCACATCCGAGTTTATCTCGACACTAAAGTTAGTGTAGGTTAATATGTTAGCGCATATTCACTCACTATCATTAACTTTAGTGCTCCTAGCCTGACTCAGAATCTTGATTTATTCACCTATTATTATTTATCTTCATTATCTTATCATCATTTATTGCATGTATGTTGTACCATCATTTATCCTGTAATAAACAGATAATTATTTTTCTAAGTTCTGGTCTGTTAGTGTTCTTCCAGAAGTGGAGTCCCTGAAATTAGAATTTCGACTTAAGATATGAGACTGATTAATTAAGACTGATTAATTAAGACTGATTAATTAAAACTGACTTGATGTTTGATTTCTGAATTAAACTTTTGTTTTCTTTATTTTCCCACCATTAAGGGTGGGTGGTGCCCCTTTCAACGAGTGCATAAATGTCATAATTTGAGATTATTAATCTTCAGACATTTATTATAAATTCCAATCGCCAAGTATATTTTGGTGCGGCCTTGTGAGGCTCATTTCAAATCGCTACATATATTTTGGTGCGACCGTATGAGGCTCATTTCAAATCACTACACACGTATTGTGTTAATGAGCAAAGTGTGGAAGTTAAGCCGTGGTGGCTCTCACACTTTTATCACATACTCTCATAATGAGTCAAAAGCCAGGCCAAGTTCAAACCAACACACTGAAACTCGCATTTACGAATCAGATATATGTCAAATACTATCACCGTGAAGGAAAGAGGTCGTCGAACGACACGAGCGCTCAAATATAATGTGAATAAGTCAGCGTGGGCTTCGTGAATACACAAACACTGTAGTGACACTCGTGTTTAATGATGGATGATGAAAGCTGTGGCTCTGCTGAAGGACTACGTGAATGCAGCAACATTGTGTCACACAATCATTTTTATTTCATCTTTGACCCTTCTGCTGCAAGAAACAATCGCTGCTTTCTAACCGCCGCTTCATTCATGAGCACCTTGACTTCTTCGTCAGACTGTGTCCTTTGGCGAGCTTATCTGTATGCATACAGAGGGCGCTTTGCATTGACCATCTATGGACAAATGTGGGCGTGTAGAAGGCGGAACAAGAAGTTGATTCACATGTGCATATCCCTGGGTGGATTGTTATTTATAAAGCGAACAGTGGGTGATAGTGTGCGTGCACGAGGTTTGAAACTCAGAATTAATTTTTCCGCATGCCATTTCTGGGTTTTTGGTGTACATGTACTTTTAGTAAGACATCTACGCACTGTTTTGTACTACACCTCATTAGCAGCTCGTATCATTGCAGGACTTAGTTGTCTGCTATGGTTCCATCCTCATTAAAAAATGTCCTCACTGTTGTGCATGACTGCACTCTGGAAAGTAAGTCATGCAAGAGTATAAAAATCAGAGTTTAAAACCCAAACATGTGTCTCTCGTAGGGTTTTGGCAGTTTTGCAGAGTATCATAATTTTGTCCACCCCACCATTTGACAAAAGGATCAATTTCATTGCAGGAGCAACAGAAACATTTACATAATCATTTCATGGATCTGTCTTTTATGTCAAAACTTGGAGCTTTTATTACCCACAAAACAACTCGGCTGCAGTTCAGGGGGAGATTTGGCGCGTAGGCTCGCAGATGTCTGGCTGCTTTTCTGGAGCACCATAAGGAACAAGCAACAGAGGCTGATAAACTCACTTTTTCTTCACTCCACACCCCAGATTTATTTTTCACATTTCAACATATAGTCTTCGGCTCGAGAGAACTTTCGGTATTCTGTTCTGAAGCACTGCGAGACATCTACTCCTGAGAAGTGACATAAATCATAAATCACTGAACTTACAGTGTTTCTTTCCTGAACCAACACATGTTGCGGTTCATAACAGCAGGATTTACTCTCTCTGATTTGTTCACATATAAAATATTCTGGTTTTAGATCTTAATAACCACACTGGACTAATTTAACTAAACATGAATAACTTTAACAAATGTGAACATGCACATTTGAGTTATAGGCAATTATTACACACACTGCTTTCTAACATTATTCTATGAAATCTAAATTTTAGAGAAATTTTAAGCATGTAAACAATAACTGAGTAATTTATTTTACTTTATTACATGAAATAAACTGTGAATATAATACCTCTCAAGTTGTAGGAGAGTCTGTGCCTTTGGGAGTATTGACCGCTCTTTGACTGTAGTTTTTTTATTTGGCAGTGTTTGTGGTCGTAAACTTTTTGGCTTTAATGGTCTGTATTTAACTCTAATTCCACAGAGTTTGACTTAACTGACTCAAACTAAAAAAAGAAAAAAAGCTGCATTTCATTCGTATTTTTGTTTAAACACAGGCTGCTTCAGAGTAAAAACAACATGAGTTCAGGAAAATATGATGGATACTTTTCAAGCTTCAACAATCCATTAAGTGCTATTACAAATCTAACATTTGTCTATAACGACCCTTAAGGTAAAATGAAGAAAAAACTGAAGACCTTTAATTGTGTATCATTTATTTCCAAGAAACCTTAATGGCAACTAACTGGCTTCTCAATTATGTTGTGAACATGGTGAAATCCAGCGCATGTTTTCATTTTTTCACCCTCTGACTCAGCTGAGGAGTGAAAAACAGCTTTGAAATGTCTGTTTGCAACAAGTCCTGCTCTCACATTTGATTTTCAGTGAGATATATAAAGACTGGCTTCACGGAGATCACAAACATGTTACTTGACTTTAAGAAGTAATCATCTGTCATGTATGTCTATTAGTTTCTAATGATATATGAACCCTGTTACGCATCAGTGTAGAGTGTGGTGATGAGTAACACACTCACCTCCTGATATGTACTGTGTGGTGATAAAATACAATCGAGGCATCTAATTAACTAAATAATAATAATGCATCAGATTTTATAGCGCGTTTTCAGAGACCATTAAAGTGCTTTACATCGGATGCATCATTCATTCGCTCACACAGTCACACCCTGGTGGTGGTAAACTACCTTAGTAGAAGCATCTTTTTTGTGGTGTGCATACAAAGAAAGCTTTTAATATCAGTCAATAGCTATCAGTTATTGATGACATTTGGAAATATCACGATATTGCTGTGTTCTGTTATGCCTCTGTAGTCCACATTTTAAAATTTTTGAGCGAGCCGCTCATTCTGACTGTAAACAAAGCCATTCTCCAACCCCGCGACCTGATTGGGTTTGAGGTAGACGCTGCTCCCTCGTGTTGTGAAGCAAACTCCATGTCCTGGAACAACATTCACGAGCCCAAACAAAGTTAGCGTGCTACAATATCGGACAGTAGAAAGCAACTAAAAAGTACGGAAAATTGTCTGAATCCTCCTTTAGCCACGACTGCCAACACAAGCAAGAAAACAAAGTAAATACCGGAGACTCTGGCGGAATAGCGGGTGCTTTAAAAGGAGGTAGACCGGACAAGAGCTAAGAAGCCGGGTCGATGGGGGACGCTTCAGGGTCTTACAGACCCTGTAACCTTTCTGCTGGACAGGTAAACCGCTTTAACAAAGTAAGACAAGTGTCTGTAATAGAAGTGTTTCTTGTCAAACCTGCTGCGTTTTGTAGCGCCGCTAAACTGTTGACCTCGGGTCCTGGACTATGTCACTTTATCCTAGTTGTAGAAGTCCTGCAAACATTGTGTTTGCTGGTAGTCTGTTGACATGTACAGTAGCACCAATGCTTTTTACTTTCACGTTGACTGGGCCCCATTTATAATTAGCTTAAGTATTTATCTGCATTATATCTGAATTTAATTGAAACGATACAAGCGAGCAGGAGTGTCTGTTTGTGTGCAGGGCTTGTTGGAACAGAGAGTGGAGAGGAGGAGCTGAGGGGAAAACTGGTTGGGAGGGGTAGAGTTTACATTCAAGATTTCTCCTAAAAACTGTCACTTCCTCAGATCCTGCCTACCCCACCTTAAAGTGTCTTGCCCAAGGACACAACGGTCAGACTAGGAATAGGGGGGGAATCGAACCACCAACCTCCCAGTTATTGGACGACCGCTCTACCTCTTGACTGATGTCAAAAAGAGACTTCAACACTCTAGCTGCTGTGGCGTCACTTTATATTAAATGAAAATGACTCATATGTGAGACAGTTAAATGTTACATTCAGTGTTTAGTTTCCAAGGTAAATTGGAGGGTATATTTAGAGCGTACTAAACTAAGACAGATGGAAGAAAGTGTTGATAATGTTGAAGGAGTAATTAGTCGAAGTCAAATAGTAAAGATCAAAACACCTCATCTGCTTCCAGTCGAAGGTGAAAGATTGCTCAAGAACGAGCAGCCTGCTCATTCAGCACCACTTTTGACACCTGCGTCATTCAGTATTTACTGGCATAACTGATTCACTTGGTACAGTAGAGCTGCTCATCAGGGGATGCTCAGAAAGAATAGCGACGTCAATGAGAAAAGGTGATTTTTTTTTTTATATGTTTCATAAGTTGAGCCTTTTTTTAGCTGCAATAAATGCATCATACAGTGTGAACCACTTGTAATCCAGTCAATCAGGGATCCTATTATAACACACAGATTTAAGCGTATAGAAGCCGTTTCTGTGGATTTCCTCACTGATATAAGCGTGTGCTCTCACTTGACTCGTAGCTTTTATGATTAAAATTAGACACACATTTCCTCTATTTTTGTCACTTAAAAGGATTAAGATCACAACCCTTCATTTAAGACATTGTACATATTATTGTTTCCACTGAAATGGGGAAAAAAGCTTTTTGGTTATCTTTACCGATGCTTGGAGCGATCTTCAGACTGATTTACAACCCAAAAAAATGATTTACCCCTTTATGTAAATGTTTCATTTTAGGTCCCTTTTTTAATCGATAGAACAAGCTTTACTTTTATCATGGTGTTGCAGTGTCTCTTGCATCTCACAGAACATGTCAAGTTATGTTATATCTAAAATATTCCAGTTTTCTGTCTACCTGCCAATTCATGCCACATTCTTCATGTTGCCAGAAATTTATTATTTCCCTTTACATGAGAAAAAAATAGATTAATACAGAAACCCTAACCCTTAAGAATAAATTGACTTGCTAATCACAGGTGGCGAGACCCCAAAGCCTACCCTGCCTCACCCCTATATTATAAAAATAAAAAAAAATGTTGTTCTTGAAAAATATGTAAAGACTGGGAACATCAGAAAATGTTCACTTACATAAATAATCAAACAAGATTTTTTTTTTCTTGTTTTCACTTGTTTTCATACAATCCGACTCGTTTTTGTAACTCACTGAGTTGCCCCCCTGCTAGCGGGCGAGAAAAAAAGTGTCTACATGGCATTTCCAAACTCACTGCTTTTTGATACTTCTCCCAGTGCAAGTGTATGTTTGAAGCTTAGACTGTATATACTATGGACAACTTGGCTCCGCCTTCCGCTAGTAAATGGATTTGAAGCCAAAAAGCTCTTTGTAATTCCGTGTTTTTTCTCCACTTACTGAAATCAACATTGCGCAGTAGCACTGTACGCATTCAGCGGGAGAAATGACGCTTGGCTCAAACAGCGTATCCCCCGGGTGAGCTACTCAATCTTCATACGCCCATAGGCTGTATCAAGTGTCAATCAAAGAAAACATGAACCCCCGAATAACTTTTAAAAATGGAGCTGCACAGAAAAAAGAGGACTTGAGCACAAACTAGTCTCACAGTAACTAAATGTCAACATCACAAGCAGGGGGGAGAAAAAATTATATTCTGTGCAATAAATTTCTAAAGTTTGTCTACAGCTCCACGAGGATGGCTGGCGGAGGCGGGAATTATGACCTATACTGCAGCCCGTCACCAGAGGGTGCTGTTCTAGCAGTCTATGGCCGCCATCCACCTCCCCCATCCCGCTGGTATCATGCATTAAAAATTAAGAATTAAAAACCTTCAGTCATGTTACTGATGGTCTTGTTTGCCTCTGGAAAAGGGCATCAATAGGAATTTCAGTTTACTTCATAGGTGTCTAAAAACTTCCCACATGGGCTTTAAAACACACAGTTTAGACACCCTCAATGATATAAAGACAATAAAAGTTGTTCTATTTAATTCAAGGGATAATCACTGTTTTTAATTGCATGATAACACAGCCCACGGTCCACACCACATGCTTACCTCATCAAAAAAAACCCTGTGTTAGCTGCTGAAGAGGAAAACTGCAGAAGTAAACAAACGATTGTTATGCCATTACTGTGTCAGCAGGGTAATGTTCAGCATTTGTTGCATAAAATCATCTCAAAACGAGACACTCAAAATTCACAATATATGCTGGGCAAAAGTCAAATTGACTCATACATCATTGACCCAAACAGCTGATCAGTGTGCTGCAGGCAGAAAAACACAAATGTGTTGCATCCAAGAAGAGTGCGAAAACAAATAGCAAAGGCAAAGTTCAGTGCTGAAGAATGTCTAAAAAGAGAGTACGCTGACTCAGACACCAGTGTTTGTGTCAGACTTTCTTGAAATGAGCTAAATGATGAGCTAGAGCTGACCCCTTTTTTAGTGCTTGATAGCCTAGTTCCAGTTCTGGTTCTCCATCCAGATTCATAGTGAAGGGGCTGAGCTGGCCATCAGCCATTGGGTAATACAAATATTATTTCCAAGTTATTCATACAACTTCTTTTTTTTTTAACAAGATCCCCTTACCGCCTGACTGCTGCCCTAAGTTTAGCTGATCGTCCTCTGGGATTCTCTTCTACATCTTCCTTTTCTGCAGTGATCACCTTCTTTCTCACGGGAACCCACAAAAGACTTTCCCCACCTTTCCTTTCATCCACAAACCGTCCCTTCATTGTTTCCTGCTTCCTCGGGCTAAAGTGATAATGGTCCAGATTAGACAAGTCCTCTCCTCTGAGGAAACGTTTGACCAGTCTGTCTTCTAGTGAATGAAAAGTGATGACGCAGAGACGGCCTCCGGGTCTCAGAGCTGCCTGGGCGGCACAAAGGCCTGTGTGAAGTTCGTTCAGCTCATCATTCACGAAGATTCGAAGAGCCTGGAAAGTCTTGGTGGCCATGTGTGCAGGTCGATTGAGTCGGTCTTTGCGTCTATATGCAACAGCAGCAGGAAACACTCCTAAAGACAAAAAAATGGTCATAGTGAGTGGATCTGATTGAAACAAGTTTTTAAACAGAAAACATGATGGTAGCAGCTTCTTAAATATGCCGATTATATAACTTCATTTTGAGTGGCTGCAATGTCAAAATTAAAACAGAGTTAGCATTAAAAAACAACTTGATCTCCACATCTTTTAGATTTACAACACAAATCTTCGATTTCTACAAACACTGTATTTTCCAAATAATTTAGTTTCACTCGACTCTATTCTAAAGACCCTGTGAGAAATTTTAAGCTGGTTTTGAAACAGACTAAAATTAATGCAGGTGCCCCTGTTCGAGCTACAAAAGCAAACCAGATCATCCGGATAAAGAGACAGTGTTGTCAGAAATCAGTCAGTACATTTACATGACACTCGGGAAAACCGAACTATTGCCTTACTCCGATTAAGACCGGACAACTCAAGTGCATGTAAACACCTTAGTCCGACTATAATCGGAGTCTGAGAACTCTGATTAAGACACTCAGATAATGCGAGTGGAATTCGATTTTCTCTACCATGTAACCAGCGTAGTCGGAGTATGACTGTGCCACGCCCCCGTAACTTCGGTACAAAAACACCAGAGAAGAGGAGAAGCGTGCACCTCATCTGCAGAAAAAGTAGCGCGTACATCATGTACGACAAAAACAACGCTGTACGATGCTCCATCTTCTTGCTCGAAAATGCCCAGCAGCAGTTGTAGACACTTTTGACGTCTGGCACAGACCTGCTGTTGTTGTTGACAGTAATATGGGGACGGAAATAACGGTGCTGAAAAGACCCATATCGCCCCCTACTTTTGGTGACGAGGACACGTTCATGTCAATAATTCGAGTTTCTCAGTTGCATGTATACGCAGACAAGGAGAGAAGTCTGATTCGGCAAACAAACCGAATTACGAGCTTAGTCCGATTAAGCTGTGAATGTGAACTGTTGGAGGGTAAGTGTTAGCCACAGTGATTAAAGTATGCTGCAGAAACAGCTGAAGTACTTTGGTTAAAGGGACAGATCTTTGATGAGTCGTAATTTGGGTGTTGAAATTAAGAGGGACGTAGCCCACTCATGTACAGGCCAAAATCAGAGAAGACTAATGAACCAGAGTTCACTGTGTACTTTCTTTCAAAGGACAAGAGGAATTATTTGGGTGGGAATGGACACGTTCGATTTAATTTGGAGGAGGAGCGGAGGAGGCCATCTGTGTCAATCTGAGTCACTGCCACACCACTTATCAGCAGCAACACCACCAAACCATACCTTGAGTCTTGTGACTCTGAAGACTCTAATGCCACCAATGACTCATATCTGACCTCAGCAACCCACAGGTGTTAGCAGAGTGTTAATAACACAAAGAGCTTGAAATGCCTGGGATCTCCATGGATCTGAGGAGCAGAGGAAGTCTCTAGGGAAAAGAAGTTCGCCATGTAATTCTCATTCAGTGAAGTTTATATTTTGTTGTCAGTAGATCTGGTGTCAGTCTCCAGAACTAAGGGTGACTGTTTGTTTTAAAAGGACCACGGTCCCTTTACTCCTATGGTGCGGGTGGTATGAACTTGCAAGCGAACTGTGGTCCAGATCGAACAAATGCACCAAACGGACCATGGTCTGGTCTCCGAGATCACCCCTACCAGGCGGACCCAAGAGCGGTTGACTGGTCCGCACCAGAGTTTGAGGCCAGCGTTCACACCAACCAAAATGAACCGCACCAAGGAGGTAAACGCTCCAGGGTTCAGTTCAGCTGGACTAAACAAGGCTGGTGTGAACGCGACCCAAGAGAAAACAAAAACTCAAACCAAGTCCAGCCTCCTTTTGGATTACACTTTAAATAACCGTGATCTGGATGCCTGAGAACCTTCGCAGACTTTGCAGGAAAGATGAATTGATGCAAGAGGACATAACATAAACCATTGGGAAGAGAGCAGCAGCAGGACTGAGTGGCAGGTCCATCAGAGAAACTGTGCAGGGCAGATGGAGGGTGGAGACGGTGTTGATATGGCTGATGTGTCACCAAATACGGATGCAAATTCAGCCAAATGCCTCTCATGATCTCTCAGTTACTAAGTTCAAGGAAAATCTTACAAAGCATGAGGACATGTATTTCCTGCATTTAGATTAGTGTTGAGGTGAAAAAACAAAAAAACACCTTTTACACTTACTGCACAGTGGCCCATGGGGCGCTCTCTCCCCCACCTTTAACCTTTCACTCTGTCTTTGCACGGTTAGTTGAAAGGCTTACGCTTTTTCATACAAATCTTTAACACCTACAGTTACATCAGCAATCCTCCTTCAAAATGCATGTGCTATGCAGAGAAAGGCAAAACTGCAGACATGGAGAAAACGCTGTGGGTGCAAGGAACATTGCTCTTATACAGGCTTCATAAACACATGCAGGGTGCAGAAAGCACAAGAACTGAGGCATACTGGTAAATTAATTTGTTCATGAAGGATCAGAACTCTTCATGCAAATTAATTCAGAATTTACTGCACAGAAAATTTGTGGAATAAAATACCGTTATATAGAAAATAGGAAGAGTATTTACGGCTGAGATTGATCATCTCATAACCACCGCACAGAAGGCTAAGGAACAGTTAGACGCTTATATAGACCTAAAGAGAAACTGCAATAAATAGAGAAGTGAGTGATGTGGCATTTCTCTCCTCCTGCACTAAACAGCCCGAGGTGTGACTCACTCTGCAATCAATACAATGCCTGCACAGCAAGGACCAGTCCTGGTCTGGTCTCACCGAGCCATGTACTCTCCCTCTAATTCACCTTTCAAATGTACTACAGACAGATCCATGGAGAGAAGAAGAGATTAAGTTGAGTAGATAAAGGGAAAATTAGGTAGTTAAGAAGAAAAAAAAACACACAATTGTGAATGCATTTCAGAGGAAAATCTGCCGAAAAAGCATTCTGAAACTCTTGCTGTGCTCCATCTTTTTTATCGTCTCATCTGTAGCTGTGTTTGATGTGTGTAGCGTGCATCAACAAAAGAAACATCATAAGATAGTTGGAACACAGCTGGGTTGGATGGTTTCACAGGCACAAACAAAAAAGCTGAATAAATGGAATATAAACACAACGGACAAGACAATGGACATGCTGTTGTTGTTGTTTTCAAGCCAAGAAGACAGAGAGACTGTGCTGCGGGCAAAATTTAAGTTGAATTGACACAAATTTGTAGTATAACAAACTCGCTGCTGCTGGTACAGTACATCATGAGCTTGTAAAAAAAAAAGAGTTTGGTGTAGAAATCACTTAAGCTGCTAACTCATCTTTCCAGAATACAACACTAAAGCTAACAAGCCATGATCATTAACAAAGGAAGAGTAAGCTGCAAGCCGCCAGGTGACCGAACTTGGTCGTTTAATGCGCAAAAACCCAAACTCTCCAAAAGAAGTTTTGAGAAGTGTGTATTTCAACACACCGTTTAAAAAGGATCTCTTAATATAAGACAAGGATGGGGAAAGTACCTCTTCATTAAAAGATAAGAATCCTGTCCCTTAGTCTTCAGCTTGGTGGTCACAGTTGGGAAAGAGAGCAAAGGTGGTACTACCAGGGTTTTCTTTTCAGTGTAAAACAACACTACTCTCTGTGTTCTACAAACTATCGTGCCCTCAAATATATGAAGACTGAACAGTACCCATTACACACACTTAACAGAATACAGTCAGGGTCCGCAGTTGACATGATGATTTAAGATTTACAGCCTACTTTAGTTTATCATACACACACTGGATGTTGGTTATCATTAGATCTTGTCCCTTACCGACCAAATGCCCTGAGTTGTAAATTATTAATGAAGTCATGCAGCTGTGCCTACTGCATACATGTTGATGTGTCTGTTGATCTGGAAAGTCCCTGATCGTTTTTTGCTGTTCAGAGAGATTGTGTCAGTAGATAAAGCATCAATCTATGAATTGGCATAGTTCAGACAGTCAACTCTTCTTGTGTTTTTAGACACAATGGCAGACACATTGATTGGCTTCCTTTAATCTACGCCAAGAACACACTTTTAATAATCAAGGCACTCTCTTTACACCCTGCGCCTCACTTAGTGACCAAACTGTGCGCCGCTTAACTAGCAACATGCTATCAGAGACACCCTGATCCACTTTGAGCCATGTAGCTACATCAGACATTTAGGATAACCTAAATGGGAATTCTGATCAGGTTTCTTGCTGTCACAATCAAGCTTGATTGGATACGTTATAAATGCATTCATTTGTACCCATGAAGCATCCAGTGCTGGTTTAACTGCTCTTGAGAGAGGAGGGAGAAAAAGTGGAATAACAGGCATGGACAACCCTGTTACAGAATGTTACCATTTAAGTTGTAGTTAAAATAAATGAAGTAGTTAACCACACGTTTTACAGTTACAGTTGTTAGTTTGGGAGGAATAGCCTGTCGGTATGAGATTAAATATAAAAAAGAACCCTCTGCTGGAAACACACACACACACACAAACATAAAAAATACAAGCACATTAATCACAGGGTAATTAAACCACTAATCGAGATGTTTGGTTGAAAGCATTTGCTGCAGGTTGGGTTGGTTTGAGTCAAGCTGTCCTGTTGTTACAACACCTGTATGAGTTCATGGCTGTGAGCTGTACAGCTGTGTGACATGAGAAAATTTCCAAGTCAGGCACATTTAATTCATTTTTCTGCACGTTTGCGTCACATTTTTTACCTCGATCAATAATATTGAGATTAATTTTAGTGCCTGTACATCCCGACAAAGTGCTATTTTTGTCAGTGTTTGTTTTGCACGTGATCAAATCAGAAGACCTGCATGAACGGCATCAGGTGCAAAGACTGCAAAGGTGGGGGTACCCAAATAAGGGTTTCGCATGTTTATCTGGTTTATGCCATAAGCAGACTGACAGCAAAGGCAAAATGAAATTTAAATGAAGAAATCTGATGTGTCCATTAATTAAACTTCCCAACGATTTCAAGACAGTGAGGATAAAGACATTGGTTTCAGTCTTAAGTCTCTGTCAACTCTCTAGCTGGTATAAAGGCTCAAACTCAGATAGAAAATGTCAGAAAAAATATTTTCTCACATTATGTCCCAATGCCACCTTGTCCTGACATTACCCCCTCCTCCCTTTAGTATCGCTGTCGTAACTGTCATAATAACCCCGCTGTACTTTTTTAAAATCAAGACATCTCTGATTGTTCTAAATAAACATGCGTGGTGACTCGCTCTGCTTTTCAAAAAAAGATTAAACAGCTGCTCTTACTCACACCTGTTCTCCCAGGGTGACACTGACGCACATACTGCTCTGTGCAACAACTACTGAAACGATGTCTCGATCATTCAGCTGCTTAAACCTGGAGGTATACGGCTAAAAAAAAAAAACAACAACCGGTGGAGATAAACAATGTTACCCGGAGATTTTGCAAGAGGGTGTCATATGTGTGAGTTTATTTTGGTGTTTGCATTGAGGAGTGTGTGGATGTTTGTGAGCCGTGAAACAGGGGAATATGAGGGGAGAAAGAGAGTCATAAAAGGCAATATAGGGGGAGAGAAAGATGGGATACTGTGTATGAGGTGGTGCTTGTTTTCAAAGCATTAGCCTCAGTCTGTTTCCTGCACCTCCAGCTCTGCTTTTTTTTCCCCCTCAACTTTAAAGGAATGTGTAAGCAAAGCAGCCAAACAGGCAAGAGGGAGGAAGATGACTGAGGTCACAGTCCACGTAATTTTCACAGACACATAAGTCCCACTGGGAGACAGCCTTAATAACTGCACTCATGTTTTATTTTCCCTCTAGACTTCTGCAGGGAATTTATCAGGAGAGTGTCGCGATACCTGCCACCACACTGGCCAGCTGCTGTGTCCGGGTGATGGGGTTGACACGGCGTGCCTCCACAATGGCTGAAGCGATTTTCCTGGCATGTCTTTCTTCCCCGTATGCAGTGAGGATGGATGCAAGAGCCTGTTGATCTAAGGTATTCACAGCGTCAGCAGCGCAGGGCATGTTGGGGTACCTACGCACAAAGAGAAGCCCAATTAAGCTGCTTGACGTCATGTCCTTGCTGACAGTGGCGAATCCTGACAACTCTGAGATACAGCTGAAAACCTTGATGGCTGACAGTTGTGAATAGAACATCTGTGAATAAAGGGAAGAAAGGCAGCTTTTGCAGTAGTAATACAATAGGGTTATTTCAGCTGGTTGCTTTCATATCATGCTGATATTGTGAAGTGATTCAGATATGTCTCTGAAATCATTAAGGAAGCATTACATTTCTTGGGGGAGGGATGGAAGGAGAGACAGGGAGAAGGAGAGAGCGAGAGAGAGAGAGAGAGAGAGAGAGAGAGAGAGAGAGAGTCAAGCTTGATTGATATGGGAAGAGCATGCATGAATCTGCTTAGCATGTCTACAACAGGGTTTTGGATTACACTGTCACACTGAAGTAGTATTACTCATCAGCATTCAGCCAAATGGGGTTATAATGCTGGCTGATTCAAATGAAAATGAAAGCTGGTCTCTGCATGTTGTTTTCTTCTCTTTTAATGGCAGCGAGGGATACATTTTCTAATGATAACACTTCGCCTTCCTGCTCCTAGAGAAGCATGTTTAGAGCAGAACATTTTACACTTGATAGATAAATTAACCCGTCAGCACTCTCATGAAAAGTAGATGTATTTTTGAAAAGCAAAAATCAAACCTGGCATTTTTATACAGTTTTTTCTTATAATAGCTAATACACCAGATGTATCAGATATATGCTGTCAGCCCCAAAATTTATTTTGGTACTAATTAATACATTAAAGATAACAATACATTCTATCAAGTCTGATATTAGGGCGTCAGCACAGATTAATTTTAGAGGCTTTTTAATTCAATTTTTTGGATGCATGCATCAATAAATGCACGTGAGTTGTTTGTTCTCCTGTAGCTCCTGTAAGCGATTTTATGTTTACTGTTTATTCTGCAGCCCTTCTAGCGCCCCCTATAGATAATGTGACACCTGTAATCTCTTGGCTAATCTTGTGTTATCTTCACATTTTATGACTCAGATATCACTCACTCTTACTCTTTGCTGTAGAAAATGTAACCAAAGACTATCTTAGCATTAGCATGCTGTTTGTCGCTTCGCCTGACCTCTCCTCTGCAGCAGCTGCTTCAGGCACTAAAAAATTACCACAGAGAAATGATCAATCCCGGCCATGATGAACTCTTTATCTGAATTTTAATTTTTTCAAAAACCCTCAAAAAACCCTCACAGAAGATCGATGTCACTTTCCTTTTTTTGGGGGTGTAATTGCAAACAACATTTTATGCAGTTCTCATTAAGTCTCGTTAAGTTCTCGTAGGAAAACATACTGGCTTGTGCATTTTGACTTGACTGCAGTGACGCCCTTTGAATGGTGTTGATCTCTTACCTCTCTCCGTCCATCCTCATATCCAAAGGCCCATCCTTACTGAGAGAGAAGCCCCTCTCCGCCTGATCCATCTGCATCGAGGAGCAGCCGGCATCCAACAAGACAGCATCTATGGTGCCTGGCTTAATGCTCATGTCAGACAGCAGGGCTTCAAGCTCACTGAATCTGCCAAGTAATGGTTTCACACGGCCGCTAGAAGAGAAATATTGCAATGAGACATTTTCACACGAGTGTGCATATGTATGGCAAAACTGTTTCCAGAATGCTCAGGATCATTTAGGATAAAAACAAATTAAATATATTTACCAGTTATGCATAAACATATACCATTTAGAACATCTACTTGAGAAATAAATTGGGCAAAAACCATCACACCCCCTGATTTAAATTGCTGATTTAAAACATTGATTCTTTTTGATATATTCACTTATGGATTTCTATTATTTTCATATTTATGTTTTCTTAAACCACCTGCTGCCCAGAGCAACGAAAAATCTGACCTGCCGGCCACTGAGCAGCTTCACTGGTGCAGTTGGGGGGTTAAGAGGTATGCACAAGGGCACCTTAGTCTCTGCCACAACTCACATAATGAGGGAGCAGCTTACAGCTTTTTACTTTTTCCAGCGCCGAGGCCACAACTTGCACTTAATTGGGAATTGGGTACGTTCACTTTCAGGAAAAACATTGTCTGTTTTCTGTTTTGTTTTCAGTGTTGTACATACATTGTAGAGAAACAACACCCACACTCAACATCGGGCAAGGAGAGGTTATTTTAGGCAGACATATTCATGGTTCAGACCACGTGAGATTTAAGATTCGCTGGAAACCCACAGAAGCTCCAGTAGCTTTCCAGTTAACCTGTTAAAATCAAATCAAATATTTCCTTGGAAGCTGACTAGCTCTCTTGTCTTGCCCAATGAGATCCTTCCCTGTCACTGAGCGAGCAGAACCATGAATACTTAGTCAATTCCTCATGCACGAGTGGTGAGATCCTCTAGCCACATTCATGCATTTTTCATGTGACCTTTTAACTTGTGTGAACAAAGATGATGGCAGAGAAATGCAACAGGAGTTAGCATCTTTATATTAGGCAAAGCTGTTTTTCTGCAGACTTCTCCACCCATCTGTTACTATTACTCCTCAAAAACAGTCATCAAAAATGTCCAATTGTGATTCCTTATTAACAAGCAGCTCATGCTGAACATTTTGTACGATCACTGCAGAACAGCTCATGCTGATGACTCCTAACCCAGCACTGAGTTTGTGATCCCAGTGAGGTTCATTTCTAATCAGTCTTAAAGGCTGAAGTAATATGTTCAAGACCAAAGAAAAAAGTCTTTCTTTAGTTGTCATGACCTCCGGAGGAGTCTACATGACTGCTGACACTACTGCGAGACAATTAAAACATCGTCGTGGAGCCACATGTCTCAGAAAATCCCACTTGCACCGTGATGACTCAGAACTGCACTACTACTGCTGAACTAAGTCTTTCGTGGTTTGGGGCATTTTCACTTTGCCAGCTTTCAAAATAAGCACCGATGAAAGTCAGAAGAAAACATTTCCCCTTAATGGAGCTATCATTCGTGAGGCATAGTGTGCCATTATGCCTTATTTAAACTCTTTGGACTGCATTTATGGTCGAGAATATTTTATATTTGGAAAAGGTATAAGGATAGTGTTTGAAAATGGACACCTAAAATAAAAAGACTGAGCACAAGGCCAGCCAAAAACCAAGCTAATCAAATGAAGAAATACACATAAATATTAATTACACATGCTGACCAACAAAAAATTAGCCCTGACTGCAGTCGTCGTACATGCTGCTTCTTTTAAGTAAAAACATTGAGAGGTGTGTGAGTGTGTTTGTGTATATATATATACTACTATATACAGTACTCTAGAAAAGAAACAAAGCCTGAATTCTCCTAATTGCTGGCATTTATGTTAACTAACATAAGGAAATCTCTGAAGGATATTTTTGTATCTACAGAAACTGTAACAGAATAATAATAATTTAAAAAAAAACATATCTGCTCTTATATTTTTAGTGTGTCTAGTTAGTTGGAGCCAGCACTTCTAATAGGAAGAGTGCTTTATCATGCTTTCTCAGAAAACAATAAGACTATGGTTATGTTTTATACAGTTATGGTCCATTTGTGCCAGAACAGCATCATAATGTATGAAAAAAGTCTTTGACAGCATATTATTATACCCCATTCAAAATAAATGTAGCTTGTTCGCCAGACAACACTTTTGTGTGTGGGACTGGCACTAACTTGGGTACTGACAGAATAACTCTGATGTTATTCCAAATGTAAACCTCACCCTCTTATCAGCGCTGCGATGACTCCGCTTTCTCAGGATTAACTAAAGGCATTCTTGGAAAGAGCAAATTGGAAGGTTGACGACTTCAAAAACTTACCCAAGGCAAAATGGCTTGGGAGCATCTCACCCACTCCCTTTACTTTGCTGTTGTTATTCACTATCCTGCTCAGTGATTGATTTGTTGAAAAAAATCCATATATGGCTCTGTTGTTCTCTCCCATCAACTGCCTAAGCCCTTTCTCCTACTGCCTCCATGTCAACTATCAAGCCAACATTTGCAATTTAAAACTTTGATTATGTTATGTCAAGTGTTTGTATAAATGGCTTTTTCATGTTGGCAAACCTTCTTTTAAACGCAATGGTTTTATTACAGCATAACTATTGTGAATGAAGGCAGGTAGCAGGTCAAGCTGTGTTGTGCCGGTTTTGTTGTTTCATTGAAGGTAGCTGTTATAATTGATCTCAGTGTGATGCTGCAAAAGAAGCAGATGGAGTTTTTCTAAAGCGATTCTCAGGATGAAAAATATCATCTCTTGGACGATCTACCAGTAGCTGGTTAAGAGACTGAAAGATTTTAAAACTGTCTGCTTTCATAAAACACCAATATCTCTTTACCCTATCTCCAACCTTTAATGTATAAAACCTTGACATTAACCTCTGGCATACATTTTCTTTAAACTGCGCTTGCATTGCTCTCCTCTTTAACTTTTATCTTACTAGACGATTAGTTAGAATTCACATTTCTGTTGAATTGATGGTAAAATTAGTCATTAGAAGCATCTCTAATGGGAATACCAACTACAACTTATCATTCTCTACACTCCCAAGGCACAATAAGCTAGCGGCTAACCATTGCAGTGAATGAGTGGCTCATCTGGTGGTGGCTTAATGTGTCAGCAGAGGTGGAGAATGGCCACAGGCAGAGGAACAGGGGAACTGAGCTCCAATGACTGATTGACAGAGTTTGCCAATGCAGCTACTAGCTTTCCAACCAATGTTACACCAGTTAGGGCTGCATAAAACAATTCCCTATTTTACTAGCCTTTGAAAGAATTAAAAGAATGTGAGCTGGTTTATGTAAAGTACCTTCCCTGTCAAACTGCATTCAAGACACATTTTTGTGGCGCTCTCACTGCCAGCCAGCATACTGACTGGCAAAAAAAAAATAAAGCTTGAGAGCTGTGAGTGAAGCAAATGTTTAGCATTTACACTGAGTGGGACCTCGCTTCATCTCAAAGCAGCGAAGGTAGGAGTTTATGCAAAGTATTTCTACTGTTTATGATGAAGCACACAACATGAATGCATTACACTTTTTATACACTTTTGATAAATAGGACAGCTATCTATTTCCTTATATTCTGCTTGCCTGACTGAGTTGCAGTTCAGAAAATGTCAGCTCCAAGGACTTGAAGGAATAAAATGACTACGGACTAAAATCTGCATTAAACCAAAAGCCCACATGAGGCTGGTCCCAAAAGAGAGTAAATTTCCATTAGGCCATATATGAACTTTACAACAGAATAATGAAGCCATTATAACACACAAGATGTGGGGAGGGCAAAAATAAGCAGAACAATCAATCTCCAAACCTGACCTGTCTTTTCAACGAATGAATAATTATGAACACAGATGTGAATATAGAGTCAAAAATGTATTTCCTTTTTCAGTCACATGGTCATAGCTAGATAATGTGCATACTGAAAGCTCCATTTGGGTAATTAATGGCGTGCTATCAACAACATCTCTACTAATTTGGATTTTCTTGTCAAGAATTTTCTTCAACTTTTTTCTTCATTGAAATTGAAATTCTCAAAGGGATATTCCGACATAAGTTTAAGTCATGGTCAAACTCTGTAACACTGAATTAAACACCCCCTCGAAAGATGAATCTTGCTAACCACTCGCTTCTCTAGTTACACCAACTTCGACAACGACCGCACGATATCGACACACAGTGGTCTATGTCTCGATGTGCAAACCTCAACCAAAAAGCCACTTGTAGCCACAAATAACACTCAGAACAGCACCTAACTTCATCAACAGTACATAAAGGGTCCTATCCATAGCATGAGCCGTTAAACATCTTTTTAACTTTGCCTGATTTCTTTAGCAAAGAGACTAAACATAACTCACCCACTCTCTTCCACCAGCTACTTGTTCGTAGGGGAGCCCTGGCGAGTCGATCACCGAGTACAGCGGAGTTTCGCAGCTCAAGGAAGAAAATTTATGAGTATTGCTTCATGGAAATACAATCAGACCAAGATGCTAAGGCAGAAGAACTACCGCGTCTGCAGTGCAAAATGTTTATTATGATGATGATTATCACTTCATGGAAATGACTGCATTTCCATAAAGTAAAAATCATGAATTTTCTTTCTTGAGCTGCAGAACTTTGCTGCACTCAAGTGGCTTTTTGGTTGCAGTTTGCGCGTGGAGACATAGACCGCTGTGTATTGCAATCCTGCGGTCGTTGCTTAGGTTGGGGTAACTAGAGAAGCAAGCGGTTGGCAAAATTAATCTCTCAAGGGGGTCTCTGACTCGTTACGGTGTGTTTGACCATAACTAAAACTTACGCTGGAATATCCCTTTAAGTCAGCACGACTGCCCACTCACAGGTGATGAACACACCTTCCAGTACACAGAGCGGCTTCTCCTACTGAAGGATTTAAAAATATGCAAAACACTTACATAACATTTCTAAATTATTAACTTCTTTATGTGGCTTAGACACAGAGTAGGAGCTATAAATGCCTTATGTAAGATCTTATATTATTAAAGAGGACAAGTTTCAGTAGTGTACGTGCTGAGGTCCAAGTGTGGGCTCATAATTGCTTAAGAGACCTGAGCTATTTATAGTTGTAGCACCCCACAACACTGACATCATGCAAATTTGTGTTATTCTGGCTCCTCACTGGGTTTGATTTTCCCAAAGCTCACTCAGAGACAGTCCAAAGCTGCCGATGAATCACGGGACACGTGAAATGCCAGTGAAAGGGACTGTAAGCCAATGCTGATGATACCATTGTAAGTCAATGGGAAGAAAAGCACTCAGCCAAACTCTACCATTCAACTACACCTTCGTTTAAATAGCTCACTGAGTGGTGAGACCTGCCCTCTTGGTTTTCCTCTTTTGGATTTGAGTTTTTAATAGCACATTGTTAAAATACTGGCTGGCATTTCATGTAGAAAAAGATAATGTCAAAATTAAGTCTCATATCTGAGAGTGTCGTGAAGAGGTGAAGCATGGTACCTTTGACAAAACAGCATGCTTTGGTAAACTGAAAAGGGAAAGCTGTTTCTTTTTACTTATAGTGGGGTTTTCAAAAAGTTCAGACTTTTGAGGTTTTAAAGAGTTCTTGAGTTGCGTAAACGTATGTGGTACAGATCTTAAATCAATATTTTAATAATTTGAGCATTATCGAGCAGCCCTACTTATTATATAGACATAATATAATTCATCAGTCTTGCCTCTCTGCTTTCTACATCTAGTTTCTCCAGTCTATCACTTGTTGGGGCAGGTGCTGTTCCTGGGAAGTTACAGATACCATAAATTATTTCCAAAAGTTAAAAAAACAGTTTCTAAAGATAATAGGACGGTGGGATTATTTTGGTGTGAAATGTAACAGGTTGATAGTAGCCCAATAGGAACTAGCTGAAAGGAGGCATAACATCACCCAGGGCTGCTGTGGGGAACATACTTCTGTCAGTGAATCAGTTCTTATCTGGTGTTAATGTACAGGGGTCAAGTTAAGATAAGCCATAACCATCGCTTGACCTTAACGTCTACGTAAACATTCTGTACCAACTTGTTTATCCCTGGTATCTGAGAGGATAATGTGGAGTGAACAGGTGGTAAATCAAATTAGGATCTTGACAGGGTGAGCAGAACTCAGATGCTAAGCAGAAGAGTCTTGTCTCACCCTGAAGGAGTATAATTATCCCTTATACATTCTCCCTTATTCAATAAACTAAATTTATATAAAACCAGGTTTACACTGCACGTAAACACGTTTACAAAACAGGTCACAATGGGTCCAGTCTGATGTAATCTCCTTGTCTGACAATATCACATTCTGACATAAAGGAAAGATTTTACTCAAGGCTACATACAGACCCTCAACCATTTTTGGTAGAATTGCTCTTTTCAATATACTTAACAGATCATTCATCCCTGCACAAAGACACCATTTACTGAAGATAAAAAAACAGTTCTGGGTGCACATCCTCACAGTCCCCTCTACTCTCAGTTTTTCCTTGCATTCACTCGTTCTTGTTCATCTCGTAGAGAGCACACTCAGAGAGGACATCAGCAACCTTCACAGCAGCATCTCTTTGAGCGCATGCTCGTTCAACACGATGCTGCCTCTTCACAAATCAAGCCTGAAATATTCCCTAGTGTTGACCTGCTCAGTTCCTTTACCTGCGTCACTGAAGCCTAAGACAAGATTCTGATTGATTGCTTTCAGCAGGGGAGCGGTGATGAAAATATCTACAGTCCAGAGAAGAAAAAAAAAAAGAAGAGATAGAGGCTACAAACACAGGACCAATACACAGCTGGGCTTTAAAAACAGGTTTTGTTCAAAATGTCAATTTGAGCTACCTCAACTGAACCAAAGGTTATTAAAAATCTCCCTGTGACACATTTATTTAAAGCCACAGAAAATTGTGAATCTGGAACTAAATAGCTGCAATTTGTCTTGCAATTGTCTCCATGAGATGTCAATAAGTGTTAAATTCTTCCCAGCTGTTCCTCGACTGATTTTTACATCTTCATTTCTTGGTTAAAAGGCTTATTTCTAAAAAGATACAAAAAAATTCTGTTGTTGATGAGCAAAGTTTCCAAATATGGAAATCGTCATTCGCTGGGATACTGTCTATGATGTGTAGTTGATTGATTGATTGAGGTTATTGATCATGTTTTTTTTTTTTTTTTTATAACAGAGGGAAGCAGCAGACTCGTGTGATGTCCTGAACAGAGCAGACATTAAAACACCTGACGTGGTTATGTCATCATAAAACGATCCAACTAATTTTACAAGAAGAAGATTAGAGGAGATATTTGTAGGCAGTGTGTACTGGAGCCATCGAAGCTGACTGTGCTGATGAGTTTGCCGTTACATGTAGATTTAAAAAGATGTAAAACATTAAAAAGGTTGTTGACATAACTAAAATATCATCCCACTCTCAGCCACAGAGCACACACACACACATACACACACACACACACACACACACACACACATACACACACACAGCACAGACCTCATTTAGCCCTTCATGAAGTTGTGTCAGTTTTTCAGTCCCGAGTTTTACCCATCACATCTTCAACAACTGCAAAGTATTTTAAGGTCGTTCTCAGTGTTTCCATGGCCTTTTGAAAAAAAGTTGAAAACTCAAAGCACAGTTGGTGGGACTGAAACTGCTTTCTTTGCCTCTCATTTATCAATGCATAATGGGTGTCACCAGGATCCTGAACAATGCACCTCCACAGCCCCCCTGTGTTTTTAAAGAGGGTCTTTGAGGTTTGGGTCTGATATCACAGTATTTCACAACCATGTAAAATACTGGTATGAGACAGCAACAACTTCGGATGGGATCATGATTTTTAAGATGATTATTGAAGCCAGTTTGAAAATAGTCGCATTTGCAAACAAAGTCAATTTGCACCGTTATTTGGTAAGATTAGCGTGTTAGCTTGTTTTTAGATGGACCAAATTTAACAATAAACCCTTTGAGATGTGAAGTAATGTGAAGAGAGCCTCACAAGAACCAACAGGACATCAAAACATAACTTATAACTATGATAACAGTAATATCTAGGGCTAAACAATTAATAACATTTTGTTTTGAAATCCATTCAGGTTTCCCTATTAGCAATGAAAATAGTAAGATCATCTGAATTTCCTTCAAAATATCTTCATTTATCTCGCTATGAATCTGAGAGAGCATGTTCCCTCTCAGTGGTGTGCATTTACCCTTCTATTCCCACTGATCTAACCAGACAGCAGATGGACTAAATCTTCTGGATGGCACCAGGAAAACAAACAATGACCAAATGAGTAGGATGGCAAAATGATTAACTTGTGATCAATGCTTTTTCTACGGCTGCAAAAAGTTCAGATATTCTAATTTTGGATTTAAACATCATACATAAATACATTTGTAGGTTTTGTTTGGGATCTGTTTGTGAAGGCCAGTGTACCCCACTGGAGCCAGGCTTTACACTCTCTTACCTGAAAACAGACTAACATCATTACATTTAAAGAAAAGACCATCAGTCTGTAAAAGAAAAGGTATCGAGATAGAGTCGAAATGCCTGTTAAAGGGCCTGTTTCCACTTGAGGAATTATTGCCTTTTTTACCTGCTAAAAACAATATAGTTTGGTGTTTTTGGTGTCAGTGTGCTCACAGACCGGTAACATCACTACACACACAAATATCACTTCTCTATCACTCAACTTTCAGAATCCACAACAGTGCTACAACATCATTTTTTAAATTTTTGTTCATATCTTTTCTAAGTAAAAGTTGATTTAAAAAAAACAAACAAATTTGATGCAGAAGTGCCACCAGACAACTTTTACAACCTGAGACTTTGGTGAGAAGTGCTCTGAAATTTAAATAATTGACACTGCCTGCACAAAAATGTTGTCTGTGGACACAGGCCCTTATTCTTACCAGATCTAGCGCAGTACACAGATCTTCTTTATAAAGTTGACTCATTATGCTACAACAGGATATGTGTGTGTCAAAAAGGAGGCCTGTATAGGTGTTCTATGTCAGCAATAGAAATTTTTTCAAGCATTTTATTACCTGCTGCTCTGCTGAGACAAGAAGCTTGGCTTCTATAGTCAGCTGATTGTAGACAAAACCTGAGACTGGTCAAAAGATCATAACCAAGATTGCAGCTTTCCCTTCGCAAAGTCAGCCAACCACCAAAACCACACTGTATTACTAAAACCGACACACAAATCAGATTTAATCTGGACAGGCCCTAAAACACACTGATCTTCCTTACCCCTCAGTGCCTTTACATGCACAGCTTTATCAGACTAAGCTCATAATTCGTTTTTTAGCCAATTCGGACTTCTCTCCTTGTCCGCATATACATGCAGCTGGGAAAATCGAATTATTGACCTCCTTCCCAAAACTAGGGGGCGATATGGGTCTTTTCAGCGGCGCTGTTTCTGGGTGACCCCACAAAACTGTCAACAACAGCAGGGTCGTGCCAGACGTCAGAAGTGGCTACAACTGCTGCTGGGCATTTTCGGGCAAGAAGATGGAGCATCGTATAGCCTGGTTTTTGCCGTACATTATGTGCGCGCTACTTTTTCTGCAGATAAGGTGTACACTACTCCTCGTGCTCATGGTTTTTGTTACCGGGTTACAGGGGTGTGGCGCACCCCTACATGCATTATCCAATCGTACTCTGACTACGCTGGTTACATGGTAGAGTAAATCGAATTCCAATCGCATTATCTGGGTGTCCTAATCTGAGTTCTCTGCCTCCAATAGGAGTTCTCAAACTCCGATTATAGCTGGACTAAGGTGTTTACATGCACTTCAGTTGTCCGGTCTTAATCGGAGTAAGGCAATAATTCGTTTTTCTCAAGTGTCATGTAAACGTACTGACCGTCAGTCTAACAAAGTGAGTGGATTTTACAGTAAGTCGGTACATTACACTGTCCTATTTTTAGGGCTGATATGGTGAAGAATATTCAGCTTTATCCAACAGCGTTTTGGACTGCTCCTGTCCTCTGTCTACCAATTATTACTGCTTTGGCTGTTGCCAGCTCTGACTGCCTGTTGCACTGTGTCACGTCATCATTTTGGAAGGCATATAGAACAAAATGGTAGGCATCAATAAATGAACTGTGAAGCATTAAGACATATGATGTTTATGGCTGGGAAAAGGTGGATCTGGATCTATTATTTGATTCCCATCCTAAATTAGCAGCTCAGTATAAAAGCTCACAAATGTCAGATGTGATGACAGATAAACATAAACACATTATTTGCAGATGAGCCGATGTTTGTCAGCAGACAAAACACAGGCTGATATTGATGTTGAATCGCTGCATCAGTTTCTTTTCTCATTTAAGCGACCCTGGTGATTGCTTCGCAGAAAAAAAATGCATTCAATTTGCCGTTTCTTCTTGCCAAACAAGACTGAGACTGTATGAGTAGCGGTAACCTTATCAAAGGTTTCTATGGTGATGACTTAGTCAACACAGCACTCGATGTAACATTAAGTGTATAATGCATTCAAACTGTTAATATCACACTAGTATATGAGTGTGAGACTGCCATATGCTCCTGTGTAAATCCAGAGTTCACCTGACTTGGCTTTTCAATGATGCCTGCTGCCTTTTTAAATGAAAAAACTTTATTGTGGGCACAGCTACCGCAGAGCTCCAAGTGCTGGGTAGTAATAGCAACAACAAGGATGGTGAAAAGCAGAGAACAGCACGGCTCAAAATGCAGGAGACAAATCCTATGAAAGGCATAGGCCAGTATCGTTCGGGGAAGAAAGAGGCTTTTAAATAAATGTCCAGAGGTGAAATTATTCTCCTTTTTTGATCTGTAAAACTGCGTTCAGGTTCACACCAACATTCAGCAGTTTACTTTTCTGAGGACGAGGGAGTAGAGGGGAGAAAGAAAACACCCTGTTGTGTGAATGCTCTGCGTGGGCTGCCAGGGTCTTTTACTCAGGCTTCCAATAATATTGGTTAATTGCTAGATTTCTCCATCCTCTCTCAACTTGCATCAGGAGTGGGTGTGGAAGAGTTTACAGCAAGGGTATATTGCTGCTGACAGAATACAGTGTTCTCATTCTATGTCTCTCTCTTAATTGTCATTCCCTGCTCACAGGCACATTTCTCTGGCAGATTCCCTTGAGAGAGGTTTCCCCAGAATCTACGTAAAAGGATTCCTTCCCACGCCATGGTCTTAGGAACATCTCATTTTCATCCTCCCGCGCCTTGCTCATGCTCACACACACTCCCTCTCACCCTGGCATTGTGTCCTCGTGTCTCCCTGTTCTCTCACTCTCATGTTTTTTTCGCTCTTGCTCTTTCTCGCTCTCACTACATCTTAACTTCTCTGGGCTTTTCTCTTCCAGCCCCCCTTCCTCTTCGTATCTTATAGATCCTCCGTGGGAGGCAGCATCTCCCTCACACTGCAGGCGTGGGCCCTTACTCTGACAAATGACATGCCGGGGCCCACCAGCTTTGCGTGGGGGGAGAAAAGCTTTAAGTTAAGACTAAGGCCTGGATTTGATTGGATGCTGAAACTCAGGGGCTGTATCTTGGCAAGCTGTGTTTGATGGGGCTCAGGAAAGAAAGTGAGAAATACAGAAATGACCGTGTTACTATATCACACCTACGGTATTGTTTGAAGAAATAATGGCTACAAACCGAACAGTGCTCAGAGTGGTTAAGCAGTCAGTTATGACAATAAAAGTTTATGACCAGAACATGATATAGCATAAACAGTTGTCCAGTTAGCTTATAGAAAACATAAGCTCCACCCTGTGTTTTAGTCTGGTTGATGTGTTTTCATAAATCACTTACGAGTGTTCCTTGGCCAGCTGCTCTGCCAGAGAAATGGCTGCAGGATCCCGGTCTAAGGCCAGGACAGTGACTTCAGGAACTGTATTCAATATTGCTTTGGTATGACCACCACCTCCGAATGTCATGTCCAGGACCACCTACATGTGAAAAAGACAGAAAATAACACACTGTTCACACAGCAGGAGTCTATATACAAAATTATTCATCATCCTATCTTGGCGATGTTGATTTGTCATCCAAGTTTGAGCCTCAGTGTTGCAGTGTGTAACTCAAAACTGAAGTTTTACAGAAAATGAGAGGGAGACAGAAAAAAAGTTGGAGAATCAGTCTCACTTCATTACTAAATGCCAAGGTAACTTTTGATTTCACTGTGGATATAGTTACATGTTTAAAGGTAAACTTAACATCGGGTCAAACACACTGGAACACCAAGTTAGACACCCACTCGAGGGATGAATGTTGCCAACCGCTTGCTTCTCTAGTTATACCAACTTTAGTAACGACCGCAGGATATCTTTGCTAAAGAAATCAGGCAAAGTTAAGTAGATGTCTGGGGGCTAGTACTATGGCTGGGACCCTTTACGTACTGTTGATGAAGTTAGGTGCTGTTCTAAGCATTATTTGTGGCTGTAGAGTGGCTTTTTGGTTGAGGTTCGTTTATGGCTCCTCAGACCGCTGTGTATTGCTATCAAGCGGTCGTTACTAAAGTTGGTAAAACTAGAGAAGCAAGCGGTCGGCAACAGTCATCTCTCGAGAGGGTGTCCAACTCAGTGTTACGGTGCGTTTGACCCTAAATTAATTTTACGCCGAAACCTCCCTTTAAGCTAAATTAATATAATCAATATCCAATATTTTTGATAAACGAAAAAGTCTGTTTGTAAAATAGATTAGAGGAATTATTGCATGTTGGATTCATAATGAATCTGATTTTTAGTGCTGGTATGATGTTGGTTTATATAAACACAATTACATCAACAATGTAAAGCTTAACAGAAGATTTTTAAGGGAGGTTAAAGTCCTCATTATGTTTTTTCTTTCTCTCTTCTTGTTTCTGTCCTTTGTATTTATAGGCTTTAAACTCTTGGCCGACCACTCAGGACTTGACTTCTGTCTATCAGGCGCACGCGTAGAACGCTAGGCCACAAGACTTAAGTCCCAAGTTTTAAGCTTTGATTCTATCTTAACTTTTTATAACAAAAATAAAAATGATATCAATACAAACAAGTTCAAGATGTCCGAGTCAACACTTCACACACACACATGGACCCAAGTGACCCCCTGACATGTAAAAAAGTGTCGCCTGTAGTCACAGGGACAAAGCTCTGATACTTTTCACTCCTGGACTTTGAACAGGGAGATTGTAATGCCAGTGTCAAAATGGAACTGTCCTGATTTTAATGTTCAAACACGCCCTGACTACTGGGAAGCCGTTTTTATCCAAGATGTGATACACAACCCACTTGGCACTCACTAAAAAAGGAGCTCCTGAAAACCCAACAAACACTGAGCGCCAAATTTTAGCCAGAGAGACTTTGGAGAGATGTAATTCAACCAAAGCTGCAGGTGTAGGTGGTACCCTGGCATTTGAATAAAACAATGTGGCTAATGAACCGCTTTTGTATTTGGAAGGTGTCATCTCAAGATGAGGGTGAATCTGCGGATCACAGGTGAAGTTTGATCTTTTTAAGCACCCACATGTCACTATCACAGGTTGGTTGAGGCTGGTTTAGAAGGTTAATGACTGTTCTTGTGGTGGCAGGCTAGAATTCATTATTACAGAGCTGTTTTAAGTGCTTCGGTCTGATTGGTCACATGGATCTGCCATTACTTGACAGCAGGCATTGAAAGAAGTCGGGTAAATCGGTTGGTTTGTTCATGAACTGAAAACAAAAATAAAAAAAGTGACAATGGGAATGCAAAAGGAGTAAAAGGCAAAAACTTGAGGCTGCAACAGAGACACATAGAAGTCAATGAAAAACCGAACAGGGTACAGATGTATTCAAGGTCTAATGGATGGCAAAGAAAATATCACAGACTAGGACAGGGATAAGGCAGAACATTTCAATCAGGTGTTGACTTAATTTATGTAATTCTGTAAGCATGTTTTAATTTACTGACAGTTGAAATGTGAATTTTAATGCGAGAAATAAAAGCTGAGCTAGCCCATTTAGGAAAGCTACAGACTCAGCATTAACATGGACACAGCTTAAACGAACTTATGAACTTTGCTCCGACCATTTTAAATCAAGAAAACCGTATTTGTAAAAGTATTTTGTGGACAGATATTGTTTTAAAAAAATGTCCAATCCACTTTAACATTCCACTCACTGTACAAAACCCTAACTTCTACAATTTTCAGAATGACCATTTAAAGGGTGTCACTGTGGCTGGAATGTAACACTGAGATATCTCTTCCATTAAATACACAAATATACCATCATAAAATTAAACGGAACAAGCGGCAAACATTCGTCATCGATCAACGGGGCAACACCTTGCAGTCTCCATTATTTTGTCTGTTTCAAGTCTGAACTCTGCTGGAACAAGACCTTCAATCAAAAGTTTCCCAGAACAGTCGTATGTCCATATTTTCGATGAAACGAAAAAGCTGCATAGACTTCTGTATTCCCTGATTTACTAGAAGAAAGACCCCAAGGTTTGATTCAATCCATGGCTGAATAAAGGAGGACATTACTGCAGAAGTAGAGGTTGATCTCTTTATAAACTGTCACCAGTTAAAGCGATCACACAGTTAGATCGATCAATTAAACACCTAAAGAGATGAATCACACAGATCCTGATAGATCTGTTTCAAATGTAACTGGAATCAAACCAAATATATGTTACTGAAAACCTGACGGATAAAAATCTGGGACGGGAAAAACTCATTTTCTATAATTCAGATTAGATATTGGTGACTCCGGAAAAGAAAGAGACAATTTTTCTATTAAGAAGCAAAGATATCACTGGATATCTGCTGAGACTGATATATGGGAATAGGATCGCTGAAAAATAATGAAAATGTTCAAAACCTCTTTGTATGGCTTTCAGCTTGTATTGATGAATCACCATGTCTTCAAAATATGTGATTACCTACGCTGCCCTATACTAATACTGCAGAAAACTTGTGTGATTGCATGTCCGTGTTACGTGTTCAAAGATATGTTACCCATCACAAACCTTTTTTACAAACACATCTTGAGAGAAAAGAGAGAGGGGAAATGTTTCATCAAGGAAACGTCAAATACCTGCCACAGCATCTTTTCTGTTTGTCAGGTTACTTTAAACTCTGCGGCATTCAACCAGCAAAAACACAACTCCCGTCCAGACATATTTACTCCTATATTCCTTGACTGCCTCTGATAGAAAAAAAAATGTACAGCCCTGCAATGACAGCACATCCTGAGACTGTTTGATTTGATAGTATTATGGTTCACTTTTTACTTCTTCCATTTCTGCATTGTGATTTATTCCATTGTCAGCAAATGGTCGGGAACAGATGTAAAATGACACAAAAAGGAAATGCCAGCTATTCCCCACAAAAAAACATTAAACATGTCGATCGATAGTGACGTTGAAGGTGGGGTGTGTGCGTGCATGTGTGAGGGGAGAAGTGATCAATGGCGGTTCCCTCTCCTTTCCAGCGCACAGCAGCAGATGGGGAGGGGGTGTGGGCTAGTGGGATGAGTCACACGCATAATGAACTTGCCTGTTGTGCTATTCAATACAAAAAAAAAAAAAGAAAGGGAAAAGGAAAACAGAAACAAAAACAGCAAAGTACGCTGGCTTTTACCCAAACAGTCGACACAAGCAACCGGGGAGAAGAACTATTGGAGTGTTTGCAGTGATTGCCACAATAATATTTGGTCACATCTTCAGGGGGCTGTGGCCAAACCAACAAAAGATAACTGTCTTGATGTGCCATAATAAAAACAATGACACTAATGCTTCATATTTCTGCATGGGTTTGGTTTAGAGGGGGGGATCTAAAAACTTCTTTATTCACATTTCTGTCTCTGCTGCACAAACACTTCCCCCTCTTTACAAGGTTTGGTACGAGTTTCACCCCCATCACTCACTCACACACACTACAAATTAATAACAAAATCAAGTGTTGGCAAGCCAAACTGCAGAACTGGATGTTCACAAGGTCATTTATGAGCTAAATTAATACTCTACTTCAGTCACCCCGAGGGAAAAACAAGCTTCTTCAGAAAGCGCTGAATGCCTCCTCTTTGCTGCTTCTGCCACCAGTTGGACAAAACAACTTCTTGAAAAGATTTAGGAAATAATGGGGTTGGCATTTTTTGTGATGATGATTGACACCAGACTGAGGGAGTGAGTCATCCCCATTGATACCACATACAGACAAGCATCAGTGAGCTCTCACCTACACCAGACCCTGCTAGAAGCAAGGCGGCTGACTGAAAAATTAAAGAAAAAAAAAAAAAGGAAAAATTCACTGTAGTGTTGTGTTTTGGGCTAAGTTTAGGGTGTGCAATATCTGCCTTTCCCAGCAGAGGGAATAGGAGAGTTAGGAGTGGTTCAAGTGGTGCAGTCCAACAGAGAGGCTGCAAGGTGCTACAATGCAGGACACTCCAGCCGTCACCCCACAGCAGCCTCAATGAGAGCTTTTCTTCCCTAACAGAAAAATAAAACGCTCTCTTTTAGTTGGTCCCATCGCAAATAAGGGAGGGATTAACTATTAAGAGAGATTGTATGCACAGATATGAAATGGGAAAGTCTTATTTTTGCATCAGTAAGATTCTGCAAACACAACACAGCTGAAAAAACAGTAAATAATATCCTCTCTGTATGGAAAAAGGGGGCCTCTTCTCAAGTCTTCTTCTGGTTGAATTCATTAGGAAAAGGGGAACAGGAACCTGAGAGAAGCCTGAGTACTCACCTAAATCCTACTTGTGACTCCCCAGCCCAGGTCAGTTACAGTGGGGGATCTAAAATGTCATTGAGGGGAGTTTTTACAGATCTTGTTACACCAACACACAGACCATTAGGGAGACAGATACACAGGTACAGGATCGCTTTTCTTGTCGCGTCCGTTGCCATGGCAAGAGTGGAGGTAACCGGTTTGCATTTCTTTCTCTGTCACACAAAGTTCATGGCAAGACACAAGTGCCCACACATTTTAGCTGGTTTTGCAGCATGAGAGCATGTTATGAACAGGCAAAGGTGAAGGTTGTCTTTATGGGAATAAAAGTGTTTTTTTTTTTATTGAATTGATCGATGACTCTAATGTCTGAATGGCTGCTGCAGTCGCACCATTTACCGTGTACCGTACATTACTTTTGTACATAAAACTACTGCTGTGCTCAAACTGAAGTAAGGATATCTTTTGATTACAGAAACTTTAATCAATCAATGAGACGATTTTTGTATGTATCAAATCACAGCCAAAGCTCTTAAAAGAGTCTCTACATACAATATTGTGCAGGCCGGGACTAATCTTTGCAATTTTATTAAGATGGAACATAAATCTAGACTCAACAAACAGTGGTGAGAAAGAACTTCTTTTTAAAGGGCAGAAACCTTGAACAGAACCAGACTGATCAGAAAACTGGGGCTGTCCTCTACCTTTAAGTCATGCTCTCAGACCGCACTGGTGTAGCAGTATAACATTTCAGGTCAAGATCATGAGGCCCCTTTTCTTTACACTTATTGAATCTATAAACAAAGACACTGGTGAGAATTGCTTTAGATTGTTAAAATAGGATTAAAAAACTCTTTTAAAATGTAAAATAATGGAATGGGATTACAAATGTGATTGATCGAGATTAGCACTTGAATTCATTTACGAATTGAAAGTTAGAAACCTGTTAGACTTACTTAACTGTGGATTTAAATAATTGAAACAATCTCCTACATCTGTAATGTTATCTGTTACCTGAAAATATATAAGAAACCATGTGCAGTATTAGTGATCTATTCAACATATTGATTCCAGGTACTATATACCATTTTGTTATCATACGTTCTATTATAATTGATAATTGCTCTATTGCTATGTTGTTGTCTTGTCTAGATGCTTTTCTGCATGTAACTCTAAACTTCTTATTTTATCTTACACTTCATGCTTTTGAATACCGTTTTCATTTGATCCTCTCTTGTGTTACCCATATTTTTGACCTGTAGCCGCACGTACGTTTCCTTCTAACAAAGACTAACAAAGTTCAGTCTTATCTTAGTCTGAATTAAGAGTTTCCAGACAGGAGGTGGAGGTGGGGGTGGGGGTGGGGTGCGGTGGGGAAAAAAACAGATGGCCAGTGAGAGCAGACAAACTCAAAAGGCATAAAAGCTTCCTGCAATTACTCTGTCAATAGAATATGTTGAAGGCGATCAGTAACGTTTGACACGCATGCACCATTTTGCCTCAACTGCTTGAATTGAAAGTGCCCTAAACACACCCGTATCTCTGGAAGTCAACACGAGAGAGTGAGTAAATGAGTGAGTGAGTGACTGAAAAAGTGGTACAGGAGCACAAAATGTTGACAAAACTCATCGCCTGAGGGCTCCTTCCAAATGTGTCTCTGTATGTTAAAGTAATCTCTCTTTTGTCAGAGGAATGCTGCAGAGTTGCAACAAATACTTTCATTCCTCATCTATTCAGAGCTGTTTGCACTCTTTTGGCACAAGTGTAAACAAAGGCTCCTGAAAAGGTATTTGAGCTAGTTAAGACACAACATGTCTACGCGTGCTAAGACAGCCTTTGCCCACAAAACCGCCCACCCCAAAGATTGTAGGTCACTTCCAGACAACCCAAAGACAGAATCAACAATATCTTTTTGAAGCACTTAGCTATGAATATAGCTCAGATGTACTGAGGGTCTGTCAGAGCTTCATTAGTTTTAGTATTGTTTTAATATTTCTGTTCAAAGTTAAAATCAGTAAGATGGGAAAACTTGGGAGGAAAAAAAAGAGACCCAGCTGTTTCAGTTAGAGTGCTATTAGAGCGCACTTATAATACCAGTCATGATATTTCATCTGTGATTTAATCAGTATTTTTCTTATCTTTGAGTATAACTGAGGATAACTTTCAAAATAAGAGCAGCTTCATCTGAGGCCTCTTCTCTGGGCTCTCTGTGTCAAAATAAGATGCTATGTGGATATGGGAAGGCTCCCTGATGGCTGTATCTCTCTCTCTAGTAAGTGCCTGGGGTTGTTTAGCTCTGAGAGGGTACATAGAAATCATACAACAGGTCTGTTTATGTCTGGTGTCTGAAGTATTTTATTTATAGCTATGCAAAGCATGTAGCTGGAAGGAGTTTGTCTATCAAGCAGCCCTCCACATCGTTCAACATGAAATTGCCATTAAATTTCCTTTTGATATTCATGCTACCCAAAGGAGAACTTCTAATTAGGGAGATGTTATGGTGCTGGTTGTAGGTGACAAATGATTATGAGCAGAACTACCAGGAAAGTGAGTTGAAGTTTAGATTATGGAGATAAGACCTCTGAGTCATAGCTTCGTATCTACAACTACAATGCATAAGACATTAGTCATACTTGTTGCATCTGCAGTCTATAGACTCTCCTCCTCACCCTCAAGAAGCTCTCGGCTGCTCTGGAAGGACATTTAGAGACGACAACTTGTTTAAGTAAAGCATGACTTCATCCACCTATGAGTCTATTCTGGTTCTTTGTCTTTCGTTTGTCTAATTTCAGTGCCAGTCACTGAACTGTTTCTGTTAGGTCTTGGAAACACGTACACACTGTTTGTTTTTTTCATGAAATGCTCCCACAACTTCTTGCGTGTGCACACAGGTAGAACGGCTGCACAAAGGTAAACACTCCTGCTGATCAAACAAAACCTAATGAGGGCATGATGATACACACTGGGGTACTATATGAATCCTACTGACGTGTTCACACATATTTCCAAAGTTAAGAGTTGCGAATGTGGATTTAAGCTTTATTAATGATTTAAAATACCAGCAAAAAAAAAAAAACACCAGACACGAACAAGCGGTCTTTAAACATGTCTTGTTATTATGTCCGTTCTTCTATTCTTGAATAATCAGCAACAGATCACAATCCGACCAATACCAAACATATAACAGAAGCAACCACAAGGTTCTGCTGCAAGCCGAGCACCTTCCCTTGAAGGAAACGAGTCACACAGAGAAATTTGAAAATTGTAGTAGATATGTAAACCCATCATAATTCACAAGGATAAGCTATGTGATACAGTGTAAACACTGTGAAAAGGGTGCAGCCACAGACACCAGAAGTGAGAGTAACTTGGTGATCATCTTCTAAAAGCCCTTCACTGGGAGAAGTCCATCTGTGTCTACTGTATACGTTACTCCTTCGCTTTCTGTCCTTCCAGGAAAGTTGAAGTTAGAGCTCCATCTTTTTCTTGAGGCATCCCTTTTTTGGATTGGTCTGCCCAGAACATAGATTACTGGTCCAAAGATGTGTTTGCTCCCAGAGTGTAGAGCAAGACAGAGGACATACTGGAGAACTATCTAAACAATTTCAGGAAGCTGACTAGTCAGGGTAGTTGGTCATGTTGTCTCCAAACACCATATATAGCAAATTTCAGGCACAATCTGGGCTGTGACGAAACACATGGACATGGGCGAGTGTCTTTATGTTCCTTCTGGTGTCACCTTGTTTTGAATGTAGGAACGAGTTTGAAAAACTCGTAAAAACACGACCATTTATCAATTTCTTAACCATGTGTGCAGAAAAGGATGGAAATCGTTGGTTTTTATCAGGTATTTTGTGTTAGAAAAGTACTGTATAGGTCAATAAAAGCTGTAAAAACTGACTCTGTGTAAAGTGATGGATCTACAAAGAGTACCTTTTGTCCTCTCGAGTTTTTCATTTGCTCTCTCAGAACGTGTCTACATTTCTTATACAGTTGCATTTTTTCACAGAATAAAGGTAGGGGGGATGAAGGCCAAGACTTTTTCATTTCAAGTTGTTCAGCCAAGTCAAGGTTTAGCAGCAGCTATACAAGCAACCTTTAGTTGTCTATTATAGTAGATGTGCATAAAAAAAATCCACATTGACTGAAAATGAAACATACAGAAAAAAAAGCTGAGCAGAGAAAAGTTCATCAACAAGTGATCAAACGAGAAACTTCTACTAACCGTCAGACGTGCTGAAAATCTATGGATGGCTAGGAAACAAATGCAAAGCATCTATACTCTGGGGATTTGATAATAAACTGTAATCATAAGGCCCTTCAGCATTATGAAGCTGTTTTAACAGGCACTGGGATGGGCAACCACAAGCAGAAACTAAAACTGCCGTGAACTCAAAATCGTAATTCAACAAATTCCCAGCAGCTGACACTTGACCACAAGCAGAGTAAGGCTAGTTCACAAATATGGTCCATTGACTAGCATCTAAAAATCAGATGCTTCAGATTTTTAGCATCTAAAAATCAGACAAGATATATTATTTGCAGAGAAGATATCTTCCATAAAAAGAAAGAACACAGCTTCATTTGTAGGGATAGAAAATTGGACATAAGACTGAGATCCCACAAACTTGAAGCTTGTTGCTTTGTGTATTACTTTTTTGGAAACTTGCATAGATATGTTGGAGTTGGATCATTTTTAACACTCTGTACCCAATATGTCATTGTTGCTGTCCAAGGTGCTGATCTAAGGGCATCTAGAAATGTTGTCAAAAGACACTAGGGAAATGAGCAGCCATGATTCCCCAATCACGTTTTGTTGCAGGGATGGCAGCAGAAATCTCAGAGAAATGAACAAAGCTTAATGCATAAACGTTAAACTACGGCTGGATACCGCTTGAGAAAATCCAGCATGTTTTGGTCACACAAAGGAGTAACCAAGCTATAACCTGAACACTGAACCACAGTATTAAATGCACAAATCTTATCTGGAGCAGTTTAATATCACTGATAATGCGGTTTTATTCTACTCAAGACCGCAGATTTACTCAAAGATAAATGTGCATCAGACAGGGGAGGAAAATAATCATGACTACGCTATCACAGTATTATGTTTGTGATAAAGTTATTCACATGAGTTTTTCGCTAATATCTGTGTTGATGAGGCCTTGGGCGTTTATATAAGCTTATGTAGCTGGTCAGGTAGTGTTAATACGCTCACGGCAAGAAAATCGACAATGCCCGAGATCAGCAAAGCATCACATCGTCTCAGCCTCTGAAATCAAGTGAAAAAGTGTTCTTTTTGCTCACAGGGCTTTGCTAATCCAATAAAGTTGCATGAACAGAGGAGCCCAGATTTCTGTTAGTTATCCCAAATTTTCATATTTCTCCCCACTACCTGTCAGTGGGACCCACTTAGGCATGAGTGTGTCTGAGAAAGACTTTAGTTCATTTGATACTGTTCTAATTCATAAAACATACAAAAAACAAACAACTGTTGTGTGGCAATCAGTGTGCTGGGGGAACATTGTTGCACCCAGATTTTCTGCAGCTTAACCATTTGTTTCACAGCAAAGGAATCAGTCAGCCCTTCAGAGCACAGATTATTTATCACTTTATCTCCATTTCAGGTCAGTGTCGCTGAAGGAAGATGCCAAGCCCGAGGCCCTAATGACTGCTTATTGAAAGGATGGTTGGGTGGTTGTTTGTCTTATTGAAAGGACTGCATTTAAAACTATTCCTTTAAATCACACAGTTGCAGTAGATCCTGTAGTTGTAATGGAAGACATGAAGATGAATTGTACCATGTTATTTAGGGTCTAGATGTTGCAAGTGCCATTAAAAACCTAACCTGCTCTCAAGCACATTTTATTACATGATATGGTGTTTAATTTTGAGGTGCTGGAATCTCTTTGGCTCTCTATTTCTTTCCTTTCTTCAAAAAGATATACAGATAATGCCACGGCAGCTGTACTATGCTCTAAGGCTACATTTGTTTTATATTTTAGTAAAAACCTTCCTGCAAAAGGGAAAACCCCCTTCTCTATCCTCCTCTTCATAAAGCTTATAAAGCTCATGTCAAGCATCCGCCCACTTCAAGGAGTCCTGAGACCTGCTCTTACGCCATAGTGGAGCTAAGGAGATCCCTGGAGGAACAGGGATAGCAGGCACTTGTAACTTCTCAGAAACCATGAGCCAATAACTCAATATTTACTGTACGTGGGCAACCCCAGGTAACGATTAGTCGCTCTACCATTTTATGGGCTGTTTGATTTCTGCAGGATATATGAAAACATCTAGATGATAAAATGACCGTAGATTTCTCTGAAGCTATTTTAAAGGCCATCAATTTTACGATCATAATTGAGGCACTATTCAATTAAGTTTCAGCTTTGAATGAATTCTGAGGCGATGCAGGAACGTGTTCACGTGTTCCCATCTGAATTTGGAGCCACTTTATGACCAAAACATCCTCCGAGCGGAGGATTATCATGGGCACTGTAAGTCAATCACATTATTGAGGAACAATCTGCTTGTCAAAATTATTTTAATGGCTTTTTTGTTTACTTTGCAGGTTCTAAACCTTTACAAATAAAGAGATTTAGAGGGGGACGGTAAAGCATTGTGGGAATCTAATTCAGAGGCAATGAGTGACAGGTGGAGAAGAACTGATTGGATACTGAAAGGAATAGAAAGGGAGGGACCTGTACTGTGTGCATGAGTCATCACTCTCCACCCCCACCCCCCCAGCCAAACTGTCTGTTTTTGTCTTGCAGGTTAGAGATTTACTGAGCTACATTACCTCTGATGAAGAGGTTCACTTTTGCATAACACAGGATGCAGACCTGAACAAGCGGTTTATTGTGAGTAGCATAATGTGTCAGATTTGCAGATGTCACACAATAGAGGTCCAGTGACCATTAAAAATGCGTCACTACAAGATGTCACAACAGCGTGAGTGTTAAGTGTTTTTTCACAGTCACACGTCAAAGGTGTGCCAGGTCTACTGCAGCAAAGAAACCCTTAAATACATTTTCTTCTACATATTCTGATTTATCACTTAAATATGCAGAAAGAATTTTTCCAACCTGATCCACATGGAAGATTCTTCTGTTAACTCAGCACAGAAGCTCAAAGAAATACATCTCTACATCAACACAGCCTCTGTGCTATGCAGCTCTGGGAGTCTCGTTCATGATGATCATGTTAATGTTTCCCACAGTGTAGCAGGTGAGTTAGGGGTTAAAAATCAGGGCCAGGGGGCTGCAGTGTGTGAAATCCTCATCATTTCTTTGATTAGTCCAATCAAATCACAATTGTCAGGGCTGAGCTTGTTGATTCATACCTGAGCAGACCGTATGTAACTTATCTTACATTGCATCATGAATTTGTTTTTCCGATAAGCAGAAAAGAAGCTCACTGCAGCATTTGTGTGAGACCACTGAAGCCCTCCACTCAAAAATGAGCATTGCTTAGTGTTCCTTGGCTGTTTGCCTTTTACTGTCATAACTGAGGGGAGTGTTCAACACTCGAACCCTGAAAAAAAAAATCTCTGCACTACCTTTAAATCGGAGTTTGTTTGACAAAGCAGGGCTCGTGACATCACAGATAGCCTTGAGACGATGTGGTCCTCTATGAGACTTACACAAGTGCAAAGCTGAAGCATGTTACCTCCAGGAGACAAGTGCTGAAAATTGAATTTTCAATGAGACATTTAAAGGTTTGAATGAAAGATATTTGCGGATTACTAGTGCAGAGAGATTTGAATAAAAGTGTAGGATGTAGTTTCAAGAACGCTGACTGGAGTCAATCAACATTCTAGTGGAAAAACTGCATCAGAAAAAAAGCATTTTATCGAGCGGAATATTTTCATGTCTTATGACGTGTCTGGAGGGGATCTTTGTGAAGACAATCACACACTCACATTTCAGGAATATGGTGCACACTAAATTTTTAGTCTGACATTGACAGGCTGCTCACTCTATTTGAATAAACCAAAACATATGCAAGGGTACAGTAAAGCTCTCCGGATTTTGTATGCAAATTCACTCTGTTGAAGCCTTTAAGTGTTTTGTGAATGAACACCCACAGAGAAGGCCACTTCTCTAGTTTGCAGCATAAATGTTTTCACTCTTTCTCAAACACTAGAGACCGTCATATGGGCACATACTACATGCCTATGTATAGTAACCTGACCCCCTTACAGCTACCTAGATGTGGTTAAAGTTTGAGGAATTATACCTTCATAGTAGGGCTGGGCGATATGGGAAAAAGTTTATCACAATATATTTTTTTCATATCAGTCGATATCGATATATATCACAATATAAAAAATGAAATTTAACAGTGCTGATTGGTAGCATGTCTTTTGCAATACAATAAGCTACTACATCTGTGAGGTCTTTGTGTCTCTTCGACGTTTTGTTGTAAGGTGCTGTGCTAGAGAAAGCATAATGGTCGGCCATTTCGGCTGCACAGGCGCCATGGGCTCCTTGCTCCACCCGGGGGTTTGTAACCTTTGGCATTACGCGTGCTCTGCCGCGTGGCACTGCTTTAGGTGGTGAAAGATTTGAGGTATTCCCCGACTTTGCGAGAACATGACCCCGACATTATTTGCAGGCACATTACTCTGCTCCATGTCCGACCTCAAAAAACCAAAATACCTCCACACCACCGACATTGCATGTAGCTGCAGCCTGCTACGACGCAGCTGTTTTCTACTTGGTTCTATTTCAACCCATGATTGGTTCAACGTGAAGCAGACCCAGAGCAACTCCCCTTTTCATTGGCTACTTGTATAGTCTACCAAAACATGGCAAAATGCCGACTAAAAAGCATATTGACTATGTTTCACATCAATATTGAGGAAAATTAAATTTTGATATATATCGTTATCGTTTTATCCCCAGCCCCAGTTAGTATTCCAGCCTGACAATGGACAACACAAATATTGAAATGGGAGATGTGGTGATGTTAAGGTCAGGAAACAGCTGATTCACAATTACACAGTCACAACTGAGGAGATGCAAACCCTATTCTCAGCTGTCCAAGAAAACACTACACACTGTATCTCTCTCTATATATATATTTATGCCACTCCTCCCCAAAGATTTAGCTGCCCTGTATGTCACACTGCCTAAAGCTTTGGGACTGAAGGTAAACACAAGCAGCTTTAGGCAGTTTAAACTCCCAATGCTGTTGTTCTCACAAAAGAACCGCCTCAAGAGGCGATTCAACTGTCTTGTTTTCAATCTGGTTGTCTGACCTTGTGAGCTGTTGTTCTGACACACCTACAAATTTGCTCAAAAACAAAATATGGACTGTTAACATCGAGTAGAAAGCAATTTCTACAAACTGAGACAGAAATGCCAAAAGGCTATTGCTTTGTTTTAACCGGAAACATGAAATAAGGTCAAAAATGAAGCAGTGAATCTATTCAAAATGATTACTTGCTTCATTGCTCTTCTTCACTGCTCTGAAGGATTTCTCTCAAGAGTGACACCAATGTCAATACAGTGTGCTGAGGAAACAATGCTAACTTTATAGAGCCCGAGAGAAAGTGGGAAAAAAAGGGGGTGGGATCATCTTACTATATTCACAAAATGTAAAGAAGCATCAGGAAAGAGGGCTTCCTCTCCTGAAGCTGAATTTCATGGTACTAAAGGAAGACAAAAGAAAAACAGGGCCAAGTCCATTAAGGAGTGCAAAGAGGAGTCAAGCTAAATGAAGGCTCCGCGGTGAGAGGCCTGGTAATAGAGAAAAGAGATCTAGAGGCATTTAAGAAGATGCTTCCAGTAGTTTGAATACTGGGTTGACACAATGATATGAAGTGAAAGGAACTAGGGAATGGTTTGGGGGGCAGTGGCGGTTGCTTGGGGGAGGGGTGGTTTCACAGGGACGCTGTGCAGAGCTGTGCTGATGAAGTTGCTTTTAGCCTTTCCATGACTTATATTATCTTCAGTTAACCAATGTTTGTACTTAATGTAAAAAACACTGACTCACCGCATACATACCACAATGTGTTGAATTTTTCTGTTGTCCTTAATTGTGTCCATTGTCTCAGCCAATAGGTGGCCAAACATGTTCACATGTTTGCTTGTATTGGGCCAGAATTGCCATTTAGTTTTGCTACAATATCCGTTCTGATACTTGTTGTTTTAATTTGATGAGGAGGGGATATTTGCTTTTTTTCTGAGTTATTCCAAAACCAGGAAGCAGGATTCCCTTGGGGCTCCAGTAGTTATGACAAGGGTGTGCCATAAGCCTCAGTAAAAAGGACACCCATGGTGGACTCCTGCTTGAAAAACATGGCCAATTATGTAAAATAACAACCAGGTAAATGTAAGGCTGATGACGCATCCCCACCATCACAGCTGCTAAAACAAAGACAAGGAATGATGATGACTCATGCCTAAACCCTGTCTGACCTCTAACAACAGTGGGCTGCCCTACATTAAAAAATTGGAGGTCGCATGTTGCAGTGCCACTCTGATTGTTCTCTTTGCTAAAGTGGCTAGCTGGTTTTTCAGTTTGATACCACTCAAGATACAACTCTGATTCTTCTGTAGACAATGTATGAAAGATGTCCAAAGATGCAGGTATGTATTTCCAAAGATGTGTCCAATACCCACCAAAGTCCCTCTTTGTCAGGTCAGACAGTGTGGCTCCTTGGAGCAGCAAATCGTTGCATAAAGGAAAGATACCACAAAGAACAAATGTTGGCATCAGTCTATGGATCTGCAACCAGGCCATCTAGAGTTGGATCAACTCAGTGGTCTCACTGTCTGTATTGTGATCATGTCCATCTCTAAGCTGAAAGCTCAAGGGGATGAAATCTACATATCTGTAGTTTGTAAAGGCAGGTATGACCAAAGGTCAGACTTTGAGCTGCCTTGACTATCAGCCGGCTCCGGCCTTCAATCTTTAACATCAGCCTTCTTAGTCTTTGGGTTGGGGGGAGTGAGATAGGGGGATAGTGGTCAGTCTCAGGAGCCTAAGGCTACCTGGAGGGTAGGTAGGCATGTGTGCAAGAGCTGATAGCCTGCAGTATGTTGCTGACACAGAGATGCTGAAATTCACTACATCCACTATGGCTGCCAGTGTGAACATTTGTCCTTCAAGTACACATCAGCAAGAGATGAAGGTGTTCTGAGCTAGTGACTACTTGCCCTTTAAAGAGTTATGTTTAAAAGTTGTGTGATGACGACAAGATGGGGCCAGCAATGTGAGAAGTCAGATGAGAATCAATTCAAAAGTCCTCAGAAAGGCTTTCCTTCATATTCCTGAATAGAAAGAGATAAAGGACACAGCCCAGGAAGAACCAAGCAAGTATTTAATAGACCGATTTTATGCAAGCTTTCTACAAGATCGTTTATATAAACCAAGTGAGACCGACCAAGGACACCCTGGTTAAAATGTGGAGGTGGACACTGTGTAGGAACAATGAGAAGGAAGCGAGGAAACTCGTGTTGCTGGCTTAGGTCAGCAGTGTCATGTAGTGTCGAGCGGACATGCTCTTCCTCGCCAAATTAGTCAGGAAACACAGTAGGCAAGGAGTGGGAGCACCCCAGCTGAGAACAACAGCACTTTATCTGGATGCTGCTAGGAATATGGGTAATGTTAGATACTAAAAGGCTCACTAACACCGACTTATCATGAAAACAGCACTTTAATAAAAACCCTTTACATGAAGTAACATGCTGGAAAGGATAAGTGACAGCGCAAACATCACATCTGTTTTAAACTCCTTATAACCCTCAGTTTTGACTGGAGAAATTGTCACTGAAAATTTCACAGCTTAACTTTTTTGTCCTTCTTTCTAACTAAGAAGAAGAGCTGCTTCTTTGCATGTGACTTGCTTGGATTTGACAGGCTGACGTTATCACCTTGCCGAATGACATTCAGCTAGGAAACATTGTGCAGCAAGAAAGCTATCATCAAAAAAATAAACACGCTCTTGTCTGCGCATTTTATTCATTATATTCAGGATGATTTCAATTCTGAATTGTGATGCTGCTATCATTTGCAATTTGTACTTCTGAGACCTTTACACAAACAGTATATGTATGCTCATCAGCTTCATCACGAATCTAAAATGTGAACTATATGTGGCCTTGACAGTTTAGATGTAGAAGCATTTCTGTGGGTAGAGATTACTTTTAACATAATTTGATGCAAGAAATGAAGCATACATAGACTGACAAAGCTATTCCTAAAAGAGGGTATTTTTGGACCTACTGAAAATGCCCCATCGTGACTCAAGCTTGGGCTTCAACTTCTGGACAAATATTAATTTTGTGCATGAGAATAGCATCTAGGCTTTTTTCTTTTTTAGTTTCATCACAAAGGAACAACAGATTATAGACATTTCTATCAACATTGATGCTAAACCATACCTTACGCCAGTTTAATTCTACTGAAAATAACAGCATTTGTTGCCATCAGCTATTGTCATTTTTAGTCTCTTAATACATCCTGAGAAGAAGTGGAAAACCCAGCACCTAATGAAAAAAAACATCAAAATCAAGTGTAACATTGATAAATTGAAACAAGACTAGATGACAAATGTTTTGTTATCTAATTATCCTGAACATATTTCAAAGAAAGACCACTGAGATAATTCAGTTGGACCTCACACAAACACTGATTGAAGATGTGATGCAGGAATGAGTCATCTAAATCCAGCTGTCCACAGGGCATGTATCTGATTAGCATACCCACACGCACACACCAGGAACAAATGCAAATATTGCAATAAAACCTGCACTAATAGTATCATTTCGCTTTATTTTTACTATGTTTAGCGATATTGGATGCATACGAGTATCGAGTTATACGAAATCATAGTAAAATAATAGTTATTGAGGCAATATGCAAATATGACTCTCAGTAATTGATGCTGCTGCAGCTCTTCTTCACCAGGTTTACCCCTGTGTCACGCACTGTTATTTGATTTGATGTGTAAGCCTCAGTTGTAAAGAGATTTTGGAGACGAGTATACGCACAAAAAACACACGGAGGGAAAGAAAGAGGGTGAGAAGAGAAGGAGGGGGAGAGAGTCAGAGACTGAGTCAATGCTATTATAGAAAAGTCAATGAAACACTAATAAAGTGCAACATTTGGGAAAGTATTTATTCTAAGTGAAACATTCGAGCTTTTTCTGGCAGTATAGAATAAATTAGTATAAATCATCACCACTTGACCGGTGAGAAATCTGATGCTGATGTTCTTCAAAACAGCAGAACATAAGCGTAATCTCACAGTTATATAACAGCTGCACAAGCAGGTTATAAAAGAGAAAAATCTCTAAAACAATAGAGTTTCAATAGTTTGCATCATTCATTAATCTATGATGACTAAAATTTAGTGGACTTTGCTGTTTGAGCTAAACATCAATACTTTCATGCACTTTGGCGTGACATTCATGCTCAAAGTTGCAGTGATGTTATATTGTGTCTAAGTACTTGTGTCATGCCTCCTATCCAATCAGAGCTCTTTGTCTGGACTGACTGTTGTATAAAGGCAGTGTACAGTTTAATATGTAAGGATTTCAGTCTGGATGTAACAATATGGTGAACAAACATAGTTTGGGGTATTGAGGGGGTTGAGGTGGGTTTGCTTGAGCTAACAAATGATCACTAAGACAGGAAGACTGAGAAAGGCTTATGTTTTCTGTTCTATGTAAAGGCTGTTGTTCAAGGGAACTTGAGGCTGAAGAATAAAGAAGATGAAAGGGCTGAGACAAATCTACAGGTTGGTGTAGTGAAGCACCCACACTTGGGTTGTCTGCCCAGCAAGCCTGAACGGTTTGGCGCTCTGCAGACTGAGGCACCCCATTTGGCTAATGAAGTCCCAGACTGTCTTCACACCACCCCCACCCACCACTCCACTATGAAATGTTCTACTCATGAAAGTAATGAGGCAGGGAGGGAGAAAGACTCTTCTGGCCACTGATAACCTCAGACTAAACTTGCAACCTTACGAGACAAGGGCCTAATATCTGGCCGTCAATCAGCCCCAGCATCCCTGGCTGGAGTGTTTAATTACAAGAATCAATTATTTACCAGCCTCCTCTTTCACTACTCAGCGCTCCCAAAAAAGGAGTGTAAAGAAAAAAGAAAATACATTGAAGACCTAGAAGAGGATGTGGTGGCAAAGTTAGAGAACATTACAGGTCACTCTATCCAGGTATAACTAACAGTGTTTACTCTGTGAGCCTGACAAGTTTGTCTGGGACGGATACATCTTTAAAAATTGACCACAGAAGAATTGTATTGTCAGATTGATGCAAAATAAAAGGCTTTTTATCAGTCTCTTCAGATATGCGAGTGATTACAGCTGAAATTTAAGTTTGAAGATACAATTAAAGAATAACCAAAATGACTCAAGATAATAGAAAAGTGCATTGTATAATTTAAAGTGGTTAAAAAACAGACGAGGAATCGTGTGTCAAAGGAGAGGCTCACAGGAAAATAGTATATAGACAAAATAACAAAAAATCAACTTCATTCATAAAGCACCTGCGATCACTGTTCTTTACAAGAAGAAAATATGCAAAAGAAAACATCCTTACTATGAGACTAATGTCACTCCCTTCACTTCATATTTACTCCTAAAGACAGTCTTAACTTCAGCTCTGAGGCCCACACAGCACCTGCAAGGCTTTTAACTAATTTGAAGAGACAAGATCATATTACCCCTTTGCTTGTAGTCACAATAGCTCTTCACCTGATGGCTGATGCTGGGAATAAAAGTAAAGAAATACTGATGAAGTGAAAAAAGAATCTTAGATTTTTTTATCGGTGTACATTTGAAAAGATAGAGACAATTCTCAGTGGCAGCGCATATCCCGCACTTACTTAAATGCTGTTCAATTGCTGTCTCTAAGTTTTTTAATCATTTTGCACAAATTACAAGTTAAGCTTATAAAGTGCCCTGTAGAAAAATGTTCAGTGTACACTTAGAGAGTCATTTCTCACCTTAGATGGCCAAAGATCAGGCCAATTTAATATAAAGAGACGAGATCAAGTTCACCACATCTGCGCCACATCTACACACAGATGCAATTTTCTTCCCTGAAAACCTGCGAGAGCTTGACACTCTCCAAAACCACATTCAAAAATGTGGAGATGGCACATAAAAACAGGTATTCATGATGAAATCCTTTTTTATGTCACCCAACCATACAGTGCTTCACCATGTCTCTGTTTTATGCTGCATCTAAGAATGCAAAAAGGAAAAAAAAAAGGAGGAGGCGCAGCTGGTGGAGTGTTTTGTGGTCATCTATCCATGGAACACAGTGTCTCTTCATGTGTCCAAATTACAGCCACTCAGATAATCCACATAATACAGGAAATGAAACATGGAGCATTGGACCAAGCTGGTTGTGTTCAGGGCCTTAAGAGGCTGCCACCCCTGTGATTGGTGGTTTGCATTTTTTTTTTTAATTTTGTTTGTATTTTTGTGCTTTACATCGTCATCATGAGTCTAGTCTGGCTTATGCTATTTATGGTGTTCAACGGTAGTGACCAGCTGCTTTCTGAAGAGGAAGGAATTAGTGCGGGTGTTTCTCTCAAAATAAACTCAGACACTGACTTAGTTCCAGTGCTTTGGAGATTCCTGAAAAATATCTGACCTTTTCACTGTTGTTTGTTTTTTTAAATACTAAGGCCACCAAATGGCTTTGATTTTGCCACTCAGACAAAGCCAAATTCACATAGTAATCCCATTTCTGAATAAAGGAATAGTACACTGTAGATTTTCTCCATATGGTGCCGCTTTAATTAAGACCCAGCTGTAATTAAATTGTAGTGATAGTTAAATTAAATGCTTACATTTCAGCAAGATATATCACAGAAAAAAATGTTTCATAATACTTTGTAAATCTTTAAATAAAGTGGAAAACTTCTTTTCAGGCCATCCAGCCACTAACTATTTGTCTGATAACACTACATATGAGTTGATTCTTGAAAGACTGTGATAGTGATCAGAAAAAGCAGCTTTAACACTCAACGGACTCATTAACTCCACAAGGGGGTGTGTGTTTAGACTGAAATGTAGGAGTAGGCAGCTTGTTTCTGCTTCTACAGCAGCAGCGCAGGGTTTTTCCCCTGGACTCTCAGCTGATGGCTCATTAATCTATTGTAGAGAAGGTCCCCCACGTAAGACGCCGGTGCCACTGGAGGACTCCTCTTGCTTCATCTTTTTCAGCAAAATGCTTTTACTTAACCATGAGTAATGCTGCGCTGAAGAGGAGGTTTCATGAAAGCATTCAACAAAGAACATCTAAAGAAAAATTGATGTTTTTGTGCTTATTCACAGCAGTGACAGATACAGCATATAAAACTCAAGTGAAACTGGATTTTTTCAGGGGGCTCCACCAATCCACTGAGCTTTGTTATCACAGGAAGCTCATTTTCTTGGTCTTTAACTGTCTAGTTTAGTCCCTTCCACTCTGACACAACTGCAGAAAACTAAGTTGTCATGACTCGACTGCAAACTTTTACTGATGCACAGTTTAAACTCATAATTTTCTAAAAAGACTGGTAATATAAGATATTATTTTGCAACTATTACAAAGGGGTTTAAATTATTTAAGACTGGACTAATGTTGGTGAACATTAAGGGGCCATCTAAGTTAGTAATCTATCCTGAGGGTACCATGAGTGTCTGTATTAAAGTTAATGAGAATCAAGCCAATATGTCTAAATATCTCACTTTCAACTCCACCACCTCATGGAGGTGCGGAAGGTTGGTGGGTTATAAAATTTATCACAATTTATTCTAAAGGGCACCATGCATCAATACAGGTTTCCTCCCATCATCAAAGCTGAGGATGGTTGAATGATGTTCATAATGTCTTCAGTTACTTAGAAATAGTTTTCTTTTTATTTCCTTTATCTCAGACACGTAATCTTTTACACGTACCTTGGCATGTTTTGGTGGAAATTTTTGCCTTCCTAAGATGTGTCACTTGGTGGTAGGTGGTAGGTGGTGGTCATATTAGCTGTTGTTCTGAAGGCGTGACCCTCTTGTCAATTTTTTTGACAGGATGGTCACACCTCCCACTGCGGCCCAGGGACGACGAGCAGGGATGAGGGGGCATACATGCTCTCACACACCTGGAGCAGCGTCCTGCAGAGGCGAACAGACAGTGGGAGGCGTGATCATTCTCTCAAAAAAACTGACAGGACGGTCAGCTGATATGACACGTCACACCGCCGAAATATCCCTTTAATATTAGAGATATTAGAGCGTACACTGGATCTTCAAAAAAGTCAATATTCTGGTTTTAAAGTTGTGATCCAGTTAACCAAGGATTAGCTGTAAAGGTTACTGTTCAGAGAGGTCGAGATTTCTGAATTGATTTAAAAAACATATGAGATTATCTCCATCAACTTCAACTGAGATAAGATTATCTTTTGAGGAAAAGATATACAAAAAATCCTGGCACAATTTTTAGCCTGTTCCACTATGTTGTTTCAAATCCCCAGAAAAATCTGAAGTTCATAGCATTAGACCTTTAAGTCAATCAGTGGTGAGCTCTGTAATTCTTCGACGCATGACTATTACGCTGTTGGTGAAGGTAACAACAAACCAGAAATCCAGTTACAACAAGCATGATGTCTATTTGTAAAACCGTGACAACAGAGTGTAGGCTACCAAAGCAAATTAGCTACCTGCATACACATTAGCAGCCAGACATCCTGTGTGGGAGGCAGCAGGGCACTGAAAGGCTCCATTTACACACTTTAGTGTAACTGCAGCAATTGCACTGACACCCATCATCTTGTAAGTACTCCATTCATACATACTCTGCTTCAGCTGTCGAGAGCAATTACATGTTGCTGATTATTTTACAATAGCCATTCACATGATTAATCTCACTGCCCTCTGTGATTTAAGTGGACATTTGTCTGACATTGAGGGTGTTTTTTCCCCCCTCCTAACAGCAACTGATCTGTTACTGACACCATCACTCAACCACCGCAGAGTTGAATGAATAAATGGCAGCTCTGTCAAAGAGTCATATCAGTAATCAGGTTATAATTGAGTTATATGATTGTGTAATATGTGTCAGCACCCTTTTAAGGCTGTAATGTTGCCATGGTTATAGAATCAGTGACACTCCAACATCACATATGTGTCATTACATAAAAAAATAAAAAATAAATCAAAAGTGCAACAACATAGGAAACGTGACTCTCCATGTTCACGTGCAGCATTTTCCACAGTACGTCACACAAAGTGAGGTCCACAGCATGTACTGAACAAAATAACAAAATCCATCAAACTGTTTTTAATAGCATCTGATTGGCAAGCTGTCTTGGGACAGTTGGCAAATGGGCGGACAGCGGAGGAGTTTAGAGGTGCTAAAGTTCAGGCAGGAGCAAAGCAGCACCCTGTGTCCTGCCAACAGCCTTACAGTGGCGCAAATCCTGACTAAGTTGTTGACCCATAGCCCCCACCTGTCTTGACCATGCATTATATAGGGGTGGGGGGGTGAGGGGGTTTACTTTCTCTCCTATGCTGCCTGCCATGCCAGAAGGCTTTTGACTCATGCCCATCTGTCCTGGTAGTATACATTAAGCAAAAGCCAAGCTCCTGGCACCCTGTCCAAATCATGTGTGCTTTTATAACAACAAGTCGTTATATAGTGTGTGAAGACAATTTGTGCCTTGGCAGAAAACATCTCAGTAAACAAAAAATTAGTAAACGGGTCACTTTTAACAGTTATCGTCAAAATGCAATGAAATACTACTGAGGTGTTGGCAGGCAGACATTCAGGGAACTGTTTTCCAACACGGGTGTTATTTAATTTTTTAAGTATTTGTTACAAATCTGTTACAATACATCTTGCCTTTCTGAAGCCCCCACTGTATCTGTTGCTATCAGGGAGGTGTTGCAGTACTTTTTGAGCTTAGGCTAGTGGTGGTGTTGCATTATAATGTATCATATTAATAGATGTTCCGAATGTTCTGACACATATAACAGGAAAGAAATATAAGAAGCATTGTGAGAGATCTGGTGAAAAGCTTGTTTGCAGCTATTTTTAATCAACATAACCATGTGAAATACAGACTTTTTAGTTGTGCAACAAACACCCTGAAGTGTATCTTCGCTTGTTTTAAAGGGTGCTTACATTTTATATTTTTAGATGAAGATCAAATTGCACATGTATGTTATCACTGAAAAGACTTGGTAGAAGCTAAACTCAATAGTCTTAACCTCTCAGCACAAGTTGGCATACCTAAGCTTTTATCACAGCAACTAAGACAAACTGGGTGACAATACCTGACGGTCAATCCTAGAAAATCAATCAGTTACGCATCAGTTTTGCAGACAGCCTGAACATATTTAGGGGCTTTGGAGTGGAAATACATCAATGGGCAAAATCACTTTAGCAATAATTGCAATGAGAAAAACAAAGGACACGACTACCTTTGTTTTAATATGTCAAGAGCACTCTTTTCAGTTTGAATGAAATTCTGGTAATTTACGCAGACAGACATTAACTTCCATTAAGACATCAAAGCGTTAGCAGGAACTACATAAGATATTAACTTACCTGACCTTGTTGGATATCTAAGTAATGAAGCACCTCTTTGAGCATGACAGGAGTGTGAGGAGGCTTTTCAGCCTCTTCACATCCTTCCAGGGGACCAGAACCGGAGTATGCACAAACTGTAGAGGACTGCAGTCTTAACTTCCATGACCTCCATGCTCTCCACACCGCTAAATTTGTTTTCCTTAGCATCGCATTGGAACGCACGCACATGTTGAAAATCATGATCCTTTTAATGATCTGGAAAAAAAGAAAAAAACAGCAAAGAGTTTGTAATCCTGCAGTCCACAGGTAAATATTTTGATATTCCTAGTGAGACAGTATGAGAGTCATTAACATCAAACAGGTGAAAGCTGTCTTGAAAATAACTGTGATATTGATGTAACTGAGATATAATCTTGTATAGTTAGGTAGAAAGGCCAAAAGAGCACATAAATTTGAATTTAAAAAATTACCATTACACATGACTTTGACTGTTCGATACAAGATGTTTATTTTCACACACCGACTGCAGCTACCAACACCAACAATTAATACCTTTACAGCTGACATGTTCAATATGTTTGCATTTCCATGAATAATACTGCCTGCACCAGGCAAACTGCATGCCACATAGTTAGATAGGTATTCAGGTGTTTCCTGGCAACAAGATACATTGAAGATTAGAGTTCAGTCAGTGATGTTTGGTACTAATAGAAGAGAAATATGTGTAGGAGATAAAGGAATTTCAGCATGTCCATTGAATTTGTGAATGCGAGGCAAATGCTGAATGGCAGCAAGAAAATACATCCCTCAAAGAGGTGGCAATAAAAATAAATGAGTGACAGTGCATGATTGCTGTTTGGCTGTGAGCTATTGCGGCTCTTCTCTGTTGGAATCAAAAGTAATTCTTGATACACATTATTATCACATTACTGATGTGTGCATCTCAGCGTTAAGAAAGTATACCCATTTGGGTCGATTGAGCTATTCGTTCACAAAGAGCAAAGGAAATTGAATAATGGAAGCGTATGAGATTCTAACACTTCTCACCTATGACTCATTTCGTGATTATTTTTATCTGCCTTCACCTTCAACAGTTACAAGGGTTGATCCCAAGAATGGAGGTGATTATATCTAATGATATATATATCGTTAGATAGACTGTTCTATCTGATTCTTGGGACTATAAAAACTATACTGTAGTTTTGTTAAACAGCCAGATTCTTAGACCGGGTTATAACCATTTCCCAAGTTGAGTCAATAAAGAGGCAGGACAACAAGGGTTTGATCAAGTCACCTAAGGAGAAGGTGTTTTTACAAGGGCCCTAGCAAACGTTGCCCCTCTGCCTCATTTTGTTGCCATGACAACTTTGCTGCTTTTATTAAGCTAGGTGTGGGTGGGAGAGCACAATGGTAAATCTACTCAGTGATAAAGTTATTTAAAGATAAATTACATTTTAAAAAACGTGTAAAAATCAGCGGCTGGTGCAAGAAAAGAAAGGAAATGTATGGTGTTAGGCGAGCTTACTCTTCGCAGTATGCAAAAAATAATACACTGGTAGTGGCCGTTGTTGGTAAAAGATGTTTTTAGTTGTTTCCCAACCTCACATTTCAACCTTAACATCACGTGTCTGTAGAGGCTGGAAGGAGTGTTGAGCAGTTGCTTAGCATTTTCGCCTTACCAGCGACCATGTGGGCAATGGCACCGCGTCTGGTTACGTTTGACACGTACCAAGAAAGATAGCAACAAGCAGACGACTTTTAAAAGACAACAACACTGCATTCAAACACATTTGAGGATGTGTATCCATGTGCGCAAGAGAAAAGCGTCGACCCACTGAGTGAGGAGGTGAATTAGCTTACCCGGAGAACAGCAGAGGAGCCCTGCCTACAGCGGCCGCACGTCCTCTGCGTCATTACGCTCCGCTCACGTGACCAGTCGCTCACGTCCAATCAGCTGCGACAGAGGAAGAAGGCTTGTTTTTGAAAATATTGGCGCTTGGTTGAATGATGGCCGTGTGAAGGCTTCGTGTAAATGAGTTTACATCTTCAAGACGACGATTGTGTGTCTGACCAGAAGTCGTTTTCGCGGTGATGCAGTGAAACATAATCGCTACTTTCAAAGAGGTAAGATGTTTTATGAAAGAACGGTTCATTTAAGAGGAGATGAAGGAGGAAAGAGGAGGTTGTTAAGTTACCGTTATGAATTGAGTTAGAGCTAGCAACGTTAGCAGGCTTTAGCTAACCCTGGCAAGTTACAGGCTGCACAGTTAGTTTCGTTTCAGGTTTTTAGCTGCTTGGAAGGGTTTATTGTTACATTTGCTCACATTCAGACCACCACCCTTTGCTAGACTTTTGTTGTGACATGGAAAGAGTTCACATGCATGAATTAAATGTTAGGCAAGTCCTGTATATCGTTGTTAAGCTGTAGTATCATAACGCTATGGTAATGGTTTCCTTTTTATTTTAATGGGGGGGAAAAAACCACCCACTTTCTTTCACTATAATGTTAACTTGCAATGTGAAATACAGGATCCCGGGAGGTTTTATTGTTATCAGTGCAAAGACAGAGACAGGTGTGTCCAAGTCTTATCAGCTTGCAGATGTTTTGTTTTGATTTGATAGAAGTTTATGTGAACATATAAAAAATAACATAAATAATAACTAGAAAAATTGCATTTCCTTGCAGAGAATGTGTGGAAATGCTTAGAGCTGAAAAGAGCAATGCAACACTGCTAATAAAAAATGGAGGAAGGTATAAATGTAAAAGCTGTTGAAAAGAAATACAAGTTGGATAATTGTGAACATGGTTGAAGGACAAATAGTATGAATATGCTTCATAAATTGAAATTTCATTCATGCTGAAAGATGCTAGAAAACTGTCTGAAATTGCACAAAGTCTGAATGAAGAAGTAAATTATAGGGATGGGAATTGCTAAGATTTTATCCATATCGATACCATTAACGATTCTACTTATCGATTCAGTTCTTTAACAATTCTCTTATCAAGGCCTTTCTTTGATTTAAAAAAAAAAAAAAAGTAGACTGTAGGTTTTTACCGTTAACTCAAAATCTTATTGAGTCTCTTATAACAGAGGTCTAAAAATAATCAAACAACAAACTATTTGTACAGCATTTACTTTGGTCAGTATAAGTCAAATTAGGGTTACTATATTCTGGATCCCCAAAAAGAGGGCATTGCTGAGGTGGGGCAGCAGCAGCTGACGATCAGAAGAAAGGAATTGTTGAGGGAATTGTTGAGATAACATGTAAACGATGTTGATGGATTGAACCATTAGGAACCGGTTCTCAACAAGAATCAGTTCTCGATTCCCATCCCTAGTAAATTACCCTAAAAGGCAGGATGGTGAGAAGTGGCATAAGATTCAGAAGATCTTTTGTGCCAACAGCCATCAGACTTTATAACTCTTGTGTAAATAGTAGATAACTTTTAGAGACATATTGTGTGAGACAACAGACAATTGAATTTCCCCTTGGGGATAATGAAGTTCTTCTTATTCAAGTTGTAGTTCTAGTAGTAGTATGATAAGTAGTCATAGTAGTGATATTAGTAGACATGTGAGCAGTAGAAGTAGTTTAAGAATGGAAGAAGTAGAAGTCAAAGTAGTAGAGCTAGTGGTAGAAGTAGTAGTCGCAGCACAACAACAAATGACAAAAAGTTATTCATGTTCAAAAAGGAGTGGGAAGAAGTCGAGACTTGTCTTGTCCCACCCCTTCTCCGACACTAATGGTTTAAATATATATCATAATATTATAATAGCAATGAAAATAATCACCACAGGGAAAATACCAAAACAACAACAAAACAATGATGATAATGATAACAGTTACTATGATTGTACATCCCTGTATCCAGTGAAAACATATTCTTCATATTTTGTTTGAAATTGTTAGGACATTGTTTTAACTCCTCACCCATACCCTTCCACAGTCTCACCCCACAGAATGAAATACAAAATTGTTTTCTGCTTGTGTGGATTTTATTAATTTTGAAGTTGTACTGTATTATATTTTGCTTTGAGTTTAGGATCACACTGAATTGTAACTACATGATGGTGCAAGTATTAGTGTGAAACAAAGACATTTTGTAGTAACTGTTAGATATGATAAAATAAAGGTGAATTTCTAAACAATAGCTTTTGTATGTGTAGAAATAAGTGAAAACGGCAAAAATCAATGTAATTTTACAGCACTTACCACCTCAGAGCTTCCAGACAGCCAGCTCTGAAATAAGTTCATTGTTGGACTTTAGTATTAAATGATAGTGACTAAAACATGCTTGGGAGAGGATGTGATTTTTTTTCTTATAATGTATTATCCATCATGTCATTAAAGACCTGTTTGGACCAGTAGCTAAATCGGACAGGAAACACTTTTAACAGCATGTCACACAACCTACTTAATGGCCCTGACTTTGTTGCAATGCACCTTTTTGTCTTTGTTTTCCCCAAATTATGGAACACAATGAGCATGAAGTTTATTTAACCTGTATATCACATGGAAATTTGTAAAAAAAAAATTACCCTTTTGTTTGTTTTTTCAGCAATACTTGGGTCACAATGGCCAGTGACGTGTGCAACCACGTCAAGGTGGTTGTCAGGGTTAGACCAACCAGCGAATGTGAGAAGCGCGAGAACTGCCGAAATGTGGTCAAGGTTGTTGACAGCAACATGCTCGTATTTGACCCAAAGGAAGAGGACATGTCATGTTTTGGGTCACAAAGAGTACGGAACAGAAACATCAACAAAAGGGCCAACAAGGACCTTAAGTTTGTTTTTGACCACGTCTTCAACGAGAACTCCACCCAAGCTGACATCTTCGAGAACACCACTAAAGGAGTGCTGGATGGTGTGATGAATGGATTTAACTCCACAGGTATGAATGACAACAGATTTGTTACAAAAAGCTGAGAAATCAATCCTTATAACCTTGTGTCAGGATTCCTATATTTTCTTCTTTGGGGTTTTACCAAGGATAAGTTGTTTGCATTCCTCTTTCACAAAGTATGAGGACAGTAAGCATGGAAATCCAGGCCTGTCATACCGTTAGTTTAGAGAGGCACTCTGTCTGTGCTACAGAAAGAAGAGAACATATAAAACTCATCATCATGCATTTATTGCCCCTGTAACCTTTCAAAAGATAGAGTTCTGAGTCACCGGTTGAGTCTGCAGTTTAGCGTCTATGCCGAGGCTGTGTCTGTGGATATGGTTATTGTTTGCTCTATGGCTGTGTTTATTGTTGTTTTATTGGTTCGATGGATAGGCCTTCAATGGCTTTACTGAGACTACTCTTCAGTGCCCCTGTCAACATAAGTCAAAAAAGCATCATCATGCATTATTTATTGTGTCAGATGAAATAGGGATGTTACCGTTACTCCAGAATAACTAAAGAGCATTGTTGTATTTTTATAATTATCAGCCGGGAAACCCACTACTCATAAAAAAAATCCAACTTTCTTTAAGTGTCTGAATCCTTAAAACTAATGTGCTACAGCCACAGTCATAACTAAGCCAAACCATCTCTGCTTCCTCAATCATCAGTGACCTAAGATATATGACTGCATGGCCACAGTCTTTATCACAGCTACTGCCCATCAGAACTTACAGTGGAGACAGGAGTATCAACAACAGTGTCTGAAAACTACAGGAACTATCTCTGTTTTTCGACTAGTCTGCTAAATAGTCTTGTGGAGTCCCTTACCTGTAGTGGTGTACACACACTCCGAGGTCATCTACAGCTGGAGGTGGTCAGATTAACATTGAGGACTTTTTCAAGTAATTCAAATAATGAAAAAACATTCCAGTGTTGACGAAAAAATTATGTTATTGCAAAAGTTTTTGTAAGAAATCTCTTGTATTTGACAACCTAAAGTTTTTATTAAAATACCTCTATTAGAACGACCTAAACATTGGTGTCTGAATACAGTAATGAGTCACACAAGCACCACTTTTGACTTACATCTTCAATTCCTTATTTAACATCACTGGCTGACTCACACTTCCATTTTATTAATTGAAACAGCTGACTGCTGTTTATTTACTTTGTCTGCTCCAGGGTTCACTTGCTGGTGTTCAAGCAGCACAATTGGGAAATTTTGAAGGATGGTGTACCCACTACAAATAAGAGGCCAGATGGATTTGGCATCAGAGAGTCATCATTGATCCATTGAAAGATGCCGAGTCGGATGGAAAACTTGATCATGCTGAAAAATTATCAACTCAGCCACCAGTTTATTGCGCATACCCTTCTGAAACTCATATAGCAACTAAACTGTGTTGCATTGATAACTAACTTCACAGAGGCTATATGATCAGTTTTTGTTTAACTATTCTCAGATAAGTATAATTACTAAATGACCATTTTAGAGCATGTATTTCATGGGCTTTTTATTCGCACTTGGTCGACCTTATTGATACCTTACCTATTGATACCCTACTTTATTAACTAGCAAGAAATAAATGGAAGCACTGTCATACCTGAATACAGTATAACAGCAGAACAAAGAAAAACCTGCAGTGATTGTGTTATTTACCTCACTAAAAAACTACATAAAAACAGAGCATATGGCCATTTTTATTATATTTGTTGCAGGAGTTTGTTTGACTAGTTTGGGTTGGTTTAAGATGTGCCGAATCAGCTGGCAATTGGGTTCGTTCTCGCAGCTAAATACTTATGTTAACTAGTATCTTCTTAATTGATTAACTCAATATCTGAGTTTAATGGGATTTTACACACCCCTCTTTTCTTAAGTGCAGCCGTCACATCCTCATTTTGAAATATGATTGATGTTGAGGCATTAACTGTTTTTTGTTTTGTGGTCTAAAGTATGATTATTATTTACATCCCCCTTACTTCAAGGTAACATGTCTTTCAATTTCAGTGTTCGCATATGGTGCAACTGGAGCAGGCAAGACGCACACCATGTTAGGCTCGCAAAACGACCCTGGAGTTATGTACCGCACCATGAAAGAGCTCTTTAAACGCATGGATGACGCCAAGGAGGAGAAAGAGTTTGCTGTTGCCTTCTCATATCTTGAGGTAAATATCTGGAGGGGAAAAGTTCTTGTTTTATCAAACTTTTAAGAGGTTTGACTTAAGAGTTAGAAATGGCCAAGTATAACTCTAGGATTTCTTCTATATCCTAGTCCTAACACCCTAAAACTTTTAAAAGTGTGAATATCTTTACTGATCCCCTGGCATGCTTTGATAGATTTGCAGCCATTTGCACTGATGAGTCATTTTGTTTACAGGTTTATAATGAACAGATCAGAGATTTGTTGGCGAACGCGGGCCCTCTTGCTGTCAGAGAAGACAGTTCTAAAGGAGTTGTTGTTCAGGGCCTGACCCTGCATCAGGTGAGTAACAAAACTAATCATGCACCCTCACTCATATGACATTGTTATGTTTATGCAAGGTAAATGCTGGAATGATTGGACAGTTTTTTTATTAGATGGAGCTGATTTGGACTTTGCAATTGATGAGGTATTTTCAAAGTCAAAACATCCATTTTCAATGTTGCAGAGGTTAGCAGCGACAAATGAAAATAACTGTTCGCACTCCCAGCGTGCACTGTCACAGAGAAATGCCTTTACACTGAATGATGTAAATAAGAAAGAAAGCCAAGTAAAACTGATTAAAACAGGTATTCTGACGTCTACAAATGTCACAAAGAGGGAAAATTGTTTTCTCTTAAAATAAATTTAGTTGCATAAAAAATTGTATGTTGCATTTAAAACCCTTAATTTGTGATTTGTCCAGTTAAAGTGAACAAATGTGGGCTCTCTAAAACATAATTTCAAAAATTATTGATACTTTTTAAAAATCTATGAATAAATACAAGCTACTTTTGTTTAAAATGCTGCTAAAATAGAGTAAATCTTTATTAAAATGTGTTATAAAGCCCCATATTTCCTTTTAGGTTTGTTGTGTACAAGTGCAAAGCAATTTGTATGTTTCAGGGTTTCAACTGGGTCACACACTGTCAATGTTGAATGCTTGTTTTTGAAAATTCAGCCCAAATCTGCAGAGCACATCCTTGAAGCTTTGGATTCTGGAAATCGCAACCGAACACAGCATCCCACCGATATGAATGCCACCTCTTCTCGGTCCCATGCTGTATTTCAGGTATTCTGATCTGGTTTTATTGAAATCTTATCCACAAATGGGCCACTGCATCATGTCATTAAAACCAAGCAAAAAAAAGGTGAAAAGAAACAATCAATAAAAGAACTATGGACAGAGAGTGATACTTGCAGTTCATCAATTATTAGGAGTTTCTCTTTTTTCCCCACAAGCAATGCATCACAGCTTGCTTCACGAAAGTTACAAGCTGACAAATTTTCTGTATTTTCTTCAGGTGTATTTGAGGCAACAGGACAAAACAGCCAGCCTCAACCCAAATGTTTGTATTGCCAAAATGAGCCTGATTGATCTCGCTGGTTCTGAGAGAGCAAGCGCCACTAACGCCAAGGGGGCACGTTTGCGGGAAGGTGCCAATATCAACCGCTCTCTTCTTGCCCTGGGGAATGTTATCAATGCACTTGCTGACCCAAAGGTGAGTTTATCCTACCATTAGTCATGCTGTCGATGGTGTTTGGTGTGAACCAGTGAAGTAATAATCAAACCAGAACATTTTGTTTGTTTTTTTTACCTCAATTAAAAAAGTCAATATTGATTTGGTTGACTGATGTGACAAATTTCACAAGACTCATGCAAATATGGAAAATGAATACAGTGAAATAAGTCTCTGGATGAGATCATGCACAATTTTATTACCTCATATTGTTTAAATGGTGTTTCTGTTCATTCTATTTTGACACAAGGTTGACTACTAATGATGGTCGAGGCCTATGCATGTATTTTAACATTTCTTGACCAGTTGTAAATGCGGTTCACATTTTCCAATACCATTTTTCCCCCGGTACAATCTTGCTCATTTGCTGCAGGAAACCTTTAGTTTATATCTTATCTCAGGAGCATTACATTTGGTCTGATCAGCTGCAGTTTTGAAGATGTTTCATTGACAGCTTGAAGCGAAAATGAGTGATCTGATCACCTCAAGAGCAGTTATGTATGCTTTGTGTCGTTATTAATCATTGAATTGAGATGTGGATAGCAACATTTACAATTGTCAAACTTTCTATAGACTGTGAATCACTCCCAAATTAAATTTAGTGTAATACTTTTGTAACTTTCAAATATTTCTTATGTCTATACAAATGAAATAAACATAAGTAGGTTTAAACAGTTCGTAAAATTTTTATATTAGTAGTATTTATTTACAAGTTTAAAGCTAGATTCAAACCAAAATTTAGTCTGTTAAAAGATGTATACTCCATATGGCAGAGTTCTTTTTTTAGAGTTTAGTTTCACAGCATGAACATAAGAAGTCTTCAGTTTTGTTCTCATTGGGAACTTTTTTTTATGTATAGATGTTTGTACAGTATATAAAGTTTTGAACCTCCCTCCATGTGTAGGAGAGAACCTGGGAAACGGAAAGTCAACTGAGTATTTGGGTATTATTTTATTCCAGTTGCATACATTAACCTGTCAAGAAGTCTTCTCACTTTACACACCAGTCTCAGGGGAGGAGGTGCAAGCAGACCACATGCATTTGGGAAGTGCTGTGCAAACGTCCCACAGTCACGTTGAAATATGATCATTTTTTGAACAGGTTGCTTCATTCTGAGGTTTAAACTGTGTTCTTTCACGGACACTGTGCATGTTAGTTTTTTACCCTGCCCACCATTCTTTACATGTTGCAGTCCAGGACTCATAGCTCGATCTGTTTAACCTACAACGCCCACCACTAATCCCCTCTCTCTCCCCACCCTATCCCCATGGTTAGTGGTGCTCCAGTGTTTACTGTTGGCAGAACAGGAATTTATGTTGTAGCCATTGTTTACAGGAAAGAATGTCCCCACTTGTCTCTGAGCTTGAATACCATTTGCCTGAGTGAGAAGAATGTCTGCAACTTTTCTGTCCAGACGGTTCAGTATGTCATCTTCATGCTATGCTGCACAGAGTTTTTGTTGTTGCCTTAGGCGATGAAGATATGAAGATGCATTTGACAATGCTACCCATTTGGTCTTCCATTCACACAAGCCGAGTGTTACCCCGCTCCTTTTAGTAGGGCCTGTCTAAAAGTGTTGTCCAGAGTGGATGTGTTTGATTTTGATTGGAAAATTCTCTTGTCATCCTGGACGGATCAAGCTGAGCTTTATGAAACTGCTGATGTGTTGTTTCAACATTATTTATGGTCAAATTCCTTGGCACCCCCCCGCCCCACCCCCACTTGTTAAAAAGCAGCTTTCATTACGTGTGCTTCAATCACTGCTCAATGCTCTTGCAGTTGTGTGACCTCAAAAACAAGCATGTTCAGTGGAACTCGGCTTTTGTGTTGCTTGGTCTCTAATTATGTGGTCTGTAATTGTAATTGCGAGCACCACATGGTCATCATAACCACACGCAGCCCCTTGTGGCAACATGAGTTATTAGTTGTTTACTGGCTTGACTAAGATAAAACTCTACTCCAGCTTTATTATGAAGCTCTTTAACTGCCCAGCCAATAGAAGGTTATTTATAAACCAGTAACAAGGGTTAATTTAGGATAAGGGACGTTCAGAAACAGGTGAAACCACAGACTTTATTTTGCTGACTCAGCAAATTGAGCATAATGATATTAAATAAACTTGTTGATTTGCCATTGTAAGGTAGATGGTAAGCTATTAAACATAATATGAATGTGGATGAAACCTTTTTTAATATGTTAGGGGTTTAAAAGAAATTACCTACAATATGTACACTGGGCTCCTTTTGAAACAAATAATTTGCTTTTTTTGAGTCCAACACAAACGGTAAATGAAAAGGTTCTGATTCTGGCTATTATTGAAAGAACACGCTCCAAATTGGCGTTTTGTAAAACTCCCTGGACCCGACATGACCCAAAGCCTAAGTCCTTAAATCCAGATGTGATTTAGGATTTTCCACTGAGAAATGAAGACACAGCTGTGAACCCCAAAACGTGTCATTTTACAATCCTCCATTACCGAACTTAGTATTTATTGTGGAACTCATTGTGACTTTTGGCAATCTCTAGTAGTTAATCCTTGGCCATTATCAGAAACAGAGCTGTGTGCACATACCAAGTGTAAACTGGCCAGTGTGGATGACTGTTGCCCATTTTTACTTCAGAAATACATACTTTGTCATGTTTTGCTCCTTGTTGGAATTTATTGGTCCTAAAAAGTGTTAAGTGACGAAGCGTTTCCTCTCAAGCATTTCCAGATGGAGATTTCTTCGAGAAGCACATCACCTTTTTGCCCTTTTGAATACCACCACTGTAATGTACTTTTCCTTTGTTTAACTTTTTATTTCTCATGTTTCACAGAAGAGCAAATTTCCAGATCCCAAACCCTTTTTCTTCTTTTCTTCAACTTCATGTTTTTACTAAGCAAACTGAGGAACTCTCATATGTTTCGTGTCGCTTCTTTGTGTTCACTTGATGTCAACCCAGAATTAAAAAGGTTTCATGTCTGGGGTTTCTTTGACCTTTCTCTTGTTTTGTGTTGTTTTCAGAGTAAGAAGACTCACATCCCATACAGAGACAGCAAGCTAACCAGACTACTCAAAGACTCTTTGGGAGGTAACTGCAGGACAGTAATGATCGCTAATGTGAGCCCCTCATCCAAGTCTTATGATGACACCTGCAATACGCTTAAATATGCCAACAGAGCCAAGGAGATCAAGTCCTCGGTACGTGTCAAAGTTTTTATCGTTGTATAGCTGCTTATATACGCTGTGTTTGATCATTCTTTCTATACATGTGACAATTCAAAGTCAAGTCTTTTTACATACTTTTGTTCTTCCTGCCCCTTACCTTTTAGCTGAAGAGTAATGTTGTGAGCCTCGACAGTCACATTGGTCAATATGCAGAGATATGTGAGAAGCAACGGCAAGAGGTAATACAAAAGACATCACAAAAAACAAATTCTTAACCCTGAAACTTAAAATCTGAACTGTTGCAATCATCCGTATTTAACTTCTGGCTGTTACCTTTTTATTTATTTTTTCCTAAAGATTCTGCAGTTGAAGCAGAAACTTAAACAGTATGAAGAGAAAAATCTGGTACCTGGAGCTCCCAACACGATCCCCTCCCGGAAACAAGCAGAGTTAAAAAGGTAAGCATGTAAATCTGTCATATTGCTCTCCCTGCGTTTAATTTTACATAGTTCCAGCACTGCATGGTTCATAAAAGGCACTATGTGTTGCACAGGCTCTCCAGACACACACACACACACACACACACACACACACACGGATGTTCAGTTCTGCCAGCTCGTTTCTTCTCCATTTCACCCCTATCATAATCATGACATGTCTCGTTTCTGCCTCTGTACCTTTTACACAGACAGGGGTGTAACAGTCCCGTCATAAGCAGACTGTGTAAAGATGCAAAGTGTTATCTGGTTTGCTTCTGTTTCTATCTTTCTGTTTCACTCACTGTTGTATTGTAAATATTGTGATTGGAACAGAGAACTGCTGCATAAAACCTGCATTTACCAATGTATTGTGTGGTGGTAAATTCTTCATGGGCCCTGTGGTTTTACAAATGGTCCTGCAGACTTTAGATCCATTATGACTCATAATGAAGTGTATCGTGCAGAGTTGTGTTTAATTAGGCATTGTGGTCCAGTTTGCAGGATCAAATATGAAATTCCAGTAAAAAAGCAGAAAAAAACTGTGTAGGGAAATGTTTCATTTTCAATTTTCATTTTGGCGTTTGAAGTTAAAATATCACAATATGAACGATTAAATATGAGAATGCTATCAGCTCAGCAAGTCCAGAATCTGTGAACATACTGAGCAGAGCTATTGTCTGTGGTGTTAATTGTCAGATGGAAGAACTAACAGGACATTGAACTGCTAATAGCCATGCAGTTCAATGTTTTTGTTGTTTTAGTGAGCGATACTGCAATATTCATCCTTTTCTCGCCGTTTGGAGTGGTCAGTCTACTCTAGGACTTGGTGTGCTTTTGGAGTTTGGCAGCATTTACCATGCAGTATGCAGGAGGTGCCATCCTGATCATGTTTGTCATTGGTTTAGTTCATATCTGGCATTTTAGAAGTTTCATAGACTTACACAGTAAAAGAAGAGCGAGTGATCAAAGCCACCAAACTGCAGGTCTTTTTATCCTCTATAGGGCTGGGCGATATGGCCTCAAATCAATATCACGATATATTGAACGATAAATGGACGATAACTACTCCAGAAGCTGCTCACTCCCTCCCACATTAACTTCGATTGCATCAGCCGCTACAACTTTTGAACCGTCCTCCATCTCCTCACCTGTCTTTCCCTCTTTGTTCCTGGATGGGGCGGAGTCACGTCTCTGATGTAGGACAGCGTCTTAAAGGGACATGAGACCATAGCCACCTACATACATCCAAAACCAACTTTTTTATTGATTTTTTTGACACCAAATATATTGACATGGGTAAAATGACGCTGGTTATTGTTGCAGATTTCGATATCGGTAAATTTTCAGTTTATCTCCCAGCCCTACACCTTTAACATACTGCACCACAGTCGACCACCACCACCCACTACAACTTCAATGATAAAAAGTCACCTCATGTCAACAAAATCTGAAAATGTAGAAGCTTTGCAAAAGTTGAGTTTATGATGGCGCTGTTTTATTGGATAGCACTCGACTGAATACTGTCATGGCTTTTTGGTATAGATACACTTTACAGAGAAATGTATTTAAATGTGTACAAAGGAAACTTTGTCAGCAGTGCTCTCTCCTTTTCAACATATACAGTGTGAGCACTCAGGCTGTACTTCTTCACCGTGATACTGTACATATATACTGGGCATATTTCATGAACTTTGGTTGTGCATCACTCATGGTTCACTTGTACAGTGTGAGCTGACATCCCACCACAGCATGAAACATCTGTAAAGTATATGCCCAACCAAAGCATAGCAACATTTGGTTCAGAAAGCAAAAGGGTTTCTGACAATTTTTTCCCAGCCCTCCCATGGGGTTCCCAGGGCATTTCCGAACCAAATGGGATGTATAATCCCTGTAATCCCAATAATCTGCTCCAAATCTGCCTTGGAATCTCCTCCCAACCGGATGTGCCTAAAAGACTTCCACAGGGAGGCGACCATGGTGGACAATACAACCATCACAGTTGGCTCCTTTTACTTTGAAGGAGCTGGCAGTGTTTACCGTACCAGGCAAACAAACTTGTGTGTCTGAAACTAAGGGGGCAAAGAAACTTGACATCCTTCACTCAACACAGCACGCCATCTATTAGGGTTTGAGAAATCTCCCCTTCCTATTGAACATAATTGACTCTATCTCAAACTGAGAGATGTTGGCTGTAATGGTCTTGATAAGAACAAAACCATCAGTTTCACACAGATATAAATGTAAGAATTTAGACTTTGCTGCTCACATTTTTTCCCCTACTTTCAGACCTGTACAGTAAACAGGGAATCAGGTATTAATGATGATTTGCAGTCAAATGTACTCGACAGGAAACATAGACAGTTGTTAATTTATTGCCCCCTTTTTAATAAATTACTGCTCGTCTATACTTAGACTTTGTTTGTCTGCTAGATGATGCATTACAAAACACTGACTAGAGCTTAACCCTGCTGGTTTTTAATCTAGCTATCTAATCAGGAACTATTTTAATTCATGGATTAAAAACCAGATCTGCCTCGTGGCCCAAGGATCAGGATTGTGAGTTGTTGACATTGACAGTTTTGTGTTTGGGGTAAAAAAAAAATCCTCAGTATTCCTTTTTAAATGACACCACTCATGTTTTATAAACCCACTATGATTAACAATGGCTAAACATCTTGTTTTTTTCTAAATCTGGGGTTATTCTTTTGAGAGGGGCACCTGTTTTGTTCTTTTATTTTAACTCAGTGTATTTCTACACAATAGTTTTTTACATAAATCAAGTCAGCTAAATCCTGGCTTGTTGTCTTTAAGGTAGTCAGTGGCATCTGTCAGGGTATTTGGGTTGGGGCGGGGGACACAGAGAAGCTGAATGAGTCTCACTCCCACACGTTTCATTCACTGGCATCAGAATTCACAACTCGCACAGTGAGAGGCTCTGAATAGAGGCTGCACGCTTCTCACACTATTAAAAATTCAGCAGTCTAGCAAGGCCATGGCGTCTCCTACGTCACTGGAGTTACATTGAAGAGTGCAGTCACATTTCAGCGACAGCTCTCCAGTCTTATTTACCTGCATGCCTCTCCTGTCTCCCTTCCAGCTTTAACTCAACTAGACAGCCCCTTGCATCCAATCTCGATATAACCGCAACTCTATCCCAGGAACACATATATACATCATATAGACAAGAATATTGTATATCTGTCCCAGTCCCAACACAACTGTCATCCTGTGGAAGCTTTAAATTAAAATGTAAGAGGATGATAACATCACTGAAAGAAGGCATGAGTCATCACTCAGTTAATTGTAGTAAATAACTTGCAAAAATATAATTAGAAGAATACGATGTTGGTCTTTTTAATCAGATCTTTACTGTGTCTTTGTGTCCAACGCAGTTAAGCATTTTCAGGTGTGATAAATAGTTAAATAAGTATTTGTTCAAGCTCAGCAGTTCATAAAATTTGCACCCTACATGTGGCACTGCAGCTTCTGCTCTCACCTGGCTCTGCTCCCTTTGTTTACAGGAGCTTTATTATTGGATCATGTTGCTCCAGGTGGTGTTTCTAAAATTCTGTCACCTATAAGTATGCACTTTCAGTACAATAGAGTTCAAACCAAAATATCATAGCCTAAAAATTGACCAAAAGCTGCATGAATGCCTCACCTGACTACCTGCAAAACTCACATTTTGTTGCAGGGCTGCTGCAGTCTGTTGTACTGGTGTATGCGTTGGACGTGTCATTGCCACATTAGCAATAAGAACTGTGAATAAAGTGCACGTGTAAATGTGATGTGACCATGTTTACAGCTATAATATTTAAACTGACTAAAACTGAAAAAAAATAAAAATCACCTGCTCATCCATCTTGTAAAATTAAAGCGCTAAATCGAATGTTAAGACAACTGCTATGAAGTTTGACAAAAACTTTTAAAAAGTTCAATGTGCTCATGCTAAGCGTATAACATTTGAAAATTAATCTTTTCTCTCTCTCTTTCTCTCTCTCTCTCTCTAGGGTGTCAGAAGCTCTGCAGCGAATTTTCACAAGCCGGGCCCAAATCAGGAGAGAACAGCTGGATCTGGAGAGACAGCTGAAGGAGAATGAGCTGCGCCAGCGCTACAGTGAGGAAGACAACCTGCAGGTCCAGTACTTGTGTGCCAAGGAAAAGACTGAGAAGGTAGCTGGTGCTTACGCTGCTATCCACAGACTCCATCATCCCCACAGAAAACAGCTGCTGAGTCATCATTTTACTTCTCCCTTCTCTACGGCCGTCTTAGCCTCTCATTTACGCCACTACAGGACAGGGTCACCGCTCCCTGTTCCTTGCTCCCTTTTGCCATTTAGACCCAGCATAAGGCCCAGCGGTGAATGCCAAAGCAAGAAAGTCAAAGTACAGAAAGAAAAATTCTCAATAATCCTCAACAGCCAACTTTGCTGAATTGTTTGCAGACATTAGAGAAAAAAAATTATGAAACAGTTTCCTGTGAAGTGCCAAACAATCTGTTAACAAAAATGTGATTTTTCCTCTCAAACTTTGGACAGGTTTCCTTTGATTTACTATTCAAGACAAAATAACAAATACCCAGCATTCTTAAGTAATTTGCATATTAAATCTGGAGCCTGTTTGCCAAATGTCTCCTTTCAGTTTTCACTGTTATTTTGACCATATTACACAGCCAGTGGTAGAAAGCCAAAAACAATGAAGGACTGAAAGACTCACTTTACTTACTTTTTTTTGTCGTTGTCGTTTTCAATAGGCCACTTGTAAACACAACCGGAAGATTGCAAGTTTATGCACTCAGCAGCAACACATTAGCAAACGTCTGAAGGAGGCGGGAGCACGTTTCTTGGACAATGACAGCATGCTTCATCGTATTGAAAATGAGGTCAAACTCTTGAAGTCAGACAACCAGACTTCAGAGGTAAGTACGATTAAGTGATCCTCTAATTTTTATTCATTTAACTTCCTACTTTGTAAAAAGATTTTTTGTAAGTTATGGAAGAAAGTAAGTTGTGTGTTTCATGTTATTTCCTGTTGATTTAAACCATGCGCACAATACTTGTCACATTTAAAATAAACTTTGCATTTAAATTTATGTAGGAGGATAAGTTATAAGTTTTGAGAAAACTAAAAGGATAATTGCATAACTGTTGTAGAAGGTGAAGCAGTTAAAACAAGATTAAATATGATAAGATATAGCGGAAGAAACTTAACATTATAGATTACATCCCTCAAAACTCATTGCTTCTTTTTTTTTGTTTGTTTGTTTTGGGAGGTAGGCTGTCTCTCCACTAGTGTCGTGACTGTCTTTGTTTTCTTCCCATCTGTTCTCCCAGTAATTAGAACCGTGCTCATTTTATTTCTCCAGCTCACTCGTGGATCACTGAAGAGAATAAATCAATACCCTTTACTCATCCCTCACACAGCAGCCAGTTACCTAAAACCATGCCCATGTTATTTTTTTCTTCTTTATCCTTTCTTCCAGGAACTGACCCAGAACTATGACGCACCCACCGGTCAAATGTTCTCTCTGCTGTTGTTTCGTAGTTCCTTTACGTCAGAGTTTCTCTTTTTTTATCCCCTCTCTTACCCTGAGCAGGCAGCTTTCTCTGATGAAACAAGGATCAAAACAGAACTTTGCATCTCACTCTAGTATCCTGACCTCCAACCACCATTTTTCTTCTAATTCTGCCTCAGCGGTGCTAATTCAATATGCAGTTATGTTGCACTGACTTTTGCCTCATTATTTCTGCTCCCTGACCTCAGTTGTCCCTCTTCTTCAGGTTTTAGAGAGGGATCTACATTGCCACAGATTGGAGCTGCAGGTGAATGATCTCAAACAGCACATCAAGCAGATGGTCCAGCTCACTGCACTGCAGGATCAGGAGAACAAGCGCATGCAGAAGTAGGTTAACAATACCTTGAACTACTTCTTTGTGCGTTAACCATCACTCAGTGCAGCTAAAGAGACCGCCCTCTGACCTGTGTTTTCTCCTGGTTAAATATCGGTGTTATTTTCCCATTGCTTTTCAGAATGGTGAACATCTTGTTGCCAGCTTTTAGTCGGCACTATTCTGTGCTGTCTGGGGCCGGGCTGGCCACATCGACAGATGAGGTGGAGAACCATGAACTTGAACACCTTGTGTTGAGGGAGAGGGGTGTGGTCTGGGCTGACCAAGAAGGGGTGGGTCAGCAGCCGAAAGGTGAGGAGATCGGAGAGGAATCACAGGAGACAAATTCGGCAGGGAGTGAGTTGGCACCTGCCCTGTCTTTCTCACATCTGCTGTACCACGAAAGTAGCCCCTGCAGTAAGTATAGTTTTATTTTTATTTTTTTTTTGTTTAGTTTATGAAATTCCAGAAAACATGAAAACTACTCATCATATTTCCCCCGCACTGTTGTTTTTTAAAAGTCATTTTCAACCCAAAAATACTAGAAAGATTAGAAGCTAGAAACAGTAAAGGTTGGCATTTTTTTTTCCTTCTATGGATTATTTATTATAGTGTATTTGTTTGTTTGGTTTTTGCATCACATTACTTTACTGGGGGATTGTCAGATCTCTTGATATGTAACCTGACACCTAAAAAAAAAAAACTTTGTATGAAGAAATTTCCTTAAAAAATACTTATTGAATCTTAAAAGAAACCTCAGAAGATACGCAACAGCTCCTAAACTGAACCAGATTAAAATAACAATAAGTCACACACTTAGTCATGATCCTGTGTTGGTGGTGAAATCTAGAGAAGGTGTCATTTTATGGGAGGTCAGGTCGCCTCAGTAATTGAATATAAATGATTTGTCCTCCTCAATTAACTTTATCAAGTGCTTGCGACAATCTCACCCCTCCCCTTCCATGACTGAAAGAAAAAAGAGAGAGAGAGACACAACAGGGAATGAATCTTTGTCGAACTGGAAAGGGAGAAAATACCACTTGGTTAGTAAAGTCGGTTAGTTATCGGTTAGTGAGTTGTCTTAGTTGTGTAGAATATGTTCACATGTCAGGGATAGGGATTTAGGGATTGTATGAAATGCCAGTAGGTTGAAACAGATCCATGGAAAGTATTAGTCCCTACATGCACGTACAGCTTTTGTTGAAGTCATAAGTGTGTAATTGTAGTGTATTGAACATTTCCCAGTATGCGGCACAAAGTTCAAATCATAATTACAGTCTATATAACATCAAAAGTGAAAATCTATGAGTGTATTAATTTATGTGTGTTTTATGTTTCCTCTATTATGCGGCTCCGTCACGGGGGCACTCCTAAGTCATGAGTTGAGACAGGTATTCACAGGGGGGAATAATGTTAAATGTAAAAGTCAGGTGTTCAGTCGGAACAAGTCTACCCGGCACTTGTCCAGGTCATGTGTGTCCCGCGGGACCCATGAGATTGCACCGTTCATTTTTAACTGTCATGTCTGCATGACCTGGCAGCACCAGGCAACCATGAAATATAAGCCAAGACAGACAGTGGTGCATGAACCAGAGCCGGCCCGCATCACTCAATTACTATGAAGGTGTCTTATCATCAGTAGAGCAGTACACTCGGTGCCCGTCTTTCTATTCCCCTATAACACAGAGGTGGGCAATTAATTTTTACATGGGGCCACATGAGAAACCTGAACTGTGTTGGAGGGCCAACAATAACTTCAACTTCAAATCAGGGGGGTTCACACATACAGAAAAGCAAGCCCAAAAAAAAGCGCACCCACGACTCACGAGTTTTACAAGCAACTTCTGAGAGAAACACGCCTTAAGTCTTTTATAATAAGGGGACTTGGCAACTATAACTTATGTACGAATATTTTGCCGATGTTTAAACTTGTCTCTGTTCACAAACGCACGTGCGTCCAAACAGAAATAAAACAACGGCTAGTTTTTCAAAATAAAAACAACACACTTTTATAGCATGTTGATGATTTGATTGACGGACCTCATGAAGGGCCGGGCAGGGACATCCAAAGGGCCGGATGTGGCCCTCGGGCCGTAAAATACCCAGGTCTGCTATAACAGCTTGATTCGTTTCCGGTTTGTTTTTGTATACTCTGTTTGATGTTTGGTATCTATTGTTATTATTATTAGAAGTAGTAGTTGTAGTAGTAGTGGTAGTAGTTTTATTTGTGAGAAAAACACCTGAGTTGACACAGGTATGAAGGCCGATCTCCTGTAGGCTAGGGGTGGGAATCACTAGTGGCCCCATGATACGATATTATCATGATACGATATTATTGCGATTTTTTTTTTTACATTTTGCAATACAGTGAGTATTGCGATACCATATTGCGATTTTTACCATTTTTTCAAATGTTTAGCTAATTTAGCATTTGTCTTTCCTTTTATGTTTGTCTTATTTACGCTGTATTTTATTTTCATGTGGCACATCTTGCAAACCTTATATATATTTGTTGTACTACCTTTCTCCTGCTCTATGATGTCACCTCTGCCAACGTCACTGGACAGACAGTGGATTTTATTTTTCCATTATCATAGATTTGACTTCATATTAGGTTAAAACATCACTATATGATTGAGACAGTGTTTTGGCTTTCTCTCTGTTTTGTAGACACACCAGCACACATCGTGATTGGGCTCTTGCGTGGGATTTGGCGAACATTTTAAGAAGCCACACTTTTTTATTAAGAAGAGAATGAACCACAGTTTGTTTGTTTTTTATTTTTATCTGAGTGAGTCTCCTTGCTCAGTGAAACTCTTCAAGGCAAAGTTATTTATGAGGTGCTTGAAAAACATTTTGGATTGGATGATTTTAAACATTTTTATTTCAGAAGACAATATTTCATTAAAACTTTCAGTGAACCTTTATACGCCCTTAAAACCTCTAATCCAATAAGTTAGAGCGACAGAATGTAAGCTTGCAAAACCCGATATATGTCAAAGTGAGATTGTTTATGAAGAAAAAACACACATTCCGCAGAGGTTCGATAGAGATGTTGTGATATTGCCTTTCTCATGATTTGTCTTCACCTTCAGGTGCAGAAAACCGCTGCGAAACAATATTCAGCCGTGCTGCTTCATCACCAAAAGGTAAACCCACTCACCCATCTTGCTAATATACTGTAGTCATTAATCTAAAACCCCATCATGTCTGTTAATCCCTCCCCCCATCATTCACCTTCTTTCTCCTTGTCATCCCTCAATCCATCCATCACACGTTCCCTGACAAACTTAAAGAGATGTTGCCGTGTTTTATTGAAGCAGAACACACAGATCATAAAGTTGTTTTTTAATTGACATATAAATTTTTTATTGTTTCAGTGTAAGCCGTAATTTTCTCTTTGCCACATTGTTTTTTTTTTTCAGTTTTCTGAACATGTTGTTAGCTGTTAAAATGAAAGGACTTGTTCAGAGTGGTAAAAAAACACAATAAAAGTCAGACATGTAATATAATTTGATTTACAGTCGTGCTGCAGACGTTCTGTCCCGGCCAAAACTTGAATAATGAAATGATGTGAATACTCACAATCCATTTTATAGCGGAAAAACTATACAAAAGGAACCTTTGGGGAAATGTACCAGAAAAAAAACATTTGTGAAATATTGCACTTCAAATTGGCTGTAATGATATTTACTGCAGGTGGTCTACATTTCATTGAAGCATTGTGGGAAATGCTCCTGCCAGATGACCAGAGTTCTTTGAATGGAAATATAACACAGAGGCACCAGGGAGTTTGTCACCACTGCTATTAAATTTCCATGAAGCTTATCATTAGACATGAACTCCTTACATTTAGATTCGAACATTTTTCTGAACAGTAGGTCCAGCCGATTCTTCTTTCTACATTTCAAGCCAGTTGTTTCATTATTTTATTTCCATTTGCTCATTGGCTTACACAGCAACTTGTTCCACTTGTGTTACTTTGGCTGGCTTTAATATTTTCACAAAACCTCAAGTGGCTAATTTTTAACTTAATTGAGTTTAATGCAGCATGTGGCGCACCTACTATAACTCTCTGAATGGACAGGATATTGTATTGAAAAACAAAGAACAGCTAGTTTTTACGCTTTGTTTACAGGATATTTCTTGTCAACAAATCAACCCCAGTCTCTAAATATGAATAAAGATCCAAGATTTTAACAGCTGCAGAATGATGTGCCTGTCGTTGAAGCTCATCCTACTAAGGCCTATAAAGAAAGAAAATCATGTCCATGCATACTCTCCATTTTAACAAAACATACATGCAAGCCTTTTACAGGCCTAACAGCAGCACAATAGAGATTAACCATGCAGTATGATCACTGTTTTTGCATCACTGCGTTCCCATTATTGGGATCAGGTTTCCACCTTTTTTTCTATCTTGTAAAATCATATCTGTGCATTCACCTTTCTGACTCACACCTGCATCTTTAAAAGGCCACCCTGTGTGCTTCAAACTAGAGCTGCTACTCAAATATATATGTGTACTGTGTATAAACACATACATAAAACTGCTATATATATGCAATACAGCATCATCAGCTGAGATAACTGACTAAACACTCACTGGTAGAAGCAAAGCATGTGTTCATACAGAAAGATTTTGTTTTGGGGAAAAGTGCTCTGTTCTCATCCTGACACTGTTTGTAAGTCTCTGACTGCTTCCTCAGCTGTTAATGGTAGTCACTGCAGCATGTTATGAGAAATAGCTCCACCCAGCAGAGTGCAAAGCCAATCAAATTTCAGTGCTCAAAGAGAGGGCTGGGATGTTGAAAGAGCATTAACTCTTTGAGGGCTGATAAATAATAGCAAAGCACACAGATAGGAGCCCTTTGAGGGGAACATTTCATTATTTTACTATTCAGTGTTAATTAGAAGATGTCCACACATCCAGTTATTATTAGATTTATCCTTTTTTCATTCAGCTTCCTCTCACTGCCTCTTTAATGTTTTCCTTTTTATACTGCTATTTGATCCTCTCTCTTTCGCTTCTCTCTTATCTATTTTTTCCTCCTTAGATTTTGCAGTCCCTTTTGCTTCAAACATCTGTTTGTCTGGCTTTTTTTCTCTATCCTACCTTTCTATCCCTCCTACCCTCAAATGTTTTTCTCTGTCTGTCTAGCATATAACCCCCCCAATCCCTCTTGAGCTTCATTCATGAAAATGCAGATCCACAGCAGGGCAGGAAAAAACGTCAACAGACGTAAACTCCCCTGCTCCACCAACCAGAAAAGGCGCACTATAAAAAACAGGCAGCAGCAACCAGGCGACCCTAATTCAGTGCAGCCTCCACCAGAAATAGCAACTCATGCATGTATTAATCCCCTACAAGCCAAAAATATGTGATTGAAGGAACTCTGCTGCCATTTATTGCTAGGGACAACTCCTCTGCCACTGGAAAGTGCTATTTATCATCGTCTCCTCTCTCGGTGTGCTGTCTGAAGTCTGACTCACATTTGCTAAATATTACATTTTGATATTAGGGCCATATATAAATCACTCATCCACCTTTGTATCAAGTGTTCTCACTTCCTTTATGTGCTGGCATTTTTCCTTTTTTAGCCCCTTCTTAACCCCCACCACACCTCGACAGGAAATGCCACGAGTGTAATAGTGTTCATAATGCGATGCAGACAGTGATTCAGCCTTGTTCTTCCCAGTAGAATTTTGCTGTCATTTTCAAATTAAGTCACTCTGAGTGGCCAAAAAAAAAACTAAACACTGGATTAAAGTGTCGCACATCCATCAACCAATACTTTCATCATTAACAGCCTTTTTTGGTGTTTAGATAATAATCAATGTTGAGAGATGGAGAAAGGAACAAGTTCTGTGTTTTTGTGTTTAGTTTTTTTTTGTGTGTGTGTGTGTGATAACTCTGTAAATAATGCAGCTGCAGATCAATTTTAAAGTTATTTAGCAAAGAATTCAGTGTTTTGTTTTGTTTTTTTCTTTGTCTATTAGAAGTTGACAAAGATTTGAGCCATACAATGCACAGCTGTTTAATAGCTGACTTACACTCTGTTGTATATTTACAAATAGTCGGAGCTTACAATGTCACCAGGTGTAGCCCTAAAACTTGAATGGCTAACCAAATGATTGCACCAAGGTACTGATCATGCCTATTATATCTGAGGTGATATCATAGTTTATATCTATGTAATAGAAGTTTATAACTTTTATTATTATTATTATTTTTTTCTGTTTTCATTTTCTACTAAGGTTTCAGTGGCCATTTAAGTTTTTCATCTGAACAACCATTCCCATCCAACCTGACAGAATATATTTTTTTAACTTTCACAGTCACTGCCTCTTGTGTTTCACTCTCAGTGTTTCATATTTTGATGCAACGTATCTTAAAAAAAAAACTCAAAATGTGCAAGGTTTTGGCTACTCATGTGTTTGTGCCAAATCTTATACAGTTAAGTAAACGGTGTAAAAGATGAGTGTTAATTCATACACTGGACTTATAAAACAAATGTCTGTAACATAGTTTTATTAGTGTTTTCGAACTGCTGGCTATTTTAACACCTTTTTTTGCATTCAGTAAAATAAAACAATTTAAAGCTCCTATAAGGAGTTTTGTGATATTAATGAAATTGACTGAAATTCACTATGATGCCTTTATATGATGTACAAAAGCCAACAAAGCTTTAATCAACAAATAACAGGAAACACAGACAGAAAAATGTTTGATTCTGTGAAGTATTGCCACAAGGGACTTCTGGATTTCTGACCAGCCAACTATGAATATTAAAATAAATAAAAAAAACACTATTTAAATATTAAACGTCTAAAAATAAAGGTAGATATCGCTCAATTATTCCATGCTTGTTAATATAGCTGATTTTCTTAGCCAGGAGCATAATTCCGATGGATTACTCATTAATATACAAGAAAAGGTCAAACATATGGAGTTGTGCTGTAGAGTTCATAACGTGAATGACTCATATGTCAGGAGCAATATTAAACTGCATTGTTCTCCCATACATCGTAAACAAATTTAACACAGTAATTTTTAAAGGGACATTCTCTTTAATCAGCACAGTTTGGACCAATATACACCGACATTATAGTTTCACATTTAGACATCGTAAGCATGTGTTATAGTTTAAGTGTATTTCACCACTTTTTCATTTCTATTAACTGTTCGTGTTTTTGCTTCTTTTGTTTTTAGATAGAAGAAACCAGACTGACACAAAACAGGAGCCAATTCCTAAAATGCCCATCAGAAGAAACCTGTGCACATCACTCCCACCACATAGCCCCCAGATTGGTGTCAAGACTCAACATTTTGAGGAGGGTCTTTGCCCGCTGCAGTGCACACCAGAACCTGCTAAACAAACTGTTAAGGTCCTGCCAGTGAGCTCTGTCAGTGCTATGGATCCCAACATGACCTTTGAGGTTTTTGACAATGACGATCAAACTGCAAGTAATGCAACCATCATAATAAGTGATGGGAGTCCCTGTCAGTCATCAAAGCCCACTGACTTCCTAGGGTTGAATCGACCACCCCTTCCTCCCAAGACCAATGAGGGGAACCAGGTTTTGGCCAAAAGGTAAGAAATTGTTTATGTTCTTGTTCATTTGACTTTGATTTTGAATGTTCATCTTGTTGTTGTTCTTTAGAGGTTACAGTTTTGGTTACAGATTTTATTCTTGCCTTGACAAAGCACCATATTAACATTTAGCGCTCACTCTCAAATGCATATAAGTCGAGAAAGGGGTCAATTGGCACCAGTTTACAAAGTTTAAACCTCAATTTTCTGTCCACCTATTTTACACAACTCACATGGTTTGACACGATTTCCCTCCCTTCCTGTGGTCATTAATCTTACATCGCCCACCGTTTTTGTGCTGGCTCATTTAGTGGATTACACTATTGACTTCACGCATACGGTATTAAGGCCACCAATCCTTATGATTTTTTTCATCCACAAAGCCATAAACAAATGCATCTATGCACTCACAAAGCACAAACTGCATTCCAGTGATCACTTTGGAATTCCCTTCACACATAACAGTAAAATACTGCAAGACAGCACTCCTCATCACAGTACTTTTTGGGAAATACCAAATAGTCACAGAACTACGCTATCTACAATAACACATCAAATCCATTCGTTGCGCTTTCTTTACCCCAGTGGATCAAACAATTTCCACCCAACACTTTTTTAGAAACAGAGTAAGTCAACAAGTGGTTTTTTACTCACTCCCAAAGGATTCAAGCAGAACTGAACCAGCGGGCGTTATAAACATCATTACCTCATCTATACCTCTGACATGCGAGGCAGTTTGTTGGCAGCCAAGACTTCATATTATCTTCTAAACATGTGGCATTGATCATAAGAGTCTGAGTTCAGAGCCTGTCTCCAAACATTAACTGCTAACTTATGTAGCAGACGACTTTTTACCGCCCAGTTCTGTACGTGCGTCCTGTTCTTTCTCAGGGCTGCTCTCCTCGTCTCAGTTATCTCACAAACATCGATTTTTGTCTAATATCGCTAGTGTCTAGACAAGCTAACTTTGGTCCTTTCAACAATACTGGTCTGTTTAAGTTTTCAAGTCTGGTCACTTTGTGTGTACTGTTTTGTGTTACCCAAATCTAAACTATCCATCCGTCATTCCTGCCAAGTCACAACATACAAGATAAAAAGTTAAATCAGTCAACTCTTCTGCTAGGAGTGAATGTGTAAAGAGTTTTTAAACTAAAGCTCCTGACACACCGGGAATGACGCAAATATACAACACGAAATTACGAAGTATTCGGAGGCGAATTTGGACCCGCCAGTACCAGATAAGCACATTAAACTATAATCCATAAACGTAAGGTGACAACCGAGACCTAATGGTGCTGTGACAGCAACACAATTGAGTTTGAGACAGTGGAAATCCATATGGTATGTTGTATCTGAACAGGTTAGCTTACGAGCATCTGTCGTATACTACTTGTTTCCAACTGGGCGTTCTTTAACCATTGAGTAAGAAGTGTAAAAACCCACAAACTTGATGGTAAACCATTCAGGAGTCGCAAAACCTCCAAACCTTTTTCACAACAAGCAAGTTTCCTGGCGGAGACTGATGTAAAAAATCAGCAAAGGTTAAAGTACCATGTAAGTGTTTTAGAGAAACAAGAAAACAAGCCATGATCTTTCAACAGCTGGAGGTGCCATAGACAGGAAATTAAAAAAAACCCTGCTTCAGATAGATTTGTGAGACAACATAATTTGCATATCCAAATTTCTTAATGCGGTTGAATCAAAAAAGGATCATATAACAAAGGTGTGCTCTTGTTTACACAAAGCTTTTAAAATACATCAGAAACACAATGATCAGATGTAAGCTTTCTTTTTTTTATTATCTGATGTTGAAAACAAAAAGGGTTCACATTCTCATATCAAGTCCAAACAGCAGAGATGTAAACCTTTTGTTCTCTGTAGACAACAGAACCTGACACTGCAAGACGTGAGACGAGCAAACCCAACGTACATGAGCATGACATCTGCTGCACAAGGAAAACGGAAATTTAATGGGTAATGTGCCTGAAGCTTTTTATCTTTCATGCATGTTATCAACTTTCCTCGGTACAGGCAGACTATAAAACACTAACGAGGAACTTCTGATGTTGTTTTGATGAGTTCTTCCTTCTCGTATCATTCACCGTGGCAGCATCCGAGAAGAGTCACCACATCCTCTCACTATGCCGAAACGTATAAGGAAAGATCCATCAGTGACCCGGAAACCACTTCGAGTGCATCGCTTGGCCGGTAAGTTGGAGTGAATGAGTGGATGGACGGAGTTTTCATAGCTTAAAATGTTGGTTTCATGCAACTAGAGATGTTCCGATACCGGTCTGATACTTGTGTTGTGGGTATCGGCCAATACTGAGTATTCCGATACCAATGTGTTATAAAAAATATATATATAATACCAGGCCCTGCATGACTGTGATGTGATTATCATTGTGGTAAGGTCTGGTTCAGGTTAAACCCTTTGTATAACACAAATAAATACAGCAAATTTAAGCCATTTCTTTTCAAATAGAACTGTATAAAATAAGCAAATGCAAATAAAAATAGGATTTTTTTTTTTTTCATTAAAGTGCAGCCGCAATATTTTAAAATAAAAGGGAATTTAAACAGAACAGAGCTAATGGAGCTAACCAGTAAATAAATTATTAATTTGATAAATTACATGGTATCGGATCAGTGCCTGGACTCCAATACTCGCCGATACTGATGCCGGCATTTTCGGCAGTATCAGAGCAATTTTCAATCGGAATCGGAACAACTCTACATGCAATTATAAAACCAAACTTGCTAAATTAAAAAAAAAAAATAAGAGTGTCAGGGTGTAAAATACGTCAGTAATTATGAGCTCTCTCAAAATGCCGGAGAGGTTTACTTTTGTTTACCTCCGTTAATTGTTGTCTTCTGGATGTCTGTCTCCAGGTTTAGAGGAGAACAAGCCCCGAAGGGTTGTGAGGAGTATATCAGAGGGAAATCTCAGCCTCCTTGAACCTCAGAAATCCAAATCCATATTTTATAAAACATCTCAACATCTTAAAAGAGTGGCCAAACGGATGTAAAGCAACATGTTCAAAGCAAGTCTGAATTTTTCCCCCTCCATTCGCCCATTATTGCTCCAAACCAAACGTCAATAAAGGTGAAACATTTTCTCAGCTGCATTATTTTGTCAGGGGTGTTTTGTTCCATACACTCTATTGAGATTTTTACTTGACTGTATATAAACCTTGTATAGTTTTGATCCTACTTTTAAACTCATGCACGCACTAAAAGCTCCAAGTGAAAACATGTCCTGTTGATTTCCTCTGTTTTAAACTATGTTCTCAGTCTGTCTGGTAGGTAACTACATTTCTTCAGGGCAGCTAACTTTAAAATTTCAGTGATAGTTTTAAGATAAGACTTTTAATGAAGGTAAGGCTTGGTTGTCTATGTTTTTGTATTTTATTCTTTTTTGTACAGTTAATAAATTGGGGTTATAGATATGTTATAATAAAATGTTATGGAGCAGGATTTGTGGCTGTTATTTGTTAAATAAATCCATTTCTGAAATGTAATATGTTATTTTGTGCTATTGATGCCGAGTCTGATATGTGGTTCTCAATGAAATGTAGGTTACAAGATGTTCCAGCGATAAATAGATGACACAGGACAGGCTCCTTGAGGATGAAAAATACAATGACGAGGGAAAAAATGAACTGACCAAGAGCCCACGAAGATAAGTTTCTCAACATCTTCCAGTCAGAAAAGAAACAGCCCCTGTTTCATGCCTCAAGGAAAACAGGTGAACTCTGAGTGCAGTGATTGATAGGAGGCTATTTTCCTCAAACAACACCCCTGAAGGGATACTGGATAGGTGTGTTTTAATATTCAACAGAACACAGACTCCACAAAAAGTCTTGAAAGAGGCGTTATTGATAACTCAACCACTGCTGTTCAAAACTCCAACTGAGTCACACTTTTACACAGAAATGGGATGGACAGGGATTCAATATCTGTGAAAATTAAAACTCTTGCTTCAAACTTAAAATAAAGGGTAAGGCACTGGCAAGATGATATAGTATAAAAGTAATGGAGCCATAGAAATGATTAGCTTAAAGTTTGAAGTATGTTAAAGGCAGGATCTGAAGAAGCGCCAGTTTTTGGGAGAAATCGTGAATGTAAACTCTACCCCTCCCAACCAGTTTTCCCCTCAGCTCCTCTCGCCTCCCTCTCTGCTCCAGCAAGCCCCGCCCACAAACAGACACTCCTGCTCGCTCATGTCGTTTCAATTACATTCAGATATAATGCAGATAATTACAAATGGGGCCCAGTCAACGTGAAAGTAAAAAGCATCGGTGCTACTGTAGATGCCAACAGACTACCAGCAAACACGATGTTTGCAGAACTTCTACAACTAGGATAAAGTGACATAGTCCAGGACCCGAGGTCAACAGTTCAGCGGCGTTACAACACACAGCAGGTCTCGTTTGACAAGAAACACTTCTGTTACAGACACTTGGCTTACTTTGTTAAAGCGGTTTACCTGTCCAGCAGAAAGGTTACGTAGGGTTCGTAAGATCCCGAAGCGTCCCCCATTTTAGGCTTTTTAGCTCTTGTCCGGTCTACCTCTGTTTTAAGCGCCCATTATTTCGCACAAGTCACGAGTCATTTTATTGCTTGTGTTTTCTGTACTTTCTTGTTGCTTTCTACTGTTCGATATTGTAGCACGCTATCTTTGTTTGGTCTCGTACACGTTATTCAAGGATGTGGAGCGTTCCTCACAACCAATCAGGTTGGGGGAGGCGGAGAAAAAGTGAGAAAAAGCGGGCCGCTCAAAAAATTTTAAATGTTGACTACGCAGACATAACAAAACACAGCGATATCATTGTATTACCAAATGTCATTAATAACTAATAGTTATGGACTGATATTAAAAGCTTTTTTGTATACACCTTTAAGTTTTAAGTTATTCACAAAGGCAAATAAGCACAGTTTATAATCATGGCAGAACTATTTTTAAAAACAATGAATGCATGGTTAATATGGTTTAAAAGTAATGGGTAAGTGGTTTCCAATATAGTAACTTGTTAGTCAAAGACATGAATAAATGGTTGGAATAAATTGCAAAAAAGAGAAACTGAAATAATCTTCCCCAAAGTTTTGGAAAGTCTTTCATGACTTAAAACATTGAGTTTTACTGTGATGTCAGGGTCCATCACCCTGACACCACAGAGCACAGACGCTTTACCAAACCAACTTCTACATTCGACCATTTTGTAAAATCAGTCTATTCTAATAACAACTGCTTTAACATCTCACTTTATATTAACTTAGTGTTGTAGGTGGTGAAGAGATTCTTGATTTCTTTGCAGTTGGGTTGAGAGGGTGAGGCAAAAACATATCGGTAAGTAACCCCTCCTAATCCTGCTGTTTCTGAGTTGTTTTCAGGGATATTTTTGGTTTCTCCTGTGTTGCATTTTTAGCTCCCTGAAAACTGTTGGGTTCAAGTTTTTTTTTTTTTTTTAATGCTGAACACTGATGTCAAAAAATACCTCCTGGATCTATGACTAGGGTGGGACCTCGTTGCTCTGTCTGAGGAGGAGTAGACTTGTCACTTTGAATTCAGTCTTGCAACTTTCAGCAGCACAGCATTCAGTGTGATCTTTATTTTTAGCTCAGGAGCTCAATGCATATATCAGCACTGTACTGCGCAAGCACTGACACCCTCTCATGCTCTCATTCACAAGAATCTCTTCATAGTGTGTGTGTGTGTGTGTGTGTGTGTGTGAGAGAGAGAGAGGGAGAACGAGAGTGAGGGAGTGTGTGTGCGCACACAGGGAGGCAGGTCTTGGCTAAAGTTTATTAACTTTCTCTTAGCCAATGGGGCGCTTTGTGCGTTTTTCTTGCTGACCAATGGGACAGATTGAGAGGTTGGAGGTGGGTGTTGCTTAGCAACTGCAGGTAGAATCTCAGATCATGTTGGACCCATTGTTTTATCTTGCCTCCCTGAGAGACATAACATGCTATGTGTTGTGATTTGTTAGTAAAATAAAAAAAGAAAGCCTCAGTGCAAATGCGTCACAAAGTTGTTAACTCTATTTTTATATTGTTAAACAAAGATCACAGTAACTTAAATGGCTTTTTGCCCTTGAGTCAGAGCACTTTTAATTGATGGTTATTACGTTACTGCGTGTCTCATTTTCATTGCAGAGTCACTGAAGCTCATACAAGTGAATTTGGATTAAATTAATGTATTTAAACCCTCGGTTAAAGGGATTACCACCTTTGCTGAAACCTCGTGCAGAGTCAGAGGTGAGTGCTTACAAACAAAAACAACAGACAGGGCTGCTGATTGCAAAAATTCCATGTGAAGATTTCCTTTTGAAGCATCTGAAATATTGAACCCTATGTGCCCCTAGACACCACCACATTAACACACACATACACAAAGCACTGATGCAACCAATTATGACTTAATTATATTTCTGATTCAAGAAACCTTGAGTGTTGGCCTCAGTGTGATTGAGAGCGTGTTTTGTGGTTTTTGAAGGGTCTTTTTATTTGTGCTTGGCCACAAATGCAGAAGCTGACTACCACGAACAAATATAGGTATATGATCCTACCTACAATGTTCCTGACTGCCTCAAAGCAGCACGTCACAGCTGTGAACTTTTCAGCCCCTGTCTAATTAGATGACCTGATATCTTACAGCAATATGTCACTGTGGAACGACTCGCAGAGAGTTGACCAGCGGTACTGTCTGTCCTTTTACCCTAATGGTGTCACTTTGGTCGAACCTTGGTTAGCCTAAACTTATGTGAGTCACCTTTAATTATACATGCTTATGATGCGCACGCTGCAGACTGTGTGTGTGTATGTGGAAATGCATATAAAGATCATTAATACCTCACTTGAAAAAGGTGCTTTAAACTTGTAACGAGCAGCCTTGGTGACCATTATTCCAAGCTCCTCCACACTTCTCTTTAGGGCGGCACTGATTTTGATCATTTTGAAAAGCTGTAAAACGATATAGTCTGTGTTCTTTAAAGTCCCACACCGATCTTTTTTTATTTTTGTTACTACTTAAAGTGTTCTCAGTGGTCTTTAAATTGTGGTTATGAAGTTTTTTCCTGTGTCATTTTCAAGAGCTTTTCTTCTGCAGAGCTCGAGTAGCTCACTAACAATCGCCTCTGAGTCATTGGTGGAGACAGCGCTGCTCTGCGCACTTGTCTTCACGTTAGCTTGCAGCCTAACATTGCCGGTGTAGTAGACGTAGCAGGTAAAATAGGAGCAGGACATGATGAAAGCCAACATCATAGTTAGCTTTTTTACAAGCATAGCAATCGGCTAACGACACGCTTGTTCTGCGATCATCCTCTGTATTTTTCCTCTATATGCCGAGTGTGGCCTGCATAGCGGGGCTCCGGGGGCGGAGCTTGGATTGGTTACATATGAAATCTCACTGTTTCTGAACCTGCCGTTTTGGTCTGCCTGAGATTCACAGCGAGTTGAATCTAGAAATACTCAGAAAAGCAATTTCACGTTTAGTTGTCTCATGATATGTCCTGTAGCATCAGAAAAATACCATATGAACGTATAGAAAACAAGAAAAACATGATTTTCATCAGAATGGGTCTTTAAGTGTGCTGTGATAAAGAAACAAAATTTTGGCGCTCAGTCAAAAATGTAGTAGTCATTACATGAGGTAGAAGTAAGTTGCTTTTACTCATTGCCCTGCCGTGCTTAGCTTGATGCAAATACTCAAAAAGGGGTTATGGAAATTCCTGGGATGCACCCTGGATTTGTCATGTAAAGCAGGGCTAGGGACATGTTGTTTGCAGCCTGAATATTCGAGTCCAGTACATCCAGCATTGGAAAGCAAAGGGAGAGACATGAGTGTAAAATAGATATTAGACATAGATTCATACATACAAACTTGGAGAACATTTGGGAGATACGTTCACTCAAAACGCAGTCTGGTTTAATGACTCTAGATAAGGTAAGAACCTGTTAAGAAATCTAAACTGCTGTTAAATTAAGTTTTTGATCACCTGAATTTTCAGTTGAAAAGAAAAAGTGGTTCATTTAAAAAAAAAAATAAACAGCTAAGATTGGTGCCGACTATTTCATTTGAAACATTTGGTTCTGCTCTCTTGGAAATCAATCTTGATGGCCTAACACCCTTTTTAACTGTTTTCTATTTTCCACTTAACCTCTTATCAATAACTTTTGAATCAACGGATCATTAGCAGATTTTTCATGTTTTTCATCAGAAACATGTCCTTTTTTTTTTTTTTAAAGGGTGTCTAATTTTGTCTGTGGAAACAAGAGAAAAGTAGAATAGATGTTGGTTAAAGACATCCATCTTAAAGGACAACATTTAAGACATCGCAGAAAAAACTAGATTAGACACACTGCAGACACCAAAGAGAAGCTTATATACTCAACAACTACAGCAGACACCAACTATACAGAGCGCTTTATTACGTCTTTATCACCATCATTTCTCACCTCCCTGTTTGAATGTTTTAATATTCTCCATTTTGTTCAGTAAACAAGTTCAGTGGGAATGCGGGAGCACACACACACCTGGCTCCCTTTATCAATACATGGCTGACTGTTGGCAGGACCTTGTGCAGTGGTTATTGTGGGGGAGGGGTGAGATTTACAGTTGTGAAACAATGTGACATAAAATCAGTACAGCTGTGATGGCTCAGCAGTGTCCTTTGCTCCTTTACAATCTCCTCCAGGAGTTTATCCGATGCCCACCTCAAATGTACTGTATGTAGCCTGAGGATGACTCATCCTCAGGAGAATGAGCTGTATGGCGCAGGTAGCCTTGCAAATAAACATTTCACGATTTGCAGAGTCTACTGAAGTACTTTGCTGACTTACAGAGCAAACCCACAGACCACATACACAGACCGTGACAAACGGATGCTGTTTTATTTTGCCTGAAAACCACTCAGGGTGAAATCTCCGTCTGTGTTGTGCCTTTTGTGTCACACCAAAAACACATGACGATTCATCACTTAAGGCTACGCACTAGAATATTTAGCCTTTTCCCTTTTGAAAGAGAAAATTTGTCATCATTGCACCAATTACCATGGAGACAGGGTTTAGTCCCAAACCTACCGGAATTATACCGTGCATGAGTGTACTCATTACACCTCACTGCAACTTCCAGGAAAGACTGCACAGTGCGTGGACGTGTGACTCCACCTCTTAAGGATGGTTAGGGAATATGCAGTCATTCAAATAATCTTCGTTTCCCAGCAGGCTTTCACACCTGTTCCTTTCAAATGTTGTGTGAATCTGCGTATGTCAAGTTTGCTTTTTCATCTAGTTGCTTTATTATTCATGGCATTAAAGGTATATACCGGTTTAAAATTAAGTTAGGGTCAAACACACCCCCTCGAGAGATGAATGTTGCCGACAGCTTGCTTCTCTAGTTATACCAACTTTAGTAATGAAGCAGATAGCAATACAGAGAGCCACACACTCAACCAAAGCGCCACTCTATAGCCACAAATAATGCTCAGAACAGCACCTAACTTCATCAACAGGACATGTAGGGTCCCAGCCATAGTACTAGCCACCAAACATTGTTTTAGCTTTGTGTAATTTCTTTAGCAAAGAGACTAAACACAACTCACCTACTCTCTTCCAGCAGCCACTTGTTTGTAGTGAGACCTCGGGCGAATCCACTGACTGCAGCGGGGTGACACAGCTCAAGGAAATGATAAAGTAATGATCATAAATGTTCTTCCTTGAGCTGCGTCACCCCGCTGTAATCTTGGACTCGCCTGAGGTCTCACTACAAACAAGTGGCTGCCGGAAGAGAGTAGGTGAGTTATGTTTCATCTCTTTGCTAAAAGAATTAGGCAAAGCTAAGAAGATGTTTGATGGCTAGTACTATGGCTGGGACCCTATATGTACTGTTGATGAAGTTAGGTGCTGTTCTGAGCATTATTTGTGGTTATAGAGTGGCGTTTTGGTTGAGTGCGTGGCTCTCTGTATTGCTATCCTGAGGTTGTTACTAAAGTTGGTATAACTAGAGAAGCAAGCAGTCGGCAACATTCATCTCATGATGGGGAGTCTAACTCAGTGTTGCGGTGTGTTTGACCCTAACTTAATTTTACGCCGTAATATCCCTTTAGGCTAACATGGGTGGGGTTCTCCATCTAATGGTAATATAGTTTATAAAATCCAGTTATTCCAGATATGTCCACAGTTTCAGATTTAGATTAGTCTTTAGAAACCCCTTGGGAAAAATGGTGGAATAACATTACAGGCATTGGCGTAATGTTGTCACCTACTCTTTCTGATCCATGACTACCGACTTTAGATTAATAGAGCTCGTCACAAGCCAGTGGTATCTTAGCATCATAGCATACTCACACTTAGCTGAGCTTGTCTCAGAGAGTAAACAAATATCATGCAAAGATGTATTATACAGTCTATGGTGTGAATACATAAAGCACTCTGTTGTTTTAAAGATCCGTCAATACTGAGAATACTAGCAAAGACAAATCCTACCTTTACACACATGGGATAGACATGTTAATGGACAAGGCATTTGCTGTGGAGGTGACAAGATTAAAATGAAACTCTTAACACACTTTTGTAACAATAGGATGTGATACAGTCAATCAATCAATCAATCAACTTTATTTGTATAGCACATTTAAAATAACCACAAGGGTAGCCAAAGTGCTGTACAGTGACATAAAAACAAATAAAACAATCAAAAAACAAGATAACGCAAGCAGAAATACAGTAATGCAAAAGAATAAATAAGTGTATAAATAAGGAGGCTCACAGCAAGTGCTAAAATGATAAAAAACAAATTAACACTACAATGTACTAAAAGCCAATGAGTAAAAGTGCGTTTTTAAAAGGGATTTAGAAACAGGAAATGAGGAGGCCTGTCTAATTTTCAAGGGCAACTCATTCCAGAGCTTAGGGGCAGCAGCAGCAAACGCTCTGTCCCCTCTGAGCTTCAGCCTAGTACTGGGGACCGTCAGTAAAAGCTGATCAGCTGATCTTAGGGGTCGGGGTGGGCGATAAGGCTGGAGCATCTCCGAAATATAGGGTGGAGCAAGGTTGTTCAGGCCCTTAAAAACAAATACTAAAAGCTTAAAATGAATTCTGTACTGAACAGGGAGCCAGTGTAAGGATGCCAGGATGGGGGTGATGTGCTCACGCCTGCGGGTCTGTGTCAGGAGACGTGCAGCAGAGTTCTGCACAAGCTGCAGGCGGGCAAGGGAAGCCTGGCTGATCCCTACGTACAAGGAGTTGCAGTAATCAAGACGGGTAGTTATAAAAGCATGGATTAATTTTTCCAGGTCAGGTCTTGATAAAATGGGCTTCACCTTCACTATTTGACGTAGCTGATAAAAACTTTTTTGTACCACTCCGCTGATCTGCTTCTCAAATTTAAAATCCGGGTCAAATTTAACTCCCAGATTAGTGACGACCTCCTTTAGGTAGGGTGAGAGGGAGCCTAGGTCGATGTTGGGGGGGTGGCCGCCACTTGGTCCAAACAACATTACCTCAGTCTTGTTCTCATTTAGACTGAGGAAGTTAAAAGAAAGCCAGGCTTTAATGTCCTTAAGGCAGTCAGTGAGTTGGTGGACTGAGTTGGAGTTGTTCTGTGCTAGTGGAAGATAGATCTGACAATCATCAGCATAAAAATGAAAGGAGATGCCATGCACTACAAAAACACCAAGGGGACAATCTGATTTGTCAGTTGTAAATGCAACCCCATTCCTGAGCTGAAAATCGAAAGATATGAAAAGCATAATCATTACAGGCTTTGCAGGAGTAAGAACCGTCAGGTGACTCATGATGCCAAATGATATGCCCACAGCAACAATAATATCACAATATTGCAATTCTGTGATACTCACTAAAATGTAACACTATGAAATAACAATAAATCAGCATAACTTATTGAACGGAGAAAATCCCAGAAAAAGGTAACAGTCAGGATCAATGTACTTAATAATCGCACTTTGATTTAGTTTGACTGAGATGAAATAATTCGCTCCATAACTTTAAAGTTGTATTCACAGTCTATAGATCTGTACATCTATAGAATTACCTTAAAATTGACACGCTCTTATTTTATGCATAAACTCTAAAATCCAACAAACTTTTTAGTTTACCTTTAAGACTCAACCTGCATCAGCTACAGTAATACACACTATGATGTCAGTAACTATCGCCAGGTCTTCTTCATCAGCCTCAATGAGACCAGTGTAAGTCTCATGCATCACACTAGTTTGTAGCGTGTAAGAATATATTTTCCATTTTCTTTGTTAGTAACTGCCCCGTATGTCTCTTTGGCACCTTGCTTCAGCCTGAATCCTGGACCTTAAATTGCTGAGTGACAAACTGGTGAAGAATAAGGATAAGATGTTGTGTATCAATAGCATTAAACAGGTGCTTTTTTCCTCTCTCAATACAACAAACACCTTACATGTACTTATCACTAACCTGCTAAAGGTACTTAACCACCCGTCGAAAGCTTACCCTCCACTGTGTCCATTGTACACATTGTGCATGATTTTGCTCACCAACATAAAACACTCACTTCTGTCTACGAATCTGGCGAAAAACCTCACATGCTTACTCAATCCACAGGGGCACAGTTCATCTAAGGGGGGGGTGAGTCGTAACACAACTTTACCATTCATACTGGTACAGCCAAGAGAAGTCCTAGCATCATAGACCAAGTTCTTGTCTTTCCTGTTCCCAAACACACAAACCCACTTCCTTTTGATAACTTGACGGGAGATCTGTCAGTTCAATGGTTCTGAAGACAATATCTTAATCAAGTTGTGTTTGATTTAAAGGAAAAAAACAAACAAAAAAAGTAAAACCAACAGCGTTTTGTTCGTAAAAGTTCAGTAAAATTTCACCAAATCAGTTTCCCGATACAGAGCTGTATCTGTGAACACAAACCGCAGAGTTTTTCACTCCAACTTCACTTCGAATATTTATTTCTAGTCCCCCAGTATCATTTCAGGGTAAAGTCTGGGTGAGCTCATGTGAAAACACAGCAGCAAATCTTCCAGATAGTTCCCTGTGAGTAGTGGCAAGGGATGTGTTGATGTTTATCATGCAGTCGGTTTTCTGTCTAGTTTTGCTGCTTGGCTGAAAATTGTTTCTGTTGGGGGACAGAGTAACAGAGGTGGTTGATTTGCAGAGTATGTTATCGTTTTCAGGTCATACATTTACTGTGAGAATGAGACAGCGTGTTATCATACAATAGGGAACTTTTACTGGAGAATTTAGAAGAGGCGTAATTCCGTGCAACAATCCCCTGCCGTACAATACTGACTTTGTCGCAGTCATTGACATCAACACAGCAAGGGCTTTATGAAGAGACATATTTCAAGGGTTGAAAGGGACACAAAAGTAAAGAGAATAAGATAGACAGTAAATTAAACTTTTGGAAGAATTAAATCAGAGGATCAGTGATTTTAATCTTGATATGATTGTAAAATATTACATCATAACTACTGCAGCATGTGTTTGATTTCATCATCAGCCTCCCAAACCCCACACCCCTCCATTCAACAGGGGAGACTCCTCTTTATGAGGGTGAATGTTTGAACAGTGCAGTCAGGTAAAATCTCGGCTCAGAGCCTCTAAAATTTCAGGAAATTAATTAAAATTATTCAGGAAATTTCCTGAAGTACACATCTGAAAATGGTTCATCAGTACTGCTGCTAGTATCCCAGTCTGATATAACCTCAGAGGAGCAACTCGGGTCCTGGCTCCTTAAAGAAATATTCACTTGGCAACCTGGACAATTGAACACTATTGTAGACTACATAATACACAGACTTACGGGGTGCTCACACCAAGTGTGAGTTAAATCATCTACTCGCTTAATTTGCACAAGTCTAGACACGTGAATAAATATTATTGACTCACTTCATTCGCATCAACGGTAATTTCAGCGGTAATCCCTGCCAATTCAACAAGCGGGATCAATTGTTAGACAAAGGTTTTTTACAATTTACCAGGTAATCCGACCTCCTCACTCACTTGCCTCCAGGTGAGCTCCTTTTCATTCCTGTTTCCGTAATTGAAAGAAAAGGTATCGTATAATTCGGGGCACCTACACACCTCCATTTCGATCCCAGCAAACAACCGTCTGTCTTCATACGTCACCCAGCAATCTTCATGCTGATTAGTTATTGGGATGCGAATATCCACTCAAGTTGAGACATTTTCAGCTCCAGCCCAATTTGCGCCATGTGCGCCGCCAGAGCAGTAAGAACGTCTAATTGCGTCTTTGCGTTGACTTAACATATTTGTTAAGTCATTTGTGCGAATGATTTTACTCGGTGTGTGGAGACAGTTAGTCTTGTGACATCACCCTGAAGCAGTAACAAATGGCAGTCACCATATTGGAAATGCTAACCCAACCTAACTTTTGATTAACTTTAATTTCTAAACACCTGAGGTTGCCACTTGTTCTCTACCAAGGAATACATTTCTTACACTAGTAGAGGGTGGACCAAAAACACGAGTGAATTGTCAGCAAAGCATCTTAGGATCGATTTACCACAAATATGACGTATAGGACATGCTATTAATCCTTTTGGCTTTGTGTTCAGAGGAAAGTCCCATCTTCAACTACTGCACCACTTGTTGGCAGGATTGCAAACTCCTCTTGGCAAAAAATAAACAAAGTAAAAGTTGCATCTCTATTCTGGCTTGTTTATAGTGTACAACAGACAAAGGATAATTGGTAGGGTAGTAGTTTGGTTGCTGTACTGGCATCAGAGATAGTAACAGAGGTGAGCTGTGGTTTGTGTAGACAGCAGGGTCGGCAGGACCAAACAGCGCCCTGTGTGTTTGAGTGTGTATTTACGTGAAGCTCGCACAGTTTGTTTTTAAGTAGTGCCTCTTGTGCCATACTAAATGGGCTGTACTTAATTTGGCGTTTTTCTAGTCTCCTGAACACTCAGAGCACTTTACACCACATGCCTTTCACTCCATTCAAACACACACACACACACACACACATACTCAAACACTGACAGTGGAGGCTCATCAGGTTCCAAACTAATACTTATTCACTCACACACCCACACAGCCTTAAGGAGCAGTTTGGCCAAGCTTTGAACACACTTAAGTCCCTGAGCCTTCTCCATTGAATGAATGCCAATCCAAGGTTTGCTCCTGTTTTGCCTTTTTTTTTCAATCATTCTTCGTCTCTTTATTCGTCACATCCTTCTCCAATAAGGGTTTTTTTTTTTCATTTTCAGGTTAGCTTCCTTGGTCACCCCAATTTGTTCATCTGCTGCCATTTCCAGTACGTAGGGACAACTATTAAAACCTTTATTCATTCCAAATATGAAAACAGTTAACACTCATTTAAATGACTCATTCCAGTTCAGAATTTCAGCGTGTATGCACAACAGTGTGTGAATTGGTTTGCCAGACGCAAACGTGCAAAATTTCACAGTCATCTTGACCTCATGCCTGCCCTTTTCACCTTTTCACATTATTTGTCTTCTCTCTAAATTTCTACTTGTCGTTGGTTTTGAATTGGGCACGGCTCTGCTCCGATACTTTATCTGAAATTTATGTTCAGGGTCAGCTCTGATCCCTTTTCCTTTTTTTTATAGCATAAGCCATCAGTCACCTTTTTGACAGTTCGCACTTGGTGTTACAATTTTCTGGCAGCCAAAAATTGATACCCCTAGAGTTCATTGTCAGCAGCACCAGGTGCGAAAGTTCAGTCTCTCAGCCGGTGCTCTGATGTCCTTTTTTACGTGACTTGGGTTCAGCGTCTGCCAGATAAAGAAGCACAGTAGTACATTGGCGTGATAATAGAAATAGGAAGCCTTCATCGTCATTATATAGAGTACTTTAATGCTTTGGAGACATTTTTAGTGTTGCATTCATGGGAAAAACTAAGCTAATGCTTTATGTGCTAATTATGCTATGCTAACTATAACAAGAAAACAGAAGGTTTTGGTAACTTACTGAAACTGTATCTTCTGTTGATTTGTAGGATCTTTGCTTTCTCCTCTGATCCTGAATCAGACGGCGGACACGCGCTGCAAAGGCCTGCACTACACTGATGCACCACCGGTAAGTTCAAAACCACATAGATTTAAGTCAAATCTTGTTTCACCAACTCAAACGTACAAAATGTTCTGAACTGTTGTTTAAAACACATATTCTTATTATTATTGTGATTATTTGACTTATATTTTTGGATCGTAAAAAACACTGCCATCTGCAAATCCAAAATGCATTTATGAAAAAACAAAAGCAACATCTAATGCACCTTAAAACTGCAAAGCACAGAGTTTTACTTTAAAGCTATAGTGCGTATCTTCTCAATATGATGTATGGCCAGGTGTAACCCACGGTAACACTTACCAGACACAGCATACTGTTCGTCACGGTACACGGAGTAATACTCGCGACTCACCGCATACTGCTCATCATGGTACACGGATTGTAACTGTCCACACAACACGTAGGCAACTAAAGTTACTCGACACAGCACACAGTAAATTACACACAGCAACACGGGCTACACGCCTTGTAACTTATTGCTCGTTAAGCTAACATAACACAATGTGGCGAACACCACGCTGCTAACAACACGTTACATTCACAGCAGCATTTTCAAGGCAACATCGGTGTCGGACCTCAGTCCAATCTCCTCCTTCAGGGCTCTCCACCGAGGAAAAGCGACGCCGATACAAATCTGCGTTTGTCTTCTCCGGTTGTCAATCCCTTTCTCTGCCAACACACCTTCTGCCAAACGGGAAGGCTTTTTTTATTTAGTAGGATCCCCTTCTGAACCTCTCGGTCGCATCTTCGGGTTGTCTGCCGTGTTGCTTCTAGCAGCACTCTCCTTCCCCCTCTCTTCTTGTTGTCGGGTAAAGCCGAGTAGAACGCGGACTTCCCTGTGCGCCAGTGCAGGAATGTTGCCAAAGACACAAAAAGAACAAATACTGAAAAATACTGCAAGCCGAACAGCTTAGTCAGCGTTGTATCATCTCCTCTTGTTGTGGCTTGGGTGAAGCGGATATTTACCGACACGTAGAAGTTACGCACTATAGCTTTAACTGTTTCCTTTGTTTTCATACGAGTCTGTTGTGTAAATAGAAAAATATTCACACGTGAATCTGAAAAACCAAAATCATACTTTTAATGTTCCTTTTTTGCTGTTTTGTAAGATTTTCCTGAAGGGTGAATATTCCCCACTTTCTGGTGGGGTCTTTTATCATCCTGTTGGGATTTTACATATCACTGACCAATTGGGCAATATTCCTTTCTTAAAGTATTTCACACAGTTTCAATGCAGGATTTTTGTTTTCTTTACAGTTTGAGTCGTGATTAATGACAGCGGTGATGGACAATTTTAATGCAAAACTCTGTGTTTTGTTAGAGTGCAGTATTTAAATAACATGATAATAATAGAAGTCACATGTTGGCAATATTTTCAAATATTTTAAAAGCGTGCAGAGCCAAACACATTCTTTAAAGAGACAGGGAAAAACACTCAACAGTTTTTTTCTAAGTGCATGAAGGTGCATCTCCTCCCACTTTTCTTCAGTTTCTCCCTTCAATAAATGTGGGAGACAGACACGCTCAACTGCTGACACACAGACGGCTTTACTGTCAGACGACAGGCAGCTGCTCCTCCAGTCCAAAGAGCCAGTTTGATAAATAATATGCATGGCTCCGGGTGAACAATGCGTGGTCCTCAATCTTTATGTCTCTCCGACACGCATGCGGCAGCCACATACTCCAAGACTCGTTAAAACTCAACATACACGCAACACAATTACTAGGACTCTCTCAAACCCTTCCTCTCTCTCCCTTCAATGATTAAAAAACAATATCCAGCTTATAACTGCAAGTTAGTCAGACACCCACACTCATTTGCAGTGAAAGGCAAATGACCCTGGTGATGAGTCATTGCATTCACTCAGAGATTTGCTTTATTCAAACACTGAAATCTCTTAAGGCTGAGTGAAGCAGTGGTTCTCGCCATTGTGCCTCTGAGAGAGCTCAGGTGCGCCTTGATGTTTTCTCAAATGTAAGAAAAAAAGAAAAAAGTCAAGCAAAAATAGCACATAACGTCATTAAAATCCACTAAAATCAGGCTACTTCCCAGCCTCTCACACATACATTGCAATTATGAAGGACTTCCTTGTCCTGTCATCTGGGGCTTTACACAATATTTGCAGCCAATCAATAACCGGGCTTTCCTCTGTAATGAGTTTTGTAGGTAAATATATCATTACAATAAAGATTTTAGACTGGCAGCGGGGAAAAGGCTGTTTCTGACAGGAAAGGCACGTCACTGAATAAATCTGTGAGTAAAAAAGCAGAATTAGAATCTTGACATGTTTTGTTTTTGGACGTTTTATGGGCCATTCAAATAATATTTTACTTCTGTTTTATTAAGAATCTTCTATTTAACCAAAAGAAATTTACTGATTGGGCATCATCCAAAAGACTAAAATAGCAATATCAGAGTTAAACATGATGGACATAGACCAAGTAAAGCAAATTTAAGAGTTTGTTTTTGTTGGAGGTAGGTACCATCATTTTCAATGCTTATTTTGACTCTTTAGACTGTATAAAACATAAAGCTAATCTCCAAGGCCAATGCTCACCCAACCTAACTTAAACTGGAAAACAAACAGAGGTAGAACTCAGGCAGGCCTCCTGGTAATAAGCAACATCACTGCCACCAGTTGGTCAACTCGGCCTCGCCCCTATTACGTTAATCTGTGCAAAATTTAGTCTTATGCTGCGTTCGAATTACCTCGGAAGTCAAATGTCCGAGTTGGGAATGACGTCACACTCGAGTTAGCAGCGTTTCACTTAGCAAGTCGGGAAAAAAGCAAAATCTGAGGTGGAAACAAGATGTTGCAGAAGGACAGCATATTTGTCCAGAAGTTGCTTATACTCGGACAAGGCAAGCGCTAAAATAACTTTCATAGATGTAGCCGTCTTGTTTCCGCCTCTGATTTTGCTTTTTTCCGACTTGGTAACTGAAACACCGGTAACTCAGGTGTGACGTCATTCCCAGCTCGGACATTTGACTTCAGAGGAAACCGAACGCAGCATAAGTATCCTCAACATGGATGAATTACAAACCATTTCAATGCCTATACATTGTGTTTGTGAAATGAGCCATATAAACCAAATATTTTGTGTTGTGCTTTTGTACCAGACCTGGTAATTTTGCTGTAAAACATTTAATTAACATTTTTTTATGTTTTTACTTACTTAAGTTTTTAAAATGATTGGAAGTTTGGTTGGTTTCAGGCATTTCTAATATGCGACTGCCATCATTGGACTTCCCCACGCCTCTTGAGAAAGCAGTGGGTGATATCATATGAGGCACCTTCTGAAGTCTGAGGTGACAGTTGTAGGTGGCATAATGATAGGTTTACACATTGCCTATTTGGGCTGCTGAATATTGAAAAATAAACAAATATTGTGCTCTATTTTTCCTGTCTGCAATATCCTGCGAAATGAAATGGTACAGGAAATACAGCAGATAAATAAAGAGTATTTTCAGGGCTCATAGACAGCTTTAAAAATTGAAAAATAAAGTTTCACTTTTGACTTTGCTATTCATTATTTATTTACTATTTGGATCTGTAAGTCTATACTCTGAGCAGCCCTCTGTCAGCAGCTCTAAGACCTGCACAGAGAAGCAGAAAGACAACAGATGGAGCGTTACTTCACTACTAATAAAAGCCACAGACTTGTTTACATGTAATCAATCATTTCTGTCATTGTTAAAAATTATTATCTTAATTAGCATTCGTGTTTTATTTGCATCACAAGCCCAATGATAACTTCTAATCAAACGTAAACCCACTGTCCTCTTCTGCATCCCCTTTCACATCACTGTAATGTCCATGCACTGCAGGTGTGAACACTAAGAGTAAACACTCTGTAGTCTTGTTTGTTGTGAAGTCCATACTTGTAAACCAAACATGAATGAGCACCAAGACAAGAGGGACCCCATACCATCTTACAATCTGTCGATTTCCAGATATCTCTGACAGCAGCAGCAGCAGCAGCAGCACCCCGACTTTCATGCATCTTTGCAGTCAAAGGTCATGTGGAACATAGATACAGACACAGCTTTCACAGCAGTCAGTGTTTTCTATGTGTTTAAGTGAGGGGCCGCGTTACAGTAAGTTTAGGGAAAACAGTTTTCCTGGACTGATCTACAACAGTGAAGAAATCGTGACAACATGAGGCATTCTAGGTCCAGCATCGGACATTGCACGTCTATGCTCACTGTGATGCTCATTGTGATGTTCAAATGATATATTATTCAGCCTTAATGCCTGTGCACAAAAGTTAAGACCAACCTCCTGGCTTGATTGAGAAAAGTGTTAAAAATGGCAGTTCCTTGAGCGTCCACTTGAGGCTTGCCCCAGAAATACCAAAAACCACATACACCTAGGACCTTCTTTACAATGAAGTGTATTTACAGTCTAACTATTAAAAAAAAGGGGGGAAATGTTGTATCATCCTTAGTTTACCATAAACAACCTTAGACATTGCATTAGGGTTATTTGCATTGCCGTCTTCGTATGAACAGCCAAAGCTGACTGCCTCTTTCATGGACTCTGACCATAAACAGATGCCAGAACCCTTACCCCCAATTTTCACCGCATCCGGAACAGCTCTGATCCGGAAAGGCAGCCATTTTCACTGTCCGCCAACTCCTATCGGATCCGATTATGAGGCGAATAGGAATCCGTGGGATTACGGACAGCAGGAATCACAAGAACTCACAAGAACCTGCGGATTCACGTGCAATCGTGCAATAACAAGTTGTCTCTTGGAGGAAATCCAGCATCTCCTCGTCCATGGTGTCATCGAGATGAAATGCTGTCTCCAAACCTTTCACTTGTTCGTCCCCGCCCGTTTGCATGGTGTGAAATACGATCCGCCTGAAACACAGAGTGTTTTATTTTGAAAAGAAGCTGGATGTTTTATTTTGTGTCTGTGCCCGACTTCCTTTCCAGGACAGGTTAATCTGTGCTGAATTTATCCGGCATGCTCCGGCGTCCATAAAAAATAGAACTCTTGCGATCAGCTGTGGAGTCCTGCAATCCGCAGCGGAACAGAAAGAAGGCGGTTGAAATTGACACATTAACTTGAGTGGTTACGATCAGCTACAATCGGCTACGATCAGCGGATACAACCTTTTCGTAGCCGTTCCGGATGCGGTGGAAATTGGGGGTTATGGTGCAGAAATCCAGTCCAACAGCTTCAGATTGTACTTTTTCATGCAAAATTATAAATAATAATCAACAAAAGTTAACAGTATTCATCAATGATTAATTACTTTAAAGACCATCTACTGCAATGTTTGATCAATTTGATTTAGTCTCTTTGTTGACAGACCGATAGACAAAGGTTAAAGGTGAAGGTGGGTGAGACAGGCAGTGTTGTAGTCAAGTCAGCAAACCTTGAGTTGAGTCTGGAGTCCCCAGGGTTCAAGCCCAAGTCCAAGGCATCAGAGAATAATCCAACAATCCAATCCTCATGACCCAAGTCTAAATCAAAGTGGAGTCCTTGTGGTTGAGTTCCTAGAAGAGCTTCAGTTCACAAATTAAGAACGTGTATGTCTTAGAAAGCTAGACGCATGATTTATGGCACCTTTTTAGGCGTTGTTACAGAAACTGACTCCTGAACTGGATGGCATGTGAACACATATGCAAGTACCAACCCTCGCTCAAAACTAAGTTGTTAGAGCTTTCTTCAGAAGGAGTAATAAAAAATTATTCACACAGAAAGAAAAAAAAAAGCTAAATAAATGATTGCAAGTCCTCCTCTTGAATTTCTGAATCCGAATGCCCTAGTCCAAGTCACGGACATCAGAGCTGGTGTTCAAGGCCAGTCACGAGTCCTGAAAATCAGAACTAAACTCTGATTCCTGGGCTCGCGTACACTACAATGCTGGAAGAGATTGTATAACTGTGAGTCGTGTCAGAGTGTGTATGCGGGCGTTAAAACTTCTCTTCTTCTTCTTGTTTTTTTTTTCCTTGGCATGGAAAACTTCACAAGTGTCAGAGTGACATATTTCACAAGAATATAAGAGATATGAGTGACAGCTGTAAAAAGGCAAAGAAACCCAAATAGACAAAGATTTCCTGAGGCAACAGTGGAACGTGTCCAGTCTGTCTGACCACAGTTTGTACAAGGCTCTTTGCTGGAAAAAAAAAAAAAGAGAAACCTGAATGAACTTGAGACTCATTTTTGGGCATTAGGCCTGAGGGCTGCAAGTGTTATCTGGCTGCATCAAGTTTACTTTGTTAAAGAAAAGAAAGAATAGTGGAGTGTATGGGGGAGGGAGTGTAATGGGAGTCTTTAGCAGGGAGTAAAAGGGACTGAAAGGATTTTGATCCAGTGATATTATATATCTGTCCTGGTCAGGGCAGACAAAAGCACACAGCAAACCACCAGAGAGCAAAGCATGTCATCTGAATAGTATGTCTTCTTTGCTGTGTTGTACATCCAAAGGCTTTGTGTGCTTGAATTTGGCTGGTAGACGGCACAAAGGAGGCAGTTTGTTCGCCCCTGACAAGTGTGCTTTTATTTGCGGCGGCACTTTGATGTATAGAGAAACTTTGGCTGGGATATCCCTCGCAGACAAATGCATGAGAAATCCCACTCCTTTGTATTATCCTTAACAATTCCCTCACCATTCACTGCAAAGCTTTTATCCCCTGTAAGACTTTTATTTTATACTTTGTGCCTACTATCTGTCTGTCAACTGTAATGGAGAGCTGTGTTTGACTTTATTTTGCAGAGTGGGGTTTGATGGGGAATTAGGAGCATGTGGAAAAAACAATCTAAGAAGGTAATGTTTTTTTTATAATCAGGCAGAGTTTGTCCAGTTGTGGTCACATTTTTTGATTTCCATTTTGCTGAGCAGTTTAAAGAAAACTGTTTTAAATTTGGGACATGTTGTTCTTTAAGTTAAGATCTCAACCACTCTCATATCTGTACAGTGAATATCAAGCTACAGCTGTCTTGCTTTGTCAAGCTTTGCTCAAGGCCGTAAAAAGAGGAAACCTTAAAAGCAACAAATCCACCGAGCAGCACTGCTCAGGTAAACAAAATCCAACGTTACGAAAAATGTGAAAACAATAAATTGGGTAACCTTGGTTGTCAGCAGAACCTCATTCAGCTTTGCTTTTACTGCTGAATAATGGTTCTGTTAAGCCAGGTGCCCTAGTGTATTACAAAGCTCCTGTGCATCAAGAGATAAAGCTTGAGGGAGTCTGGCACTGGTAACAGAAGTTACTCCACCAAATGAGAAATTTACTGTAATTATCACTTTGGTTATTACTTCAGGTAGCAGTTTCTGAATGTTTGCAACTTTTATTTTGTGATTTTGGGTCCCATTGAGAGTAAAATCAGCGATGAACTAGGAGGTTGTAGAGTGTATTTACCACGATCGTCCAAATCTGTCAATTTCTGACTCTTAAAAACAAGATGAATTTGTCGTCCCAGAAGATTTTAAACTGATGCTGGATCAGTCTCAACCAGGGATGTTTCCTTTTTTCCCCCAAATCATCAACTTGGGTTTCTTGACTGTATGATTGATCATAAATCTGTCAGCTTTGAAAAGCGAAGAAGATTTCGCTCAGACACAGCCAGGTTTCCTTCCTCAGTCTTAGCCTCACTGAAGTATTTCTGTTTATTTTAAACTTTCAGAGTTCAGTGTTATTTCCTTACAGGTAAATTATACAGTCTCAGGTCTTTACTTCCTCTTAGGACCCTTATACTTTCTCTTATATTAGACTGCTTCAATTTTTTTTCATATGATCACAGTGAAAGAGCTAAAACACTCGATCCGCCCTGTCCTGGACCCCCTCTAGTACTTCAGCAGATAAAGATTATGATCATCACATTGGCATTTTTAGTAGTGGGGTGAGGAAATTGAGTTTTTACATTAAACATTTTAAAAAATAAAACTGTTTTGTTTTCAAACCAACGTATTATTGTTAAATGCTGGTATGCTGAACTTGTTGAGCTTGTAAAGCGAAACTATCCTGGAAATCTGAAAAAGCCTGTGTTTTCTTAGTCAAATTACAATAAAGGGCTCGATGTCCATTTCAGAAATCCAATACAAGGTCAACAGCCTGTGCTGCCTCAGTTCACTGGTGTAGGACTGAGTCATCCTAATGAATATCTGAACTCACCATCTACCACCGACCTCCTGAGTGTGCACGTAGCATTGCTGTGGAACAAATTCCTTACATACATATAACCACACTGGGTATTTAGATGAAATGGTAATTGTTTCTGTTTTACTCAATTTTCAGTATATCTTCCTATGTGGATATTTTACAATGTTGAGGCATGCAAATAGGGCCCCCTCTCAATGGCTAAAGCCACCAAATAAAGCTGAACCATCAAGTCCAAATGGGTACAGTTTTAGATGATATTATTTTTCCTTTTCTTGCAGGGTGCAGCTGAGAACTGGAAGAAGAGACAGTTGTGAAATGTGAACATCTCTGTGGACGTGTGCGATATATATGTGTTGCAATGAAGGTCAGTGTCTGGTGCTTCTCCTGCGAAATATTTGGCTGGTCATAAAGGGGCTACCATTTGCAGTGTTGTCTTGAATGCAAAATTTCAGGTCACCACCACTGGGAACCAATAATGCCTTTGGCTAAGCAACAAGATGCAAATACATCTATTCAAATTCGCACCACTCCATACACTTTGGAGCTTACACAAACACTCACACACAATCTCATCTCAGTGCAGCAGAATTAAATTGCATTGCGCTCATTTCAGTCATGAATAAGTCACAATCCTGGGGTGGCGTTTGACCCGAGACAAGTTTAGATCTAATATTTCTCTGTTCACATCCCTTGTTTCCTGAGAAATTCAGCTTTTTAGAAAAATTCTAGTGCATGTAAATCCAATTTTTACTTCTTTCTTCCTTGTTGTTTACTGTGAGTTACGGTAATCATAAACCTAAAGGTGCACAGCCTTTTTTTCCTTCACTCCTGGAACAAACGCAGGTTAATCAGAGTTAGAGGATCGGTGCTCTTATATGTCACAATCTGAGCTCCAGACTGCTCCCCTCAGGCACTACAGACAGAGTTTACATAGTCACCAGGTGTTAAACTGCTAAATGATGGTCGGGGGAAAGACAGATGATTCCATATGTAGCAAAGCCAGACAGAAACCCTCAATATCCCACCAGCTCATTCAGTCCAATTTCAGCCTGCCAAGCCACCGGGGGCAACCCAAATATCATCCATCCTGACACTGTCCATCACTCTATACATAGAACAGCGGAATTAGCACAAACGTTGCACTCGCCATCAGTGTGAAGTATGGTGGCAGTAGGGGCGATTATTTACGGGGCTGCATTACTTTCTGAAGACCTGAGCTCTGAGTCACCGACCGAGCCTGATAATTAATTCCACGCTCTACAGAAATATTATGAAGCTCCACAACAGAAAGACAGATGTACAGTGTGAAACACATTGTCAACAGGGTGACTGGATTTAGATTTTCTGACTGCTTCATTTTGAAGAAAGAGGAATTATACAGTTTTATGTCAACAATTGAAGACCTGTACGCGAGCGTTTGATTTTTCAGCAAAGTAGGAATCGTTCAAGCTTTCAGTGAGAAGACAAATGGTGAGGGAGTTTGATTCAGTTTGTAATCAGAGTATTTGTTGTTTTCTGTCTGCTCTTTATTTGTCCCACAGCTCGACTTCCTGTAGATACAAAGAGGTAGAGACGAACAGGGATCTGACAGTAAGAGATAACCTGCCATCAGCCGGCCTTCTATTTTTAACTGCAGGTACTAGTAACTCATGACGTGGGGCTCTTGTTATCAATATTTATGGAACAAAGATTGAGACAGAGTAATGATACCCATAGCCTTGACTGGATCCATCCTCGCTTAATAGTTGTCATTACGGCGAGGGGGAGGAAAATGCTGATGGACTCAAAATTTTAGGCTGGCACTCCACATTTTCGTAATGATTCCTGAGACCAGACAGGGCCCGAATGTGATTAGCGGATGTAAACAGGGAAGTGTAATGACTGCAGTGTTAGAAATAGCTTTAACAATATTTATTCTCTGATTAATATTGTACAGCTGTTTTTTTTTTAAAAAGGTGGAACTGGGATTTATTTGTGTGTCATTTAAGAAAGGTTGGATTAAATTACATTTTAAAGGTTTGGGGGTAATGACAACTTCATTGAATATAACATAACAATAACAAGTGGTGATGAGCAAAGCACTAAAAAGCAATACTTGGATATATCTTTATTGTTCTGTTGTACACACTCGTGTCAATATCTGTATGATTCTGAGGCTTTGTAGGCTACGATGGTGCATATTTGTCTCACTGTTTATCCCACAGTGCAGCCCGTTGGCTGCACATTTTAATAACACTCCCTCTGCCAAAATGCATTCTACTCAAACACTTTAAAGTTGCAAGAGTGAGCTCAAAAGAGGTGAAGTGTCTTGGCAGACCATAGAGCAAAATGTCATGCAGTTGTATGCAGCCCAGGGGATGAAGTGATTGATCTATGACCTCGGACTCAGCTATAAGATATTGTGGTGAAGAGTGCGGGGGAGGGCATGGATAGTGGAAAAGGGACGAGCATGAGTCAGTAACAGAGTCTGCAAAAAAAAGCTGTGGGAGCAGAGGAAGTGTTAACAACATCACAAGTAGGAGCAAGTCAAGTTACCACGTCAGAAATCAAAAAGGACTGAGAGTAGGATGATGGTAGGAGCCCGAGAGGTGATGGGACACATACATCCTAATCATTTAATCATGTGAAGTGAATGAGGGAAATTGTTCATCCCCGGCAGGCTGACCACGCTGAGCGTGATACATGTTACCTCTCTCTTTACGTCACTCCCTTTTATTACTTGTCAGTAACGAGTGGCCACTGTGTGAAAAAGCCTACAATTAGAGTGGATTGAGTTCAAGGATAATAAGCTGTGTGACTCTCAAGTGCAGCACTTGTTGCCTGTACTGTACATGGGAAAAAGTGAACCTTTCTCAGCAACTAAGGGCTGTAATGATCCTAATTTAATCTGATTATGCCATCTTGTGTTTTCAAGACAGAAATGTGTGGACAGAAACTGCAAAGAAAATAAGTTTTGGATTCTTTTTGGTTTGTTTTTTTGGCCACCTCTGCAAGGAGGATGACAGAGTACATGCGTAGTCAGACCAAATTAGACTCAACTCTATCTGCCAAGAAGAGACTTTTGAATGTGTCAGAAGTTTGGTGGTACAATATTGACAAGTGACAGTGACAACACCGATTTTTTTTCCCTCCTCTAAAGTCTTAAAGCTGCAGAGGAAGCAGTCAAATCTGTGCTATTTTCAGCACACGTGTGATAGAGAGGGGACGGTGTTGCCTCCCTTTTAAAAACCCATGAATCACGTTCAGAGGTCTGGACGCTATCGAATAACCCAAAACACTTTGATGAACAGCTTTTTGTTTTGAGGATTTGTCACATTGTTGGTGCTATTGTCTCTTTGCAGACGCACGCCTACAGGTTCCAATAACGCGCCACCCATGCTGCGTGATTTCCATAAACTATGACAAAAAAGTCAATTATACCACAAGAATGACACTTTCCTGAGAACACTCGAGAAAGTTTTGGGGTGCTGGCAAAGAGTCAGGCAAATATCACCTATTACTCATGTTACTTCGTACATTTGAGGCTCCACTTGCAAGCACAGCTCTTCGTCACTGCATAACAATCAGATGGCTGAGTGTTGGCAGTGCAACTGATGGAATTTTACTGAAAACAGATTTCGCCTTTGAACTTCCAGATATTTTTTTGATCGGGAAAAAGTACCATCCCTGGCTTTAACCGCTCTGATCGCTTCCCTCGGTGTGATTACGCATCTGGAGGACGTGGATTAACTTTTTGATTTATTCCTGTCCGGCAAAAATGCGCAGCTCTTTAACTGAATTTGGCTGTGTAAGTATACCTGAGACTGTGTAAACTTATATATCTGTTTTTCAAAGCAGCGGATGGGGGTCTTTTTTATTTATTTTTTATTTTTTTTTTTGAGAAGCAACAAGTCCCTCAAAAACTTGACAGACAGACATGAGCGTTACTAATGGTAACATTTGTTTTGTTTGACAGAAGGCGACCTGGACGTGCACTGCCCGTGTTCAATGAATCAAAATGACCAGTTGTGCGTGTGCGTAATAGGCCTATGGCCCTTCTCCAAAGAGGGAGTTAACAGTCTATAACACTAACACGTGAATATTGATATGTCTCAGAAGTTTTATGTCCGTGTCTCTGATGCTCGATGCGGATTGAAAAGATTTGAGGCAGTGAACGAAGCATCAGTCAGGAACTCGTCTCCACATAAACTTGGATTGCCGTCGCTTATTTCAATCACGTAAGACCCCTAATGGCGTTGTCCGGGCGAGGGTGTTACGTATATCTGTACAAGCTTTTCTGACAAGCCCGGCTTGTTGATATTTGTCCTTACTGTAGAGCCACCAAGGTGTTGCCTAAGAGAGTTTAAGCACGCCGATATTGCAAAGGGTTATTAGATTCATAAGTCAGCGAAGTGGTGGGCGATCTACTGAGCACAGCTGAAGTTCTCATATGATGACTTCAAACAAGACACATTACCTACCAGCATCTGTTGGAGTGAGTGGATATTAAGACACTTCTATCTCCAGGACAGCGTAGGGGAAAATGGTAAGTAGCAATGGAAACACAGCATATGAAGGATGATAACCAGTAAATAGTCGTGCTTGCTATTTAGTCTGGCAACGCATTGCTGGAAGGGTTGGACTCAGTGGCTACTTGAGAAACTCAGTATCGAGACCCATGTCTGATGAGGCTGATGTTGACAAAGCTTGTGTGAAAAGAGATTGTGTGGCATTTCTCGGCTTAGGATATGCCGGTACAGTGAGAGAGGTAAGGAAATATTACATTGTGTCTGCGCGCAATGTGTGGATGAGATGTAGGACTGTGTTGGAGGTGCTTGTGGCAGTGAGGGCTTTATATTTTATGCATGTATGTATGTTCTTTTTGCGCCGTGGAAAAAAAGCAACATGTGCCACTTTGCCTGTGACACTTGCCACGGGCTATTAAGAACAATGGAAGCTCACTATCAGCAGTTGTAATTTGGCGTGACAGTGGAGCCCTTTTTTTCTTTTTTGAAAGCGACTATACCACTGAATTGAACCGGCGTTTGTTGAGATATAGGTGCTGTTATCTGGAAGGAAATGTCCGACCAACATGTGATCAAATATTAACAGGACTGGTTTGGCAAGGAGGGGGGAAAATGCACGTGACAAGACGCAGAAGCAGCAGAGTAAAAAAAAAAGAAAAAAAAAAGAAAGCAGTTTAAAGTGAGCACTCAAACAAAGTATATAGATATTTGGTTGGCCCCTCATAGTTTCCCTGGCTGTGTTATGCTTTCAGCACGTTGGACAGAGGCATCGGAGTCGTGCATGGACTAAAACGCCGAGTGGACGCCAACTCTCTTTCTCTCTTTTCCCCAAGCCCCCCTTTGCCAAACCTGGGATTGTTTTTTGTCAACTTTTGGTAAGCTTATTCTGAAGGAACCTGTGGTCTGTAAGCGGAGAGTAAAACGGGATTTACTGAAAGGAAAGAAAAAAGGGGGAATTAAAGCAGTGAACGAGAAAAAGCGCCTGCCATTTCAAAAAGAGCTCGTTCCCCCTAAAGATGTGTTTTTGTGAAAGTTGAAATGCTAGGGTCGTCTGCTCTCTCGCACAGCACATTCTCGGTACCTATAAGCCCCCCCACACTGCGTTAAACTTTGGGACATGCAAGTCTTGGTCGCGGAGATCTAACCACGCACATAGTGGTTGTCTGCCTCTTATAAAGGTAAGAGCTTCAATCCATTGTTTTCATGTCACTCTTTTGTTCCTGCCGTCTTTACGGGCTTTTCCGTAGAGAACTTCGGCTTTTTCAAACTACGGCTTCTTCGCCCAGGCAGTGTGTGATGATTGTGGGCATCAGTGACCGAAATAACTCTGAAATGTAACCCGATCCAGGTGACTAATATCTCGTAGGTATCTGTTTTTTTATTCTTCTTCTTTTTTTCCACACATGTACAAAAAGAATGAAGTTGCATTTATCAAATATTAACGCGAGCACGTTCGTATAGAGATTTGAGGTCAGGTGCAGATGTCTGAATTGGGACTCGTTTTTCGTGCAAACACATCTTTTTTGGAGTTTCTGAACACTGCCTGCTGCAACATAATTTGCGTAATCGTTGCGTTGTGCCTAATCATGCTCCCAATATGGGACTTAAGACGCTGCAGTGATGCTTCCAGCAGCCTGCACGAAGTGGAGTATTACTGATGCTGGTGCATGTCATAAAATAGTCCGGAAAAGCCTCTGTACGCTTTCATCTATCCATCTATCTCTGCTTATTTTTTCGTGTTTGGTCTGCTGCATTCATGTTTTGTCTTGATTTCAAACCCTCTGGATTTTGTTATCGACCAAAAATAGCCCTACTCTTTACCCCCACCACCCTCCTCTTCCTCCCTCCCTCCCTCCCTCCCTCCATCCCTCCTTCCCACACCCCCTCCCCTCTCCCGTCATCGCCATCAAATCACTTGTGTTTTTACTACGACCGCTCCACGGTTTCATTCATAAGGTGCTTTTCACTTCACCTGCTACCCTACCCCCCTCTTTTGTCCGTGCACGGCTCTGTGTCGACCTGTCAAACGCGGGCAACGGATGAATAATGTACAAAAAAATTAATTAATTCTTAATGGCTCTGACTCGTGTAATTCGCCGGCTTTGCCAAAGCGAACCTCCTTTTACAGTAGTATACAAATTGTTCCATTATTCCCCGTGTAAAATTACAATAAAGATGGGCGTGGTCAAAGTGGATCCACTGACAGATGTTATGGCTGAATGTGATGGAGAGAGATAAGATGGCTTGATACGCATTTGTTCAGGAAGCAGCGATATTTTTCCTCTTTTTTGTTTTGTATTTTTTCCAAATCCATTTTCGCTTTTACGCGTCAAATCCTCACCAGGATTGTTATTTCTCTGCGCTCTTGTGGCATAAAACTGCGTCTGACACCAAAAAGCAGAAGCGGTAGATACTGTCGATTTCCTCCCTCTGTCTCTACATCTCTCACTCACTTCTTCCCCCTCGATTTATTTCTTTTTTTTTTAAAAGATTTAAGATTTTCTGATCAAAGATGAAAAACAACTGCATGAGGAGAGAGAAGCCCCACCGCCCACTGACAGTCCTGTTAGAATCAAAATTCCTCACGCAGGGTGTATTTTCCACACAAACACTCATTCTAGTCTGAATCTATATCAGCTGAATTGTGATTTCCTCTGCGCCGATCGCTTCCTGCACATTTACAGCCTGTTAATCGTCATTTTATGTGACAGTGAAACCAAATCAGATCATGTTACTTATCAGTCTGTCCGACATTCATAAAAATCCTCTTTTAATAAAGGGCTGCGTCGAAACTACAACAGACACGTTTCTGGCCTATCAATCCCACAGATCCGTTTACTGCACAAAAATCTGATCAGTCAATAATTTATCAATCGAATCCAGAACAGTTTGAGTGAAAATTGTGACACTTTAAAGAAATATCCGGCCTTCTCTTCTTGAATCTCTCAGAGGATTGTGTTTTTTTATTGCAACATTTTCACAGTATTTAAATATAATCTTTCCTATTTTCTTAGCATGTAGCAGCATTTTTATTTTTTATTTTTTTTCTACCGAGACGTGGGATTATGGTGTGGGCGTGGGCGTGTTGGGTGGAGGAGGAGGGATGAGCGGAGGCGGGTTAGGAGGGGTCTGTGGGGTGGCACGACACACTTTGTATGTATGAAGGTTTTTTTATAGCACTTTCTGCAATGTACGTCAGCGGATCAGTCCATAAATGGGGCTGCGTGTGTTTGTGTGCGGGCGTGCGCCTGCGTGCGCTCGCGACTGTGTGCGTGCGTCTCCGCGTGTGTTATCTTTACCGAGAATCTCCCTTCTCTCTCTCTCTCTCTCTCTCCCTCTCTCTGCACTCTCAGCTCTGCAGAGTTGGGGTGGGCGTCAATAACAAACCTGATGGTAGGTTTTCATTGCAAAAAAAAAAACAAAATCAAATGATTTTTCTCGGTATTCCTGTTTATTTAAAGATACAAAATTAAATGCATTCTGCAGAAATAATGCTAAACGATCATGATATTTTTGCTGTTGTGTTAATGCTCTTTATATATATATATCATGTACGTGCTGGCCTCAGTGTGTTCTTTCCGCTGCGATCAATCGGTGCACTTTGTGTGCTAAAGGGATTTGGACAAATCTGGTTTTAATTAAGGACGTTCAATTTTCATTTTAATAAGAGCTGACTCTTTTTTCTTTCTTCTTCTACCTTAAGAAAACTCGATTCCGGATTGTGCTGTTTACTTTCCATTCATGAAATGTATGAACAAGTCTTTTAATCTTCTAATATAAATCACAAATAGATAATCGATTATTTCGGACGTCAGAAATCTTCGACTCGTTATAGTTGGGGTGAATATTAATCATTTCACTCATTATGGATAAATGTAGGCTCTACATCGCCCACCGCCGCCGCCGCCGCTGCCGCTGCTTTAGTCACCACCACCACCATCATCATCATCATCATCTTCATCACCAACACCTTCATCCAATTAGCAGTTTGATCGAAACAAGTTCGGACCTGATCGGAACCTTTCGTCATCCGTGATTGTTTATTGAGAAAGCCCACGATTAAGTTATTAATACACAGTGGATGTGTCTTATGTGTCTTATGTGTCTGCGGGCCACTGCGGGACTACAACGATTCATGACGCCGTCTGAGGGAGCGAGCGCGCGGCTGAGAGGGTGCGTGTGCGTGTGTGAATGCGCGTGTGGTGTTCGATCATGCCGGTGAAACCATTCAAGAGGCTCTCAGCGTGTGAACATGCAGTACATCACTAAAACCCGAGCAAGTTACCGACATCATGAAACATTTACGTTTGTGTTTCTTCAATGACAGAAAAGTGAGACTCAATTACAGGCGGATTTTTTGGGAACATATCAGATATTGTCCCTTTAAAATCAATGTGCACATGCAGACAGGATCTAATCATCAGGTAAGATGCACATCCAAATGAAAACTGTCTGCTTTTTCACCCTCAGAACAATTTTAAGGCATGATTAGGGTGTTTTCCCCCAGCAGTGAACCTTGCAAAGGTTATTGATGCTGTGCTGATATTGGATTGGGGGAGGAGAGGGGAGGAGAGAGGGGGGCATAAGCTAAGAAAAGAGACAGACAGACAGAGACAGAGAGAGGCTTAATAGGCTGCGGAGTAATTTGCAGTCTATGCCACTATAGACATAATGTATCAGCTGTAGGAGGATGAAGCAGGGAGAAGTACATATGGAGCTCAGAGGGCTCCTCCTTTGTGTCTGCCTCATGATTACCATAAAGGTTATTGTCATCACAGGAGAGATGGCACTGATTCCCAACTCCGAGTGTAATAAAAGAAGGCCTTGAACTGAGTTTACCTGTTTGTCAGTATGGAGTTCTCGCTCCTTGTCTCCTTTGACGTCATCAGGCCACATTCAACAATGTTTTCTCAGCTGACGTGATTTCCTTTCTAGAGGAAAGCAATTTCACTTTGATCGAAATACCCCCATTGTCCTCCTTTATCCCCAGTGAAAATGACATTTCACTAAATGTCATCTCGTTCTTGTTACATGGTTCCCTCCTCACACGGGCAGGCATAATTCTACTTGTTAAGTGAAGCTTTGGGCAGTAAGGACCTGTGTGCCCGCTCTTGCGTTTTGCAACAGAAGCCTGGAAAGGTTATACAAGTGTGTCATGTTGTCGACTTCTCTGGTTATTTCTTCTTCTTCTTTCTGCTGAGCAAACCCAACTCTTACTGCACACATCTCATGACTAGAAACTGGCCGTGTCAAAGATCAAAATGGTCCATACCAACACCTCAGAAATCTTACACCTTTGCTCAGATGAATTTAGAGTTAAGCAGTTTTCAGAGGGACTTCTGGTTCTGCTCTTTGTCTTATCTTTGACCCTAAACATGATGAGTAAAAAGAGGAATCAAATCCAGCGCCTTTTTGCTCCCGGTTGTTCCTCATTTTTTCTGTTTCATTCAGAAATCCAGCCCTTAAAGCTGCACATGAGACAACAGACTTCAGTTGTGTTGTATTTGCCTAAATGAGAGAGCCCATGTTGTTGTTTTTGCTCTTCTAATGAGTTGCCAAGTGATTTATTTATGAATTACTTGTTTGGAACAGTCCCCTTGTGCAGTGTGCATTTTTTCATCCTCTTTGGAGTCATGTTGCTCAGTGATTGCTGATGCAACTCTTTGTCATCCAGAGTTTGCCCTTACCTCCTGTGAGCCTTCAGGGAGGGCTATATCTATCTTGGCATGTCCCCGGGTGTGTTGGAGGTGGGAGTGACTCATTAAGCAGGTGTGAGCATTCACTCCCATACTGCTACATGCCAAACAAGAGCTCTGCAGCTTATGGGCTCGTGCAGGGAGGAATCATGATGGTAATACAGCAAACACATCACAATAAATCTTTGCACTGGACTTGGGCCAAGTCACAAGGATAATGAGCTGCTATTTCCCCATAACGCTCACTCCTGCATTCATCAGAGGTGGGCTTTCCAAACCCTGATCAGCCGGTGAAATGCTACAGCTCCTCCTCTGACATTTAGACAGTCTGCTTCATGAAAGTGACTGGATTATTTGAAACTGGGCACCAAGAAGCAGAGGGAATTGTTTTTTTTCCACGTCTAAGCTCTGTGTACATAAGTGCGTTTGTTTAGCTGACATTTGGTAATAATAACCTGTGAAAGCTGGTTACTACACTGAAGAGCACTTGCAGGGGAGGCATCCATCTGTTGTGGGGATGGCTCACTTCAAAAAGCAAATAGAAGCAAAATTGTTGCAGTAAGTTCAACGCTTTGTTAGCCTCAATGTCTCAACTCTTTACATTTGCACAGCGTGGGAATGATAGGCCTCAGATTAAGACTTTGAAGCAGTAAATAGATTTAGGACTCATTCCCAACAAATATGTCCAAATGGTGCTAAAATGCATATTCACAGTATGTACTATTTGGCCAAACACTTTTGTCTTGATATGAAATACCCAGCCTCCTCACTCTCTGCTCACCAGTACAAGAAGTGCTTATTTTTACTTCTCTGAATATCTAATTTTACATAAATAGGCCATCTAGAAATGGCTCGCAGTGTATCACGACTTGGTAGAGACGCGCTGTTACGCAAAACCTTCAAACAAAAAAAGAGAGAGAAAAAAAAAAGAAAAGAAAGAAAGCCTCTTTGCCTGGGTGAGCGAAATACGGAAGAGGAAAGGCTTGGCTCGGGCTGTATATATCGCCAGACATTATGGTGTGGATGCAGGCTGCTCCGTATGCGGACAAACAGAGGTGCATAACGCACACGGAAAGCGCATTAATAGTTCCGCCTCGGGGCTGTTTAAACAGAAGTTTGGTGGCGACCAGTCAGCCAGCGGAAGGTCACATGTTGCAGCGTCATTGTGTAGTAAAGTTACTGTAGTTGCAAAGAGGCTCCTCATTTCAGCTCCAGAGGTCTCCCATCATCCTCCTCTCCTCCTCCTCTCCTCCTTCCTCCTCCTCCTCCTCCCGCGGTGCTGCTGCTACTGCCGCTGCAGCGTTTTTCAGCATGCGACAACTTCAGTTTCAGACCATCTTCACAGGAGCCGCGCAGCCATGGGAGTGCATTACCTCAGCAGCCATGCAATTTCCACCATCAATAATTTAATCTATTTGCTCCAAAGCTGAAGAGATATCCTGAAGCTGTCTGGGGGAGAGCGCACACGCAGAGAGAGGGGGAAAATATCGCGAAAATAAATTACTCAGGGAGTTGTCCAAAACATCCCAGATGACACTACTGTCCTGTTGAATGGTCTGTTTTACGACTGGGCAGTGAAAGGTATGTGTCTGTTTGCTTCTTCGATGAGTTGTTTGAAGCACTTTAAAGATTGGTTTGGTGCGTCTCGATGAAAAATTACAAGTGTGTGTGAATTTGTAAGAGTGTGTATGGTGTTGGGGAGGGGGTGGGGGGGGTCTAAAAGTAGCTCGATCAAGTACGGATCTCCTGCGTAAAGAACAGACAGCGCCGCAGCCCGAGAGAGGGGATATGTGTAACTTTATCCTCACGTTCATGAATAAAAAACGGAGTTATTATGTTGATTGGGTTTCCAGTGGAGAGCCCGAGCTCGGCAGATGTAATCTAGAGAGAGAAAACACACTCTTGCTTTATCATCATTACATTTAGTCTCAGCGATGTGCCTCATATCTGGTACTTATTTCTTTTTTGGCTACAAAGTGGAAAATAACCAACCATGGCAAAGGCGCTCAACGACAACTCCTCCACTGCTCATAAATGTCTCCGTAAGAGTTTGCTGAAGGTGTGTAGTCTTCATTTATGCATCTATAACCACAGTGAACAAACGCACACAGGTCTATAGAGTTGAAGTTTGGCTGTTTTTTTGAAGAGGGGGAAAAAAACTTTGATGAACTCATTAAGACTTTATAGGAAACCCGAGACCTAAACGCCCAGCTACGGCGGCCAACAGACACTGTTGGGTCTACTTGTCGGTGTTGTGAGTGCTCATACTGAATAACTTTAAATTGCTGGCGACTAGAAATAAAAGCCCCGTTTATAGAGTGGTGGAAAACTGGCACGTTTGGGACATGTGCGCATATCTTGACCAAGAACTCACCCGGGGATCATCTTGGTACAAAGGCTGGTTGAATGATGGTGTAATGATGATTTTCTGATCTTTTTAAACTTCAATGTTGAACCTTTTTTGTTGTTTTTTTTACAGAATTGTGACTCATTTTTGAAAAAATGGTCTTACAGCTTTGTTGAAATTGTACACAAGACGTGTTTGTAGGTTCTTTGACAGAAAAAAAACACATTGCATATCTATCTGTGGTTCTTTTTTATGGTTTTATGTGTCTAAAGTTGTGTGAATGCTCTATCGTGTCCCACATGAGGTAGGGAAAGAGGAGGACGGTGGATTTAGGGGGAAAACAGGGAAGGAGCTCCTGTTATTTCACGGTCTCATACGCCATCCAGTGTTTATACTTGGTACTGCAGCCTCGTTTGGAGCTTAAATTGAGTTTGTTATATTGTTGATTATTTTTGAAATTAAGTGCTGAAGGATTTTCTGTTGATTCTATAACCAGTTGCTAAATGAAAAAGTACATGATCACTTAGAAACTAGAGTTTGGGAGCACTGAGAAAGAAGATCTTTGGCCCTCAAAAGATTTTCTTTGCATATGTAAAAGTGCTTCCACAGTAATCTTTCAATTGTCCACCAGTGAGCACAGTGTGGGAGGGCGTCAGCGTCTCTTTGGAGAGCACAGATCACTCAACAGCTCTTTGAATGCTGTTCTCTCTGAGGCAGTGGCCTGGGTTGGCCTGGAGGCCAGGTATAATCCCTCAGTGATGCTCATCTATTACTAAACATGCTCTGAAACTGTGTCAGATTGAAAACAGATCTCAAGGAAGCTGGCTTCCACATGTGTCTGCCATTACTGCAGACAACTCTAACTGCCTTTTTTAAGTGCTGCACTGTGGCACAGAGGGGGTCTTGGAGGTATAAATTTTGATATCGTGGCTGCCTAAGCTTTTTTTTCCTCCATGAGGTGTTGTGTGATGGACGTGTTGAACGTGACAAAGCATGTTGCTAGGTGAAGAGCTTTCTCTGACAATGATCTTTGAGAGTTAAACAAAGACAGAAGCCCACGAGGGAGCGGAGAACAAATGTAGCTAGAGGTCACGCATTTCTGTTCAAATGTGGCAACATATCTTTCCCTCTTTTATCCCTACTGTTTGATGTTGAGTTTCCCTTCTAACGGTTCCAAAGATATCCCACCTGCTGTCGGTGAAGATGAAGCCATAAAGTGTGCAGAGAGGATGGTGGGGGAGGGCAGAGGGGTGCTTGACTAAAAGTGAAATAATACTATAGCCATGCTAGTCCTTTCATGCTTAAGAGAGACTTTTCAGCATCTGTCAAAAGAGGCATTTATCACTTTAATCCCCACCTGGCACAAAGAATGAAACACCAGGCTAAGTTACATATCCCCGCCATGGAGCCCGACTCTCAAAGCAGATGAACAGGTGGTCATCTGGAGACGTCAAACAGTAGACAGAGTCTACACACTCACCTGCCTCCATTGTTCTGGGTGTTTTATGCGTTAGGTGTTGTCATGAATAAAGGCGTGTTTGAGCAGCAGCTATTGCAGAAGTGATTTATGTTTATCTTCAAACAGAATCGGATGGGATGTGCCTGGATTCAATTTAAAGATTAAACAATGTCAACAGATGAAACAGACTCCACCACTTTGTGTTGAATATTTTCAGAACCACGCTATAGTCGGAGAGAGCTGCATCAGAGGCTGAGATAAAAACTACATTTTCTTCCACACATTCCTCCAGATGCACTTCCTCCCTTGCTTTATTATTCATGCTCATTGTGTTAACTCGCAAGCCGCCTTTTTCATTAACAGCGAAATCCGGCAGTGCACATAAAACGTTTCTTACTGGATGTATAAAACAAGAGCAAACCAATCAGTTGTCACATTTAGCCTCCAGTAGATATAAGCCAGAGATCCTCCGCCGGTCCCACAGCAATTAAATGATTCATTGGCTTTATCGCATTTTAACAGGATGTTGATTGAGAGCATAAGCCATATTGATTGTCCTGATGGAAACAGGAAATCACAGAGAGAGAAATAAAATCATTTGTTGTTCCCGGTGTGAGGGTACCCAGGGGATTGGCATGCAATTGCACACTGTTGAGTGGCATTACCCCCAGCAACCCCCCCCTCATGCTCCCTCCCCTCCATTCTCTCCCCTATGGAGACCTGGAAGAGACGTCATCTGTGGTTGTTATGCTGCGAAATGACGCTGGCACTTTCTCCACCCCCTGCTACTGCAATATTACCCCTGTGGTCTGTTAGGGAAGATGCAGTACTCCTCGTCTGCACCATTTCCAGCATGGAGTTTGACGCCTAACAGTAATCAGCCCTCTGCCTTCATTTCCGTCATGTGGAAGTGGAACCATTTGAGCGTGATGCTGATAATAATATCAGCCTAAATGCATCCTACACATAAGGGCTCGTGACTGGCCTCGATCCCGTAAACCTACGTGGTTTTCTGTTTCTGGGAAGTCTCACAGAAATTTCTCTTCACTGGAACCAAATCCTGAACAATATTGAAAGGTTATTGAGCTGAAATTTTGCAGATTAAATCAAAATTTCTGAACAATATTGAACAAAAAAAAATGATTAATGAAGTTTTGTCTTGATTGTTGATTTAATTGGTGGGAGGAAAAATACCCCAATCTCTCCCTGGAAACACACACACACACACACACCAGCCAGCCCCTCCCGATGCCCTCCCCTTAACTCACACACTCAGGAGGAGCGCGTCACTGAGCTTGGGGAGTGAGTGGCTCATTAAGAAGAAGGATGTGATATTCTGAATAGAGACTGTGAGACTCCCAGCACATCTATTTTTAGAAAACATATCTCTATGGCAGTCACCGCGGTGTTGGTTAATTGCAGCCACGGCCCCAGATACCAATTAAGAATGAAACAAATGTTTTTAAGGTGTTTTTTTTTTTTTTTTTTTAACGCTCCTCCTCACCGTGAAGGTCCCAATGTCTGCTCTGAGTGTGTGTTTTCTTCTGTATGAAGTTTTGGACATACAGGGTGCAGTCAAAGCCTTGGCCGGGCTATTTTTAAACAAGCCCCCCTGTGGAAAGCAAGATCTAGATTCCTGTTTCATTGTGGTTGCTTTTGCATCTTGTAGGATGTCCACAGACGCACAGATTTGCTTTGAGTCTTGACTTATGCAATTTGCCAGTTCAGTATTTGAGCTACACCTGTCCTTGTGGCTCTTTTACCCTCTCCCTGGCTGTTCTTTGCTTGTCTGGTCGTTGAGTCGGCTCAGAGAGGATGACACATCTCTCTGACGTTCAGTCTCCACATCCTGAAGCGCTCTTACCGTCCACCTGCTGAAAACAAACAGTGTCCCTCAACAAACTCCTAAATCCTGCTCGTGGCTGGAAGGTTTAGCGCCGGACCGGTCCTGCAGCACAGACCCGTTTTTATAAGAAAATAATACTAATACTGAAACTGCAGTGTTTCTCAGAGCCAACGCAAACAAACCATTCCCCGCTCAGTCTGTCAGCAAGAGTTAGCCATGCTGGAAGTTGATAATGGGGATCTTGTTAGTGGGGTTAATGACCTGGTCAAACAGTAAAACATGAGCTCTTCAAACAAAGACAACAAACAAATCATAACCTTGTGTCAACACACGCAGAGCATGTCCAAATGTCGTAGGTACACAATCGTCTCTCACGTGGTCGGAGCCTTAAATACATCCACGTGTCACGAGGAACATCATTTGACAATTCAGGAAACTACAGACCGTGAATGAAACTCACAGCTATAAAAATACACCAAGTTCTTTATAAAGTTTGAAAATATGAAGGAGGTATGAGTGATCTGAACTGTCAAGACCACACAATGATTCATGCAGTGAGGGATGAGTGACAGATTGAGTCATTATAAAACTACACACAACCCCGCACCGGAGAAAAACTACACAGTTTAACACCGCCGAGAAAAAAGCTCATAAATAATAACAAGCCTGTAAGGATGTAGTGGCATCCATTTATGTGATCTTATCTTTTGTATTACGCCGATCTCTCTGATGCTCAGCACAGCTTTTGTGCGTCGCTGCCAACAAAAGAAATGTAAGCCAGACATCACATAGGAACAGAATGATAACAGTTTGCAAACAATTTGAAAACGATGATGATGATGACTCCGCGCCAAGATCAGCTTCATAAAAACAGTTTATGATTATTCCAAAGCTACTGGCTCCCTCCCTTTGGGTTGCACAGAGAGAGAGTAGAGGGTGTAAATAAGAGGGGAGGCTTACATGGTGCATTATGGATCAAAAATAAGCAGGCCTCATAGAAAATGCTCTTTGATTAACAGTCTTGTTCCCTCTCTACCCCGTCTCCCTCCTCTGCTCTGTCTTTCTCTTTACAGTTCCACCAGGTTAGAAGAGTGATGACCATCCTGTTCCTTACTATGGTTATTTCATACTTCAGTTGCATGAGAGCTGCGCCCCTGAGAGACGCCCCGGGCATGCGGGGCCATCGGACGGAAGGCTACTTGGGCGCTGCTGCGACGGCCGCACGAGGCCACGGGACTCCACAGAGTGGTGGTGGGCCGGGCCAGCACGGGGAGCTGCCCTCGCTCACAGACACATTTGAGCAGGTGATAGAGGAGCTGCTTGAGGTGGAGGGGGAGGCGGCGCAGCTAGGACAAGGGGCCGATAAGAGCCAGGGAGGCGGGGGCCCGTCCTCTGTGGTCACAGCAGACACCAAGGATGTTGACCTATACGACTCACGGGTGATGATCAGCAACCAAGTGCCTTTGGAGCCGCCGTTGCTCTTTCTCCTGGAGGAATACAAAAACTATCTGGACGCCGCTAATATGTCCATGAGGGTGCGGCGACACTCGGATCCTTCGCGGCGCGGAGAGCTCAGTGTGTGTGACAGTATTAGCCAGTGGGTGACAGCTGTGGATAAAAAGACGGCAATAGACATGTCTGGGCAGACAGTTACCGTCATGGAAAAGGTCCCTGTCCCCAATGGCCAACTGAAGCAATACTTTTATGAGACCAAATGCAACCCCATGGGGTACACAAAGGAGGGCTGCAGAGGAATAGACAAGCGGCATTATAATTCCCAATGCAGGACAACCCAGTCCTATGTGCGAGCACTTACCATGGATAGCAAAAAGAAGATTGGCTGGCGGTTTATAAGGATAGACACTTCATGTGTATGCACATTGACCATTAAAAGAGGGAGATAGTGTATAAAATGTATAGATTTTATTGAAGAGTTTAAAAAAAGAGAATAAAGAGAAAATATCTATTTGTATATATACATAACAGGGTAAATTATTCCGTCAAATGAAAATTTTATGGACTGCATGTAAAAAAAGATGAAGTTTATACAGTAAAAGTGATACTACAGTCTATTTATTGAACATATTCATGACCTTGTAAACAATTAAAAAAAATCTGATCAGTCATTTGCGCCCAGTTTAAATTACTATATCACATTCCTCAAGACATTGTGATTTGTTTACGTTGCCAAGAATTAGAAAATGAAGGAAAAAAAAAAACAGGCAAGGATTGAGAGAGGACAGTTCCATCTTCAAAAGCTTGCATGCTGCTTCAATTGTGAATCAAGAAAATTCTCCACTTACAAAAAAGGAAACGATGCTGACCAAAAAATCATTCCGTTTACATATTCAGCAGAAAAACAATCTTCCTCTCAAGTAATTTATCTGTTTACTGTTCTAAACTTCTCAAGGTAATGTTGGAATTACATACTATGTCAAGGTGCTGTTGTCAAAGCTTTGCTGTTTATTTTTTTATCCCCACCAGAGGACAAGATATATATAAAAAATCATATATATATATATATATATATATATATATATATATATATATATATACATATATATACATATGAGAAAATCTATTCATTGACATGTTTCTGGGTTAATATTATTCATTTTGTATGTTGTGAAGTTGTTTGCAATATTAAACTGAAATATTTGAAGAAATAAAAATGACTATAGGCAACTGAAAAACAAAATCAATGTCGATAAAGTTTCAACAGTGTATTTCCAGGCAGGAAAAACTTTATTGAGCAGACAGGAAAGCAGCGAAGAATGAAGGAAACCCACACAAACACGCAGTTAATTGCACAACAACAAAAAAGGCCAAGTGCAAGTCATTAAAAGCAAGGTGTTTTAGGGACATTTTGCATTTCTTGCTGTGGTCTTGAGGAAGGAAAACTTTCCCCGCTCCTCACCAGTCTTTCGTCGCTTTCAACACAAACTCACAGCTTTTCTTTTGACAGTTCTGTGTTTGTAAATGGGTGTACAGAGATTCACTGAGCTGTACATGTGATATTTCACAATAACAGGAACATAACATCAGAAGAGGTAGCACCGAGACACTCACACAAGTGTAGACTAGCACAGATAGGCTATGGCTGCACATGAAGCATGCCTGAGTCTTCTCGTGATTGATTCACCCTTTTACTTAAGCGTGAATGTTTAAAAAAATACACAGAACACCTTATTGTGTTGATGTGGAAAATCTCCAAAAGAGGAATAATCATTACAGTACAGCAGTTGTCATCTCTCCCCATGCCAAACATGTCTACAATGTCATAGCTTGGCAATGGCATTATTTTTCAAAGCACAATATCACCCTAAAAATAGAACTTATCGTAACAAAAAAGAAAACATGAAGGGAGACTCTTGCATATAAAATAACTAATAATAATAATCATCATTATCTTCAAATAAATCATATGTTTGTGTTTCAAACAACCCCAATCACCACCTTTGGCTTCTTCATCCTCCTAAAGGTAAGTGCCACCTCAGAGGAAAACCTGGTGCAGTATTTTCAAACTTGGAAAACAAATGTAAGACATGGAAAAAGGTTTTCTCATGAGCAGCTTGAAGGTGCTCCACTTTCCTCTCTTTCTCTTGGATCATCTCATGAAGATGCTGTAAGTCATGTGTCACACAGGAGCTGAGAACAAAGAGTCTACGCCACCTTTGAATAAGAAGAGAAGCAAGCAAGCAAGCAAGCAGTTGTCTCTCTCACATAATTCATCGTCATGCATCAGCAATAAAAGATTTCCTGTCAGTTCCTTACAATCTAAGAAAGAATTAACATCAACTCCCTTCCAGACAGAATTGAACTGACTTGGTAAAACTGGATTTATTTGTCAGAGCAACAATGAATCATACCCTCTGCAGTGTATCCTGGGCAGGGTATTTTGAGCTGCTCCATTCATCATGAGTAGGAGCCTCAAGCTATTTTTGTTCAACAATACTTAAGTAATACATAACTACCATCCACTAAATGCAGCCATTAGAGTAATGAACAAAGTTATTCTGAAATAATCAGTTGTCTTCAAGCCAGGGTGAAGTCCATCATGTCTCTTTAGATCATAAATCATGCATGTGAATACATTACAGTACAATGTATTACTACTTTGGCCCAGAGCTTTGGCAGAAACTTATAGACAATAGCAAGATGGGAAAAAAATAACAGAACAACTGCCTTATTGCATCAGATAAGGATAAAAATAGATGTTTCCTTACAAATGATGGGTCCTGGAGGAGAGCTTCGTGCCTCTGAGCACGCCCCGTTCAGTGATGTCACAGGTGTTTTTTCATCAGCTGCTGTCAAACGCAAACACTTTCTGTGTCATCACCAGCTGGGGTGTGGTCAGGGGTGATTCATGCTTGAAATGTTCAGCCCACACACACAGAGAGAGAGAGAGAGCAGTGCAGCAGCAGCAGCAGCAGTTCTCTGCAGACTGATGTTCAGCAGAGAGACCAGCAGAGGGCAGCAGAGAGGTCGATCCTCCCAGGTGGAAACAAGAAGAGAGTTTCAGGCTGGTCCCCTGCCACCAAAACACAAGATATTATGTAACAAAGCTTGGAGATATAACCATCCATGAAAAGGGTAAGTGCTGTAAATGAAGCATGTAACCAGCTATTCCACAATTTAGTGGTTTTGTTGATTGAGTATTTTTTTATGGCACTTTTTTCTCAGTTTTCACCTTATTCTTTGTGATCATCAACAGAATTTAACCAACACTCAAAATTCAACTCAGCAATCACCCACTTTTGAGAATAAATATCCTCTACAGAAATTAAATATGAACTGAGACATCTGAACAGGGCCGGCCCGTGCTATAAGCAATATAAGCGGCTGCTTAGGGCCACAACCAGTGGGTGGGTGGGGGCACATCTGCAACTTTTGTGTGACATCGAATGGACTGACAGTATATGTAATGTGGCCCCCTGGAATGAGTGAGGAAGACTCTAGACTCTAGACTCTAGTCGATCTAGAAGCTCACGATATCCCATCATGAAGTCGTCGGCTGTGTCCGAAATGAATCACTCAATCTCTAACCCCTAACCCCCATATGGGGTTTCACTATATAGTTGACTATGTAGTGAACTCAATCACTGGAGGTTTCAGACACTACATGGCACGCAATGCATGACGGGATGCCCACCACCAGTGAGTGACCATCGAATGGTCACTACATTTTGCAATGCTTTATGGGAAATTTTGAGTCGCCTATATGGGGCACTGGAAATGATCACTCAGGTTTCGGACACCCCTCAAAATGGCGCTAACCCCCATATAGTCGTCTATATAGGAGTTAAGGATCCATTTCGGACACAGCCATTGTCTGTTTAAAATGCAACAAAATGGAGGGCCACAACCAATATCGGAGGCCACATCTCCACCCAAACCACAACCAATAGGGGGGCCACCAAACAAAATCTTGCTTAGGGCCACCAAAATCCACCAGCCGGCCCTGCATCTGAGTTTTGAACAATAAAATCGTCTTGTCTGTTCACTGAACTAAGTGCTGAACTGATATAAATGAGTCCTCGGTGTATTGATTATTTTGTACCACATGATTGTTTATGAAAAGTTATTGTAGTTAATGTTGTGTTCACATCGGTGAGGTCAACACAACACAACTTATGAACAATTCTTTAAAAATGTATCACATAAGCTGATAATCATACACAACTACTACTTCATGTTACTATTTGAAGAGGTCCACAATTATGACTCAAAGACAATACGGTCACAACTGGGAAATAATCTGACGAGAAAGCCAGTATTCCAATTTCCAAGGGTTACGTGAACGCCTCATGACACTGGCAGCTAGCCTAGCCGGCTAACTTGGCTAATCTGATTTATCGTCTCGGTTAAGCGCACGTAACGCCAGCCAGGATTACCAAAATTAGTTTTCCATATCTATCGTAAAAGACGATATCTATCTGACACCCAGCAGCAACTTAATTTAAGAATGGCATCGCTTGGGGAGCCTGTGCGATTGGAAAGAGGTAATGTTAATTGGCTAGCCAGCGTTAGCTTAGAAATATTTGTTGTGGTGCCGGGAGACATTAACCTAGCCCAGTTAGCATTAGCTAGGTGGTGATTTTTTCATCTTTTTTTCTCATTAGGTTCGCTTTTCTTGTTTTATATATGTCAGGTTGACTGCTAATTCTTATGGTTGTCACTATTTAGGTGTATTATCGGCATGAAGCTCGAGTAGTAATAGTTATTCAGGCCACACAGTTTTGTTCACTTGCTAACTAATAATTATAGCAGACAGTGATCATATAACCTGAGTCGTTTTGTCAAAGATGGTCGGTATTTCCCCCCATAAATATAAGATTTCTCAGACCTCATAAACGAGGATGTCCGGGGGAAGTTAGTATCAGTACAGACTTTATTTCCAGTTAGTTCCCCTTGATTAAATAACGACATTAGCTCCTGCAGTGTGTGTTAATGGACTGTGATGGGACAGCATATAAGAGCATTATAAACTACACTTCAACAACCACATATGCAACATCAACATTATTTTACGTTATACTATTATTTTGTGTTAAACTATACCATTGTATTTTGGTGCTGTAACTGGGTGGCAAAGTGGAGTGAGCACAGATTATTGGGTTAAAGAGAATTTCACATCCAGATTGATTCAGAAGGAAAAGAAAAGTCCAGAGCCTGCAAATCATTCAGCACCAGCACTTTTTCTGAAATCTGATATTGTGGAAATTGCCGGAGTGATTTATGTAGTTTCATGATTATTTTATTTGATAGTACATAAATAGTGCTGTAAGCCGATGAGTGAACTTCTTCGTGTAATAAATCTCAAACTAATTAAAAACAGCAATGAGTCATATTATGCATAAATATATATTTAACACATGTAAACTGTGATGAGAATTAACAGCATTGATTCATCAGAACCTCTCATGCTTCTCATTTTTGTGTGTTGCCGGTGAGAATGTCAGTTGTTATGATAATGTCTGTGCTCTTTTTAACAGACATTAACCGTGCTGTTGAACTGCTCGATAAGCTCCAGAGGACAGGGGAAGTACCTCCCCAGAAGCTTCAAGCGCTGCAGAGGGTCTTACAGAGTGAATTCTGTAATGCTGTCAGAGAAGTGAGACTTTATACTTGTTACACTGAAAACAATTCACTGTGAAAGACTGCCTAGAAATTGTTTCATTTCTTTGTTTACACGATGTGGGAAAGTGTTGACTCAACACTGTTCAACTGTGTCTCTTCAGGTGTATGAACATGTCTATGAAACAGTGGATATCAACAGCAGTCCTGAGGTCAGGGCCAATGCCACAGCTAAGGTATACAGAGTTACCACCATTTGTTTGTTTACTTCAGATCATTTGTTGCTTAATACTGTCGATTTGCCAAAGTCAAACAACAGCTCTTGTTTATTTGTAGGCCACTGTGGCAGCTTTTGCTGCCAGTGAGGGACACTCGCATCCTCGTGTTGTGGAACTGCCAAAGACTGAAGAAGGCCTGGGATTCAATATAATGGGAGGAAAGGAGCAAAACTCACCGATTTATATCTCACGAATCATCCCCGGTGGAATTGCTGATCGACATGGAGGACTAAAGAGAGGCGACCAACTCCTGTCTGTCAATGGAGTGGTATGTTCAAGAGTCAAATCCAAAGCAAAGGTCAAAGCTGATGGTATTGATCCACGTGGCACTTGAATAAAATCTGAAGCGATCACAGGGGATTAACAGTCTTAAAAAATGATGATAATCTTCTTAGCCTCTCTAAGTCAAGTTTGTGTACAGCTCAACATCATAAATCAAACGTTTTATTTGAGTGGCCTTACACCCTTTTCAACATTTGATAGCCTCTGCCATTAGACCATTTGACTAAAGAAGCATTCTGGGGGTTTGCATACACAGAGGATGTGAGATGAGGTTAAGACACTTAACAACGGGAACCAAGCAACTCTTTCAGTTCTGTATCAGGTTTCATTAAGTACATGTTGTTGTTTTTTTCCAGGTGTGTAGAGATCATTCATGCTTGGAAGGCGACTACTCCCATTTCACATTCAAATAGTGAAGGAAAAGTTGGGCACATACACACTATGATTGAACATACTGTTTATTTTCTGTTTAAGCTCTCCCACTGTCTGTTTACACCATAAATCTGCTTGTTGTAAACAGCGCTTTGTGGCTGTAAGAATTGTCGCTTATAAATGTAGCAGTAAACCAGCAGCTATCATGCAGAAGAGGGCTGCTGACAAGCAAGTATGGATGTAAACAGTTTTAATGCCCTCTTAAAGTTGGGGGTAACAGCTCACATGAGAGAGGAAATAAATTCAACCTGTTTTTTATTATGTAATACATTTACAATTATGTGCGGTGTTAAGAAACTGTGACCTTAAATATGTTTGGGAACCAAATTTCGACAAGTAGACTTTAATTATCTGCTACAACAGTTATGACATTCAGCCTTTGTGAGTGTGCTCACTGTGCTTCGGTTGCAGTTCCAACATTGGGCTGAAACAATCACCTAATTGACTTTGTTGCTCATATATTTTCTCTTATTGAAATTTCCAAATTACAAACTTTTATATGGGAAGTTGCACCAAGCCTGTAAAAATACTGGGGCCACCATTTCTTCCACAGTGACCACACACCTTGTTGATTTAGTTCTTAACAGTGCCAATAGTGTATTGCTTTTTAGGATTATTAACCTATAAAAATCTTCTACTTTACTACAGCTTCATGCCCTTATGTGATAAATATCTCAGAGGTTTTTTTTCTGTTTTTTTTTTTCAGAGTGTGGAAGGTGAGCACCATGAAAAAGCGGTGGAACTCCTCAAAGCGGCTCAGGGTACAGTGAAGCTGGTTGTAAGGTACACCCCCAAAGTCCTGGAGGAGATGGAGTCACGCTTTGAGAAAATGAGGTCGGCGAAGCGCCGGCAACAGAACAACTATCCCCAGTAGGATTTTCTGTTATGACGCCCAGCTCCCATGTCTCTCTCCCTTTAGCCCTCTGGCCATTTGTTCTGGTCTCTTTCTTATCTCCCTGCCTGAGAAAAAAAAAAAAAACTTCACAAACATACCCATTGCTTCTACTCCACAAACACTGTTTGTGATGTGCTTCTACCCTCTTCTGTAGCATATTTCATATTTGTTCGACTGTACACTACAAGTCTAGACAGACACTAGAATGATCATGATTGTCAGTGTATGTGGCTGCTCACACGTGTGCATTATCTTACAATTGACGATTTGAATGCAACTTTGAATGCTTTTGAGACCAACTACACGATTCCTTAGAATAGAAAGATGGTGAATTGAATTGTTTCATCACAGCCACTAACAAGTGCCTCAGGGCAGAAACATTTATCTTATGTACTGTTTGCAACACTCCCCTGTTCGTCTAATGGTTCAAAATCAAAGTGCAAGTAATTAAATGTTAATTGCAGGAATAACTTCTTGCTTCTGTTACACACTAATATCATTTAATTTGAGATAAATACCCAGAAAATGGATGTAAAAGCCCTGTAGTTGAGCAAACCTAAGAAAGATGCAGTTTTATTTGATCACCACTTGCAGTCAGATCTGAATGAGGGACTTTAAGGAGTTATTAGTTGAGCGTTAAAAAAAGGGAAAAGGTACGTTTTTAATAACCTCAAAACAGCAGTGATGGATTATTTCACAGGTTTTCTCTGGGCTTCCTCTTGAAGCCGTTCAGCATCATACGGCACTATAAAAAGCTCAGCTGGTGCTGTAAGTGATTTAATGGGGTCTCAGCTACTTTTGAACTAAATACCTGCCATCACAGAGACATGCAGTTTTACTTTTAGTAAAGTAATAAATATTCACAAGCATTAAACCTGCAGTCAGCATGACAGGAAAAGAGAAGTTCAGATTATGATTAACATGTCTTAAATCAGGAATGTAGTACATCATGTTTTTTGATTTGTTAGGTAGAGTACTTAATGAGGAGTCTGTTAACTTGATGTTTTTCTTTGATCTTTAGTTGAAACCGCTGTTTGCATCATTCACTGAAAGTTAATAGCGGGGATAAATCAAACCTTCAGCAATCAGAGAATGTCAAACAATAATGCTTGATTAAGCCTAAAACATAGAGGATCCGTATTGAGCGCATTTCGTCAGCATCGCGTGTCAAGCAGCAAATAGGTTCCCATCCTAATCAGTGCAGCATCGCACACAGGATGCATCCGTTGCAGCTCTGTCACAGAAGCGTGTCATGCGCGGCTCTGCGAAAGATACACGCAGAGTCTATTTTCTCCGCTCTACGCTTCCAACACGCGTCAATTTACACAGGGAAGATCGTTCTAGACAGGATGTCAAGCACAGAAACCACGCATATCATCTGGTAAATTTAAAAATAAAACACCATATGCGGACCGGGGCTGCACTACACTGCTGCCATGATCCGAACACGCATCCTGTGGGCGATAGACAGCGCTGCTCGACGGAGCAGAGACGCTGACAGAACGCACTCGTGTGTTTTAGAGTTTTCATTGTTTTCATGAATCATGTCGTGGACGATATCAACATCCACGACTGGATAACTGGATATGACAACTGCAGGAAATTAGGCTGTACATCTGTTTCATTGAAATATGGTATTAACAGTTCTCTGACAGTCTAGCAGAACAAAAGTGTTTTAAATGAAACATTCACCTTCTCAGAGATATTTTGTCCTGTTGATTATGATATCTCAGAAAGATAGATGGATGAAAGATAAAACTTAAGGTGTCGGGGAACAGATTAGAAATGTTGCTTATACTCTATACAATGTTACAATAATACTCATACATTTCAAAACAATGTACTACAGCAATAGTTTTACTATTTTCTCTACTGTCTGCATATTTATTGTCCACACTTGGACATTATTTATCATTTGTCTTTATCATCACTAAAAACTGTTTTAGAAATCAAAAGTTTAGTGGCATTAACGCACTCTTTATCAATAAACAAACTGCACATGTTGTTAAATGATGTTAGTCATCACAATGAAGATTTTATAACTGAATACTGCCAATCGGTCAAGTTGTGATGCTTCAAAGCAGGCCAGTGTACTGCTGTCAGTAACCTACACTGCACTGTGTATGAAGACACTATCCTCCTTTTTCAAATGCAACACAAGTGTTTGCATAATAAATGTAAAGCTTGATATTCCTCTCATCATGACAGGACCTCTCATGGTGTTTAAAAACTACAAAATAGAAAACATACAGAGATGTCTGAATCCCACCCTCATACCTGTGCACAACATGTCAGTCAAACTCGGTAACAAGTCAAGGTTTTCTTTCAAAGACTTGATTATTCCAAACAGAAAAAAATACTTCTGTGCTTCACAGAGAGTTTCTCTTTCTGTCTTTTAGTAGGAAACAACCGAAAACTAGTAACTTATTTAGCTGCAAAGGTTTCCTCACACATTCTCATCTCCCTGATAGATGCAGCATCATGTATATAGCACAATGTAAAGTAGGCTCTAGCTGACTAAGCCATACTGTTGAGACAGTTTTAACAACATGATACACATACATGATGGATAATGTTACAGAAACACTTGGCTGATTTACTGATATTCCCTCTTTCTTTGATTTGTGTCACTAGAGCGTTGTCCTCTGATGCTGAACCATTGTTTTCCACACTGTAGTGTGTTTTTAATCCACCATCTCGTCACACAAAAAGATCCAACTGAGACATTTTAAACTGTAAATAGCTCATTAGAGGTTCACAGGTACTTTAAAAAAACATGCTTCGGCCTTGTTAGAGATAGACTCAAAGCGAGATTGATCAGTTGGCGATCATATTTGTTCATTTGCGGTTTGGAGTAAACACTCAGTTCGCTTAGAGGTCTCTAACTTGTGTCTGTTAACAATCTCTGCATGCATCCATTATTACACTCCATGTCACTTAAAAGTCAGCTGTTCCTTTAAACACAACGTTAACTAGCAGAAATGAGCGGTATCATCACTGATTTTATCAAGCTTTTATTTAAAAAATGATCAAGTGCAAAGAAAACAACTAAACACGCTGAGCATAAAGCTTTTTTTTGTAAACGCTGTGCTCCCAGTTATCCCTAACTCTCCTTAAAAATGTGTCTAACTATTGGACTAAGTTAAAAATGAATAAAATATGAAGAAAGACAACAACTGAATGCAAAATATGAATCTATGCAAAGTCAGTTCAAAACTTTTGTAAAAACTCCTTGAATGGTGCAGGAGAGCAGTGGTTTTACTGCAGAATGTTTCTGAAATCTACCACTTCAAGGCTGCGTGGATAAACATCTAATGTAATGATAACTATTCGGCTGCTGCGCTGAAACTTTGTACGATGAGACAATGTCATATGAGGACATTGTCATATTGTTGGCCATCAGGTATTTGCAGTATCCTGTGATATCAGCTTTTGCTTTCGATAAGTGATTGTCCTGCTGCATGTAGAAGAGCTTCCTTTTGTAGAAGTGTGGTTAGCAATAGATTACTTTATCGGCTACTTTTGTTTTGAGGCAGAGCGTTTAGCAGCAAAGTAGGGATGTACATAAGAGTTGAAATGTCTTGAAATAATACATAGTTTGATTGTGTTTTATCCAGCGTTAACTAATAAGAATCACTGCTTACACACGCGTATCATTCATCAGGAAAAATGGAATGAGACTCAGTAATGTCACTCTCCACTGAATGTCACTGACTATTGTCTGACTTTGTTGCTAAATTTTGTGAAGTACCCTTCAACTTTCTACTCGTTTTTCCTTGTCTATACCTTGGGATGGTCAATAGAGTATTTTTTATAACACTTTTCTTTTGATATTTTCTCAATTTTTATAAGTGATTTTTCCTAAAACAACTACCAGGAATGATTGGTACTTCCACTTTGACTGTGTACCAAGGCCATATCAGAAAAGCCTCTCGGTGAAACAGCCCTCGTGCAGGATGAGAGTGAAACTGTCCTGGATCAGAGCTTGTCTTTCCTGGGGTCTGAACTGATCTCTTTCTTTTCTTTCTATTACAAGACCAAACTTGCGACATTTGTGAGAACTTTGATAATGTTTTGAAATGTTTTAGCTTGTGCTTGTTTAGGACTATGACTTGTAGATTGTGTTGTGTTTTGTTGTGTTCTTCAGTTTCTTACCTAATTTAATGTGTTATATGGATATGGATTGTAAATTGTTGTAATGTAGAGCATATTAATAGTTAGACTGGAGGCTAAATAAACAGTGCTTACATTCATGAATCGGAAAGTCTTCTTGAGTATCTTTTACACGCATATTTTAATATTAAAGCATCCTTACATAGTGTAGGTGGACAACAGAAGCTCAGTCACAGGAGCTCAACGGTAAATCAGTGCCTGGAGCCAAACGGTGCACGCGACAGCTATTTATCACAGCCGGTTGTTCACACTACAGCTTGACGCGGCGCACAGCTGCTGGTTTCTCATGGTGTGGACCTGATCTTCTTCAACAGAGTATTGTGTGAAGACGGCTTGCTGCGTCTTTGCTGGCAAGTGAAATCAATCATCCCTCAGAACAAGCTGAGCAGCAGCAGCAGGGCCAGGGGATGAAGCAGGAGGCCGAGCTGTGTCTGGAGCCAAATCATCAGAGGAAGAAGATGAGGAAGAGGAAACTGAATTATGTTTGTTTTTTAACTGTTTGGTGAGAAGCGCATAGACTAAAATAGTTTGTTTTAAGATTCAAAATTCAAGATTTGTTTATTTGTCATGTGCATGTTAGACAAGGTCAACAGTGCAATGAAATGCCCTGGATGAGAGGACCGCTTGACTCAAAGGGGTACAGATAAAATACACAATTGTACTGAAGGAATTCAATAAAATAAGGGTAAAAAAATGAGATTTAAAAAATCTATATCTAAAAAATATCTATCTATCTATCTATCTATCTATCTATCTATCTATCTATCTATCTATCTATCTATCTATCTATCAGTATGAATGTACGAGATGGAGGATAAATCGGTGGGATTAATGAGGTATGAAAATTGTTGTATTGCACATGATTAATAATGATGTATGAATGCTGTATTGCACATGGTATTGCGCATCACAGATGATATTGCACAGTTAAGTGGGTTATTGCACAGAGTATTGTCCGGTGGTACTGTCAGGTGTTCAGTAAGCGAATAAGATCACTTTTTTTTTTGCATTTCCGGTCCAGCAGATGGCGCTGTGTCTACTGGAGACTTTACAGATAAGAGAAGAAGAGGTGAGCATTCTTCCGCCTACATCCGGGGACGTACTTCCTTTCTGTCCGTGCTGACATCTGAGTGAACACGCGTTCGCCTTCCTTACAAGTAAGTGTTCACATGTAAAGGTAATTAGGGCACAATCTTTAAGAGAACAGGTATTTTATATCGATGAGAAAACCAGATTAAATTTCCTATACCACTTGAATGGTCGAGATTAACATCTTGATGGTATTTTGTTCGTCTTAACGTTGTTAGCCGCTAAGCTAGCGTGAGCGGGTCCATCGTTCACACCACCGCATGGGTGTAAAAATTACAACAATCATTTTATTCTTTTGTAAATTATTCTATTATTTGTATATTAAATTCTACATCATAATGATGCATAAACATTTGTAGTTTCTTCTTTTCCTCGGGTCATGAATTATTAGATATGGGGACATCTCATTTTTCCTGCCTAAACTCTGATTTCGACAACATTTCTATGTTTACTATTGTATTCACACAGTGTAAACCCTGTTGTTTGTTTGTTTGCAGGATGCGTTACGTTGCTGCTTACCTGCTCGCTGCCCTCGGTGGCAATGAGAACCCTGAGGCCAAGGACATCAAGAAGATCCTGGAGAGTGTTGGCATTGAGTCTGATGATACTCGTCTGGACAAGGTACAAAGATATGCTGTCTCTTATTTCTCTGGTGTTGTGGCAGTGGTCAACCTCCTACAGAAAGCTTTGACCCTCTGTTAATGACAGATGTGATCTTTCTCCTATCAGGTCATCTCTGAGCTCAGTGGCAAGAACGTGAATGATGTGATTGCTTCAGGTGAGTGTGTCAGCTTTAAGGCATATTCCAGCGTAAAATTAATATAGGGTCAAACACACTGTTACACAGAGTTAGATACCCCCTCCAGAGATGAATGTTGCTGACCGCTTCCTTCTCTAGTTATACCAACTTCAGTAACGACCGCATGATAGCAACACACAGCGGTCTGAGGAGCCATAAACAAACCTCGACCAAAACGCCACTCTATAGCCACAAATAATGTTCAGAACAGCACCTAACTTCATCAACAGAACATATAGGGTCCCAGCCATAGTATTAGCCACCAAACATCTTTAACTTTACGTAATTTCTTCAGCAGAGAGACTAAACACAACTCACCTACTCTCTTCCAGCAGCCGCTTATTTGTAGCGAGACCTCAGGCCAATTCATTACAGACTGCTGCGGGGTGATGCAGCTCAAGCAAGAACATTTATGATCATTTCTTTATCATTTCCTTGAAGTAATAATCATCATCATAATCATTTTGCACTGTAGACGCAGAAGTTCTTCTGCCTTAGCATCTCGGTCTGATTGTATTTCCATGAAAGGATCTTCAATGTTCTTCCTTGAGCTGCGTCACCCCGCAGCAGTCTGAATTTAACTGTCTCCAGTCCACAGTGAAAATAATTTTAATTGTTATATCAATCCAGTTATTTATGAAAAATAGTCTTACTGCCTACGGTAACCCAATTGTTAATTATTGTGCTACACAAAGATTCATTTCTAACGATTAGAGGACATTTCCATTATTAAGCAGCTGGAATCAGAATAGACCTGTCGCAGTGTAAAGGTATTGATGTCAACGGTCTTTTCAAGAAATACAATTTTGATATTAAACTCAAGATAAGCATGTGGGCAAAGATTATAGTAGTGGCCAATACAGTGCTCGCCATCTCTTTCAAATCAGGACAGACTGCTAGTGAGTGAGCTGTATCAACTCTGTGAAAGAGGAAAAAACACTTCTAAAAGTTATTGTGAATGAAAAATCAGTGTTGGTGTCACAGCATATACCTCATCTCATTGAAAATGTGTAACTCCTCATGGGTCTTTTATTGTTTTTCTTCCAATTCTGTAACTTGATTGACCAGAAGTGGTATACTTAATGCATATTTAACATGTGAAAAAAGCAACTTTAATGAAAGTCCATATTTAAAAATGAAAGCTTGATAAGCAGTTATGGGGCATTGTTTTGATTAAAGTTTCAAAACAATGCCTATCTTCACTTTGTTCTTGTGAATTCAAACATAAATTATGACCTGTAAGGTATTTTTGTGTATGAAGTTTGTTAAGTAGTGTATTGCTTGCTTCACCCTTGTCTTGCTTTTTATTTTGAAGTTTTCCATCAATATTTTGATGGTTTTCTGATATTTCATGGCCATGATAATTGCAAGGTGATTAATCTGATTGTCTTAACAGCCCCAAACCAGCATATTTTTTTTCAAAAATCACTCAAAACAGAATGATGAAAGTCCTTGACAACTCAAAACACTTCTCAATCCTAAATATTTTCCCAAAATTCAAATGTGAAATCAATTAAACATGTCTCACAAAAAAGGGGATCCATATCAACTTTCTATTAACTATTCAGATCATATTTAGTAAAATGTTTATCGCTTTTTTTACCTGTGTTTTCTCCAGTTACTAGTGTCTGTTCTCAAGTTTTTTGTCTGCCAATTTCTGTCTCCTCAGGCTACGGTAAGCTGGCCAGCATGCCAGCAGGTGGTGCTGTAGCTGTTGCCAGCTCTGCAGCTGCTGGCTCAGGCGGAGCCGCAGCCCCTGCTGCAGGTGAGCATTGCAGTTTAGCACCTCATTTGTCAGCATCAGTTACATTTAGCTCGTGCTCTAACCTCTTTGGCTCAGATGAATATATGAAGCCATACCAAGCAGCTATTTTAAGTGTTTAGCAGGACCGAATGATAAAAATTCATATACTTAAATGTCAGAATGTCTTTTAGGAGGATTACATGACTTATACTTACTGGGAGTTGCATATTTTTCAGAATGTGTTTCCTATAGATGAGGATTAATTATTTATTAAAATTATTGCATGAACTACCTTAGCAAGCAACACAATGAGTGTAAACTTTGTAAAATATGTCAATTGAGGAATATTAAAGAAAATGTTTTTGTTTTACAGCTGAGGAGAAGAAGGAAGAGAAGAAAGAAGAGTCCGAGGAGTCCGATGACGACATGGGATTCGGCCTGTTCGACTAAACTTTTCCAAAAGATGAATAAAGTTTATAAAAAAAAAAAATCCAAACTTTTGAATTTTCTTTTTCACCTCAGATTGACAGTCAAAAATGGGTTTTAGGAGGATGGAAAGGGGTCTAAAAAGCAGTCAAGTTTTGATGTATGTCTCCTCTCGAAAAATATAAATCTGTTTCTCAAAGTGGTCAAATATATGAAATGAAAACAGATGGGTCAAATGTCGTAGTCATTCGTGTTAACAAAGAGGCCTGTATGGTATATGTAATGGTTTTACAATAAACTATCAAGCTATGTGAATGGTACAGGCCCAACTCAGAAGAATGTAATTGAGCATTGTTGTCAGCAGGTGGAGCTGTTGAGCCCAACACAGTAAGACGTGAGACACAGCACGTCTTCAATGTCCGGCCCAGTTTGTTCAGAACTATCCTAAGGGATTGATGTTCGGGCCCACAACAGTCACCCACCATGGCCACACGTGTATCGCTTACTCCACGGACACCTTCAGAGGCACATAGACGCTGAAACGCCGTTGACTGTGGATTAATTATGGATGGGGCGTCACACCAAGAGGCGCCCGACAGCCAAAAGCAAACTCACCTTAAACTACAGACAATAAAGAAGGGTGAAGGTATTAAAAGTATTACCTCAAACACGATCAAATTAGATGGGTTTTTTTATTTCAAGTTTAGGAGAAGAGCTGAGGAGGATCAGAGAGAGCTGTGGCTTTGGCATGCTAACAGGTTACATACTTAGTGCACAGCATTTAAAGCTCTTCTCTAAAGATCTTAACGTGCTGTGCACCACTGTACTATTTTAAAGTAACATCCATTTTAGAAGGAATCAATTATATGAGATTAAAAGAGTAGCTTTATCCAGATAGATGAAGGTTTGTTTTCCACAAAAGTAAACAAAATATAGCAAAGGAGGAATAAGTGTCATTTCATAACCTGTAACAACTTTTGGACCCCATAAAACAGTTATAAGTATAACTCAGGTTGACAGAAGTCACCCCACGTGAGCATTTTCCCTGTTTATAACTTTTGCTCCATATGCTGTATGTTTTATTGTTTTATTCTGAGTGCCACTGTACTGTAACTGAATATGATCACAGCGTCTGAAAAAGTATAAACAATTCTGAGAGAAATGTAGAAAGAAGCTGCGATCAAAATGGATGAAATTCAATATTCTTCTTTCTTTCTTTCTTTCTTTTGTTTTATTCATGGAAAGCACTTGAACCTCCCTCTCATGCTATCATTTGCTGGAGAGCAGGCTGTAAACCCACTATCAGAATTTTGCTTGAGATGTAGGAAAGGCAGCCATCCAATAAAATAATAACAATATTGACATAACAAATTGACATAAGAATGGATTAAAATGAAACAAGTCCTCAAGATGCTCTAGCCCTTAATGGTGAGGATAATCAATAAACCAATACTTCAATGTCTATACTTCTGTTCATGAACATAATATGCAGAAACAAAAATGTGTTTCAGCGACTCAATTTCACATCAAAATCAAATTTCGCAACATGCTGTCTTAAACTTGAGTTTAAATTGCGCCTTAGTTCACGAATCCTCCTCATCAAGCAGCCAACCAAACAATCGTTCTTTTTTGCTCAGTTGCTTATCTAGCTCTGTCAAAGACTGAACATCCAGAGATTAACAATTGTCTTTTATCATAGTGTCTGGTACAGTTTGTCTCATATGATCATTAGTCATGTCCTGACGTGTGACTGTACACTGTTACTTAATCTTCAACTTTTCTTAATGTTGTCTCTAAACTCCAGAACTGACTCATCTCATGCACTCAGAGCTGAGCCAGCATCTTTAAGCTCTATGTACGTTTATCGTTTTTTTTATGTTCAAAGTCTGATGAGAGCGTGTACTGTGTACGCTGTTCTTGATGCCCTGGTATTAACTTGTGATAATGGGCTTGCTAATAAACCTGATCTCATTCTCGAGCTCTAAGTCCTCTAAATCTAAATACCTTTCCAAAACCATGGCCAGAGAAGGTTTAACCATTCAAAACTGCAGGCCACAAGCCTTTTCTCTGAGGGTTATTAATCCGTTACTCCAGTTGTTCTAATTATTTCATCAAACATTTGAGCATTTATTTGCCATTTGACAGGTTTCTATGAACATTAAATCTTAAGACCTTTTTTATATCTGTTTTCTTCACTGACTATTTGTTAAAAAGGTCACGTGGGGTCTACAAAGGATTGACAAAGCAGTAAATTATAAAAGACAGTGACAACATTTTTCATTTTGGTTGAACAGAAGTATTACTGGCAAAAATGTCACTTGGAGTATCAAAGTAAAGCTAGTAACCCTGCTCCATAGCTGATGAAAATGCACTTTACTATGTTTTACATATATTCGAAATGATGCATTGACCAGAACCTAAATGTTGTAGCTTCTTGAGGGGCATCTTTCACTAATATCTGTATTGTCACATAGTTAAATATAGGGGAGAGTGGGGTGAGTTGAGCCAAAGGTTAAGTTGAGTTACCCCCTGTTGCTTGAAAATTGACCAAATGTGACCAAATATTTAGGAGATGGGCATCAATTCGTGGAGTCTGTGAAGGTTAGAGGCACATGAGTGAAGGGGTTAGACATTTATTTCCAAAAAACATTTTCACTCTTGAAAGTGAATTTAGTCTGTCATAAGTTCGATTAGAATTGTGTTCAGACCAAAAAAGATCATTTTAAATTTGTTTTATACACCAATTGTGGTATCTATGAGCTTCAACATGAGGTCAAAAACCTAGCATAAAAGTCCACCATTTTAGAGAAAGTAAAGAAGTCTGATGAGAGGATCAGAGTTTCAGTTCAGATTGTTGAAATGTTTTACTTTTTCCTTTCAAAAATTCAGCTGTGAATGTTCTGAATCACTTCAAGACATTCTCATGTTAAAATGGCTTTTTACAAAACAGCTTTTTAGCAGTTATATGTTATAATAATAAACAAACATATTGTACCAGTTGAATAGCATATATTAGATGAAAATACACATGAATGTGAAGAAGTGACTGTTATTTAGGGAGAGAGAAGGTGAGGGAGGGCTGGGGTGGAGAGTGGGGGGTGGTAGGGATACGGCTCAACTTACCCCACTCCTATGGTCAATTTACCCCATACACGGGATAAGTTGACCATAGGAGACCACTTTTTTGACATGCTATATTTTCAAGATAGTTATGTTTACACTCATTCTGATGGTTTGCAGGGATGAACAACATCTTGAAATAAATGCAGATTAACTAGTTAGAGACAAAACTATGATTGTCTTGATGTAGTGATCCGAAATATGAAGAGTGGCTCATCTTAACCCACTCTCCCCTAAGTACTAAATTATTGGTGGGTGGAGACTGCCCAGATGTTAAGTAATGTTAATACTGTTCGGTGTAAATAAGAATAATATTAGAAATACACAGACACCACAGTATTCTGTTGGCGTTACATGCAACCATTACTTTTTTACCACCTTTGCGAAAAAACAAAAAATCCTTCAGTAAAGGAAATCACCAGAACAGACAGAAACGTGGGCTCAGCATCTGCGTCCCTCCTCCTGTTTCCGGTCAGTGACGTCACGGACCAGTCCATTTTCTCTCGTTAGGGGGAGGTCTGCGCCGTTTTTCACGTAGTCCATCCTCGTTCGCGGACAGTGAAGGTTACCTGCTTCAACAGTGCTTGAACGGCAACCTTTCAGCTGTCTCATCGTGCACTTAGACGGTACTATTCGCTTAAATTAACCATAACATCACCGTTAACGTCCAACACGCTTTAACCATCGCATCAGCTCGTAGAGACCGTTTGTTTTGCTAACACGCGTAAAGCTTTGTGACCTCCTCACAACAAGACCCGCCACGGAAACCAGGTAAGAATACATCTTTACGTTTGAGTTTTCCTCTGTCAACATTAGCTGATCAACCGTTTATAAATATAAATGCTTTGCGTAAATAACCTTTGATAGCTCAGCCCTGGTGCTGCGGTTGTTTATCCCTCCGCCGTGGGTCTGGCCTTGACGCAGATTGCTTCAAAATCTCTGCGCAGCGTGCCAAAAAAACACTGGATATGTCAACAAAGTATTACCTTTAGTTTTAGTGTCAGAAATTTTAAAAAGAAACAAGCTTTATTATTGTGATTATTGTTTGCTTTGGCCCCCGTGACCACATTTAACCTTATATAACGAATTGTACCAAAATTTAACGATGCCAAACTACGGGAGCCTCAAGGGGACATACATAGTAAAGACTCCGCTTTCAGTGATAACGCGATTATTTAAATTGTATTTTTTGAATCAGCTGATCATAACTTGTACCTCTGGAGTCACTACAGGACAAAACAATCACAGAAAATAGGCTTAACCTGCCTCATTACTGTGGGCAGTGACAGCAGGACGTGACACAGCCTGGCACGTCACTGTGGGTAACCAAATGTTTTGTTTTTCACAGCCCAAGAAATGATCATACAGGGAACAATAAATGTTATTATCTCAATATAATGACCTGCTATAATGTAGTTACTGGATATGCTGTCATTGTATCAAGAGAACCACAGAAATGAACTTGAACTCCTACAATTTTAAATGTGACTTAGTGGAGGGAAATGAAATACGGGAATGCTTGTTTGCGTATGGTTTCACCAGACATAGTTATAAGAACAATTGCCACGCCTATCTATGGCAGGCTGCCGGTTTGGAAAGAACTAATTGTTTTGCACGCAATCTCTTTGGGCTTTTGTAAACTTGAAGATCCTGATGTCCTTAATACTTTTGGAAAAAAATGCAAAAACTTGATTTATGTTAATAATTATAATGATAATAATAATGATAATAATGATAACTTTATTTATATAGCACTTTTAAGAACAGAAGTTTACAAAGTGCTTTGACAAACAGTTGCACAGCATCAGCACATGGAAATAAAAACAAATAGAAAAGCTCAGTTAAAAACAAGGCCTCCGAATTGAAGGCCAATTTCATTTTTCATTAGAAACACAGACAATACAAGAACCCTACAACATAAAATGTGACCATGAGGACCAAAATAAAAACATAAAACAGGCAAAAAGCAGGAAACAGGATAGAAAGTATAAAAGAGGATATTAATAACGATAATAAAATAATAATGATGGTAATATTAATGATTAAATGGAATAATAAAAATGAGCAAGTAAAAACAATAAAATCAATAAAGGGCCTAAAAGATAAAATAAGAAAAGATTATAAGTAAAAAAAAGGCTAAAAGGATAGTAAGTCGAAATAAGAAAAGACGGCATCAAATAAAAGCAAGTCTGTAAAAGTGAGTTTTTGAATTTGACTTAAAAGAAGCGACTCAAAAGATGTTGTCTATCTCCATTAAAAGTAGAAATAGTTTAAAAAACCTTATAAACTTTAATTTTTAAAAAATAAAGTCATCATCTTTTGCATATTAAACAAACATCTCTCTGTGATGAATAGATGGAACTGATAAAAACCAGTCAGAAAACAAGTTTATATAAGACAAACTGGAATAGTGTGTCACAAGTTTTTGAGTCTAGCTATTGTTTTGAGATTTGCTGATTATCATGGTTTATCTTTGGTTGATCAGTTGTGTTTCTCTGACCGTTGAGATGGAAACAGGTGTCCTCTTATCTTACACACACACAAATTGTCTTGGAACTTGTTTGGGTGTTTAGTGAGACCTCTGTCTGCCGCTTTCAGAAAGATGAGTTCCCAAGTGAGACAGAACTTCCACCAGGATTGCGAGGCTGCAATCAACAGGCAGATCAACCTGGAGCTGTACGCCTCTTACGTCTACCTGTCTATGGTGAGATTCAAACAACTGGATCGTTGTTAGTGGGAGACAATGCAGGCAGAACTTGTTAATTCAAGAGGAACAGACATGCTGACTTTAGTAAGTCACAGAGAAGTGATTTGGATCTTCCTTTTATCTATAGTGTGATGTGGTTTTATCACCCCTCTGCTAAGTTGGAGGGCTTTATCCTCATGTACCCTCTAGGTCTAGCCTTAGTGCCAACATACATCAGACAGATGATGTGGGTACTCGTCTGGAACAGTGCAGTCATTCACCGTCTTCATGATAAAAAAACACCAAGTGCAGCCATGTTTGTTACACATTAACTTTTCAAACATGGGAATGAGTTTAAGATGTCTGATGTCATGTGATCTGAGTTGTATTAGTGTTCTATGACACAGTCATAAAACAGAGGTTGAAGTTCACTTTTAGATTATGGTATGTACAAAGACAGGGCAGAGAGTTCATGTCCTGACCTTAAAAAACATACAAAAACTCAGAGAACAGCTTTATTTATTGATCCTACACAGCTGTGTGTATTTAAGGGTTTCCATTGAGTTTACTAGGCATACATTCTCTCTAGTTTCTACCTTTACCCGAAAGATTTTTTTATCAAGTTGTATCCAAAAATTATACCTGTTTTGTTAAGTTGAACAGAAAAACGAGGCAGTTCTGTATGTGTGGGTAGTTTTAGTTAGTTATGTTTGATGTTCCTGTATGTATTGAACCATGTACCTTAAGTTCACCATTGGTAACTTAGTACTTGTCTTCCTTCTTCAGGCTTACTACTTTGACCGAGATGACCAGGCATTGCCCAACTTTGCCAAGTTCTTTCGGAGCCAATCGCATGAGGAGCGTGAGCATGCTGAAAAGCTAATGAAACTGCAGAACCAGAGGGGGGGAAGGATCTTCCTCCAGGATGTCAGGGTATGAGCTCCTGTTTGGTCAAATAAGCACATTTTTAAACGTTTGAGGGTTGCACAGTGTGTGGAGGCTCACTGTGGGCTATCGCACGGCCCATGTTGGGAGGGCAGCTTGATGACAAAAAGATACAGAGGGCGTGGATGTGCTGTGCCGCTTATCTTGAAGCGCAAACACGTCCAGTTTAACGTTTGAGTAGAATGTTAAATATTTCCTGACCTGCTTTGTCATGCAGAAGCCCGAGAGGGACGAGTGGGGCAGCGGAGTTGAGGCTCTTGAGTGCGCTCTGCAGCTGGAGAAGAGCGTAAACCAGTCCCTGCTGGACCTTCACAAGCTCTGCTCTGATCACAATGACCCACATGTGAGTAAAGTAGGACCTGACCGTGAGACAGGGAAGCACCTAACGACATATTTTACTTCAGTGTCACATGCTATTAGAAAACAACAACCCCAAACTTCCTGGTTGTATTTACGACAAAGCATTATTAACCATTAGTTTACCAAGTCACTCACTGATTAAGTAAACATTTATTGAAGCCGTTTAAAGATTTAAACCCCAAATCTGAGCCTAAGCACCAAATCTGTTACATACTTGTAGTCACACTTCTCCTCCTTTTAGATTTAAGCACATATTTGTTTGAACAGCTGTATAATCTGCTGGGTTCCTTATTTTTCATCTTGGCTTTTGCAAATGAAACACTGTCAGATTTTGTTGTGGCATCCATATTTTTTTGTGGTATCTTTGAGAGGAATTTTCAGTAAACACAACAGCGGCTAATTTGACTTATTTTTCTTAAGTCAACACTAGATGTTAACATGTTGTTCAAACACCGCATTAAAACTAACCCAACTGTTGTATAACAGTAGTTACATCACAAGAAAAAAATCATCACTGAAGTGTTTGTCTTTAAACTCTTGTGATCTCATTTTAAAATTTACTGATGTTTGTAAAAAAGAAAAAAACTCTAGTCAATAGAACTTGAAAACAACACGACAACGAAAGTTTATCCAAAGACTTTCATCAAGTTCAACCTTTAATTCTTGATTTTCCCCTTTTTTCTGTGAAGCTGTGCGATTTCATCGAGACCCACTACCTGGATGAGCAGGTGAAGTCCATCAAAGAGCTGGGAGACTGGGTGACCAACCTACGCCGTATGGGAGCTCCTCAGAACGGCCTGGCGGAATACCTGTTTGACAAACACACCCTGGGCAAAGAAAGCAGCTAAATCCCTCGACATCACAATTCCAACCGCTTTCTTAATTATATATATATATATTTGTATCTCGCTTTCAAATGTTTCCAACATATAAAAGCCATCTGCATGATACCTGCTAGTCATTTAGGCTTCCTATAATACTCATGTCATACCCCACCTAGCAGTTACTTAAGTAACCCTTCTTACCACAGCTGTGAGCTTTGCCTTTGTCACGACCATCTTCATTATGTTTTATGCCAGGAACTGTCAGACAAATCAATAAAACAAACCCTCTGGATTCTGGTCAGTCTTGTTTTTTTTCATGTCACCCATTGAGACTCGTACCTATCTGAAAGACAGCAGAACTCTGTACACCACACTGGTAATTATAGCACAAAAGACCGGTTTCACTTCCACGAACAGAGAAAACAGAACTAGATGTCAGCTGGAACATTGTCACATCCCACTCATGTGCCATCAATGGTTTAAAATCATTAAAACTGATTTAAATTCATCGACAAGAACATTCATGTTCATCCATACATGCAGGGTTTAATTGTTGACAATCTTTGGCCTCAAAGAGGTTAAACACAAAATCTCCCAAATCTGTAGCAAATGTATCTTTTGTTGATCATATCTTTTAGACTTAGGAAGTGACTATTTGTCAGTTATGTATCAAGGACTGTTGAATTACTTTCAATCTACAGAGTTCACATGATGTTTGGTAACCAGGGATTTTCCTTGTTAGACACACAAGTGTTTTACAGGAAGGACGGTCAAAATGTTTGGCTGTTCACTTCCACTTGCTGGGAAATCAGAGTTATTCGTCATAGTTTTTTCATTATTACGAATGTCATCCCTCCAGGGAAGTAGGCCTATGATGTGCATGACTAATATTAGATAAGAACTTCATTTACCCACGAAGGAAAATTCAGTTGTGCTTAATTAATGTTGCTCCTTCTAGTGGTGATTTGGAAAGTAAAAAGAGAGCATAAATTCTGGTAATAAAAATGTAGTGTGTCTTGACATGGCTACATAACGTCAACGGTCTCAGATCATTAAAAAAAGTCATTTATAACCCAGTAGTGGAGCATGCCATTCCTTAAAATCTAGTGTTGTGTTTACTTTTCACAAGAGACGTGATTTGTTAATTGTAGAATCCTAATACTTATTAAGTTCTCTTGTTGAGGTAGGGACAAGTTAACATTTTAATACTTTATTTCTGACAACAACAGAACTTTAAGTATGAGTAAATAGTTTTTGGTTATCTGCAATTATGTATCAACAGTATGAGGTATCGACTGTATACAATTAAAAAGCTCTTTTACTTGCGTTCAGAAGTTCTCAGTTAACCCAACACTGCCACCTGGTGTACCTTCGCCTTTTTCTGCACTTAAACATGAGTTGCTAAGCTTTGACTGCATCTTGAGAACTAAAATGTTTTTTTAAATACAAACAATTATTTTCCAAGCTGCAGCTTATGAAATGATGGAAGTGTTCATCGTATTGTAAACTGTATGACAGTGGAAAAAAAGTTTGGGACCTTATGGAACTTGTCAAACCCATCCCACTCCATTTATTTCAAACACAACAGAAACGTAAATAACAACCTTGAACATATATGTGAATATCTCTGAGGCACCTTTTTGAAATGAGAAACTCAAACCTAAGTGCTTTAAAAAAAAACAAAAAAACATTTGTTCATGTTGTGTGTCAAACTGATCAAGAAACTTAAATGCAAAACTGAAGTTCCCACAATCCCTGTCAGACTGAGGAGTTTATGCTTCTTCGAGCTCCACCAGCACGCCATCACAGTCTTTTGGGTGGAGAAACATCACTGGTTTCCCATGAGCTCCTATCCGGGGCTCAGCAGACAGAGTTCTGATGTTCTTTGCTTTCAGGTCAGCAATTGCAGAGTTTATATTGTCTACCTGCAACCAAAAAGGAATACTCCAGTTAGTCTGAAACATAATGTTTTATCCATTCACTTCTTAAAAATTTCTTGTTAAAGCAACATTTAACAATACCATACATAAACATATTGGTGCTCTCTAGCAAATGAACCATGAAATGCTGTTTCTGCAACTACTGGTCCTGGTATTTTGCATCAATAGTGATGTTACGTCACATCTGATTTTCCCAAGAATGACAAGTCTGAATGTTTGATGTTAAAATAATTGCCTTTTCATACCACCTTGCTCGGTTGGAGATGAATAACATTCATATGCTGCAGGTTCAAAGTTCAAAACTAGCTCACCTGAGGGTTAAAGAGGGTCCTACACAATACTGACCAAGTGTACCACCTAGAGCATGCGATGTTACCTCAATACAAATGTGATGCATCCCTCCAGACTTGTTCTTCTGCAAGAATCCAGCGATGGGGCTCTTCTCCCCCAGAGGATGGAGCAGCTCCAGTTTAGTGTTGCCGAGCTCCACAAACACTGTGTAGACGCCGTGCTCCGGAAGAGGCACTTTTTCACTCACTGTGGCCCCCAGGACATCCCGGTATAGAGCTGTGGCTTTCTCCATATCAGGGACAGCGATGGCAATGTGATTCAGCCTCCCCAGCTTCCATAGGGATCCTGGTATGCCCTGACGGAGCGCTGCTGTGGTTGAGAGTGTCCTCAAGAGGGTGAGACGGGAACATGCAGAGAGACCTACCCCTGAAAAAAAAAATAGGGACAGTGGTTGGAGGTAATATGTTGATCAACAGTTTTTGAACCCACTCTCTCTTTTTCAATCATCATTATTATTATCATATTTAAATAATCTGTGATTAAGGGAGCTCATCCTCTTTAGTTTGGGGCCCCTAATTTTGACCATGCCTGTCCATCCCCAATAATGTAAAGTAAATACATGTTTCTGTGCTCACAAATTTATAAAAAACATTTTTTTCAGATTCACTCTTGGAGTTTTCACGCAGTTCCCCAACATCAGGCTGCTCTTTCATATCTTTGGAGTAGGGCTGGGCGATAACACGATAACGATATATCGAAAATTAATTTCCCTCAATATCAATATAAAACATGGTCAATATGCTTTTTGATAGTCGGCATTCTGCCATGTTTTGGTAGACTATACGAATAGCCAAGAAAAGGGGAGTTGCTCCGGGTCCACGCCGCGCCAAACCAATCATGTGCTCAATTAGAACAAAGTCACAAACAACTGGGTAGTAGCAGGCTGCAAATACACGCAACCATAGTACTTCAACACGTGAAGCTGAAAGCACTGTCAGTGAGAAAACTAGAAAATGAGTGCTACCCAAGGCAGAAATGCAGATGAAGGCTGAACAGATGACGACATTGTCAACAACACTGGCATGAAAGTTTTGGTTTTTTGAGGTCGGACATGAAGCAGAGTTATGTGCACTGCAAATTATGCAGAGTACATGTTCTCGCAAAGTCGGGAAATACCTAACCATTCAGTCCGCTTTTTCTTGTGCAATGCCGTACGACAAAACGTCAAAGAGACACAAAGACCTCACAGATGCAGTAGCTTATTGTATTGCAAAAGACATGCTGTCAATAACCACTGTTAAAATTCATTTTTTATATCATGATATATCGATATCGACTGATGTGAAAAAAATATATCGTGATAAACTTTTTCCCATATCGCCCAGCTCTACTTTGGAAACATGTCTATGGCTTTGAAAACAGTGCCGCTAAATGACAGCCACTTTAAAAACTGTACCGTGTATCTACATAACAACAACAGTAACACATTTTGTAATGTTTGCAAAACGTCAGAACAGGACAGCGACTTGACACAGCCTGTGTTTGTGTTCCACAAAAGTTCCGAGGTTGACCGGGCTGATATTCACGATAGCATAATACGACAAAATTTAAGCATTAGATTGGAAATAAGATTATTCTTAAAACAAACCAACCTGCAACCTTCAGCACAGCGGACGCCATGTTTGTTACGCGGAACCAAGAAGCAGCGGAGCCGTTTCGCGGTGAGCATGTTTACCTGCGACACATTCCGTCACACATGTGGGGGGAAATATGGCTAAAAGAGATGTGTTAAGTGTGCTCGAGGAGTGTGTTAAGGCGATAAATGATAACACAGCACAGCCGGAAAACTTCTTGGGGTAAGTTTATACCTTCTATATGTCTGTGTGGTAATGTATTGGCTGTTAATGTTGTTGTTCGTGTGCATTTAAAGACAAGAGGTTCAACCAGCTAACTGCTCATGATGGTCTAAGCCAGTGGTTCTCAACTGCTCTCACTCTGGGACCCATGTTTTCCCTTGGTCCCACTTTTATAAAATTTAAACCAAGCAAATCTATTTTTTAATAATAAAAAACCTTTACGGACTCAAATCTGTAACATAAATAAAACCGTTTTATTGAGTAAAGAGCCTTTCAGAGCGCATGAACTGAGGACTACTCTACTACCACAACTACTTAAGTTGCACATACAAAAAATATCAAACATCAAATAAATATCAAATTACACAAAATGGAGACCAGCAAAATGAAAAATGTACTTATATGTATCTCTGAATTCAGAGCATATTCAGAAGAACCTGAGGAAGACCATGCAACAGTATGGACAAAAGTGAATAATAAAAACCAAAGATGAAGGTAATTTTTTTTACTGCATTTAAGCCACATTAATAAAAAACTGAGGAGGACCACGATATAATGGATAAAATGAGTAAAATAAAAATGAAAGCAATTAAATATTTAGTAATTATAGTTGTTTGCGACCCACCCAGAACATGTCCGCAACCCACTTTTGGGTTGGGACCCACCAGTTGAGAACCAACACAGACCCACACTCCGAGGAAGAGCAGATGCCCTCTTTTTAAACCTCAAATGTTGATAAAATATCATATAAAAGCTACTGTTTTCATGTGAAAGAAGTCCCACCCTGGAATAAACCTATGTATGAAATTGCCAAACCTGAATATCTAACAAATTTTGATCACAATTTATTCTGATTTTTTTCCCCAACGGTGAGAAATAACAAAAAAATACCAGTCTTTACTACTAGCCAAATTTAGTACTTAGATGGCAGTGTGTTACAGATACTGTGTAATAATGTTTTGTATTTTTTCAACCACAAACCCCAGCCTCACCACCCATACTAATGTCTTTTTCTTTTCTTTTCAGCCTGCAAGATGGAGCAGCTGCAGACTTCACATCTCTCACGAAGACCTTGTATGATCTCCACAAAGCCCAGGAGCCTCGGTATTATAAAGGCAGCCCACTGGATCAGCTGGTGGTGGAGAACTTTGATGAAGAGCAGATCTGGCAGGAGCTGGAGCTGCAGAATGATGCCGTACTGGAACACTTTAAAAATGCCACTGATGAGGCCTTGTCTGACAAGACATTAACGTTGCTAGTAGAAGAGGAAGAGGAGGAGGAGGAGGAGAGTATAGGTGAGGAAGAAGAAGAAGAAGAGATTGATGATGAAATTGAAGAAGAAGAAGAAGAAGCACCCAAACTGTCCAAGAAAATTGGTGTAAAGGCCAAAGACAGGGCAGAGGATTACACAGATGAGGACTCTGACATAGATTTTGATGTGGAGGATCTCGAAAAGCGTGAGAAACAAAGAAAGGATATTGGGAGGAGAGGCTCTAAAACAAAGGTGGTTCCCTCAGAGGTTGACGATAAGTTCTTCAAACTGTCAGAGATGGAGTCGTTTCTTGACGACATGGACAAGCAAGAGGGAAAAGAGGATAAAAATGAAGATGAAGTCGACTATTTCCAGGATCTGCAATCCGATGAGGACGAAGATCTTGACCTAGATCAAATTATGTCCGCCAAAAAGAAAAGCACTGTATGTTTCTGATCACATGTCTCACATTTTTCAAAGTGTCTTGGTCATTAAGAACAGAGGATAAAGAGTATTCTTTATTATGTTTACAGGCTAAAAGCTCCAGAGATCTCAAGTACAAGGACTTCTTTGACGCTGTGGATAGTGAACCAGCTAATGCAGATGAACACTCAGATGATGACAATGACAGTATGGATGATGGGGAGGACGAAGATGAAGGAGAAATGGATGAGGAGGAAGAGGATTTTGATGGTGAAGAGGAAGATGACGATGAGTAAGTGTGATTGAAACTGTGTTAGCTGGGAGAAACTCATTTGGTTGAGTGTGGCTATTTCCAACCTGACTGTGTCTTTCCTTTGTCAGAGATGAAGAGACAAGCCAGTCTAAAGTATCATCGAAGAAAGTGACATTTAACCTCTCTGAGAATGAGGACAGTGAAGGAGAGGATGTGGAGGACATATTTGGAGGAAAATCAACAAGCTCAGCAAAGCCTGAATCAAAGTCATCTTATGAGAGAAGACAAGAAAAGGTGTGTATTCCAAATATAGTCATTCAGTAGAAATTGCTTTAATGTGTCAAACAGTCAAAAATGTTTTCTTGATTACAAAATAATTCACATTTCCTACATCAGATTACCTGGGATTTTTTTTAAATAGGAGAACCCATTTTCTGTCAAAATACACAACACTGCTGTGTGTTTATATTTCTGTTTATACAAAGTAGACTGGAACTACTAAAAAAAAGTCCAACTCTAGTACTTGACTCATGAAACATTTTATAATTTGATATACAGAAGATACATTTTTCTTCCTCACTTTTCGATGTAAAGAGAGACATGCTTCTGTAGTACAAGATGCCCATTTTTCCTCTTCAAACATGTGCTGCTGCAGCTTTTATCTTCATCTAACAACACATAATCCAGACTCTTTTCATGCTAAACAGGATATCAAAATTTTGTGTTGCCATACCTAGTCACTGTTACTTTTGCAATAACCAGAGCACTTATCCAAACTGTTAACCATAAAAAGGATGCATGCCTGAAAGGTTCTTGAAAATCCTTTAATTAATGGATCTGTGACTCAAACTGAAATTTATGTGAAGTGTGTGTCTCTCACTGGTTTCTAAAGCATCATTGCAGCACATTGGCTGATTGTGTGTGTCTCACTGTCATTCTTGCCTCTAGATGTCAGAAAAGATCGTGGAGTTGGAGAAAGCAGCTCTGGCAGAGAAGCCGTGGCAGCTGTCTGGTGAGGTGACGGCACAGACTCGTCCAGAGAACAGCATGTTGGAGGAAGATGTGGAGTTTGAGCAGACATCCAGAATGGGTAGGGGATTCTAGTTCCAGGATAATAATATTGAGTTTTTTAATACTAATAGAAAAAAAGAAATGTATTCACAATGTTTTTATAAACAGCAAGATTTTATCTTTGCTTTTTTAGCACCTTCTGTCACAGAGGAAACCACATTACAGCTTGAAGATATAATCAAACAGAGGATCAAAGACCAGGTTGGACACAATAGATAATTTTTATTTAACATCCAAAGATTATTGTGGGGTTCTTTTTGGCTGTGTATAACACAAGGACTTTGACTTCTGTTTCTATTAGGCCTTTGATGATGTAGTCCGCAAAGAGAAACCCAAAGAGGAGGTGTTTGAGTACAAGAAGAGGCTGACATTGGACCATGAGAAGAGCAAACAGAGTCTTGCAGAAATCTATGAACAAGAGTACCTCAAACAGACTCAGGTATAACCCTTGTCACTATCATTCCAACTCACAGGAGTCTGTGTTCAATCATTTTCATCAATTTATGTATTTTTCTTACTTCAGCAAAAGACAGAAGAGGAGGAGAATCCAGCGCATTTGGAAATTCAAAAGCTAATGGACACGCTCTTCTTAAAACTGGATGCTCTTTCTAACTTCCACTTCACACCTAAACCTGTAAGTTTTACCAGACTTTCAAATTTCCAATATAATTTATTATTCTAAAAAACAAAAGCCTAAAGACATAAAGCCTAAATTTATAACATACAGTTCCCTTACAAAACATGCTGTCTGTAAAACGATAAATTCCATAAACATGAGGATAAGGCAAATCAGAATGTGAACTCAGAAATTGTATGTTCTTGGGAAAATTACAAAAACTTTAGGTCAGTGCTGTAAAGTAAAACCACATTCATGTTACGTTTCATCCACAGCCTGTCCCTGAAGTCAAAGTGGTGTCTAACCTGCCAACTATTACAATGGAGGAGGTGGCTCCAGTCAGTGCGAGTGATGCTACATTACTTGCTCCTGAAGAAGTCAAGGTCTATTATCAGTTGCTTCACACCTTTATTTTGATTTTGTATATCTAGTTACACCACATGTCTAATAATACTCTACTCTAACCAAAGGAAAAGAACAAAGCAGGAGATATTCTTGGGAACACTGAGAAGACGTCGACGGACAAAAAGCGTGAGAGACGTCACAAGAAGACGGTGAAACGTCTGAAGATAAAGGAGAAAGAAAAGAGACAGAAGCTCAAAGAGGCCAGCAGAGCTGGGGAGAACAAAAAGGCATCAAAAGCTGAAGTTGCAGAGAACCTGAAGAAACTTACCAAGGGCGGCAAAGCCACACTACTCAAGGTGAGTGATATACTTTTTGTTTTTTCTCACAATCTCACATGGCTTAGACCTGTTTGCAAGGCATATGTTTTTGAACTCACATTTGAGGGTCAGTTATTAGTGTAAACATACTGGTAGTTAATGTTTTCGATCAAATATCAGTAGCTTCAATTTTTTGTTCTTGTTCTTGTTCTTGTTTTGTAATATGTGTTTTCTCTTTTTTTTCAGGATGAAGGGAAGGACAAAGCTCTGCGCTCCTCTCAGGCCTTCTTCTCTGAGTTGCAGGACCAGGTCAAAAGTCAGATCAAAAATGCAAAGGACTCTTCTGTAAAAAAGAAAAAACACAAAGAGGTTTCTGTCAGCAAACTCAAGTTGTAATAAGACTGTGATTGTTTGTTGGGGAGATATACTTTTTATTGTACAGGTTCCTAAGAGCGATCTGCTTTATTTGAAATCTGAAAACCCCTGTTTAATGTTTCAAGTTTCATTCACACAGATTATGTACTAAGATGGTTTTTCTAAATGTGTAGCTTTTCACTTGTAATTACTTGTTTATTCATGTGAAATATAAAACTTTCTTTGCCACTAATAACAATTCTATCTAGTAAGCTATATTATTGTTTGTTTTGTTGTCTTAAGTGCCGATCATTTCTGTTCGTGTTTACTGCAGTCGACTTTCCTGTCATCACAGGTTTTAATGGTGCTAGACCGATTTAAAGGGAAACCTCAACCAAAACGCCACTCTGTAGCCACAAATAATGCTCAGAACAGCACCTAACTTCATCAACAGTACATACAGGTCCCAGCCACAGCACTTGCCACCAAACATCTTTTTAGCTTTGCCTGATTTCTTTACCAGAGACTAAACACAACTCACCTACTCTCTTCCAGCAGCTGCTTGTTTGTAGCGAGACCTCAGGCCAGTCCATTACATTGATGATGATGATGATCATTTCTTCATCGAAATGCAATCAGACTGAGATGCTAAGGCAGATGAACTACCGCATCTGCAGTGCAAAATGATTAATATGGTGATTATTAATTCAAGTGAATGATAAAGTAATGATCATGAATGTTCTTCCTTGAGCTGTGTCACCCCGCAGCAGTCCGTAATGGACTGGCCTGAGGTCTCGCCACAAACATCAAACTAGAGAAGCAAGCTGTCGACAATATTCATCTCTGGAGGGGGTGTCTAACTCGGTGTTACCGTGTGTTTGACCCTGAATTAATTTTACACCGGAATATCCCTTTAAATGCACGTGTTATACATTTTTGTGTATTGTAGAAAATAATGGAAAAAAAGTCTCAGCCATCATTTTTTTTAGCAAATTGCTCATCAAATTATCAAATTCTAGCACTCCAGTATTTGAGCAAAGGCGGCAGGATATTTTTGACACATTTACCCCTCAGTAATTTTTATTTTTTATTATTGTAATTTTTAAATTATTTTCCCCCCTCGGTAACTTTTCTTATTTATGTATTTTTTTTATTATTTTTTTCCGCTCAGTATTAATTATTAGTGTATTATTATTTTATTTATTTTTTATTATTTTTTCCGCTCAGTCATTAAACCCGGTTTGACAGAAAGTTCGAAGGCCCCGCCCCCTGACACAAAATCCCCATGACGTCATTACAGTTCATTGCGGAAGTAAACCAAACGTCGAAGCAACACAGCAAGAAAACCCAAATATAAGTTGGTGTGTTCGCCTCGCCTACCTTCCAGGTATGTCATTGTCGCATTATCCGCACTCCTTTGTTTTAAAGTACTAATCCTTTCGGACTTACATTGTGAGTTTCAGTCGTTTTGTCGTGGTTTTTTTATGCCGTTGAATAGTAAGAGCTGTGTAGCTAGCGCAAAAATTTGTGAAGAAGAACCCTGCTAACAAAGCTGAGACTGGCATATAGACTACTCGATACTGACACAACTGGGCTCTAAACGTGTCAGTATCTTCATTATTCTTGGTGTAGGTTACTAGAACATACAAGATAACCAATAAAGGAAGGGGCAACCGAGTAAGGTTAGCTGTCCGACGAGCCTAAAGCTAAAGCTAACTTCGCTCTAAAAGGTTCAATAACGTCTCTCGTCAGCTAACTTCATGTTTTCGATGAGCTGATGTTTGTGTTTTGACGTTGTTGGCGGTAAATCTGTAGTTATTCGGTGTCGGTGAGTTGGTCATGCTCACATGATCAGCTAAAGTGAGTCACTGGATCAGAGGTGGGGTGTTGAGGTTAAATGGACTCTTGTTGGTTTCGGTCCATGCTTCCGCGTAAACTGTTGTGTCCTGCTCCTCTAGTCTTTGTCAGAACATCATCATCATGCTTGGAGGAGGATTCAAGGGAGACAGACTCAAAGTCAATCTCCGACTGGTTATTAATCGATTCAAACTCCTGGAGAAGAAGAAAAGTAAGCTCCTCTCTGATTCTCACACTCATGATTTGGGTTCTTGTTTGACAGACAAACTCAATTTTTTCTCATTTTTGTTCATTTTTTTAAAGCTGAGCTCGCCCAGAAAGCAAGAAAGGAGATTGCAGATTACCTCGCAGCAGGGAAGGATGAGCGTGCACGGATCCGTGTTGAACATATCATCAGAGAGGACTATCTGGTGGAAGCTATGGAGATCCTGGAGCTCTACTGTGACCTGCTGCTGGCCCGCCTCGGCCTCATTACTTCCATGAAGTGAGTCACTGAGACTTATGGTTTTTCTTTAATTTGTCATTTACTCTGTGGAAGGTATGTATCGATAAATTTCCTTTTGACATCCTTATTCAAATTCAACTTTATTTTTATGGCACTTTTCAGACAAGAAATGCAGTTCAAAACAACCACAGCTGAACAAAGTGCAGTACATAAATAGACAAAACAACGCAGACACAAAAACAATCAAAAAACAATTAAAACAATGGATAAAATAAAAGCAGATATTTTAAAGTAAGATATAGTTTCAGTGTTTTTAAAAACTAATTTAAAAACATTGAAAAAAATAATTAAAAACAAACCAGAAAACACTAAAACAGGAGCTGAGTCTCATGCAGGGTTGAAAGCCAATGAATAATAATGTGTTTTAAGAAGAGTTTTAAGAATGGACAGTGTGGGGGCTTGTCTGATTTGGAGGGGTAGCTCTTTCCATAATTTTGGGGCCACAACAGAAAAAGATCTATCCCCTCTGAGCTTCAGTTTGGACCTCGGTACCTCCAGGAGCAGCTGATCAGCTGACCTGAGGCACCGAGCGAGGAGGGGTGGAGAAGCTCAGAGAGGTAAGATGGAGCCAGACCATTTAAAGATTTAAAAACAAATCAAAGAATCTTAAAATGAACTCTAAAATGCACGAGTTGTCAGTGGAGGGAGGCCAGGATGGGAGTAATGTGCCTCCTCTTACGTACTCCAGTTAAGAGCCGGGCGGCAACAGTCAACAACAATAAAACCTGAACCTCCTACCCACACACCCACCCTCACTCACCCACACATACACACACAACCGCACACAGATTGTGAGAATTTAAGATATATTGTTAAAGAGACATGGCCTGACACCCAGACATTATGTGAGGAAGAGCTAACTTTGGGAAACACTGGAGATAAAAGATAGGAAATGGTTAAAGGAAAGAGTAAAATCTGTTGGACTAAAACAAGAAAATAATATGAAATTAACAGATGAGTAAGAGCTCTTAACCATATAAAAGGGGTAAAAGAAGTCAAAACCTCTAAGGGAGGAGTTAAGAAAAAGACTAAGAACAGAGATAATTATTAAAATGAACAATAAGAACTTTGATTAATATGAACATTTGCAATAAGAGAAATATAAAAAGGCAGTTAGTGAAAAGCCAGGTTAAAAAGGTGGTTGGTTATAAATTGTATGTTTCTGTTAACCCTCCCTCTCTCAATTTCTTTCATAAGGGAAATGGACCCAGGCTTGCAGGAGGCTGTGTCCACCCTCATCTGGGCAGCACCTCGTCTCCAGGCTGAAGTCAATGAACTTAGAATTGTAAGTACTGTCTTGACTTGTGTGTACTGCTGCTGTTGACAATTAGAATTTCCCCTCTGAGGGATGAATAAAGGAATATCTAATCTAATCTAATCTAATCTAATCAGAATCAGAAATACTTTAATAATCCCCTGAGGGAAATTGCTATTTGTTACAGTAACTCCAGTGCAAAGAAAGTAGAAAGAGGAGATACAGAATAGATAGAATAAGTACAAATAAAGATAATATACAAGTATGTACACTATACAACACAAAATAGTAGAACAGTATGCAGATAAACATACATAATCTAATTCATTCTGAGCAATACTGACCAAAGTCCTGCTCTTTTATTCCAAGAGTGCCAGTCCTTACAGTTTAACTTCTAATTTGTCTTTCAGGTGTCTGACCAGCTTTGTGCAAAATACAGTAAGGAGTATGGCAAGCTGTGCAAGACAAACCAGATCGGCACAGTCAACGAACGGGTTAGTATTTTTTCCGCGAACAGCCTGCGAGTTTGTTCAAGAATGTATGAACTTTTCTTCAAGTTCCTTTTAGCGGCTTCCTTCTTATCAGACTTCTTTTATGTGTGTAGCTGATGCACAAACTGAGCGTGGAGGCTCCTCCTAAGATCTTGGTGGAACGTTATCTGATTGAGATCGCTAAGAACTACAATGTGCCATATGAGCCCGACGCCATGGTCCGGGTGAGTGTTACAGAATGTGACAGGATGAGTTGACGCTCGCAGTTTACTGATTTACTTATTCTACTTCTTGCTCTGGACAGCCCGAGGTGTGTCCTGGTGAGGAAGCAGACCTGATCGATGTGGACAATGACAAGAAGTTTGGTGGTGGAGGAGGTGGTGGAGGGGGATTCACGGCTCCTGCAGGAGCCATGCCTATGCCCATGCCTATGCCTATGCCCATGCCTATGCCAACAGCTTTCAATTATCCACCTCCCAAAGGAGCCGTAAGAGATGTTTCTTATACTTATCAAAATTTAAAACAAGACCGAAATGTTGTTCTTGAGTGTTGTAAAATGTTATTCTAGTAAAACACCACAATATGGCAAGACTGTGAACCCTGTGGCAATGCTCAGATGTAGATGTAACTTTTTTTGTGCTCCCTTAAACCTTAGAGAGTCGAAAGTGTTTTATAAATCTAGAATCAAGTGTCTTTCTCAGACTTGTGCCTGACTGATGTTTTTGTCCTCCAGGACCAGTTTAATGCTCCCGTTGGAACCTACAACAACTTCCAGCATCCCATGGGAGGAGGGCAGCCCCCTCACCTGCCCACTTCTCCCCCCACATATGAGTCTGTAAGTGACCCCTTCCTGTTCCCACTGAAGAACAGACGGACAGGGCAGGGCACCACTCAGGGAAGAACAGTTCATTTAGCTTGCTTACAGTTCTGTCTGTCCTCTACTATTTTTATACTGTTTCTCATGGTAGGCACAGGTCATAGTACTTGTGTATCTGCCTTACTCTGGTGCCTTTTATCTAGACTCTCATACACCAAGTACTACAGCAAATTCCCTGTTTTGGGTAACTAACTTGTCAAAAAAATCAATTTTTTTGGCCACAAAAAGTAAATGATTCACCTTTATCTGTTGGGACCAAGGTGGCATGAAATGCTAACACCAAAACTACTAACTTTTAACTGATCCATTGTGCCGAGTGGGACTGAAATAAGCAGATGAGAATGTTAAGTTATCTTTAGAGAGAGCTTAGGCTGGCTGAGTTTATGTCTTTCTATCAAACACTAAGGGTGGCGGGTTCTCAAGAGTTCCTCTGCAGTTTTGCCTTGCCTATGCTATGTTCACGTCTGTTTTTACTATCATGTCAAATGAAAATACTCAAAACTAACAAATACCATATTATTTCCTTTTTACACTCAAACGATATGGTCCCATACAAAATTTCCATGTGTTTCAGATTGATGACCTTTCTGACAAAGCCTCTGTCCCTTTCCAGGCTGTAGGTAAGTTCTGCCAGTAGTCAGTAACAGATGAAGGATTGGTCTCACGATGTTCTGTGTTTATGTAATTTGCAATAACTTTAAATGAAACGACTTCTGTTGGTCACATGAACCCAATCATAAAATTAAAGACATTACGTATCAGAACATGTCCATAACCCAGAAAAGACTGAGTAGTTAAGGTAGTATTATGAGAGCAGAAATAAAAGATTTCACTGCATTGCCCACTGGAATGACTCAGCAGAATAAACTGTCCAGACACTTCGTTCTAATTCAGTTATTTCGCCTGTCAAGGATACTGTTTCTGTGGATTTAATTGAATACCACATATCACTCTTCAGGTCCTGGCCCTGCACCTCAGCGATTTGACAACAGCGCTCTCCCAGAACTCCCCTCTGTTCCCGACACACTCCCCACATCGTCCTTTGGAGGAAACACAACCACCTCTGATGACATCGACTTTGACGATTTAACTAGGCGGTTCGAGGAGCTGAAGAAGAAGACTTAATCACTTTCACCCCCGTCTATACTCACACACACACAGGCCTGTATTGACACCTACGCAGCTCATACTAGGAAAATATAAGATATCAGATTTGGATAATTTGTCTCCCTTTAGCAGCAAAGTAATCTTACATAGGTTTTGAACACACCTGTATTCTTACCTCATTTGCATAAAATTGACCATCTGACTGAGGGTGTAGTTGCTCATTTGACCCTACCTTTGCCATAATTATTATCTGCTCTCATTTCTGTTCAACAAGTACAGCTTGTGTGTTTTTTTTCTTTACACCATGTTATACCATACTACTCCCTACAATCATGTTTACACTCCTTATTTAAGATCAAATTTGCCCAATGTCTGAGTGATTGACTAACCAAACATAGATTTTAATTCTTACTTTTTGGGGGTTTTGGGACTTAAATTTACAATTCATCTCTATATCTACTTTACACATGCTGTCTCTCTGTGATCTCACCACTGTGTCGCTCAGTACTGTTTTAGACCAGTCAAACCAGTCCAGCTGGCCTACCCAGTTTGGTTTAAAGTTGGCCTTCACACGAACAAAGGCTACAGATTGTTTCCAGTGTGCGGATTTGATACCCAATTACATATTTTCAATAGAGATAGAAGCCATATTTTCCAGTGTCTCGAGCAGTCATGCGCCTTTGTCACTATGGGATTGACAAGTGACATAACTCCTTACACTAACGCGGTTCTTTCATCAATATTTACCAGGGAGGTATGAGTCATCCGGGAAGAGCTAACGGCGACACATTCTACCTGTTACTGGAATTGTGAGGCACAGATGTAAAGATAAAATGGTGTACGGGAATCTGTAATATAATATGTTGACAAAAATATAGACCTATTTACACAGATGATTGAAGTGTACAGCAAAAAGTGATTGAGGAAGGATGTTGTACAATATTTAGAAATACTGTTTTATATACCATATCTCTGAATAAAGGTTTTTTTTTGCCCTTTGAATGTCCATTTTACCAAATACCTGCATTTTCCCCATGGAAGGACTTTGATAACAAGCAAAATGTGTGTAGAACAAAGTCTGATTTGATTGATCATATGTAAATATTTGTCCCCAGAGGTCATAGGTCAGTGCTGTCCTCTGTGATCCTGTGTGCATGTGTCTTACTGTGTGATCACCACTGCATTTGCCTTAGTTACCATCTTTCATCAGAGGCCTTGCCAGTCTGTACCAGGATTCTGTATTTGTTATCCACCGAGACTGGGTACATAATTGAACTTTGCTTTATTTGCTTTGCCCATAAATAGAGTCTGAAAAAGCTCTGAGATGAAGACTGGAGGAGAATACATTAATCTGGCTCAAGAGGAGGATGAGTCAAGGGTTTTGTTTTTGTATAGCTACAGATATCAACGTGATGTTATATCCCAGCTACACCTGAATTGAGGCCTTGAAATGATTCAGAAATGTGTGGAAAATACTCTGAAATGCTTTCTTGCTGGGTTATAGATACGATGTGTGGATTGGTCTTGAACAGGTGTCAGAGAGAGTAAAGATGTGGTTAAAAACACTAAAGAACTGTGATCTGACATGTCTTTTCTATGTTTGACTTTCATGCTAATCCTCAAGACGTCTTGTTGCATAAGACAAGTTTTTTTTTCCACTGTATACTAAACAATTTAATAAAAGATTATATGGAAGTGGAGTTTTGTAAGGCTTTCTATGTTACACCTCTGCTTTCAAATGCTGTTGTGTTAAATAGTGACCAGCAGGGGTCCTCAACATGAAGACAAAGAATGAAGTCTCTCTGGATATCTGCAGAAAACCTTGTCAGGATGAGGTAGATTTGTGCTTAAAAGTTTTTTTTTTCTTTCTTTTGAGCAGATAAGAGCCATGCATTATCAATCAATCAATCAATCAATCGGTCCGTATAGTACCAAATTACAAAAAATGTTATCTCAAGGTGCCCTGCAGAGCAGGTCAAGGCCCTTCTCTTTAATAATGTGATTTACAAGGACCCAACATTATGTAAGGCAGAACCAGATATACATTGAACAACCATCTGCTGCGCCCATATTGACACCAAGCTTATAGTTAGAATCAGTTTATTATCAATTTTAATGAATCCATTCGACACCTTTGTTCATTTGACGTGTACTTTCAATCATGCTGGTGTAAAAGTTTTAGGTAAACATTTCTACGAATACATTGAGCTGTTATTACATCAGCATACCGCATATGTGGCCTAGACAGACTGAATCTAATTTCGGAATTTTTAAAGATGTTATCATAAAATTTTCTCTCATCATCAAATTTGCTTTTTTTGTCTTAAAAATAACATGTATGTTGTGTTTTATTTCAGAGGAGGATGTCGGAGTGTCCGAGATGTCTAGGTGGAGACTAGCTGTTTGTAGCATTTACTATCATCATGTTGTGGATTTAACAAATTATTCAATCGCTATCTTCAGTACAAGCTTTGGACATCAGATTTGATCAGTCGTGATTGTAGAGGATAGTTTATTCAGTTTAATGCATATGAAAAGAGGTTTTAGTCCATGAAAACAATAAATCCATCAGTTTGCCCTGAAAGTCTAACCAGACCAGAAGGTTTTCAAAACCAAAAGATCAACTTTAGTGTGTGGTTACAGGTAGGTCATCAACATGACATAAAATACACATTAAATATTCAAAGGAAAGTCACAGTGAATCAGACAGAGGCAGGTTTATCTATATATATTGAAAAGATGACATGCACCCTCAGCATGGATTAGAGTGAAGGAGGTAAAATAGAAAAAGTGATCAATTAGTAATCAGCTCCTATATTTGGGATTATCAGTAGATAAGAACCCCTTCTCACTGCTCTCAAAATGAGAGTCCATGCAGAAGTAATCAATGATCTCACTCACATAAATAATCTAAATTACTATTGTATCAGGAGGACAGACTGTGGCAGTTAGTCTGTAAATGACGAGCTGCTTATTTAAGTAAAAAGTAAAGTAAAAAAAAAACCTTGACATAACTGGGAACTAGATTTATTCTTTTTATATGCTTTAACATGGAAAGTCAATGATTGGATGGTAAATCTAACTCTTTCACATGCAAGCATGGCGCAATTTAAATAACACAACTGAATTCAGGAAACTGTCTTGGACAGTGGATGTTCTGTACACATACAAATACCAGTTTGTATTAAGCACAATTTTAGCTCCAAATAAGTGCAAATAAGGGGTTTTTAGGGACTAAGGGTTCTGCTGTACATGTTGGAGAAGACACTCTTCCTGCAGTTTTCTCACAGTGTGGCTCTGCCGGTGTAGCGTCTACACTTTTCTTGTTGCACTGTTAAAAGGAGAAGACAGGGCAGTAAGTCTCGCAGCACTTAAACTGAGAGAAGATGCACTGAAAAAATTCCTGGAAAACAAAAAGGGTCATCAGTTGATGGTTGTCTATGATGCACATCTTTATCTAAAAGCTCTCTGAAGTCAACCTGAAAACAACAAAAAAAAAAACTGTTCCTCAGTCTGCTTTGTGATTTATGAAAAGAAAGTTTGGACTCAACAGCTTTAGTGTTTCTGTCATGTCATGTGTAAAAGACCTGTATTTTTTGAGCTGACAGTTGTTCAATAATAGGATACCCTACAGCTCAAACTTGTACTCAGTAATGGATAGACTTTTTTCAGTTTTTACCTAAAAGCACTTGCTCAACTTCTTCAGACTCCTCCACAGCCACGGGTTTTAACAGCAGGGCAAAAAACACAGCAATGCCTATCACCTGTAGAAAAAAGTCCAGATTATTTGACAAAACATGTCATGTATTATGTGTTTTTCTTTTCTAAAATGAGCAAATAATCTGTGTTTTAGATGCTGGTTTAGTAGATTATGTGCAAATTTACGTCATTCAGCTCAAGTTTCCCCATCTTTACAAACCTTCAGAGGCTGCAGTATGAAGATGCTCTGAAAGAGAGAGAGGCCCAGAGACATGACCCACTTGATGGACTTTTCTCTGCCATACTCAAAGCCATACAGCAGGGTGAAGAAAGTGGACACTCCACTGATGGACAGTAACAGGAACCAACCCAGGAACACAAACCACCAGGGCAGCCAGCAGCCCCCTGATCTCCTCTTCTTCTGTATTTTTACAGGGGGTGGACTTTGTGAAAGAAAGGGGGGGGGGAATTAGAGGAAAAGGAAAACAAGAAAATAAAATGTCAGAATCATTTGTTAGAAGAGTGGATCTGTTATTTTTGTCCATTTTGCAAACTGTAGTTCTGACCAGGAAGCAACGTGGCTGGAGAAGACCATCTCAGCCTTGCGCACTAGATGGTAAGCCATGTCAAGAGTCTGATTGTAGTTGTACGGATTCAGAAAGTTGTTGCTATCCAGTTTCTCCAGACACATGACAAGGTGGCAGAGACCAGCCAGCAGGAACTGGCTGCAGTGAACCCAGTGAGGGTTGCTCTCGCTCTCACCTTTGACAGGATTACAAGCAGATCAGTCATTTCAAAACTTGTGGTCATCATCACACTGCTCTGACTGCCTTCAAATGTCACATTATTTTTGTCAGGTTTTTTTTGTGGGTTATCAATGCTACTTTGCTTGAAAGATTAAAGGAGGACTTACCTTGCATGAGATGGATGAATTCATGCACTCTTTGTAAGGCAGGACAGAGATCAGCGCTGCACTCCAATGCGCCAACCATTGATATGTTGTTTCTTGGACATTTGCTCAACAGAGAGATTACCTCTTCTATGTCCTAGAAAAGATAGATGACATAGTACATGTATGCTTTTGGATCACATGTAAAAGCAAAGATACAAATAGGTTGCATAGTTATCAACATAAAAGGTCTTCCAAAGGCAATCCCAAAACAACAATCATGTAAAACCCTACATAAACCACGTCTATTTGAGCTCATATGAGCAGGAATGAAGAATATTGTACCTGCTTTAAATTCAAACAGAACAATGCTTGAGTCATATCCAAAAGGATTGAGATATTTCAATACTCACCTTTAGAATATCTGTTGCTTGAAAAGCGGGAGGTTTCATGTCCTCCTCTGACTCCTCTTTCTTCGGTTTTGAACTGATTCGGGGTTTGATGCTGCGGAAGATGGTGATAATGAGGATGTTGATTGGAAACATGAGAAGGCCGCTCTGTATCCCCACCATGATCTCCTGCCAGGTGATATTCATTGAACCTGCAGTTATAAGAAAAGAAGGAGGGAAAAAGCATTAATACATTTTAAACAGTTTCAGTGATGATGATTTATGACAAGTCGAGGCTTTCTTTAGACCTCCAAAAGCTCACTGTTGCTGCCCAGAATCACACAGCATGCAGATTGAGGTAACAGCTGGCATTTACATTGACATTAAGAGCACTTTTTCTTTCTGAATTAAGATTTGACAAGAAGGTTATAGGAAACAGATGATCAGAGGTGGAGTTCACCCATAGAAAAGACGACAGGTGAGGCTTCATCTACAGGAAGGTTCCAGAAAGCGATGTTGATAGCCATGGTGCAGAGAAGTAGACTCATGCAGCAAGACACCCTCTGAGCACGAGTGAAAGGACTACGTGAGGGAGGATCCACAATGGACACCCAGATATGTTCATCCCTGAAGCCAGTTGATGTTCTGCTCTGGAAAATATCCCTGACAGAGAAAAGAAAGTAACAAATCATTTATTAGGATCTTTTAAAAAGAAATCTGAACCAGCAATGCAACTGCACCAACTCTGACCTGAAGCTGGCAATCTCGTTGTTCTTGGCAGCATTGAAAGTTTTCTTGGTCAAGCCGTCTCCACGGTCAGCACTAAGCCAGCAGCCACACAGGTAGTGCCACACATGACGTGTTTGCAGGTCTTGGATGGTCACCCTGTTTATGTACCTTTTTCAAAAAGAATTTCATAAAAGAAAAAGTATTATGATTATTCAGATGGGAAATACAATCATTCTTAGCTAGCGAGCTGTCGGAACCTGAAAGGAACATAAATGTGTTTATTCATTCTTTCATCATGCGCATTTTAACCTTGAAATTCCTTTTCACTGCAGAGATTTCTTTCTTTATTGAAAAATGTTGTTGGAATATGAGCCACTGGAATATTGTGAATCAAACCACTTTATATTCAGTGTTTTCTGAGTAGATAACCTGATGTTTTATTCCTTAACAGTCTAATTTCTATACATTATATTTGATATCTACTCTTCATCAATCACTGTCTGTATGTTTGCTCATAGCAGCAGTAAATGGGAAGTGATAACAAGGTACTGCTGAGGTGACAGGAAGTGTCACTTCAAATAAGACAGCAAAATCTCCACATGTATCAGTGACCATACTGGATCTATTTTCTTCGGATCCCAAATAACTATGAATCACTTCATGGTACTCATTGCATTGATTGCTACTGCAATAAGCTGAGCTCATTCTCAGCTTTAAGCAGTACCATGATGGGTGACCTCCAGCGTTGTTGTGCTGCAGCCTGATGCTTCGCACTTCGCCGAGTGGGAAGGGCGTGGCGAGCACGAACACATCGACTGATCCTCTCTCAAACACAAGCTTGTCAGGATCTGTGAGGTTATGCGTCTCACTCTCTCCCTCCGAGCCAATCAGCTTCACAGTCACCTAAAGGACAGCACAACGCAACAATGAAACTGGGTTCACACATCTGTCACAGTGTGAAGAACCACACCTTAGTATGTGCATCATTTAGCACTCGGTGTGGTTTTTTTCACAGAGCTGCTGCCATCAATTTTTTTTACCCTTCTCACCATCGAGCAAACTTAAGATGTAGAAAAACCTGGGCATTTTTCATTCTCCCCAGACTTTTTCTCGAATCTCCCAGATATATTGAAAAAAACAATGTTTGTTAATCTAAAATAGAATAAAATCTGATGATAATTTTGTTTTTGTTACAATTAAAGTTGTATATTTCTTTAATTATGCTGCTTTGGACATGAACATGTTTCATAATATTTCCATTTACAGGTAAAAGATTTTTTTCTTTTTTCAGAACTAACCGTTTTCTGCAAAAGCCAATGTATTCAAATATCAGCCATTGCATGTCTATAAAGTACTTTTTATTGTAAATTGTTGCATTACGATGTATTCAAGTCTAAATGGAAGATCCTTTTTTTATTTTGCAGAGTTCCCATATTACTCTTATTTTAGGCCAGGCCCTTACAGAGGACAAAAATTCTGGCACAACTTCACCGACTTCCAAGGTGCTTGGAGAAAAAGGGTCTTAAAGAGGTCAAGAGAGCTCCAGCATCATATGATGACCCTGTCGAAGGCCACAAGCTGAAAGGCATCAGTCGAATAAAGCTGTTTTCCTGAACTACAAGTGCTGCTGGAGCTCTTTTGACCTCTTTAAGGCCAGGCCCTTAACACAATGATCCTGTCTATCGGGGATGATCTTGAAATGGAATAACAATGTTGCTTGTTGCTCTCAGGTAAAGGCTATCCGGCTATCTAAAACACTGTAGTCTATGGGCAAAGACACAAAGAGAGCCTTTACTTTAAAACTAAAACAGATTCAACCCTTATTCAGTCAAAGAAAGGAGACTCTTACATTGGCTGTAGTCCCAGCATTCTTGCGATTGCCTGTTTGGACACTGATCAGATAGTTGTACAGAGCTCCTGGGTGACAGTCTTCAAGCAGAGTCATCTTCCTCTGATAGTTCAGAACGTAAAGCACAGTGGTGAATGTGCTAGCAGGAAATAACTTCACTCATGCACTGCAGTAGAAGTTGTACTTTTGGTTGATAAAACACTTGAAACTGTAAAAGTATAAAAATATTTGCAAAAGGAGCTGTCTTGGGGGGCTGACCTTAAAGCGTGCCCTGCGGTCAGCATAGCAGGCCCACAGCAGGGTGACCAAATAAAGGCCAAAGAAAGCACACAGCAGCGCCAGCACCACGTAGTTTTCAGTCACAGTAGCAAACAGCTCTGCTGTGCGAGAAACGTCCACATCATTCGGCATCACAAAGAAGGAGCTCCCAAAGAGAGTGAGGTGGTTGCACAGACACTGGGTTTGAGATACAGAGCTTTTCTCTCCCACCTGAAACAAAGAGTGTAAATATTTAACATGCAGAGAAACAGCAAGCTTTTTATTCAGATATCTTCCTGGGAGAAACTCACCTGGCAGCCATCACTGCTCCATTTCATCGGTTCTTTGTCCCAGAACATACACTTGCTCATAAAAGAAGAGATATCCAGTGTCAGCCCTGGCACCCAAGTGGAGTTGAAGAGTCTCAACTCCACAAACCAGATTCCAGATCTGCCTCGCAACATCTCTGGTGTTATAATCCAGCGGTAGCCTCCTGTCACAACAAAGTGCAATCACCATTCTTACCTGAATATGTAATCTTTTTGCAATAAAGTATGAAGCATATATTTGTCAAATTTAACAAGAAATCTGTGGTTTTTGTGTGTAGCCATAGAAAGATGCATGTGTAGTGATGGGTACCCGTTTTTGTCAAGACGGTTTGGTTGCTAAAGTGGGTACTGTTGGGCGGTGAGCGGTAAGCCAGCATGACAGCTAATGACACATCATAGTTTGGCTTCACAGTGAAGAAGATGGTCATGTATGGGTCTGAGATGTTGAGTTTGTTCAGCGCTATTTTGTTTTCCTCCAGAACAACAGAGTTATTTGTGTCTGATGGAGCAGCTGAGCGAGGTATAACGATCTAGAGAACACAGAATAAGAAAGATATGTCAATTTAACAGTCAAAGGGAAAATATTCAGTGTCAGGAAAATGAAGCTTTTCGTTTCATATCGTATCAAATTAAGGATCTCAAAGGACTTAAGCCTGTAGCCAAAAAGTTTGGTATCTTTAAAGTATTGACAAAAATGCTTTGTGTGTGGTAAAAGATACTAACAGGTATTTATACTGTTCAGACATAATTTAATCCTCATTTTTAGAGTGCCAATTCACAAAAAGTGTTATCCCAAGATGCTTAACAAAAAATCTGGTCTAGGCCATACTTTTTTACAAACACCCAATGTAAAGATTGAGCTCCAATCCTGTAAGATCAGACCCACTTCCATCCCATTTTCAACCACATGAGCGCCACACTTTGTAGCATTTAGCCTTTTAAAGTGGTGAGGAAAAACTCTCTTTTAACAGGAAGAAGCCTTGAGCAGAACCAGACTCATGTTTAGACAGTCATCTGCTGCAAACGACTGCATTGGGTTTAGAGAGGGGATAGAGGGAGATGCAGAGAGAGAGAGATGGACAGAGGTGAGACTGATGCACATACTTAAAGCAGCTGGAGAGCAGACAGGCAGCAAAACATCTGCAGCAGCAATCCAGAGGAACCTACTGTATCCATCCTACTGTATCCATCCTGCTTCATCCTGCCACTTCATTCATACATGAATGAAGGGTTTGAAAAATATATCTCTGAAGATTTTAAATTACCATTTGAAAGCCTGTACTAGCTTAAATGCCTACAATGACACATGTATGAACATGTTTCCTCTCAACCTCGCCTGTTATGTGATGCCTGCTTTTCTAACTGAATTTGCTAGTCATTGGTTCAGAGGTCAAGGAAGCTGTTGTCTGACAGCATCTTATGAAATATTCAACTTTTTGAAAAACCTGTAAACATGGTCTGATTTTAACAATTATCTTTAGTTGTTTATTTACTGCTTATGACTGTTTTTGTCCTTAATGTAACATTAAAGAAAATGTACGCCAATTTGCAATGGTGACCAGAGGCTGTAGAGCGCAATAACCTTGCAGAACATTCTGTCCTGTGTATGGGACAGTCTGCAAACATAATGTTTTCCTGTCCCTGTCCCCTTATTTTGTACCTCTATCATCTCTGTTAGATTTGCCAGCTTTATGTCTGAGTCTCCATCGCTCAGTATGACGCTGAAAACCGGCCCTGAGATGTTCTCATCTGACGGATGGGGATTCTTTGAGAATGTCGTCAACTGAGAAGAGAAAAAGTTCTGTCAAACAGGTTGTAGATGACGACCAAAAAAGGGCACACATGCTGCTGAGAGCAAACAAACCTGAGCGATGACAGTGCTGTACGCTCCAATCTGAGGCTTCATTGCTTCAAATGAAGAGAATCTGACATACTCGCCACGTTCCTTTGAGCCTAGCACTGTGTTACTGAGGTCAGCAGGTTTGTAACTTTGGGGGCAAAAATGGAAATTGGAATTTAATCAAGTCCTGGCATATATATGCTTATATTCAAGCATGTGTACTCGGTCAAAAGACAACAATGTAAAATGCGTTATGAGTGATACTGAGACAAAAAGTACCTACCGGTTCTGATAGAGAGTACCTGTTGGGTGCTTTACGGTTAGCGGCCCCGGAGTGGTTTTACCCAAAAGCAGAGAGATTAAGCGAAATATCTCAAAGACCTGCTCAAACAGAGACTGTAAAAAAGGAAACAAAATGATGCCTCACACAACTGACAGAAAATTTAGTATGATTGCTTAGAAATGTCGCAGTTATAAAATCATTTGATCTCACTTGAGGGTTTGGGTTTGACTGGACATCACATCTTGTCATTGATAGGGAGAGGATGGCAGAACTACAGTTTAATATGTGATTAGTTATGTTTCTGTCCATTAAAACAATATCCTCTGTCAGACTTTGTGTGGTCTCCAACAAAGTTTCAATGAACTCATCCTGTGGAAGGAAAAAACACATCATTCATTCATGGGATTCCCTATAGAAAAGCCATACAATTTTTTAATCATTTATTGAGCTTTCCAGAGTGAGAATCCTCACCCTCTTAGTATGTGTTGGCTCCAATGGTGTCTGCTCCATCCGTTCAAGTTCTTCTTCAGCTCTCTGTTTTAGTTTTTTTAAAAAGAGGTAAATTTGAGGTAAAGATAACAAAAAGAAAAAGACAGCAACTGTTATGAGTTAAATGTTCTTTTTAGAACTTTTGTGGGGCAACTCTCACCTTGAGGGAATCATAAATGGTTTCAATGGTGCTCCTTTTGAGCCCTGAAAACAATTTGTTTATTGGGTTTATTTTAGTCATGGTTAATGGAAATCACCAGAGACACATGTTTAGAATCTAACTTACGAGATCTGGTTGCATGGGCAGACAAACTTGTCCTCTAGAAAAAAAAAATTAAATATATATGAAAAATTATATGAATGTATGAAATTCACTTTGCACATTTGTATGTCTTCTGAATGAGAAATATGACCCTTGCCTTTGTGGACCTTGAAGACCACAAACCTTTGAAAAAAGAATGACACTTTTAGCGCAGCATGTTCAAAAACAGAGAATAAATTGGGATAAAATTATCTCAGTTGTGCTGAGAGGGATGAAGAAGAGGAGAAAAAGGAAGAACTGAGTGTTGTGTTGTTGCGTACTGTGGGTGCAGAGGAAGCCTCGTGGCTGGTTGCAGTCAGATGTGCTGATGAGCTGCAGAGGTTTCAGCTTCATGTATGTGCAGTTTTCCTTTGAGACATCCGTACTTTCTGTATCAAACAGAAACACGGGTACACATCAGCCAAGTTGACCAAACGTGAAAAGCTAGCTTTTGGGAAGCTGCGCAGACATTATTGTTGACTAAGAAGAGATAGACTATTAAGATTGAAACTCCGAACAACAGAAAGCCAAACTTGTTCATTTTTTATTCAAAATAAATAAATAAATAAAAATTGAGCAAATCATCAGTTTTAAGAAGTATACCACAAATGTTTCGCTGTTGAATATTAGTTCTTTGTTTATAATGCGTATGTCAAAAAACAATTGTGTCTGCTGTTTAAAGGGCTCAGTTTACATGAAGCCTTTGCAGAGGTATTTGAGGTAAAATTCAAGAGACTGCATAGTTAAAAGCGTCACTTCCAGTGGTTGTGTTGGTTCTGTTTAATTAATTGTCGTTGTAGCTAAATTGTGTCTGTGTTCTATTAGGAATGTTGTATTTAGACGAGCTTATTGGTTTAACATTCGTCTTCCTGTGTTATGTGTTCCTTTTTGATTATGAAATGTTTTCTTGTTTTTCTATGGCGTACATTCATACATGCAAACCAAAAAACAAATTTCTGCCTTTTGCCAACAAGAAGTTAACAGCAGTTTTCTTATCTTATCTTATCTTATCGCTCTATTTGTATTTTGACAACATTTAACACTGGAGCACTTTTTTGTTTTTCTCCCTCTGCTGGATTAAATTATGGAAAACACTAACATTTACACAGTTTATATTTGACTTGTTAACGAATAAACCCAGAACCCAAACACTTAAATGTTACTCCAGTGAATTTTCAAGCTCATATTTGATATTTTGTCCCTTTCTCTAAGATATATTTATCAAAAACAAGGGCCACACAGATAAAGCTGTTCAATGAGAGCGAACATTTCTGTTTCTTTGTTTTATCAACTCTTTTGTCTGGACTCCACTTGGTATGTAAGACCTGTGAATGGATTTGGTCTCCATTTCCAAGATAACAAGCCCCCCCATAAAAATTACTTTAACAAAACAAACAAACAAAAACATCTTATGTTACTTACCTTTGTTAAGTTCCTTTTCTTGGATTTCCTTTCCAACCCAAAATGTAAAATTGCTTACACTTCTCTCTTGTGGGGTATTCTTCAAGAGGATTTTGATTTCGTTGTTCAGCACATTCAGAAGCGTCCCTCCTGGCTGTTCACAGCTGCTCCTTGCCTCAGACCAGGTTCTGGATTCCCAAACCAAGTCAAAACAGACTTCTTTGAGGACAAAATCACAAAGGGAAGGGAAGCCATCACTTTCACAGGCCTTAGACTTTACAGATAGAGACAGAAATCCAACTGTAATCCACAAAAAGATAGAGGTTCTGAAAATCATGTCTTTAGCAATTGTATTACAAAGGGCTGAAACACATAGTGCTGAAGAAGCCTTGGCAGAAACAGCAACTTATAACAAGGTCACTTCCTTCTGTGACATGAAAATCAGGGAGCTTACTCCAGAAAAACTCTGCATAAGTCGTCAATAGATTAGGAAAATCACTGCACACACACTCAAACAAGATGCAAAGTGAAGGAGTCTCTTCTTGGCATTACTGAAGGTCACACAGCCAAATCTTTGCCTTGCTCCTTTTTTGCCCATATATGAGAAATATGAATAATTTACTCTCATCTTGTGGGGATTACAATAAAGATGAATTTACTAGAAATGTTGTATCTTCATATCACATTGCTTCAGGGTCCACTTTTCTTATAACGCTGCTTGTCAAGCAGTCTGAAGTTGGCCTCACTGCCAGCCTCCACAAGGAAATCTCGCGATATCTCACATGGAGTAGTTCCCGCGTGTGTTTGTGTAACATGTTAGGAAATGCATTGAATGCCCTTTAACGCAATGACAGACCTGCACCCATGGCGGGACTCCTAAAGGTAACTCCGGAGACTGATTTGATAGTGTTGGTTTTATAGCTGCTGGTTATTCTAGAGTTCGTTTTTACACGTGTGTTGCTACCGGCTAACATTAGCTGTCGTAGCTCCGCCTGAATCTAAACCAGGAAACACTTGAGAGTTAGCTTTGCCGGGTCTGTTTGCATACATGATCACAGAGAGACACACGTTTTGGTTGTTTTTGTCACCAGCTTTCCCTCTCTGTTAAATTGGGACGATTTAAGTAAGAAAATGGAACAGAAACAGCTGATCAGGTCATATATATCTGCAGAATTTTCAGTAAGAACACAGAGATGAAGGAAACAAAACCACAATGATCTGTACTGTCATGTGTGTGCACACATTCAGAGCTTCACACTGCTATTAAAACCATCTGTATACAGTTTATGTTTAAGAGCTTTCACATCATACCTAATTCTTTGTTATTGGACCTTTAGCTTTATTGGTGTTGTTTAAGTCAATCACTCATGGAGGGGAGAGTGGGGTAAGTTGAGCCACCCCCTGTTGCTTGGAAATGGTGAAATAAAATTGATCATGTGACCAAATATTTAGGAGATGGACATCGATTCATGGAGTCTGTGAAGGTTAGAAGCACTTGGGTGAAGAGGTTAGACATTCACCTCCAAAACAAATTTTTTTACTCTTGAAAGTGAATTTAGTCTGTCATAAGTTTTATTAGAATTGTGTTCGGACCAAAAAAGATCATTTTAAATTTGTTTTACACATCAGTTGTGGTATCTATGAGCTACAACATCAGTTCAAAAACCTAGCATAAAAGTCCACCATTTTAGCTTACAGGACTAATAAAGTCATAGTAGTAGTTCTGGGGTAAGTTGATCTAGTGGTTCAACTGAGAAAGTAAAGAAGTCTGATGAGAAGATCAGAGTTTCAGTTCAGATTGTTGAAATGTTTTACTTTTTCTTTTCAGAAATACAGCTGTGAATGTTCTGAATCACTAAATGTTAAAATGACTTTTTACAAAACAGATTTTTTTAGCTGTTATATGCAATAATAATAAAAAGAGTTATTGTACCAGTTGAATAGTGTATAATAGATAGAAATACACATGAATGTAAAGAAGTGACTGTTATTTAGGGAGAGAGAAGGTGAGGGAGGGCTGGGGTGGAAAGTGGAGGGGTAGCAGGGATACGGCTCAACTTACCCCGCTCCTATGGTCAACTTACCCCATACACGGGGTAAGTTGACCATAGGAGACCACTTATACACCCATTCTGTTTGTTTGCAGGGATGCACATCTTGAAATATATGCAGATACACTAGTTACCGACAAAACTATGATTGCCTTGGCTCATATTACCCCACTCTCCCCTACTGTATAACTTTTTTCATTATATAGTGCTTTTATCCACAAGAAGATATCTCATAAAAAGTGATGAAAGTGAAAATGCTATGTATATGAAGCTCACAGACAGGAAGAATTTAGTTCACAAAGAGTTCATAGGGATAGTCTGTCAGGTAAAACAATATTCAATAACCTATAGAAACTATTAGACTGTTTAATGGTGTTCCTCTCTCCGCTTGGCGCCTCACTGTTACAGAGTTATGGGATGTCAATTTGACTGAGTGAAGTTTACACATTAACAGAGCCAAAATGAGGATAATCTTTCATTTCACTTGGAAGCAAGTGGCCGACACATTATTCCAATGAATAACAAGTTTACTCTACTATTGCTAGATTTGCAAAGATGCAGGTCTTATGCTTAAATTCACACTGTCACTGCTTTTAGTGAACAACAACAGTTCTGTCCTTTTAAAGGTTTTGATGTTTTCTCTTGTGTGTGTGTTCACAGAAGCAGCTCAAAGAAGCTGTGAAGATCATCAGCTCAGGTAGCCTTCTGTTTGCTTCCTACCTCACTGTGGTCGGTGATGAACGTTTCTATGCCAACCAGCTGATGCCCCTGCTGCAGAGGATTGTGGGAGCAGAGACAGCACATGTGTTAGCAGTGAAGGTGATTAGTTTAGGTCTGGTTCCTCTGAACCGCTACCAGGACCCAGCATCATTGGTAAGCAATACTTTTAATTACATTTTGCTAAGTTACATTTGATCATAGATTGTAGACACAAAGGCTGTGCATGTCGAGAACAATCACTGTGATGTTTACAATATCAGTACCCTCACTTATGAATGTCAGCATTCATGACAATGTAGCAGATGGCACCAAAAGGGTTTGCCAGTACTGCAGCTTTGAAAAGGGGATATTATTGATATTTACAACTCTCTATTACAATAACTGGTTTTAAAGATTCCTACTGTGGTTTTGGTAAACCAGTTCGAAAGTATAAGATTGTCAAACTGTCCTTAAGTTTGTTCAGTTTTATGCATTCTGTCATCAACATCAGTTTAAAAGTATATCTGAGTTAAAATGACTGCCAAGAGAAAGATTGAGGTAGTAAAAAAATAAAGTCTTGTTTCGGCGATCAGTGTTTCACCTGTTTTTCTAAGCACTTTTGGAATCTTTTGCTTTATTTTTTACCATTGATATTATGTTTATAGTAAGTACTGTTTATAGGTGACACTGAAGTGCCCCTCCTTCTGTTTTTTGTCTTCATAGGAAATAAACGTCCTGGGCTTAAAGTTCAAAAACCCCATCGGCATTGCAGCAGGTTTTGATAAGCATGGAGAGGCTGTAGATGGGCTGTATAAAGTTGGTTTTGGCTTTGTGGAAGTAGGTACAATCACACCCAAACCTCAGGAGGGAAACCCCAAACCGCGTGTGTTCAGACTTCCTACAGATCATGCAATTATAAACAGGTAAGTTTTATGCTACTTCTTCCTTTAAATAGAATGTAAAGATGCAGGGTTGGTAGTATGGTTAGTTTGTCAAATATTCATACTTATTGTTGTTTTCGTATCGACTTGTCTGGTGCTGTATTTTTAATAAAATTTTTAACTTCAGTTCCTATTAGACCACATCTGAGCAAAATAGTGAATTCAAGAAGTCTGTTGATAATGAAATCAGCGCTGCAATGAATGTTAATACATGAAAGTTGTTATGATCAGATTTTGTGAACTGCTTTTGATCTCACAGGTCCTAAATTTTCATGATTCTTGAACGAATCAAAAACCATATCTCAATGAAAGAAAGCCACAGATGTTTCATTTAGAGCAGAGTACAAAGTGGTTGGTTGGTTGGTGACTGTGTAATGTTGTTTTTCATATTGCTCTGCATGTACATGGATTACACTGCCCACATATTTGCTGCCACAGGCTTTTCCTTTATCAAGCTGTGAATATGAGCTTATGGTTTTACCTATTGTTTCTTCCCAGCTTTGAATAAATTGAATCAAAAGAAACCAATATATTCCTGGCATCTTCCTTTCTTTATTCAAAGAGTAAATATTAGTCACTCTGCATGTTGATCTTGGAAAAAGATGAGTGAAGATGTCATTGGAACATTACATGTATTAGATTATGGTATAATAGCTCTTCTTTAGGAGCTTGAGTTACAAAATGGTGATGGTGTTTTTTAATTGTTTTCTAAATAAGTAAATCTTCCGTGATTGTAACTGATTTTTAGTTGATATTTCCATCAGTATTGATCCGTTTCTGTGTCTGGTTCTTGTCAGATATGGTTTCAATAGCTGTGGTTTGGCAGACGCACAGCAGAGGCTGACGGCCAGAATAGACGCACAGAAACAACACAGTAATGGTAAGAAGGCACTTTTTATATGTTCTGAAATTCTCAGTAAGACTAAATACCTGTCTCCTGTTTTTTTATCCTGTTTTGTATTGGCTACTGTTTTCTTTATCGTTGAAGCCAAATTAAATGGTTAAATGTGTTGCTGTTGTAGAACCTTGACCTGTCCTTGTCTGGTGTGTTGTTTTGTCCACTCACACCTGCTTAAGGCCCATTCAACATACAAGCAGGCTAGACTCCAGTTGAGTCATGTGTCTGATAAAACAGCCAGTGTTTGTGCCTACCTGAACTTTTCCTATTTGGGTATCTTTGTGCTCTCATACCTGCATCTCTCTGTGTTTATAGCCGGCCTTCCCTTGGGCATCAACCTTGGGAAGAACAAGCTTTCCCAGGATGCAGGGGCGGATTACTTGGAGGGAGTGAGAGTGCTGGGCCCACTGGCTGACTACCTGGTGGTCAATGTCAGCAGTCCTAATACACCTGGGCTAAGGAATCTACAGGGGAAGGCTGAGCTCCGCCAGCTCCTACTCACGGTACGACTGTTTTTCATATCACTGAGCTGGAACCAGAGAATGACAAAAAACAATCAAAATAAATCATCAATTTGTTTCCAAGATTTTGTGAATTTTAAGGGAAATGAAGTCTTGAGCAATCCAAAGACATGTATCTTTTCAAAGGCTGATTTATGTCATTGTCACTTTTTTGTTCTCATCTAGAGAAAAAGTTTTTAAAAAGTAGTACAGACATGGTTTAAAAAATTGAACAACTAATGACAGAAAGTGTGTTGAAAGCTCACTTTTTGTTCTGAAGAATCTCAAATGTAGAATTGAATAATTTGAATATAAGTGGAAATTCAAGAGGAGCAATACTTTGGAGATATTTCAATTCCCAAAACAAACCAAAAGGACCCATGAAGTGATGGGATCTGATTTTAGGGCTTTGGATTAAATTTTAATGAAATGTTATTCCCATCCTGAGGTTCATTTCAGTTGATGTGGTTCATGAATAGAATTACAGTTTTTTGTTTTGGCTTTACAGATATCCATGTTGGTTTAGAACGGTAGCTAATCAGTGCACTGTCACTCTGTCTGATCATAATCCGTTCAGGTGTTGAAGGAGCGTGATGCCCTGCAGGGAAGATACAAACCTCCAGTGTTGGTGAAGATAGCTCCTGATCTCACAACACAAGACAAACAGGACATTGCTGATGTTGTCACTGAGGTTGGTTATTTGTTGGAGGCACTTGGTTGTTCAGCCTTTTGTTTTCTAGTTTGTTTTTGATTGCCATTTCTTCTTCCTTTAAACCACAGGCACATCAGATCTAATCAGCTTTTGTCTCAGAGGAATTAACGCTGAAAATCAAATTTCATATCTTCACGATGTAGCTAAAAAGAAAATGCTTGCTTAGATGGCCCTTTCTGTTTTTATAGAACTGAACTGAATAGAAAGAGATCTGTGTACTAAATGGCTCTGTAGTTCTTTAAACCTTTTCTCAGGAGAACATTTAAACACAAACATTTCACAGAGGCTCAGGCACATGTCCTTTCCTCAGCGATGTGACGTTCTCCTATGCAAATCGCACACACCCCTCACGAAGGTGCAGCCACCATCTTGTTTATACATCACTTGTGAAAACAAAGTCACTGGCTGCCTTGAGGGCAAAAAGGGTTTAATTATTATAGTTCTTTAACATTATAAAAGTAAGTATTAGACACTCAAAAGAGCTGATAATAAAGTCATTGAATAACGAAGTTAATAATAAAATAATGCATCCGATTTTTATAGCGCTTTATCAGAGACGCTCAAAGCGCTTTACATTGGATACATCATTCATTGGCTCACACAGTCACACCCTGGTGGTGGTTAAACTACCTTAGAAGTCACTGACAGAAACGTCGCTGCCAGTTTGCATCTACGGCCTCTCTGACCACTACCACACAACACTCACAATCATACACCAGCGGAGGACACACACTGGGAGCAAGGTGGGTTAAGTGTCTTGCCCAAGCACACAACAGACAGACTAGGGATATGGGGGGAATTGAACCGCCAACCTTCCAGTTATTAGACAACTGCTCTACCTCCTGAGCTACCATGAATGGCAGTAGCAAGTTGCATAAACACAGAAACTTAAAGTCTTTTGACTAGAGTTAATAAAAGCTATTCAGCCAGAATGGATTCATAAGAAGCAAGTGATTTTTTCCTCCTTCTTTTTTTAAACACCAGAGTGCTGTTTTGGTGTTCATTGAAGCACAAAGAGACAAACCTTAATGGAAGAGACATTAAGAAAAGACAACAAAGCACAATTTAAACAACACTCTGTTCCTCACGGTACATTTAACGCTGGAGGTCTGTGAAAGTCACTCAGTGTTTACTCTTCGTCACACTGACTTCCTGTCCTCTCTCCTTGATTTATGCTCTGTGTTTGCAGCTGGGAGTGGATGGTTTGATGGTGACAAACACCACAGTGTCCCGACCTGAAACGCTCCAGGATCCAAACAAGTCCGAGGTTGGTGGTCTCAGTGGCCAGCCGCTCAAAGACCTCTCTACCAGCACAGTGAGGGAGATGTACAACCTCACTAAAGGTACACATTTACATTTTAGGACACTGTGCTTATGACATTTAAAAATATGTATGAAACACTAAAAAATGTTGTTGTAGGTAAAGTGCCAATTGTTGGAATTGGTGGTGTGGCCAGTGGACAGGATGCTTTGGATAAGATCCGTGCAGGAGCGTCATTGGTTCAGCTCTACACAGCTTTGACTTACCAGGGTCCACCTGTGGTGACAAAGATAAAGCGAGAACTAGAACAACTTCTTAAGTGAGTATGTTTTTGAGGAAGTTCAGGGTTGAAATCTTTTTGAATAACTAGGGTTCATCCCTGCTATGTTATAGCAGTGATGATATTATTGGGGATAAATGTAGATGTAAATGTTCTTTATTTATACAGCCCTTTACAACAACCCTTTCGGTGAACCAAAGTGCTTTACAATAGAGAATAAAAATGTATAAATAAAAACAATAAAAGCAATAAAACAAGAACATTTCACTTTCAAAGCAAACCGTTTAAATCCAGGAATGTAGCTCTAAATAACCCGCAGTTAAAGAAACGCCATCATTTTAGTTCAACTTGTCATAAATTGGACATGTGCTCAAAAGTGTTGTAAGAGTTCTAGCATTAGTTTCATGTAGATAATGTCATTATTATTTAACTCCAATACAGACATCTATCTTTTTGTTTTTTAAACAGGGAACAAGGCTTCAACAGCGTCTCAGAGGCAGTGGGAGCAGATCACAGAGGAGCTGATATTTCCTCTCATAAACCTATCTTAGTGAAAAAGATGATTAATGTTGACACAGACTCAGCACCTGTAGCTGCCATCCCCACAAACCAGGCCACATGATTCAGTACTCTGACTGCACTGCGATATTAACCGTCCATTGATTTCAAAGGTGAGCAGAAGTGGAGTTTAGTTTTATCTGGACTGGCTGTCGTTGGAATCGTGTTTCTATTATCTGTGGTGAGAAGTGCAATCGCTGAATGCAAAAATACCAGCTCTGTCCTTGAACTTTCTGGGGAAGTTATTTTTTCTTTAATGTGCTGTTAACGACAAACGGCACCACACCAAAGTGCTCCAACTCTACGAACAAGCCTGATAAAACCTTTTTTAAATTACACTTTCTGGTGGTCAAAGGATATAATCTCAAATGATTTCATTGTCAAAAATATAATTTCACTGTTAAAAATATGCTGGCAACTTTGATGTTATTCTTTGCTTTTCTGAAGGTGAATACTATTACTCACAAATGAACACTAGAAAAATTGATGGCAACAACCTGTGATCCCTCTTAGTCATCACATTGCTCAATGAAAGTTCACTCTTTAAGGTTGCATGATATCCTTGAAATAATAAAATTATGATAGTGTAACAATTTAAAAATGTCTGCAAGGATTTTGTTTGCCTTGAGAAAGCTGCTTGGTGTGTCTTCAATATTCTGCAAATGAAAGGTATTTATTTTAATGTAAGGGACGCACAAGTGGAATCTTGTCTGATTTAAAGCAGAATAATGTATTTTTTATGGTGAGTTTCAAGACTTCTGTCAGTATATTTCAACCTGCTCTAAGAAAAGAAACATTAAAAAATGAAGAGAGAATCAGCTGTGTTGTTCCTGTGGCCTGGAGGAGAAACTATTTTCACTTCAGTATTGCCAGAACGAAAACTTGTTTTATATTAAATAAAACACTTCAATGACATATTTCTAAGATATTTTGGACAGTAGCTTCTGAAATTGTTTATTCTCTAACAGAACTGACTGTTTTTGACCTTGAAGCGACGATAAAAAGCTGTTTTGAAGACGTGTCATCAATGTTGGAAACACAAGTATTGTACCTTTATGAACAACTGAGTAGTTCTCTAGTGGACTTCTTTAGAGACTTTTGGCATTGAGAGAAATGAGTTTACATTGTTCGGTTCCTTTCAGGCACCTTTTGAAAAATCCTCCCTAAGCTGAACTCTTAGAGGCCTTGTGGTGGAGGATGCTGCTTTTATTATTATTCTTGGTGCTTTTTCCTCAGACATCGACTGGTTAAAAGATGCAATCATTTTATCAGCCTGCTCACCCCAGAATAGATGGGAGCCACTTGATATGTCCAGTGAAGACAGCAATGCTGTGAAGAGCAGCTGTGACCCACACAGCACCTCTTTCATTCTCTCCTTAGGCAGAATGCAGACCAGCGTGTATCTGGCATGTGGTTTCAAAGTGGGAGAAGAGGAACTGTCTGGTTTTCAGTCGAGCTACATTATAAAACTGATTGTGACTTAGGTGTACGATTTCTCTGTCCCTGCTTTTGGGTTGTGTTTTGGTCGAGCCTAAGAGTTAATGGAAAATGGGAGATAAACATTTGTTGTTTCCGTCTAAACCTTTGCACCAACATTTGACAGTATAGTCTGGGTTTTTTTCGTCAGTCCATGATGTCTCGATGCAGCATGAGTGACCAAAATGAGGCTTCTGCAGAATATCAGCAGGGAAGTGAAAAATGGCGAAGCTTCTGCCCTGTAGAGTAAAAGATCTGTATTTCTGTGTCATCAGTGAAAGCTAATATATTTGAAGGTTAATAGAATTTTACGATCATTGTAAAAACAGTGTGCAACCTTGAAATCCTCAGTTTCTTACACGATCCTGATTGTTGTCACAGATAAAATCATTTATTTGGACCTTTTAAGCTCCTTTAAACTGGTTAAAAAATCATGATCATCAAAAACACAGACTGCTCCTACATAATGATGTTAGTTTTTAAACCTTGAACTTGTGATTACCTTTTAACATCTCTATAACAAAGATTTCCACTGAGTCATAAATTTGATGAATCATGCAGACAAAAGCAAAAAGGTAATGGCACGACTCGGTTCACTGGGGGCGCAGGAATGAACTCAATAGAAAGTCCGTCACAGGGGCTTAAACCCAGATATTTTAAATACTATACTTTGTAAACAAACATGAAACAGAGGAAAACAGTTTGTAGTTCCTGAGACTCGAGTGTGTGGAAAAGCTCGATAAGAGCTCTGAATCCAAGACATGGGAAATACAGCCAATGGCTTACAGTAAAATTCTGTTTCAAGTTGAATTAGCATGATGATAGTTGACATTCATTTCAGAGCACAGCTGTGCAGCTGGGCTGTTTGCAGATGCAGTTTCTGTTATATCTTCCTTTAATTGATTATCTATAATTGACTCGTTATAAATCTTCATAGTTCGTTCTTTTTTTCTATCATGGTGCATGTCACACTGTCATGTTGAACTGTGATATTTTCACTCTCAAATTTTTAGGTTTTAAGAACTCTTACATGAGCAGAGAAGTAGAGGATGCACTCAGGATTTCTGGGTAGAATCATTAAAAACAACAGAAAACAGTTTTAATATTTGGATTCTGTCTGAATTCAAAATATCTGAAATTAGGAATGATCTGAAAAATCACAAGACTGAAAACAAAACAATTCTGGTAGAGATGAAAGAAGCTTATGTAACACTTTGGCTTGTGGGACATAAGCTAAATCATGAATAAAACATAAGGTTACTAAAAACCTTTTTTCACTGAAAGAAGGAAGAAAGAGGTGAGAGAAAGACGCATAACTTGGAAACGGTTGAAAGGTATTTTGATACAGCAAGAACAAACAGGTTGTGGTGTTTACTGAGAGCCAAATTCAACTTGTGACCCACTGTACTGTTTTCCATCTTTCTCTCCACTGTATATGGTAGACTTGTGAGACTGAACACTTAAATAAATTAAAACAACCACTGAAAATCTCTTCAGAGTAAACCTACATGAGCAGGCCAAACACTTTATCAATTCACTGTTCTCTCAAGACCATGACTAAAAACACAAAGGACAAACCGACACTGGAACCACTTCAGAGCAAAAGCCTGAAAGCCCTGCAGAGACTGTGGCAAAGCTCTGACTTAAATCCCATCAGAAAAAACTGTGAAATCACCTGAAGAATAGCCACTCACAGAACAATCCAAGCTGACTGTATCGCTGATGTACAGCACTGGCTCAGAAAAGTGCTGCTGTGAAAAGCACTTCTTTCAAAGTGTTGAAGATGTTGTCGAGACATTTGTTATTTGCTTACACTGCCATGACAGTTCTTAAGTAGTTAAAGTGGCGCATTGTAGCTTGTGTTTGATTGAGATAAGTGTTGAACCTTACAGATAATCTGACATTTTTAAAGATACACTGATCCGCGCCTTGTCACGGACATTTCTATACTCAACACTTAGGGTACTGATCAATAAATGGATTGTTTGTGTTAACCGATGACATGGTGTATATAGGGCATATTATAATAAGGCAGAACAAGAGGACTCTTTTAAGTCAGCTACATAAAACTACAGACATATGGACAAAAAAATCGTACTCCTCAGCTTTCACCCTCACAAAAACAGGATAAAACAGCAACATTTTCAGACATTTAATAATAATAATAATAATGATAATAATAACTTTATTTATATGACGCCTTTAAAAACAGATCTTTACAAAGTGCTTTAACAGAAAAAACAAACAAAGGCAGAAATAGACAAAGGAAAATGAATGGTTAAAGATTGGCGGATGATGGTTGACGGCATCACATCAGGAAGGTGAAAAAGAAGAAGGTGGATAGAGGAATAAATACATGGATAATAAAATAAGAGTAATAATGAAAGGAAGTTATATATTGAAACACAAGAAAATGGTTAAAAACAGGACTAAAAATAATTTACTAAAAATATTTATGATAATATAAATAACTGACGAGGTTAAACAAGAGGTATGCAGGCAATAAAATAAATAAATAAATCATGCATCATGTAAAAACAAGTCTTTAACAGACTTAAACCCATGGCATATAGTGTGCCATACACAGATCTATGTTTCTGATGGTTATATCCTCTAAAATCTGATCTTTACCTTATTAGCTATTATCTAAATAGTTATTTTAAACTTCAGCCCTTATTTCTTTAACACGTGCATATCCAACTACGACTATTTTAAACTAAGCTGGGAAGTAAATGGGAGTCAGCTTTGTTCCCTCTCAGAAGTATACCAAAAAAACATTAACAAGCTTTTACATAAGTCAGATGTTTTGTTACAGAAATATAACTGTAACTTAACAATAATCTCAATAACATATTTGATAAGAAACTAACTGTTTTCAATTTCAGTTGACTGAATAAGCGACTAAAAAGTGAAATTTCAGTATCACTTTGCGAACTGTATCCCAGATCCTTTATGAACCTCCTCAGGTTCTATTTTTCTTCATTGTCAAACTCTGCAGCATTACTCATGGTACTTAGTATCTTTCATGGCATTTCAATTTTCAGCTACATTATGTGGTCAAGGTACGTCTTCAAACAGCAAATCGTATAACATTGATTTACACAGAGGACAGTGAGGCGGATGTTGAGCAGATGGTGTTATGTAAGTTGGAGAGCTGTTGTTGCTGTCTGAGTGTTTGTGTAGGAATAGGAGGACAGACAGCTGTGAACCTGTCAGGTTGTTTCAATCAAACGGGCATCAGTGTTCCTCCTGAATCTTTAGTCTTCCTGAAATGTTTGGATTGAATTAATGTTAGAACGATACTGGCATGGTATGATTAAACCTGTGGAAGAACATCATATACACACAAAACACCTCTGTAGTGAACTCAAAATTTGCATTTTATTTAAACTTCTTCCAGAAAGGTCAAAATATCCCATTGTAACAACTTGCTGCATCAGTGCAATGATACCAGGTACAAGGACTAGGTCAATGTCATACTCAAGAGCACAGTATACTGCTTTGTTTTCCACTCATTTCAAGTATTCAGGTTATGTCAAGTGTGATTATAACATCCGGGATCTTTCATCATTACATACTATCTTTTAGAAGGGCCTTTGCCAGTTGTACATAAGTTAATTTCAGGCTTTTACTTTTTCTTTTTTTTATGTTTACTGATAGAATTATTCTCAAAAAAAGGAAACAACATAATTTTAAATTAAAAAAAGGAACAAAAATTGACATAGTTCAGGTAAGTGATTTTATTGGATGAATTGATAAGCTTTGAAAAGCTTTCTGTCTGCATGATGCCCCAAGGTTTTTCACCCCACTGGCTATGAGAACATGAGGACACACTATACCAGTGTTACCACACCCTCATAGTTTTTCATACATCACTGCACCACATGCAAATAAGAGCTTAGTGGAATCAAGGGGAGCAGTCTTTCAGGGTTTGCAGTGCTGCCATTTTACAAATGATACAGTTTTTTATTTATGCCTCGTGTGTGTTTATATATATGTATATATATGTATATATATATATATATATATATATATATATATATATATATATATATACTTTTCATGTTCCCCACATATGTCTGATCTGATGTGTCAAGAAGCTTTCAAAACGAAGAAGTGTGACTTTAGTATATAGCTGATTGTATCTGGGCAGAAAGCAGTTACAAGAACCTCTGAAACCCTTGGCTACAAGAAGTCACAGGTGTGAAAGAGACAAGGTCATATCATATAGTCATAAGTACACATCATTATAATGCATAAACTGATCACCAAAGATGGATGTGAGCATATACAAACAAGATTAACTCGAGGCATTTTCTGCATAAATCAGTTTTAATGTTATTAGTAGTTCTTTTTGCATACAGCA